GTGTGGATTTCAAAGGTGCTGCATTTCGGTTCCCATATGGTTTCAGAAAGTGCAAATTTGAAATATTCACTTTTAAATGTGAACCACATTTAATTTCTCCATCATCCCTACTGGTGTGATTTTACTGTCACTTCTGGGACTAATGAGTGGAGCTGTCCTATGTATACAGAAATATAGCCTCAATTTTCCACTCTCTATTGACCTTCTCCTTGAACTATTACATGGGGCTGCCCTTAAAGATAGACTGGAGGCTGCAGCTGGTGAATAATGCAATTGCTAGGTTGTAAACTGGGTCAGCCTGATGGGACCATATAACACCAATAATGAAAATATTACTAGGGCTGCCAGTGAACTACCAGACCAAATTCAATGTGTTAGTATTAGCATATAAAGCCCCAAATGGCATGGGACCCAAGTACGTAAAAGAGCCCCTTTTCAAATACCAACCATCTCAGACCCTATAATCATCAGGTGAGGACTTGGTGGTGGTGCCACCACTTGGGGGGCTACCCAGCTGACAAGGCCTTTTCAGTGGTGGGTCCCTGGTTGTGGAATGCCCTCCCTTGCAATATGTGCCTTTCTGTTTGAAGACATTCCTTTTTATCTAGGCATTTGGTGACTGCAGAATACTGTTCCTGGTGACTCTGCTATCCTTGGATGGAATAACCTTTATAACCGTAAGTGCTTTCAGAATGTTTTTAACTGAAACTGTTTTTAGATGGTTTTAAATGTAGTGGTTTTAATAATTATTTCATCTGTTGTGGAAGTGTGTTGTAATGGTTACAGTGTTGGACTAGGGCCTGGGAGACCAGGGTGTGAAACCCCTACTCAGCCGTGAAGCTCTCAGTCATTGTCTCTCAGTCTAATCTACCTCATAGGATTGTTGTGAGGACAAAATAGGGAAGGGAAAACAATGTAGGCCACCTTCAGCTTCTTTGAGGAAAAGCTAGCATATAAATAAATAAATAAATAAATAAATAAATAAAATTTAGAATATGTTTTAAAACTGTGTCTCTTATGTCTGTCACCCTGGACTTATTGGGGTGGAAGGGTGGGGTATAAATTACAGTAAATTAATAAATAATAAAAGAGAAAATGAAATTGCCCTTTAAAAGATATCCCACAAACTACAAGCAACTAAAGGGCAGAGCTTGAATGAGCATTTTTATAAATATATATGACATGATTTTATTTCTTACACAAACACGTGAGGAGGCACGTGGTCACTCAGTGCCTTCAGTGTATGCAAGTGTCTGGCTCATTTAAGTCTACCCAGAACCTTTATTCTCATAGGCGGAGAATACTTTTTTGTTATAAATCTTTATTACTTGTAAAGCGAATCTTTGTATGAGCTAAAACTTATATTATCCATTTGGAGCTGTGTTGTGTATTTGTACTTTTGTCCTAGCTGTGACATTCTATGCTTTAAATCTTTTGACTCTTTATTTTCTTTCTTTTTGTTACATTTGCAAGTATTTTTGTTAACAATTCAATGTTAGACATATATATATATATATATATATATATATATATATATATATGATGCACTATTTATTTTATGTGCTGTGAAGCAGTTCTCTGCAAATCCCCACTCTGCCTCCTCAGCTGTCAAGCTGAAATCCTTCTGAGAGCCCTAAACCTGCTCTCCACTGAGCCTCAAGGCCACCGTGTTATCGCTCCCTGCCACTTGCCTTTTTGTCCCTTGGATTCTCCGCCCCCGGTGATTCAGCAAAATCTTCTCTGAGGAAAGAAACAGAAGCCCCACATTGAACAAATCACAATGTCAGATTGCCAAGGTGGACGAGAGGAGAGTTGAAATACAAAAAGGGGACAATTAGGTGGTCAGGACACCATGACTAGCAAGACTTATTAATAATATTGTACCGTGCACACAGGACGTGGGTGGCGCTGTGGTCTAAACCATTGAGCCTAAGGCTTGCTGATCGGAAGATTGGCGGTTCGAATCCCCACGACGGGGTGAGCTCCTGTTGCTCGGTCCCTGCTCCTGCCAACCTAGCAGTTCAAAAGCACGTCAAAGTGCAAGTCGATAAATAGGTACCGCTCCGGCGGGAAGGTAAACGGCGTTTCTGTGCGCTGCTCTGGTTCGCCCGAAGTGGCTTAGTCATGCTGGCCACATGACCCGGAAGCTGTATGCCGGCTCCCTCGGCCAGTAAAGCAAGATGAGCGCCGCAACTCCAGAGTTGTCCGCGATTGGACCTAACAGTCAAGGGTCCCTTTACCTTTACCTTATCGTGCACACAACTTACTCAAGTGGCAGCAAGTTCCAGGGGTTGATTTTTATAACGTTGGTTTCCTTTTGGGTGGGGGAAGAGAGCACTGGAGACTTCTGATGTTTCTGGAAATAAATTGTTCATTTAAAAATATAAGAAGGTGCCTTACACTGAATCAAATCAGGCCATCTGGCTAAGAACTGACTGGCAGTGGCTCTCCAGGATTTCAGGCAGAGAACATTCCCAGCCTGGCCCTGAGCTCCCAGTGAGGATTGAACCTGGGACCTTCTGCATGCAAAGCAGATGCTCTGTCACTTGGGTCTGGCCTTTCCTATATATTTAAAAATGGACAGGTTGTGCAGATGGGAAACAAACAGCAGGCCAAACTTTGTTATTGTTGTTAAGTTATACATTTAGAAACTGCTTTACAGTCTGCATATATGGAAGCAGTGTTCAATAAGAAATAATGATATTAACTATGAATAATACATACACCGGAGAGGATACCACCTTCCCTGCTGCTACAGTCACATGGGCTTTGGGTTGCTCTGTATGCTGATGGCTGTGGCTGCAGCCTACCATTTTAATTCCCCCACAATGTCTCTGGGTCCCTGGCATAGTGCTTCTGCACTATGCAGAATAATCAGACACTGCGGACAGAAAACTGTAAAATTTCTCCTTCCTCATATATAGGGTGAATTCCTGAAAGCCGCCCCCTCGCAGAGCTTCACACCACAGTACTTCACCACATAGCACATAGTTAAAATGGCGGGATTTGCTCCAACAAGATGCAGTGGTGGCCACCTTTTTGAACACACCTGGAAGAGGACTGGACAAACTATTGGAGGATAAGGCTATCAATGGCTACTAGCCATGATGGCTATGTTCCCCCTCCAGGGGCAGAGGCATCTAGTTGGCCCCTGTGGGACTAGATGCTGACAGGAGTGCCAGCTTGGCCCTGCGACCATTGGTGCCCGCGGTCATGGATGTCATGCAGCGCGCATGGCCCTGGCACCAATTTTTTTGGGTGCTTGGGCACCCAGGGCCCCAGAGAGTTAGCACCTATGGAGGCTGGACTGGGTGGGCCTTTAGCCTGATCTAGCAGGGCTCTTCTTATGCTCTTATGATCAGCTCTAGTGAAGATAGATATACAGTGGTACCTCGGGTTACATATGCTTCAGGTTACAGACTCCGCTAACCCAGAAATATTACCTCGGGTTAAGAACTTTGCTTCAGGATGAGAACAGAAATTGTGCTCCGGCGGCGCAGCGGCAGCGGGAGGCCCCATTAGCTAAAGTGGTGCTTCAGGTTAAGAACAGTTTCAGGTTAAGAACGGACCTCCGGAATGAATTAAGTACTTAACCCGAGGTACCACTGTAATATTTTAAGTGCAATGTTAGCAAATGTGTGCTCAAACCCTCCCATTACATTTGAATTCTTACATCATTCTTCACCCTCAGTTTCAGCAAGGTGCAAGTTTTAAAGGAAGATCAGTAACAGTAGATAAAGTACGGTAAGTTTGCCTGCCATTACTAATTGAGGACCCCCTGAAAAACTTATGAGGAACCAGCAGCAGAAAATAATGTGCAAAACAACTGCTGTACAACAAACAAAACAACAACAACCCTTGTATAGTGTGCCTCTTGTGTCACTGATAGTTGTCAAATAGTGCACCCTGGTGTTCATGAAGTGAATAAACAGACTTAAAAAGGGAACAAATCAACACTCCAATAGAAAGGGCTTCCTGATTACCTTCGATGCCACCTTTTTCCTCTCTCTCCTGCAGAGTAAATGTGCCAACACTATCAGACCCTCAGAAATACTGTATTTGCCAACTCGGCTGCTTTGATATGTGGAACTGGCTCCATATAATACTCTTTCTGCAGTTGTAAGAAAATTAAAAAAATTAAAAGCTTACGTTTTCCAGATATTTTGTGGATGCAGTTCTGTTGTTGTTGTTTAGTTGTTTAGTTGTGTCTGACTCTTCGTGACCCCATGGACCAGAGCACACCAGGCACTCCTGTCTTTCATTGCCTCTCACAGTTTGGTCAAACTCATGTTAGTAGCTCTGAGAACACTGTCCATGTTAGTGGACAGTTAACACTGTCATGTTAGTAGCTCTGAGAACACTGTCTCGTTCTCTGTTGTCACCTTCTCCTTGTGCCTTTAATCTTTATCTACCCTTAAATGGATCCTGGGAGGTTGGGGGGAAACGGCACAGAAAACAGCACTTACTTTATGGCACAAAACTAGCACAAAACTTGGGCATTGGTTTGGAGGGGATCATACAAAGTTGGATGTTAGGGTGTCAGCTTGTACCCGTGTTATAATAATTTTAAGGTCATATATAAAAATAAATGTTCATAACTGTATATATAAACCACATGTCTGAAGCCCCACAGAAAAGGTCTTTAATCAAAACTAATTTTAAAAATTGATGTCCACTTTTCCTTCTCCTAATCCTCAGAAAAGAAAAGAAAAAGAGAAAACAAACATTCTTTGCTTCTTGCCAAAGTGGCTTTCTGCACCCTGGCAGCAAAAGAAATACCTTTAGATCCCTTGCTGGATCCACGACCCCAGGAATTAGAAGAGACTCGGGCATCGTGCAGGCTACCATCCCCCCTCCCCCCCAAAAAGAACCCCCTACCAAAATGAAAAAGAAAAAATAGAATCTACTGTATATGTATAGGCGGAACCTTTCTTCCCTGGAACCTTCGCGATCGCCACCGTGTTGCTACGCGACGCGGAGGGGGAGGACGCTTTTGAAGAGAGCGACTGTGGCGGTTCCTGGCGGGGAAAATGGTCGGGGGAGACAGCGCCGAGGGAGGCGCAGGCTGCTGCTCTGCGGCCGTCGGGGCGGACGCGGCGACTTCAAAGCTGAACCGCGACAAGAGGCTGGTGTGCGTGGAGTACCCAGGCGTTGTGCAGGACGTGGACAAGACGCTGCTGACGCTGGGCGGAGAGGAAGGGGTCTCTAGGGTAAGGATGGGGAGTGGGCGTCCTCTGAAGAATGGCTCTTCCTTCTCCCCGCTCAGGTGTCTGAGAGGCAAAGCTGCCGTGGGGCGCGGGGCGGGGTCTCAAGCCAGCCAGCATTCGGATGCCCCGGCACCCGTGCCTGGTTACATCGGACACTTTGCGCGTTCCTTGTGGAACTCTTCTCTCCCAGGGAGTTTTCGTGACAGAGTTTCTCTCTCTTGCTCAGAGCCTCCAGAGGCAGGGCTGAAAAGTTGGACCCCATGGGAGTTGAGGAGTGCTTTTACTGTTACCACGCACACCATTTCCATTTAGCTCATCATCATCATCAGTTTTTCATCGCCACATCTATATCCTACCTTCCCCCAGGGAGTTCAAGGTGGCATGCATGATTCTCCCTCTTCCTGTTATTTCCTCACAACAACTCAGTGAGGGAGGTTGCCCCCTAGGTCAGGATTTGAACCCTTGTCTTCCAAGGACTTAATGGCAGTTTAAAGAAGTGGCAGGTTGGGGATCTTGCTTGTGTATGGCTAATCATAAATGAATATTTTCCAGAAGTGTCCCTTGTCTATGTTGAGATATTTCCCCTACGGAAGATCATTCTGCTCGGAAGAGGCTTCTGGTTACCCGAGGCAAGAGGGAGCCTCATACTTAACATCCCCTTCACACCCTCTTTATCTCTCATTTTGAAAAGGAAAGGGTGATCTGAATTGCTGTTCTGCGTGGTGGGGGTGATTGTGGAAAGGGGGGTGAGCCATTCAGGGTTGCCGTACATCTGGATTTCCCTGGCCGTATACAGAATATAGCAGTCAGCAGCAGTGTCCGACCGGGAAACTCCAGATGTATGTCAGCCCATACCATACAGCCCAGCAACTTTGGCAAAAAAATTAAATCACATCTCAACAACTTTTCCAAATACAGTGGTACCTCTGAATGCGAACGGGATCCGTTCCGGAGCCCCGTTCGCATCCTGAAGCGAATGCAACCCGCGCCTGTGCAGGTCACGATTCGCCGCTTCCACGCATGCGTGTGATGTCATTTTGAGTGTCTGCGCATGTGTGAGCAGCGAAACCCGGAAGTAACGCACTCCGTTACTTCTGGGTTGCCACGGAGTGTAACCTAAAAGCGCTCAACCTGAAGCACATTTAACTCGAGGTATGACTGTGCAGTGGTACCTCTGGTTGCGAACAGGATCCGTGTGACGTCATTTTGCGCGTCTGCGCATGCGCGAGTGACGAAACCTGGAAGTAACCGTTTCCGGTACTTCCAGGTCGCCGTGGGACGTAACCTGAAAGAACGTAACATGAAGCAGACGTAACCAGAGGTACCACTGTAAAGCTCAATTACTTTTCTGTCTGGATTTTAACTGTTTGAAATATGACAACCCTACATTGTAGGGGTTGGATTATATCCAACTCAGGGTGAGAAACCACTGGCCCCTGGGGGTCAGCTTGTTGTGCATTTGGTCCACAGCTTCACTTCAGCCCAGCCCACCCTCTCTTGTCTGAGAGCCCCCAGCCTGCTGCATTACCATGCTGGTTTGGGAGGAAGCAAAACCTAATTTTCCCTCACTCATGTGCTGGCAGAATGACCTAGCCTTTATTTACGTTATTGGTTGTGTGCATACTTTTCAGATCTACACTGACCCCAGCCGAAGACTCGAGCTCTACTTCCGCCCCAAGGACCCCTACTGCCACCCTGTGTGTGCCAACCGCTTCCCGACATCTTCCATGTTGCTGAAAGTTAAAAAGAAAATGAGGAGGAAACGGACAGAAGCAGGAGATTTTGAGGAAGATGTCAGTTTTGAAGTAGACGTTCTTGGCATTGTTACCACAGTTTATAAGTTTCAAGGTAATGATTCCTTTCTCTAAGGCAGGGATGAGGAACCTGTGTGGTCCTCCAGATGCATGGCGAGAGGACCAGGGATGATGAATGTTGTACCTCAACATTTGGAGGACCTCACCCCCTTTGCAGTAAGGAAAGATTTGCCTCCATCATAAGACTCTGTAAATTTCAGTTCAGCCCTACTTCCTTGCCTCAGGGATTCTCACTGGGTGTGCTGTCTGGTGGCACCAAGGAGACCCCATGAATACGGTGGGGGGGGGGCTGCCTGAATAAACCAGGGATTTCTTCAGTAAACACACCATTGTGATCAGAACAACAGCCTCTTGGGATCTCACAAAAGTAGAATCCACAGTCTTATAAATTACACAGGCTTATATAGAGGCATTGGGACGCGGGTGGCGCTGTGGGTTAAACCACAGTGCCTAGGACCTGCCGATCGCAAGGTCGGCGGTTCAAATCCCCGCGGTGGGGTGCCCGTCGTTCGGTCCCAGCTCCTGCCCACCTAGCAGTTCGAAAGCACCCCAAAGTGCAAGTAGATAAATAGGGACTGCTATCCAGTGGAAAGGTAAACGGCGTTTCCGTGTGCTGCGTTGGTTCGCCAGCTGCGGCTTAGTCACGCTGGCTACGTGACCTGGAAGCTGTCTCCGGACAAGCGCCGGCTCCCGGCCTCTTGAGCGAGATGAGCGCGCAACCCTAGAGTCGGTCATGACTGGCCCTGATGGGCAGGGGTACCTTTACCTTTATATAGAGGCATTATCTCTACTTAGCTATACACAGATGTAGAAATAAGGCTACACTCTCAGAGGAAAACCATGGAGTAGACAGGATGTCTACTTTCTATCAAGCTGACTCAATGCTGAGTGTTTTTCCTGCACATTCTTGACACATTCTTAATAAAACAATACACTTCCACACACTATTTCACAGTTTTTACATCTCTTCACATGTAGGCTTTCTGTCAAAGCATATGGTATAATTTTCGCTACACCAGGCACCATGTTATTTCTGATTGCATGTCCAAAACATTTTGAATGTGATTGCATTGTGCAAATCTCCGCAAGTTGCCACTTTGAGAGCTTCTTGGGTTGCTACAAAGCAGAATCCCCAGTATCTCCAGGTAGGACTGAAAGAGAGTCCTTCCTGAAAAACCAGAAAGTGGTTTCCAGTCAATGTAGACAATACTGAGGTAGATGGACCAGTGGTCAGACTCAGTATAAGGCAGTATGTCCTGAAGAATGTTAGTATTCAAGCCTTTTAAAGAAATTAATAGATGTTGATTTGGTACTGAATGAGATGCCTGCTTCTTTTGTGCAAGTTCACTAAGTAGTGCAGTGAGGGAACAATCTGTTGTGGTGATCTGCACACTTTTGCCTCCTTCTCTCCAGGTATGTCTGATTTCCAGTATTTGGCAGTGCACTCTGGACCAGATGGCAAACAGACCTCCATGTATGACAAAGTCCTGATGCTCAAGCCAGAGAAAGAGGAGTTCTTCCTGAGTGACCTTCCGCTTTATATCCCTCCACCCATTTTCTCACGCTTGGACACTCCTGTGGACTATTACTATCGACCAGAAACGCAACATAGGTCAGTGTCCTCTTAGGTAAAGGTAAGGGTAAAGGGACCCCTGACTGTTAAGTCCAGTTGCAGACGACTCTGGGGTTGTGGCACTCATCTCGCTTTACTGGCCTAGGGAGCCGGCGTTTGTCCGCAGACAGTTTTTCGGGGTCATGTGGCCAGCATAATTAAGCCGCTTCTGGAGAAACCAGAGCAGCACACGGAAACGCCGTTTACCTTCCCACCGGAGCGGTACCTATTTATCTACTTGCACTTTGACATAGTTTCGAACTGCTAGGTGGGCAGGAGCTCAAACCGAACAACGGGAGCTCACCCCATCACAGAGATTCGAACCGCCGACCTTCTTTTGTAGGTGATGGCAAATCCACCTGCTGAGCAATGGTCTCTGCTATGGCAGGATGAATATATGTAGCAGCTACTATGTTGGCTGAATATAGTTGCAGTTTAGGGTTGGACTTGGACAGTAGGGGGGAAAACCTCTGGTCCTCAGGCCAAACATAGCCTTCTTGGCACCCATATCCAGCCAACTAGCTTATTGAGCTCTGTCCTCTCCACAACCCCGCCTCTCAGCTGTGTGCCACAACATCTGGAGGGCAACCCTTGATCTAAGAAGTGGTATTCCCCTCTTAAGGGAACTCCTATTCTTTTTGGGGGGGGGGCAACAAACAGCTTTTTTCGTGTTCAATAGTACAATATAACCATATTGGAACCAAATAAAAATGAATAGTGTCTTATGCAGTGTAGGTCCAGAGTATAAAAAAGGAAGCTCTATGGGAGATTGACAAAGGGATACACACACTGTTTCCATTGTCCCCTGTACAAATTAAAGAAGATATAGAATAATAATGGATATCTTCACATAAAAGTCATATTCAGCTGGCCCAAGTTCTGCAAAAGGCTGCCTGTTCCTGTTTATTATAAAGATTCACCAGATGGCTGCAAAGTCTTCAGGCTCCACTTCATCTTTCCAGACTCTCAGATGGTGTTTGAGTTTTTCAGAGGCAGCAAAATTAAGAACTTCTTAAAACTATCTGTCCAGAGTGATATTGGTTACATTCTTCCACTCTTGTTCAGCTGCCAAGCATGCTGCAACCAGCAGGGGCCCTGCCCTCCTTTAGATTTGGCCCTGCCCACCACTGCCTAGCATGTAGTCCCTAGAGTGCTACTCACATAGATCAAAAGAGTGCCCCGCACCTGTTGTACCTGGGAGCAACCTTCGATACACCCCGAAGTCTCTAGTTGACTGTAGTGGCTATTGGTTCTGACAGGTGCAACAGGCACCTGTAGAGAGCCCCTATCCACCCTTCTTGGTACCTCTCCTGGCTTGCTTACCTGCCCAATGCATCACCTGACTTCTTCTGGCAGCAGGGAGGAACAACAAAGTCAGAGTGACTTCTGTGTTCCTCTCTGCTTCTAGGTTAAATCAACATGTGCTTGTTGCAGCTGTCAGAACTGATAGTTGCTACAGACATGCAGAGGCTTTTGGATATGTGGCATTGAGGTATGAACCCAGCTCTCATTTCACTTGGGTTTGCATACACAAAGGAGTTGAAACAAGGTATTGGAGAGTGAAATACATACTTCTCTTTGATGTCCATGTGTTCCTTAGATATTCATCAGTGCAGCTCAGATCCCAGGGTTGGGACAGCCACATTGTTGACATTTGACAAGAGGTGGCTGTGCTTTCCAATTCATTAGAGGTAACATTTGGAACACTTCTCATGCTAACACCTTTGATTTTTCTCACTGTTATTCTTCATAGCTCACTTTGCTATAAAGTATCTGAAAGCAATTTAACAATAAAAGCATCAATAATCAAAACAATTTCTAATATAAAAACAGTTAAAGCGATGATTGCTTTTTGTGATTTTTATTGCAATAAATAATACCTACAACATACATAAAAATGTTACCTTGGTTTCCCCTTTCACAATAAGGAGAACATATGGTTGGACACTGTCAGTACATTTCCCCTTCCTGTGTTAAATAAAAAGTGCCTTTAGCTGTAAAAGCCAGTTATTATCTGGCTGTCATCCTTCCCTGGCTGTTATATAACTTGCCAGTTTCAGCTATCTGTCAGGTAATTTCCAAACAGCCTTGAAAAATAGGAGCAGTAGTCTTCCCACCCAGCCTGCTCTCAGATGAACCATGACTGCATGTAGAAGATTTCAGATAAATTCAAGATTGCAAAGCTCAACTTTCCCCTCTTTAAATAAGGTTAATTCATGATAACAAGATTCCCATTATTAGGTCCCTCCAGACTCCCCACAAACTGACAAAAAAAGGAGAATCTATTTAGCCTCATATCCACTATACATTTATGTGATGGGATTATGAGCTGCTTGTGCGTAAAATCGTATTCCCTCAGAGTTTGTTCAAGTCCACAAACCTCTGTCTGTGACTGAGCCCCTCTGACATGGCTCCTCTTAGTCACTAGAAGATTCCGACAGTGGTTGCTTTCGTAATCGCTTCCAACATAAAAGCTCCTTAACGGAAACACGTCTTCTGGACTCTCTGCGTGACAGTTTCCGGCGAGGAGTGGGTGTCGCTACAGGAGGTCCGGAAACCTCACCACTGTTTTCGCTGGAAGTATCTCTGAGCCATCCCCCAGCTCCTTTCCCTCAGTTCAGCTTCTCTCCCCTGCTGGTTTCCTCTTCAGCTGCTAAGTCTCTTCCAACCTGTCTGAGCCCTTTCACCTCCCTCAGTTCGGCTTCTCTCCCCCTGCTGGTTTCCTCTTCAGCTGCTAAGTCTCTTCCAACCTGTCTGAGTCCTTTCACCTCCATTCATACCGATGGCAGTTCCATGACATCAACAACCCCTCCAGGGCCCCCTACACCCCCTAACGCCCCCACAACTCCGGGCGTTGAGGAGGCAAAAACCCCGGAATGAACTTCCTTCATCTTCCGATGTCTCGAACACTTCTCTCCACCTGTTGCGGTTCCTGGTCTCGAAGCACTCCTCCTCCTCCGAGTCCATCTCCCCTTCCCCTTCCGATTCTGGGAATCCTTCCAACTCCTCCTCCTCCTCAGTGGTCCCAAAGTATTCCCTCCGGAACCTCTCCACAGGCTGAGGTTTCCGCGGGAACCTTTGATGGAACATTTCTATCAATACCTCGTCATTGATATCTTTGGCCATTACCCACGTGTTTTCTGACTCCGGTTCTCCTTCCCACGCTACCAAATACTCCACCTGATTCCCCTTCCACCTGGCATCAAGGATTTCTGCCACATGACTGCTGCATTCTCTTTCTTCTATGACCGGTCCCCTAGTGGCCATCCCTTCTCGTCCCCCCTCGTACGGTGACAGTAACGACCTGTGAAATACTGGGTGCAGTTTCATGTGGTTGGGTAACCGGAGCCTGAAAGCCACTGGGTTGACCTGTTGAATGACCTCAAAGGGACCCAACCTCCTGGGTCTTAATTTCTTACAACCTCCTTTGAACGGCAACCCTCGGGTTGACAGCCACACCCTCTCTCCAACCCTTATGGTTTCACCTTCCCTTCGGTTCTTGTCTGCCTGCCTCTTGTATTCTTCCTTCGCCCTTTCTAAGTTGAGTTGGAGCTGACGGTGGATTGCTTCCATTTCTTCTACAAAATGCTCGGCTGCCGGTACGCTCCATCTCTCCCTTCTCCCCTGGGAAAGCCCTGGGATGACACCCATAATTAGCCAAGAAGGGGCTCATCCCTGTGGACACATTCTCGGCATTGTTGTAGGCAAATTCCGCCAGCGCCAACTTTTCTACCCAGTCATTCTCTCTGTCATTGACATAACACCTCAGGTATTGCTGGAGGACACCGTTTGCTCTTTCCGCCTGCCCGTTGGTTTCAGGGTGCCGGGCAGTCGAAAAGTTGACCTCCACCTGCAGTAAGCTCATGAGCTTCCTCCAGAACCTGGAAGTAAATTGTTTTCCTCGGTCTGAGACCACCCTCAATGGCACCCCGTGCAACCTAAAAATGTGTTCTACAAATAACTTTGCTGTCTCTTCCGCCGTGACTGCATGCGAGCAAGCTACAAAGTGGCACATCTTTGTTAGTAGGTCTACCACCACCATGATGGCTGTTTTCCCTTTGGACTTCGGCAGATCAGTCATAAAATCTATCGACACTGCCTCCCAAGGTCGTTCTGGTGTTGGTAAGGGTTCTAATAGCCCCGCCGGCGCCCGCCTTTCCCCTTTGGCTCGCTGGCACTGCTCGCACCCTCTTACATACTCACGTACATCCTCCCTCACCTTAGGCCACCAAAATTCCCTGGTGACCAACCACATGGTTTTGTGTTGCCCACAATGCCCCCGCCGTGGGGCTGTCATGCAACTGCTTGAGTACCCTCCCCCTGCAGTCTCCTTCAGGGATATACAGTGCCCCTTTGTAATACAAAGCTCCATTTCTTTCCTCGAAACCCCTTGATTCCTCTCCCTCATCCCTAAGACCTCTAAGCTTATTCTGGGCGTATTCATCATTCTCTGTTTCTTCTACCAGTTCTCTTTGTCCCACCAATGCCGCCCCACACACCCAGCGGTCCTCTGGAATGACATGTCTCTCTTCGGGTGCTCCCTCCCCTCCAAATATTCAGGTTTGCGTGAGAGAGCGTCCGCCCTAATATTCTCTGGGCCTGGCACGTAACAAATCTCAAAGTTAAATTTGGAGAATTCCTGAGCCCATCTCACTTGCCGTTGGTTGAGCACTCGTGCCGTCCTCCAATACTCTAGGTTCTTGTGGTCAGTGCACACTTGCACCTTATGTTGTGCGCCAATTAGCAGGTGCCTCCATCTCCGGAACGCCTCATGAATGGCTAGTAGTTCTCGGTCATACACCGTGTAGTTCCTCTCGGATTTGTTCAGCTTTCGCGAAAAAAAGCACACGGTCTCCACTCTGACTCCTCCTTCCCTGGCTGGAGAAGCACCGCCCCAACCGCTCTGTCTGATGCATCAGTTTCCACTCTCATCGGTTTTTGTAAATCCACATGCAGGAGCTGTTGTTCCGAGGCGAAGGCCCTTTTAGTTCCTCAAATGCTTGCTCCGCCTCCTCCGTCCAAACGAACTTCTTCTTACTGCTGAGACAGTCCGTAATGGGCGCCGTCAGGTGGGCAAAGTTTGGGATGAACTTACGATAGAAGTTCCCAAACCCTAAAAACCTCTGCACATCCTTCCTTGTTTTGGGTGTTTTCCATTCCAGTACCGCCTGGACCTTGCCGGGATCCATGGCCAACCCCTTGTCAGACAGGCGATACCCCAGGAATTCCACCTCCTTGGTATGAAACTGACACTTCTCCAGTTTCACCCACAGCTGGTTGGCTTGCAGCCTGCTCAACACTTCTCTGACGTCTCTCACATGCTGCTCCTCATTCTCAGAATACACCAACACGTCGTCTAAGAAGGCCACACAATTCTTGTAAAGCAACGGCCCCAGGACGTGGTTCATAAACGATTGAAATGTTGCGGAGCCTGCTTGTAGACCGAAGGGCATAACTAAGTATTCAAATGCCCTAAAGGGGTGAACATGGTGGTTTTCCATTCATCCCCCTTCCTTATTCGTATCAGGTTGTACGCCCCCTTAGATCCAGCTTGGTGAAAATCTTTCCCTTTCGCACCCTTGTCAAAATGTCGTCAATCCTGGGCATCGGGAAGGCCACTGGTTCTGACACTGCATTTAAGGCCCTGAAGTCACACACCAGTCTCGGCTTGTTCGCGTTTTGTTTGTCCACAAAAACACTGGGCTGCCCCCACCGCCCTGGACTCTCTGATGAACCCTCTCTTCAGGTTCTTGTCAATGAACTCTCTTAGCTCCTGCATCTCTCTGTCTGACATGGCGTACAGCTTGCCCACAGGGAGCTGTGCCCCAGGGAGCAAATTGATTTGACAGTCAAAGGCTCTATGCGGTGGTAGTTGGTCAGCTTCCCTTTCGCTGAAGACGTCGCGGAGATCTGCGTATTGTCGTGGTACCTTCACGTTCTCCTTCACTTCAGTCCCTGCTAGGGTGGCTTGGGCCCCTGCCAAAACCTTTCCCTCTTTGCAATGTTCTAAGCAATGTGCTGACCCAAAAGAAACCACTCTCTGATGCCAGCCCACCAGCGGATCATGTAACGCTAGCCAGCTCATCCCCAATATAATGGGAGCTCCTCCCAAGGTGGCCACATTAAAAGCTATCAGTTCAGTGTGCCTTGCCACCTTCATTATCATTGGGACGGTCTGCAAGCTGACTTCTCCTCCCAACAGCTCCCTGCCATCGATCGTGGTTACCTGCAGGTGGTAGCTAAAAGGGAGCGTCTGTATCTGGTGTTCAGCTGCAAACTCTTTGCTCATGAAATTGCAGGAGCTGCCTGAGTCCAACAGCGCCTTTATCTTTAGAGGGTGTCCGTTTGGGAGCTCTAGTGTCACTTCTATCACTAGGGCGGGTTTAGGAGGTTCTGGAGTGGGCACTTTCACTGCTCTTTGGCCTGGCTGCTGTGCCCCGACAATGGCAGCCAGGCGTTGGCTTTTAGTTGCTCCGGTATTTTTCCTCTCTTCCCTCCACAGCTCCCACCATCCCTTGCCATTCCTTCCTCTGGGGGCAGACTCTGGCAAAGTGCCCTGGCTGTTGGCAGAGATAGCATTTCCGGGCGCCTTTTCCATCCTTCTTTCCCCCTCACTGGGCTTTGAAACTGCGCGCGCGCGCTGTTCCGATTTCCATCGGCTCTGCCGGCGGGACAGTTGGCTCTGGAATTTCTGGAATGCGGAACTCCTTCCAACGTTCCCCTTTCCCTTCCCGCCTCTCCAATGCTCTCGCCTCCTGGCGCGCTCCTATGGCCAGCGCTGATTTGGTCAGCTGGTCCATAGACTCCGCCCTGGGCGCCCGGGAAAGTTCATCTTTCACAGCCGAAGAAAGCCCTTCTTCAAAGAGCATTTGAATGGGTTCCGCCGATAAGTCCCACCCCAATCTGTGTATCAGCATGGTGAACTCAGTCCAGTACTCACGTACAGATCGGCTCCCCTGTTTGCAAGCCATTAACTGTCTGCGCACCACTCCCTTTTCAATATCGCTGGAAAACATCAGATCCATGGCGCGAAAGAACTTCATCGTGTCCTTTAAGACGTCACTATTAGCTGCCATCAGGGGTCTAACCCAGTCTCTCGCCCCCTTTTCAAGATGCCCAATCACAAAAGCCACTCGTGATTCCTCATCAGGGAAATCATCAAACTGCAGATTGAGGGCATATTGCATTTCTGTCCGAAAGCTATGATAGTCTTTGGGCTCCCCCCCAAATTTTTGCACCAATCCTGGTACCTTTCTGGCGAGCTGGGTGGCTTTCTCCCTTTGTCTGCATCTTGAGCCCTCCTCTCCTCCAGCCTCGCCGTCTGCAGCGCCAGCTGGACCTCCAACACTCGGTACCTTTCTTCCAGGCTTGGACCCGCTCCAGCCCCTGCTTCTCCGGTTCCTGCTGGGTTGCTCATTATGCCTTCTCCTGCACAAGCTGCGTTCAAAGACTGTCGGAATGCTGTGATGGGATTATGAGCTGCTTGTGCGTAAAATCGTATTCCCTCAGAGTTTGTTCAAGTCCACAAACCTCTGTCTGTGACTGAGCCCCTCTGACATGGCTCCTCTTAGTCACTAGAAGATTCCGACAGTGGTTGCTTTCGTAATCGCTTCCAACATAAAAGCTCCTTAACGGAAACACGTCTTCTGGACTCTCTGCGTGACAGTTTCCGGCGAGGAGTGGGTGTCGCTACAGGAGGTCCGGAAACCTCACCACTGTTTTCGCTGGAAGTATCTCTGAGCCATCCCCCCAGCTCCCTTTCCCTCAGTTCAGCTTCTCTCCCCCTGCTGGTTTCCTCTTCAGCTGCTAAGTCTCTTCCAACCTGTCTGAGCCCTTTCACCTCCCTCAGTTCAGCTTCTCTCCCCCTGCTGGTTTCCTCTTCAGCTGCTAAGTCTCTTCCAACCTGTCTGAGTCCTTTCACCTCCCTTCCTACCGATGGCAGTTCCCTGACAATTTAAATAGTTTCTGGTTTAACAATCAGTCCTCCTTCCTAGGGAACTGTGAGGATTTCTCCTCCAGTATCTGTTTTGAACCCATTTCAAGGGCTGTATTATGGGAAGGGATATAAATAGGCAGGACTAAGTGGCTCGTGATCTGATCCAGCAAGGTACTTATTTGCCTTAACTAGCTGAATGAATGAATTATGGTAATAAACCAATAAAATTTAGGGTAGGCAGAATAAGGCTGCAATCCTATGTACACTTCCTGGGAGTAAGCCCCATGAACACAGTGGGTGATAAAAGTAGATCCACTGAAATTAATGGACATCTGTAAATAACTTTCAAAGTGAGCTCCCTTCTAAAGAGGGGATTGGTCCACAGCCTCGACCATTGGGTTGAGTTTATTTCATACTCTTATGTCATGTTCCCATTGGCCTTTGATTTTGGTGAGGGGCCTGTAGTGTTTTGGAGTAGTATTTTATATGTTGCCGATACCGTCCCTTTGCTGTGTCCCTCTGTTGACAATCGCCTAGTGGTTGCTGACTTGATTTCTGGGTTGTTTAAGAATGCATGTAGTTGATGATAGGTCAGTCAGGATATTTGGTTGTCCATTAGTTTGTTCTGTATTTCTTGTGACGGTTGCCTTGTGGGGTTGCCTAGTCTTTTAGGCGGTATAGCCTTTTAGGCTTGCCATACCTTTACTTGAAAGCTTTGTGATGCATGGTGGAACTGTGGGTGGTAGGCTAGGGGGATTAACAGGGATAGGGCAGGGAACAATGCTGAAGACTTGGAGTAGATTTTTTAAGGGTTTATAGGAAGTTGGGGCCAAATTTCAAATCTCTCGTTTCCTCTTATTCAGTCTTCATTTCTGGTGCTTTTTGGCATGGCACCTTTGGGCCCAGGTTACATTGGGCAGTGTGGAAGAGTCTCTTCATAATTTGTGTTGAAGAAATATAGCTCTAACTTTTCAGTAATACAAGGGAAGAAAAATATCAAGTTTTAGTGGGTCTACTGGGTAGAGTTATTAATAAAGGAAGAATCAAACTCTCTAGGCAACCTGAACAAATTACAGTATAAAAGACCAACAGATTCTCTCCAGTTCTTTAATGACAAAATCCAACATTAAATAGAGTCTTATTAAACTGGCCTGCTGCCTTACTAAAGAAGTTGAAATTCAAGAGGCCCCCATCCATGTTAGCATTCCACCATGTCCTGAAGGCAAGTGTTCTGCTGAACAGAACTTGTGATTTTATTTCTCAAACTGGTTTTTGTTACTGTTTTAGTTGTTAAGCTTTTTATTGTTTGTATGGTTGTACATCTTAATTAAGGATGTTTTAATGACCCAATGGATTTATTGTTGTGTAAGATTTTTTTTTATGGCCTCAGAGCTTTGTCTAAATGGATACAACAGTCTTCTTGATATTAACAAGGTCTGTTTCCATTTTCTCAGTTCAAGGGAGTTTGGAGCTTTTTTAGGAGTGAAGCAGCTCAGACCAAGCTTTTATGGGAGCTGAAGGCTCAACCCATTCCTGGCTGTCAGGCAGGCTCTGATCCAGGCATGTGCTTACATGCATTTCCCCCTACTTTCGAGTGCCCACTCATGGAACTAGCTATCACTTAAGTTCCTGCCTGCCTCACTTCCTCTGTTACTGTGGCCAAGTGGTCAAGGCAGGGTGTGGGTTCTGAGAGCTATGTGAGAATCCAGGCAACTAGCGTGGGAGCCTCCAGTCCTGGGGCATAGATATAAAGATCTATTGGCTCTTCAGTACTACTGATCGTATGGAGATCCTTTGAAGTGGGGTCTGTGTGTCTCTGACCCCTGCTCTTCCTCTGAGGAGGTCATAAGTTCCAGATCTGGGAAGGGCTGAGTTCTGAGTCTCATCAACACATGGCAGCTCCATGCTCACCATCCTGAGTTCCACAATTGAAGACACCAGTGTGATATAGAGCTTAGAGTGCTGGACTAGGGTTTTGGAGACCAGGGTGCAAGTACCTTGGGCAAAAAAAATGAGAGGCACAAATACAAGATGGGTGACACCTGGCTTGAGAGCAGTACATGTGAAAAGGATCTAGGAGTCTTGGTTGACCACAAACTTGACATGAGCCAACAGTGTGACGCGGCAGCTAAAAAAGCCAATGCAATTCTGGGCTGCATCAATAGGAGTATAGCATCTAGATCAAGGGAAGTAATAGTGCCACTGTATTCTGCTCTGGTCAGACCTCACCTGGAGTACTGTGTCCAGTTCTGGGCACCACAGTTCAAGAAGGACACTGACAAACTGGAACATGTCCAGAGGAGGGCAACCAAAATGGTCAAAGGCCTGGAAACGATGCCTTATGAGGAACGGCTAAGGGAGCTGGGCATGTTTAGCCTGGAGAAGAGGAGGTTAAGGGGTGATATGATAGCCATGTTCAAATATATAAAAGGATGTCACATAGAGGAGGGAGAAAGGTTGTTTTCTGCTGCTCCAGAGAAGCAGACACGGAGCAATGGATCCAAACTACAAGAAAGAAGATTCCACCTAAACATTAGGAAGAACTTCCTGACAGTAAGAGCTGTTCGACAGTGGAATTTGCTGCCAAGGAGTGTGGTGGAGTCTCCTTCTTTAGAGGTCTTTAAGCAGAGGCTTGACAACCATATGTCAGGAGTGCTCTGATGGTGTTTCCTGCTTGGCAGGGGGTTGGACTCGATGGCCCTTGTGGTCTATTCCAACTCTATGATTCTATGATTCTACCTGCTCAGCCATAAAACTCCCTGCGTGACCTTGGGTCAGTCACTCACTCTCAGTCTAACTTACCTCGCAGGGTTGTTGTGAGGATAAAATGGAGAGGTGGTAGAAGTGTGTACACCACCTTAAGCTCCTTGGAGAAAAGGTGGAATATAAATATAATAATAAAACAAATAAATATAAATGCAGGCAATCAACCCACCACTTAGCAAAATTCATGTCTTTTTAATGAACAGATTCATGATTGCCTCTTCAGAAATTCTCTGTTCAGATAGCAGTTTAAAAGGGGGCATTAGAAAAGAAAAATAGAAAGAAAATTACCTTTTTTTCAAATTTTTTAAATTTGAGTTGTCATAAACAAAAAAGCAAGCATTATCCAAATTTCACACAACTGCGTCGAATGGGATTCATTTTTGTCATTTCTGTTTCCCTCCCCTGCAGGGAAGGATATCAGAACCCCACGTTGTCCAGCGAAAACCTGATAGGTCTCAGCCGGGCCCGTCGGCCCCACAATGCCATCTTTATCAACTTTGAGGATGAGGAGATCCCCATGAAGCCTTTGGACGCTGCAGAGCAGACCTGGAGGAGAGTTTGCAGCAATGCAGTGGATCACAAAGCAGAAGAGGAACTGAGGAAGGTAGACACACCTTTTGGGGTCTGTTCACACACTGAAAGACATGTTTGGAAACTTGGGACATCGGAACCAGGGTTGCCTGGAACTCCCTGTTGAGAGTACCTTACTTGGTTGAGAGGCAAATCTTTTACCCCCATTTTCAATAATTTTATTTGTATAGCATGTACAGAACATTTATAAAAAGGGCATCAGGACAGAAAAGTATATTCTGTAGAAAAGCCATAAGAATCCCTAACAACACCAAATCACTAAAAAACGAGACTACGGCATGAAAAGAAAGAGTTTGAAGGGCCCCAAGGAGGCGACAAAGGGCCAGATCAGTCCAGCAATTCTTTCAAATAAAGTCATACTTGGCTGGAACGAGGCAATCCATTGTATGAGTCAAGAAAGGCCCCCATATTGGGACATGGCTCTTCCCGAATGCTTGGCATATTGGCATCGAGTGCAGAAGAATTGCCAAAGCAGACAAATATGAAAGTGTTTGCTGTCCTTTCTTGACCTATGTTAATAAGGACTGGGCCTTGCTACAAGCTCTGCAGGCTCAGATTGCTTTGTAGGAAGCGTATTCACAATTTTCACACGCATGATGTCTTTATGGTGAGACAAGGCAACGCTGAAAATGTTAGTAACAATTTACTTTACTGTATGTGGAAAACACTCTATTTTTGTATAGAATGCCTGTGGAACCTGATTTGTTATTAATGGTTTTTTTGTTATTATTATTTAATGCACTGTTATTATCCAAATGGAACACTCACACACACCTCCCGATCTGGTGCAGCCAGAAATCTTGGCAGCTTTAAGTTCATGAATTAACTTTTCCAAGGAAACAGTGAACAGAGTCTTTTGATACTTTACATCCTTCCAGCTTTGGGTTATAGTTAGACCCTTTCTTGTATGTGTTTCTGTTTTGTAGCTGTTTGAGGTCCGCCCAGTCTGGTCTCGTAATGCTGTGAAAGCCAATATAAGCATCCACCCTGACAAGCTCAAGTTCCTTCTGCCTTACTTAGCTTACTACATGGTGAGTGCATTATGTTTCGTGTGTGTGTGTGTGTTGCTTTCTTAAAAAGAGTTCCCAACAGCTCATATAGTGACAATAGATTGAAATGTTCACTATTTAGTAAATGCAGTAGTGATCAAATGTAGTTGCCAGAAAGCATGCAGCTGGGAAGAATTTTTTTTGGCGGGGTGGGGGCACTCAGTAATATATTCCAGAATGTAAAAAAATTGTTGGCCTTCTTAGGCAACTTATATCAGAGGCAGGGAACCTTTTTCAGCCCAGGGGTCGCTTTAGCTCACAGGCAGCTCTTTAGGAGCCACGTTCCAGTGCTGGGCAGGGCAGGGCCTGAGGCAAAGAGGTGTGGCCAGTGGCAAAAGTCAGTGGGAGTTGCTGGGAACTGTAGGACAGGAGAATACTCTTGTGCTCTGGTCCTGCTTGTGGTTTTCAGACAGGCATCTCGTCGGCCATTGCGAGAACAGAATGTTGGACTAGATGGGCCATTTGCCTGATCCAACAGGGCACCTCTTATGTTCTCATGTTCAGTGGGTGTTACTCTTGCCCTTGTACAATAGGCTGCATTCCAACCATGCAAAAGCCCCTGGTTTCTACACATACAGACATACCTTTCTCCTTCCAGATATATAAGAACCATTGCCACAGTTCAGGGATACAGTCCAATCTAGCAAAAGCACTTGAGGGATGTGTGGCATGAGGGGAGGCATGACCTGGGAAGCGTCCTGTGGGCTGGGTAGAGAGGACTGAAGGTGTGCATTCGGGGCTTAAGCTTGAGGTTCCCCACCTGTGATTCATCCAAGTTTCCAAAGCACATGTTAAATTGTCTCCATCTTGGCAGTGCTCCATTCCTGAAAGCTACAATTTTTTTATTGGGGTATTGTCATTTCCCCCCTATTTTGTGATTGACAAGAAAGCAATCATTCAAAGCAGAAGAGAAGAGAGGAGAGAAGGGAGAAGAGTTGGTGGAAGAAGATTGGAAAAAGTTTAAAGACTATTTACAGAAATATTGTAAAATTAATGAATGTTAGAATGATGTTGGATAGAAACTAAATGGTTTCTAGCTGTAATGTTATAAGGGAATATGAAAAAATGGACTATTAATAGGTAAAAATCTAATGTTACAATACTCTAAGATTGAAGACTAGGATAAACAAAGAGGGGAGGGATTTGCTGAACTAACAAACTGAATTGGAATACAGAAAAGGGAGGCGTGAGGAGGTCCGGGAAATAAGCAAATGAAAGATAAGTGATTGAAAGACTGAATTGTTTTTAACTATTTTTATTTTGTATTTTTCTTTTTTCTTTTTTTATTTTGTAATATTTTGAAAATCTTAATAAATATCTTAAAAAAAACAACAACAAAGCATTTATATCCTTCTCTTTACTTAATGGTCTCAGAGCAGATAACAAGTAAACAGAGCACAAACAGTGTAATACAAACAGCATGCGGTTTAAAAGAAATAGGAATCAAAAGTTTTTTAAAAAATTGTATTATTTATTTATTCAGTTTCTATCCTGCCCACCCTCCCAAAGGAGCCCAGGACAGTAGTTTCTTTATTCAGCACTCATAAAATTGCCCACAGACCCCCTCTACTGTGGTGCAAGAGTTAGTGTTCTGGGAAGTTTTGAAATAACTTTGAAATAAAGTTTTGAAATGGGACATTTTTCTCCACTCTCTAGAAGTAAAATCTAGATGGCGGCAATGACAGGGGCCAGCCATAAATGGCTTTTCTGTGCACAATTTCCTTTCCTTCCCATTTTCCTAAACCTAAAAATCTAAAGTTTTGCTGCCACCAACACTTTTAAAGGTCTTGACAGCAGCAAAATCGTGGTACATTTTTTTGCAGCTGTTGTTAAAATGATTGTGGTGTTGTGATGTTTTTTAATCTGAGAGTGCTTTTTAATAAAAAGGTTATTTCAGTCCTATGTTTGGATGTAAGATTAAAAAAAAAAGCATCAAAACCAGAGCCTCACATTCTTGTAATTCTGTGTGCCCCTGTAGCTAACCGGACCCTGGAGGAGCCTGTGGGTCCGCTTTGGTTATGATCCCAGGGAACACCCAGAAGCAAAGTTCTACCAGGTCCTGGATTTCAGAATTCGCTGTGGAATGAAATACGGTAAAAATGGAAGCAGGCCATCAGAGTACTGTTGTACTCTTTACTATCAGTGCCTTTTGGGTGGGCGGCAGAGGAAAGGTCTAGGCTACAAAAGGACCAAGCAGCCAAATATATATATCTATTTAAAATTCCTGGTATAATTTGTTTCTCTTTGAGAGGTGCTCTTCTCCATCATCTCTTCTGCCTCCACAGACGTGTTTTATTTTCCCCCAGGGTACGCCCCTAATGACATGCCGGTGAAAGCTAAACGCAGCACCTACAACTACAGCCTGCCCATCACCGTGAAAAAACCAGGTATGTGGTACAGGCAAGAGGGTGGGTAGATATTTCTTTATCTTGTTTAGTGAATTAAACAATTGTGATTTCTTCCATCAATTCGCAGGGGTGTCCTTTGTGGCTCTCTCTGATCCTGGTACAATTCAATGAGATGAACCTCCCTTTTGGGGCTCCTGAGCAGATGCCTGCTGAAAACAGGGCTTGCTGTCATCACTGATTGCAAGTCCTGCTTTCAGCAGGGATCTTTTCAGATGCGGCTTGAAATTAAAGCCGGGATTGCAAAGGAAGGAAGGAATTTCACTCTCAGTTCTTCCTTTGAAGTTGAATCACCTGACATCATATGACACCAGGTGATTGACAGGTAGGTGGCTTCATCTGCCTGTCAAAAGTGGCCTCTGGTGAGTGGGCCAGTTCATCAGCCTTTGTGAGATACTTGCCTCTCAAATGCTGATGTCTGTGCTGTGTGGTAGACCACATGCTCTGCACACAGGAGACCCCACTATCAATCCCCACTCTGTCCAGGTTGGGCTGGAAAACTGCCCTGTCTGAAATCCCAGGGAGCTGCTGCCAGTCTGCAGACAGTACTGAGGCAGATGGATCTGTGGTCTGTCTTGATAGAAGGCAGCTTCATATATTCCTTTGCCAGTTGCACACAGAACCAGTAGTTACCAGGTACTGCAGGGCATTTATTATTTATTATTATAAAACAGGATCAACAGGTTGTCATGTTGTAGTTTGTTCTTCCATCCTTGGTGTCAGTCAAGAAAAAGTGGATAGAGAGAAGTTAAATTTCCCCCTTTCATAATACTAAAACTTGGGTACCATCCAACGAAGCTGAATCTTGACAGGTTCTGGGCAGACAAAAGAAAGTAATTTTTCACACAGTACATAGTTTGAGTGTGTAATTCTCTCCAGCAAGATGTAGTGGTGGCCAACAACTTGGATGACTTTAAAAGAAAATTTGACAAGTTCATGGAGGAATAAAGCTAATCAATGGCTGCTAGTCATTATGGCTATGTTCTTTCTCCACTGTCAGAGGCAATATGCCTCTGAATGCCAGTTGCTAGGAATCACAGGTAGAGAAAGTTGCTGTTGCAATCATGTCCTGCTTTGGGGCTTCCTAGAAGAGGCTTTTGGTCAGCCACTGTGAGAACAGGATGCTGGACTAGATGGGCCTTTGCCGTGATCCAGCAGCCAGGCTCTTAAGTTGCTGTGCAACATGTGATTTGGGGACTCTCTTCCTGCCCTTTGCAGCGAGCCATGTAGTTGGCATCCAGGACCTTAAGCAAGGACTGAGCACCTCTGGGATGTCCAGTCCACGGAAATCTGCTTTCAGCAAGTATAAACTTAAAGTAGGTATTTGACTTCCTCCTTGTTTTTCCTCCTGACTTCACCCTTTTCTCCTCTTGTGGCGTACTAGGAAGATCTGTCTCCAGACACATTGTCTCCTCTGGGGAAATACAGATTTGGTCACGTGAAAGAAATGGGTAGCAGCTTAAAGGCAAAATGCCCAATAGTATAAATTCATCCTCCTGTCACTGTGGAGGTGGGAATCCTTGGGGTTGATGCAAGGGAGACCCAGTTACCCTGTTCAAGTCCAGAGGGCTGCTCTGGGAAATGGAAATGTGGCGGTTTGGGGAGGAAGAGATTGAATATAACAACCATGATGACTCTTTGTGGGTTCTGTATTGGAGAAGAGGAGGAAGTTGGGGTGACAATCTGACTTTGGAGGAGCTAAGGGTTTTCTCCAACAGTCAAGTCAGCAACAGAGGGTCCCGTTGTGGAAACATTTTTACTTTCAGTTCCATTGTCTTTTGGTGTCTTCAATCCCTCTGCTTCTTCCTCTCTCAGGATTCAATTTACATCTTCCGAGAAGGTTCCCTGCCTCCTTATCGACAGATGTTCTACCAGCTTTGTGACCTGAATGTGGAATGGTACTTGTGCTTGATCAAAAGGGGCTCTAAAGTAACTTGGGGGGGGGCAATTTATGTCTGTGTTCATGCATGTCTTTTGTATGTCTGTCTGAACCTCAAAGGTATGCTCCCCGCTGTGGTGGCCCTGCAAGCAAAACCTGATCTGAATTTTTCCATGGGTACCTTGCAGTAATGGAAAATTCAGCTTCCTGTAGGGAGAGGAGAAGGCTTGCACTCCTTAAACATTGAACCTTCAGGAGAGAGTACCTTTGTTTCCCCTTCTTAGGCAGTTCCCAGCATTCCTTTGAAACAGGAACCCACAATTACCAGGGACCAGGGTTTTAAAAATCTACATTTGATGGGCTTGTTGGTTCTTCCACTGATGATTTGCCACATCCAGACTCTGAGTCTTTTTGTCCTCAGTTTATTTTTTGAGACCAGGGTCAACCTTCACAAGGGAATCAGACCTAATTTGTTCAGTCCTTTTGGGGGAAGAGAGAATCTGAGACTAGTCTCTGTTCAGCTTGCAGAAGATCATTCGCCGGAATGATGGCATGGAGATGGTGTGTACAGAGAGGGACGGCTGGTGTCTTCCCAAGACCAGTGATGACTTGCGGGATACCATGTCTCTGATGATAAAGCAGATCATCCGCTCCAAAAGGCCTGGTAATATACTATTAATCAAGGGAGGTCAGAACCTGGCAATGAATCCAGGTTTTTACAAATGTTAACCTGACCTGGGACAGCTTGTGTGGCTCTTCTAAGAAAGCTCCTGCCGCTTGCAGCTTGAATTACTTGTATTGGATTTTTTATTTTTTTAAAGTATGATTAGGGATGTCTTTTCAATATATTGAAAACATATAGTCCTCCACCCAAGTTCATTTTATTAATGTAGCTTAGGCTTATAAAAATCAATCCATTTTATTGACTGAAATTCATTGCTAGGTGACCTTGGGCTGGTTACCAAAGCTCATGTCTCCACTGTCAGCATGATGCCTCTGAGTGCCAGTTGCTGTGAATCACAGGTGCAGAGAGTGCTGTTGTGCCTAGATGCTGCTTGTGGGCTTCCTAAAAGAGGCACTTGGTTGGCCATTGTGAGAAAGAGAGTCCTGGACTAGATCAGCCTTTAGTTCTCTCAGCTTAATCCCTGTCACACATTGGTTGTCTTAGGATAATAGACACCTTGCGCTCCTTGGAGGAGAAGCAGGATATAAATTTGAATAATAACAATACATAATCAATTAAGATTTACTAAATCAACTAACAACCCTAGATACGCATATTTGTTGGAGGGAGAAATAACTGCTTTTGGAATTACAATGGAAATCAGTTTCTTCCTGCCACTGCTGGCTGTCTGTTTCCTTCAGATGGGACCCCTGAGGGAGTAATTCTGACTGACCTTTGGCTACCCCGCCCCTTTTGCCCCAGTGGAATTCCTCAGCCATCCCTCCACTCATCCATCCCTGACATTATCTTCATCCCTTTCCCCATCTTTTGCTCCAGCTCTGTTCACAAGCACTTCGAACACAGAAGAGGGCAAAGAGCAGCTGGCGTTCGAGTCCGGAGAGGAAGAGGAGGAGGAGGAGGAAGAGGAGGAGTTCAAAGAACCATCTGATGGGAGTGAGAATGAGATGGAGACAGAGATTCTGGACTATGTGTGATGCACCAGAACTGGCACTGTGGACCTATTCCTGGCGAGGACCTTTGCTTCTCATGTCCCTACAGGCAAGACAGGAAGCCAGGCCTAATGAGACAAGAACCCATCCATGTCTCTTCTACTCATCTTTGGGTTCTGTTCTTTACAGACCCCTATGTGTGCCTTTTTGATACTGATTTGGGGGTGAAGATTGTGATGAGTAAGGCTGCTTATCCTTGAGCTCTGCAGACATGGCAAATGTGCAAGTAATGGGGCTGGAGATACCTTATCCTGAGAGGTTTTGCTAAGTATTCCTCTAATGAAGGCTTAGCTAATTGGTTAACACACAAGCCTGGTAGACCTTCATCTTGGCATTGGTTAGCATCTCATTCTCCCATATCCTTTAGGAGAGGCAAGCCATTGCCGTAGCCACCTTACTAATACACCTGTCCAGCTCTACCACCACAGACGTGTGGTCACCAGGGCTGGTGCACGGAGTGCTGGTGATGTCCTGACCTAAGATTTTAGTCTTTTGTCAGGCTGATGATGAAGCCAAACTCCATACAGTCTTGGGCAAAATGTTTGATGAGTTTCTGTGGAGTTTCTTTGGAGTGTGCTGTCAAGGCTGTGTCATCTATGAACAATATATATTGGATAAGAACTTGCCACACTTCTGCCTTGGCCTGGAGTTGTGCCAGGTTGAACGGACTCCCACCACTCCTTGAATGGATGCACAGCACACACTGTCTTCGGTCAAACTGAAGGCATATGAGAACAACAGGTTGAAGGCTATGCCAAAGAGACTCCTTAGTGTAGTGATAAAGCTGGATATCAAATCCAAACTCCTCTTCTTCTCTTGTGGACTTTAGGTGGGCATCTTACCTTTTCAGTTGATGAGGTCAAAGGCCTGAAGTCCAAATACCTGACCAGGAGCCCTTGTGACTGTGCATAGATTAAGTTTGAGTAATAGTAGTTTTTCCTCTTATGTTGCCATTGAAAGAGTATAAAGCATTCGTATACTGATGAACGTGTGAGTGGGGTTCAAAGTGAAGATAATGATTTATGTTTGAATTAAATTTAGATCAACCAAATTGAGTCAAATGCTGATCAGAGGAATTGTTCATTTTCTGGAATACTGGCATATGCTATGAAATTAAACCACATTGGGGTAAAGCCATCTTTTTTTATCTGTCCATCTGTTAACTGTAGTTTATTTGTAACTCTCTCAAGGAGGATTGTTTCCCAACCGTGTTTTGTACCAATGGTCTGTCATCGTGCCAGAAAGCTCTTTCCAGTGTCTGGTTATGTTGCATCTCACTGCTTGTAATAAATGGCTTGTTAATTCTATATTATGTAAATTCAGATGATCATGTAATATATTTAATAAAACTAATTCTCATTTGACTTCCAATTGTTAATTAATTCTAGAAGGGCTGGATTTTTGTACATTTCCACCACATGTGGACTATGGACAATGTACCAAGTGTGGGGCAGCTCCTCTAGCGAAGGGGTGAGGTGCCAGGATGGATCATTGCCAGCTTCCTGGGTGTTAGGTACCACCTATATATGAGTTTTAGGGTAATTCTCTGCTGCTTGCCAAAATAGACTTAAAGGGTTTTTTTGTCCAATGTCTATTCCATTGACCTGGGTCAAATTCATAGCTGAAATCACATTCCCTTTGATGTTTAATAGGGTCAAGTGAACCCACCGATGCTCTGAGTAGAATGCTATAGATTATGGATGTTATACCTGGGCCTTGTCCTTCTGTGGCTATTACAAGTCTTTCAAATGGGGCCATTGGCCTTGCGGCTGCCTTAGTGGTGAGTGGTAAGTTTGCTTACTGGGTTAGCAAAAAAAGTGCAGATTTGGAGAAGTAGCAGCCAAGGGGTTTGTAAGTGTCCTTATTTAGTCCATATTTCTTGGTCTGACAGTGGTGTATTTCTGTTATAAAAGTCACATGACTGGTATAGACCTTCTGTTCTCCATCTGGCCACATAAAATTGTCAAGAATTGTTGTGAAATTGTGGGTGGGAGGCGAGGGCTGCCAGAGGGGACAGTGCAGGAGTTAGGAGTCCTGCCTTCTCTTTCCATGCATTAAGAATGGTTTGTGTGGATCACATTTGGAATGTTCTGAACGTTTGTTTTAAAGGGTATGCTGAGGTTGGAATTCCCTCAGTTCTGTTTTCAGTTGAATCTTTCTGAGAAACATAAAGGTGGGGATTGATCCTAGTTTTTCATCTGTGCTCACCTCCTCATTTATAACTCACAGCAAGGTTTGGATGTGAGAGAAGTACCAGCCGTTGAATGGATGGGGACAGAACTCAGCCTGTGTCAAGGTAAGTCTCAAGGTTACCCTCCAGTCACCCCACATTTACCTTGGAAGTTTACACCATCTATTTGGCAGCCCCGTGGAACCTTCCATGACGATAGTGCCACTCCCTTGTCCCACGCAGAGATAAGTTGAGTTAGATTAGGGGTATAAAGGGACCTACCTGTACTGAAGAAGTCTCATTTGGAGTACACCATGGGTCGCTGGGAAGTAATGTGCCTTGCCCTCTGCCTGGGCGCAGTGGGGGCAGCAAAGGTAAGCATGGGCATCAAAATATTTGCTTAAGAGACCACCACCAAGCTGCTGCTAATCAGGAATCAGGATCCAAAGAACCATTCTCTTAAATCCATGGGATCAGAGGGGCTTAATTTTTTTGTGTGTGTTCTTATAGAGTTATACAAGTGGGTCCTACAACAAAACGTTGCAGCATGGAGCATTCTCTGTCTGAGACTCCCAACGATTCCATTCCATTCTCCCCCACTTAGATGGTTTTCTGTTTCTCCCTACTATGCTTAGTCCTCATTTGGCTGTCTTAGAGGGTTTCCACTGCCTAAGTGTCCATTTCCTTCTGCTGGCCCCAACTAAAAATTGTGTTTGTGTGGTTTGGCTATATAAGTAATGGCACATGAAACTCAAATACATTTCTTCCCTTTTTGTTGGTTTAGCTGGGCATCGTGAACACGGAAGGAGGTTTTGTGGAAGGCGTCAATAAAAAGTTGGGCCTTTTCGGGGATTATGTGGACATCTTCAAAGGAATCCCTTTTGCTGCACCTACCAAGACTCTTGAAGACCCCCAGCCTCACCCAGGCTGGCCAGGTAAAGAGGGAGCCGGGGGGGGGGCGATGTCTGCACTTTCTTTTTAAACTTTTTTTTAATGTATTTTATTTTTTACAATGTCCGCACTTTTAACTACCAACAATGCCCCTATGAACATTCCAAATGCTGAAAATGGTTTCTGCATTGTTATATTAGGAATCCTCACAAGAACCATGTGAGGTGCCCCCGTGTTGTTACTTCCATAATTACAGTGGGGTGGGGCTCAGATTGAGAAAACAGCAACTGGAGCTGCCATGCAGAAGTTCACCTGTTCAATCTCCTGTGACATATACAGGTACGGCTGGGAGAGACTCCTTGCCTGAAACCCTGGAGGGTTGCTGCCAGTTGGTGTAGACAGCACCGAGCAAAATGAACCAATGACTTGAAGCAATGCAAGGGAGAGTCCAATGTTCCTAAACTCCTTTTTACCCTGAGCTTAACCATATGGCCTAGCTGGAGTGACTCCCCTATGAGGAAAGGGTTAGATCTTGATAAAAGGCACAATGCAGGAGGACATGGGTCACCGATTTGACCTCTATAAAATAATTCAAAACACACTTATATGTGTGCGCTTCACTCTTGCCACATTCAGGGCCTGAGTTAATTTTTTCAGAGAGACCTGTCCCGTTGTCTTCCAAGCTTAAGTTGTCACTACCCAAAGTTGCTACTAAAAAGTTGCTAAAAAACTCCATACAATTTTGAGATCTCGTTTGGTCCTGGAAACAGATTCGGCTCAGTTAATTGAGGTGATATAACAATCTCCGGCTTAATAATGACTTTTAGACCAGAGGATAAACAATATAATTGCAACTTGTGCTGGTTTCAAGGGTTCTGTCCATGCACAAAAACCACATGTACCCAAACCTTTGGAGCCAAAGAGAACTTTCTGGCCTCCTGGAGCAGGTGCACTGAGCAGGCATCTCTCACAAGCAAGGCAGAGAGCTTAAAGCCTCTTTTTCATGCTGAGTCTGCTTGGGTTATCCAGCTTAAAAAGAGCTTTCTAAGCTCTGCTTTGCTTGTGGGGAGGTGGGCAAGGCCCATTAGTTGCACCAACTCTGGAACTCTTGCATGAGATTTTGCGGGAACTTGGGTGGCCCTACAAGATCTCATGGAAGCCTCCCAGAGCTAGGAACTGGGCAGGCCTTGCCCCCACAAGCAAAGAGGAGAACTTGAAAATCCATTCATGCGAGTTAAATGTGTGTATGATACTGTCATACTGAACTCGCCTAGAAAAGCTTCACTTCTTTGGCATTTCTGCCATGCATGTTGTTAAGTTCTTATTACTTAAGAGCAACCACATTAACAGGCTGCTCAAAGTGATAATTGCCAGGGTGTCAAACACTACATGCCTTTTGTATTTACCTCTCTGTGTTAATCCCCCACTTTTGTTTTGATATTTCTTTTGCTGTATTGTGATTTTGTGTTTTTGTGTGTGTGTGTAGCTCAACCAGAACTATTTGAAAATATAAAACAAAACAAGCTTCCCTCTGGATGCCAGGCTGACAGTCCTGTACGTGTGTTCATCAATTTCTCTCTCAGGCACCCTGCAGGCCAAGGAGTATAAGAATCGTTGCATGCAGTCCACACTCACCCAGACAGATGTGCGTGGCACCCAAGATTGTCTTTATCTCAACATCTGGGTCCCCCAAGGGAAAAAAGAAGGTCAGTGTCCTTCAAAAAGGATATTGTCGAGTTGGAAAAGGTTCAGAAAAGAGCAGCCAGAATGATCAAACGACTCCCCTATGAGGAAAAGGTTGTAGCATTTGGGGCTTTTAAGTTTAGGAAAGGTGAGTGAGAAGTGACACGATAGATGTTTATAAAATTATACCTGGCATGGAGAAAGTGGACACCCCACCCCCCCAATCTTCTCTTGTAACACTAGAATTCATGGGCATCCAATGAAGCTGAATGCTGGAAAATTCAGGGCAGAGAAAAGTCCTTCTTCACACAGCACATCGTTAAACTATGGAACTCACTCCCACAAGAGGTAGTGATGATGGCCACCAACCTAGATGGCTTTCGACAAATGCAAAGACAAACGCAAAGAGGAGAAGGCTGTTCATGGCTACTAGCCGTGGTGGCTACGCTCTCTTTCCATGGTTGGAGGCAGCAATGATTCTGAATACCAGTTGCTGGAAACCACGGGAGAGGAGGGGGCTCTTGGGCTCAGGTCCTGCTTGCTGGTTTCCCATTTGCTTGCTGGCCACGGTGAGAACAGGATGCTGGACTAGGTGGGCCACTGGTCTGATCCAGCAGGGCTCTTCCGATGTCCTTTGGCTGATAGCTGAGGCAGAGCATGGGGTCTTGCGCAGATGTTTCCCTCACTCTGCAGTGGCATGTGTTAATTTGTGGGACGGAGAGCTATCGTTTTTGACTTTCATTGCACTAGGTGACAACAACAGCTTGCATGAGAGCTGGTGTGGGTGGGTGTCATGTGATTTCTTGCCATGCCAAAATCAATATGCAACTGCTAGTTGCAAATGGGATCCGTTCCGGAGGCCCGTTCACAACATGAAAAGAGTGCAACCCGCAGTGGCGCGTCTGCACATGTGCGTGACGCTATTTTGCGCTTCTGCGCATGCAAGAGTGGCGAAACCCGGAAATAACCCTTTCCAGTACTTCTGGGTCGCCGCTGGACGTAACCTGAAAGAACATAACATGAAGCAGACCTAACATGAGGTAACATGAGGTATGACTGTATCATTCCCCACTCTCCACTTATCCAGAGGAGGAGTTGCATCTTTGGGAATCCTCATAGAGGCATTGTATCCTTTAAACTGGGGTGGGAGGGGGACCTCAGCCTTCCAGCCCCCTCCCTTCCTCTGGCCATGGGGAAACTCTGCAGTTACATCCCTCACCAACCCTGCCTTGCACCCTCTCATAATGCCTCTTGCTTTCCTGGTTAGGGAACAGAGAACAGTGTGTGAGCGTATTCAGAAACTAGTCCTGCCATACGAAAGGTAAAATTTACATTGGTTGCTTTGTCCACTTTTGCCTTTAGCCCCGCCCACCACTGGCATGTGGCTCCCAGGAGGTTACCCAGAAAAGAATGTGGCCCTTGGGCTAAAAAAAACTGCTCCGGCACTCCTGCTTTAAATGTTGTTGCCCCCATCAGTCATCAATGGATATTTAGGCAGAGATCTTTGAGTTCTGGCTTCCTGCTGGCTCACGCCTCTGCTTCTTCATCCCTTCCCCTTTCTGCTTCAGTCTCCACCAACTTGCCGGTGATGGTCTGGATATATGGGGGAGCCTTTCTCTGGGGTGGCGGCCAGGGACCCAACTTCCTGAGCAACTACCTCTACGATGGGGAGGAGATTGCCACCCGCGGAAAGGTCATTGTGGTGACGCTCAACTACCGCCTTGGACCCCTGGGTTTCCTCAGCACAGGAGATGCTAACCTTCCAGGTAAGACCCTTCTTTGGGGGGATATTTCTCCCCCCCCCCAGCTACAGTCATTTTGCATAAGTTAAAGTTTGTTTTGCCATTTCCCTCCAACTTTTGCATTGGGGGCTTGGGAACCTGTGACTCTTCGTATGCTGCTGAACTGCAGCTCCATCATTCCTTTGATCGCTGGCCATGCTGGCTGAGGCTGATGGGAGTTGGAGTCTAGCAACATCTGGAGTGCCATCCCTGATCTAAGAAGAGGGATTCTTTAATAAGGGAATGCCTTTTTCAGAGGCATCATTCCATGTCTCGCATGCGGCAGGAAATGTTCCTCCTTAATTCAGGGAAGGGGGATCTGTAGCCTTCCAGATGTTGCTGGAATACAGCTCCCATCATCCCTGACTGGTGGCCTTGCTGGCTGAGGCTGATGGGAGTTGAAGTCCAAAAACATTTGGAGGGCTGCTGGTTTCCCATCCCTGATCTACACCTACATGTGTATATGTACCTGACAACTGAAAATCTCACACAATACATCTAATCTATAAAATCTTATGGTGTTTTTTTAATGCTAAAGGTTCTTTGAGTTGCTTTTCCTGGTCTGGCCTCACAGTGGTCTGGCTCAGAAAAGCCCAGCTGCGTATTTATTTAACTGAAATATTTATGTCCCACTTTTCTGCTTGACAACAGGCCTGCAGGGGGTGTATGTGTGTATGACTCCAGCTCTTTTCTTTCAGGTAACTATGGCCTCAAAGACCAGCACATGGCCATTGCCTGGGTCAAGAGAAACATAAAGAACTTTGGAGGGGACCCCGACAACATCACAATCTTTGGAGAGTCTGCTGGGGCCGTCAGTGTCTCCTTACAGGTGTGGGGCCCTTTCTTTCTATTTCTTTTTGTTAAGGGTTTAATTTAATTTAAATTAAAATTTTCCTCGGTGTGGGGCTCTTGATTGGTTCAGGAGTTGAGTCACAATGTGTGGTTTTGTTATTGTGGGGAAAGAGCTACTGGAAGAATGAGTGGCAGTCAGGGAGTGGGATGGAATGCTGGGAGGCGCAAGGGACAGGGGGAGGGTCTGCTGGGAAACGGCAGCTTGGGGAAGGGCTGTAATAGCTCAGCGGTATAGAGCATCCCTTTATTCAGAACTTTGAGGACTAGAATCCTATTATATTTTTAGCAGAAAGGGCCAAAGCTCAGTGGTGTGGAGCACATACTTTGCATTCAGAATGCCCCAGGTTCAACAACTTCGCCAAAACCAGCTCAACAACTTTTGTGTCCAGATTTTCATTTTTTGAAATATGGCAACCCTAGATGGCAGCTTCCTATTCTCCTAAATAAAATAAGGACTAGAAACTTGATTCCCCGCCCCAAAGAGAAGCTGAAATTTTCTGAATGCTGACCTCTTACCAAGTACAGTGGTACCTCGGGTTAAGTACTTAATTCATTCTGGAGGTCCGTTCTTAACCTGAAACTGTTCTTAACCTGAAGCACCACTTTAGCTAATGGGGCCTCCTGCTGCCGCCGCCGCGCAGCTGCTGCACGATTTGTGTTCTCATCCTGAAGCAAAACCCGAGGTATCATTTCTGGGTTAGCAGAGTCTATAACCTGAAGCGTCTGTAACCTGAAGCGTATGTAACCTGAGGTACCACTGTACTACCTTCTGAGCTTTATTTTTTTTTTGTCTTGGATATCAAGTCCTCCTTCTGCCGAGCATCACAACAGACCAGTTGTCTGACTCAGGATAAAGCAGCTTCCTATGATCTCCTATGACTGTCTTCTGTCCCTTCTCCTGCTCTGTAGATGCTGTCGCCCTACAACAAAGGATTGATCAAGCGGGCTATCAGCCAGAGTGGAGTCGGCCTCTGCTCTTGGGCCATCCAGAAGAACCCCCTCTACTGGGCTACCAAGGTAATGCAGTGTCAAATTGGAGAGTTTTCTCTCTTTTTTCAAAATGATTTTTTTAAAAAAATAAAATCGGAGTCCACGTAACACGACAATAACAAAACAAGAAATTATCATGCATTGAATTCTGAAAAAATTATAGATAAAATGGAGTGCTTTTTATAATGGTGAGAACTGATAACAAAGCAGAGACAAGTGTACAAAACAACTATGCCAGGGGAACAAAAATCCTTGGGAACCATATCTCCCCATAATGGGCATTGTGAACCTGGAGGGAGATGTTCGCTCTCCTAACATAAGATGAACTCAATGAAAAGGTACCAGGTGACTGAGAAATAATATTTAGATTTAACACATCTGGCCTGCTTGTTGTGCTCTTGTTCTTTTCTCAGACAGTGCCTGATTCCATACTTTACTTCCCCAGGCTTGGATGGTAAAAGGGGACCGATGCCTCCAGTGTTGTGCTATCTTCAGTTGGGCAGGAGTCACTAACAGAACAGTTAAACCTTTGCACAGCACTTTTTACATGTTGTATGGAAGAATTATGGATTTTGAAGGGATAGGCTGTGTTCCTTGGCTTGTGAGGTACAGCGGTACCTCTGGTTGCAAATGGGATCCGTTCCGGAGCCCCGTTCACAACCTGAAGAGAATGAAACCCACGTCTGCATGTCTGCACATGCGCAGGTCACAATTCGCCACTTCTGCGCATTCACGTGGCGTCATTTTGTGTGTCTGCGCATGCCTGAGCAGTGAAACCCGGAAGTAACCCTTTCCAGTACTTCCGGGTCACCATGGGATGCAACCTGAAAACATGCAACCTGAAGCAAACGTAACATGAGGTATGACTGTACATGGTTTTCGGAAAATGCCCATTGTGAAGTGGTCTCGTTTGAACGTGAACTTACCTGAATTTCTCCTCTGACTCTTCTTGCAGGTAGCTCAGAAAGTCGGCTGCCCAACAGACAACACCACAAAGCTAGCAAACTGCCTCAAGGTCACCGACCCCAAGTCCCTGACACTTGCTTACCACCTAGAGGTGCTTAATCTGCGCTGTAAGTTGGACTTCAAGCGGTGAGGTGGGGCTGGGAATGGGTGCCTCTGTAAACTGTGAGGAGCAACAGTCTCTCCAGAGACTTCGGAAAGCTAAACAGAAGTGTCTTTTTAAAATGAATGCTATTTATTTATTTTGTAAAATCTTTATATATCGCAAAACTTTTAAAGCAGTTTATGAAAAGAATAAATATATGAAATTATGTTTAAAAAATAAACCCTCTTGAAAGCAACAGTTAAAAGCCTTCAGCAAATAATTAAAACTAATGATAACCTAAAAACCAGATTAAGAAATATTCCAACATTCTACGTGTCTGTGGATAGGTTTGTCAAAGCAAAAATGTTTTTGGCAGGTGCTGGAAAGGGTACAGCGAAGGCGCCAGCCTGTTTTCAATGGGCAGGGAGTTCCATAGTGTGGTCCCCCCCCCCCCCATGTTTTAACATTGATTTTTGAAAAATATGGAATGAACGTTATGTGGCGCCTGTGACAAGGCCAGTACTGCGCCACACACACAAAAAACGCACAGATAGCACATAGGATTTGAAAAGTGGAGAGGATCTGGGAGTTCACCGAGCATGCTGAACATAGGAATTACTATTAAATAAGAAAAGGAAGAAGGTGAGCGCTATAGGCAGAGTATTAATTCCCATCCCAAAGTGTAAGATTTGCTCTTACAACAAGGTCCCTTGGAGGAATTCACAGTGGCCAACTTAGATGCCATTTCTAGGAAGCCCACAAGCAGGATCTGAGCATAACAGCTCTCTCCCAACTCGTGATTCCCTCAACGGGTATTCTGATAGTTATATACAGTTAACTTGTATATATTTAACTTGTGCACATCTGGCTTCATGTGCTTGGCCTTATTTGTTTATTTTTAATTAACAGGTGGTGGAAAGTGAGGGTGGGGGTCCAGGAGAAATAACCTTGGCAATCCCACCCGCCGTTAAACCCAATGTATTTTGACTATACTCTGTTTTGACTTCAGGCATGATCCCTGGAACCCCAGTCACCTATATATATGTACTATTTACCACCATAGCCATATCACAAGGACTAGAAATTTGCAGTTCAGTAGCTTTGCTGTAATATAGCATATGACATCCCTCCTGCAGGACACAGGACATCCCTTTCCTAAACAGTCCAATTGGTTCTCTCCTCCCCCTGCAGATCCTCTCGTCCATTACCTTGCCTTCTCCCCAGTGGTTGATGGAGATTTCCTCCCAGATAACCCAGAAAATCTCTTTGCCAATGCCGCTGACATTGACTACATCGCAGGGGTGAACAACATGGATGGGCACTTCTTTGCTTCAATTGACATGCCTGCTCTCAACCGCCCGCTAGTGAAGATCACAGCGTAAGGGGTGGGGTGGGGGAGCAAAGCCTGATTATATGTAGGTGGGGGAGAGGACAGCTTTGTCCTGTGGCATAAGACAGAGATGGGGAACACCCTTGCTCCTAATTTCCTAATTTATATCACTGAATTCAAAAAATGGGCGGTCATATCCAGTATGTAGGTAAAACTACTGATACACACATGTTTTAGAAACCACAAATTGGTGATTTTGACCAAAAAGAGTGAATCAACTTATTGCTGAACCCTTTAATGCTGAAAACTGCAACCTATTGGACAGGTTTTATGTTGGAATAGATCCAACATTAGCAAAAAGGGAGAACTTTTGGATGGGCACACAAACCCCTGGACGGTTGTGCCAGCCATTGCTCAGCTTCAGCAGATGAAGCCCCCCTGTGCATTCCACCCTCAAAACTCTAGGACTGCCACCTTGGAAGCTGCTCTCAACAGTTCTGAGAACAGTTGATGAAGGTGGAAGCTCAAACATCTTGCTATAAGAATTTGAAAATTTCTGTTTTGCTAGTCACTGTAATTAATAGATAAAAGGTTTAACTGCATCCTACCAGGATCCAGAACAAACTTGCCTGACGTGTGCTGTTTGATGCTTTTGTTCCTCTCTGCAGGGATGACATGTACCGTGTGGCTCAGGGCCTGACTGTGGAGAAGGGGGTGGAAGGCGCCAATGAAACCTTCTCCCTCTATACCCAGGTGTGGACTGACCACACAAACCAGGAAGTCATGAAAAGATCTGTGATAGACCTGGAGACAGACTACATATTTCTGGTGCCTACCCAGCAGACACTTAGTCTCCATTACCAAAATGCCAAGTGAGTGTTTCTGGAGGGTGGAATGAGTTGGTAGCTAGGGTTTCAGAGAGAGAGAGACTTGCTGGTCAGTCATTATCTCCGCTTACCGTGGTACCTTGCTATACGAACTTAATCCATTCCGGAAGTCCATTCTTAAATCAAAGCGTTCTTAAACCAAGGCATGCTTTCCCATAGCAGCGGGGGACTCAATTTACAAATGGAACACATTCAACAGGAAGCGAAACATGTTCTTATTCCAAGGCAAAGTTCACAAACCAAAACACCTACTTCCAGGTTTGCAGCGTTCTTAATCCAAGTTTTCATAAATTAAGCTGTTCTTAAGCCAAGGTACCACTGTATTTCCATTCTGTGTCCTCCTTTTTAGGGGGGGTTCTACTGCACTTGCAAGGAATTGATCCTTTAGTGTGGCAGCACCTACTCACTGGAACTCCCTGCCTATTGATATTAGGCAGACCCATTCACAGTACGGTTTTCAATGCCTGCTCAAAACTTTTTTGTTTAGGCAGACATGTAATTTTAATACATATATTTTTACCTATATCTGGATTAACATGTTCTTATGTCAGCTTGTTTCTTTAGCTCAGTTGGTTAGAACATGGTTCTGATAACACCAAGCTTGCAGGTTCGATCCCTGTATGGCACAGCTGCATATTCCTGCATTGCAGGGAGTTGGACTAGATGACCCTCAAGGCCCCTTCCAACTCTACAGTGCTATGATCAGTATTTATTTATTATACAGTGGTGCCTTGCAAGACGAAATTAATCCGTTCCGCAAGACTCTTCGTCTTGCGGTTTTTTCGTCTTGCGGAGCACGGCTATTAGCGGCTTAGCGGCTATTAGCGGCTTACCGGCTTAGCGGCTATTAACGGCTTAGCGGCTTTAAGAAAAAGGAAACAAACTCGCAAGAACTCGCAAGACGTTTTGTCTTGCGAAGCAAGCCCATAGGGAAATTCGTCTTGCGGAACGACTCAAAAAACGGAAAACTCTTTCGTCTTGCGCGGTTTTCGTCTTGCGAGGCATTCATCTTGCGGGGCACCACTGTATTTATTTGTTGCTTTTCCTCCCACTAAAGTGCCTCAAACCAACTTACACTGTAGAAACAAAGTTTTGTTTTCTGAAGAATATTTTACATTGCTTTATGTAAACCGCTTTTTCTGGGTGGCATAACAACTTCGGTTTTCTGAAAGGCAGACTTCCTCTTCATTTCCCGGAAAGGGTATTAAGATCAACAAATGAAACCCTCCACCCGCATTGTTCAGCCTGGACACTGAGGTCCAGCTCCAAGAGTCTTCTGGCAGTTCCTTCACTGCGAAAATTGAAGTGACAGGGAACCAGGCGGAGGGCCTTATCAGCAATGGCTCCCATCCCATGGAACACTCTCCTGGCAGATGTCAAAGAGTTAAAACAGCTGTATAACTTTTCATAGACATATGAAGGCAGCCCTGTTTCAGGAAGCTTTTTCCTCCTTTCCCTCTGTGTTTTTGTTGGAAGCCGCCCAGAGTGGCTGGGGCAACTCAGTGAGATGGTTGCAGCATAAGAAATAAAATAATAACATTAGTTTTTCAAGGCCCAATTATTAATAGCTTGTGGTAAGGCAGAGATGACCTTTTCCTCTGGTGGCACTAGTGTTATGGACCGCTGTCCCTGCTGATGTACAAGATGATGTACCATCTGCACCGGTGTTCTGCCATCTTTTAAAGATGTACCTCTTTGCATTCCCCTTAATTTCTTGACCCCAAATCTCCTGTTTTAATTGCTATGCTGTTTAAACATGTTAACCACAAGTGTTGATATTTTAATGTTTTTAATGGGGCTATTTTATTGTGTATTTTAATTTTGACGTCCATTAAGCAACATGAATATTAAGGGTGTCAGTCCTCCTAATGAGTAGACCTGTTTTAATTAATGGACATAAGTTAGTCATGGATATTAATTTCAGTGGGTTAATCCTGAGCAGAATTAACATTGACTACAAAACCGAAGAAGATTGTGTTGGATACTAGTCCTACTTGGAGGAGACCCACTTAAAGTAATGGGCAAGACTTATTATTTATATTATATTTATTTATATCCTGCCTTTTATCCAGACTGGGACTCAAGGCAGCTTACACAAATAAAAACAAGACAGATAAAATATAGAAAGCTAAAATAATATAAAATATGTCCAGTAAGAATGTTGGGAGAGGAGTTTGAGTCCCAGTGAATTTTGCTGTTTCTTTCCTTACTCACCATGCCTTTCTCTCTCTCTCTCTCTCTACCCCCTCATTTTAGGAGTGCCAAGACTTACAGCTACCTGTTCTCCCAGGATTCGCGGATGCCTGTCTATCCCAGCTGGGTTGGTGCAGACCATGCTGATGACCTTCAGTATGTCTTTGGGAAACCTTTTGCCACTCCTTTGGGCTACAGAGCTCAGCACAGAAAGGTTTCTAAGGACATGATAGCTTACTGGACAAACTTTGCCAGAACAGGGTAAGGCCTGCTCGACTTTGTTGCCAATGTCCTTCTCCCAAACCCCTAAACACGAGACGTAGTCCTGTCCAGCTTTTAAAACCACCTGAAAATTGCTGAGGTCAGACCACTCTATGCAACTGACCTCATTGCTGAGCGGTTTCTATCTTCAACCCAAATATCTCCTCCTGTAACAAGCCCATTTAAACTGGTTCTATCCTCAGGTGGCAGAAAAAAGAACAGTCTTCCTCTCAATAACAGATGATGGGGAGCAACTGGAAAGGGGCTGCTTGTAGGCTTCCCATTGAGACACCTGTAATGGACACAGTGAAAGCAGGATGCTGGGCCCTTTTTGCTCTGATCCAGCAGTCAGGCTCTTGGGTTCTTAGTGGTATCATGTCCCATGTCTCCTTTTATCCAGGCTGAACAGACCTAGTCCCTTCAGCCTTCTCTGCATAAGGACTATTTCCCATACTTCTGACACCTTTGCCCCTGTTTGTCTGAATCAAGGATAGTCAATATGGTGCCCCCAAGATACCGCTCCCATCCTCCCTCACCACTGGCCAACCATGGCCAGGGCTGATGGAAGTTGTAGTTCAACAACTACACCATGTTGGCTGCCTCTGTTCTAAATTTGGAACACAGGAAGCTGCCTTATACCATTATCATAGTTTTGGGCCATTTAGTTCAGTATTGTCTATATACTATCAGCAGACATGCCATTGAGGTTTGAACCAGGAACCTTCTGCATGCAAGACTCTACCGCTGAGATACAGCCCTCCTTGCCTCATCTTATGAGATGCTTAGCGACTTATATTACTTAAGCTGGTACTGTGCCAGTCACAAACCTTCCACTGAGTGTGTGCTTGTATTCTTCACCCTTTCCTAGTGACCCCAACAAAGGGGAATCGGAAGTCCCCATTGGGTGGGTGCCTTATGATACTCAGCACGGCTACTACCTGGAGATCAACAAGGACATCAACTACGAGTCAGCGAAGCAAGGCCTGAGAGCTCCTTTCGTGAATTTCTGGACTGTCGCCTACAGGAGCCTGCCAGACGCACCCGTCACCTTGGATGAGAAGTAGAAACTACTTGGGAACCGGTCGCTGCCATTTGTCCAAAAACCAAAACCAACCAACCAACCCAGATTCAGAATGAATAAATAAATCAATCTTAACTCTTTGCAGAGATTGTGAGTTTATTTGTTCTTTGCCCTTATTCATAGACCATTCATCCAACCTCTGCTTACAAACTTCCAAGGATTGTGTCTCGCCTTTAGAATTCTGGCCATGACACCAGCCCCAGTAGATCTTCTTGCTCTCTGCAAGAGTTAATCCATGCTTGTACATGACTGCTTGCTTGGCTCCAAATGAGGTGCCCCACTGAAGGCAAAACGCACACCAGTCACATAATTAGGAGGGAGGGGATTCATGGACAGAAAGCAGAGTAGCAGCCCCTCTGAAGGGAAGTAAACTGGCTACATCTCTGATATCTGAGGGACGGAATGTGCCAATCTGTCTTCTTCCAAGGACCATTGTATGGCTACACAAATCCAAGACTCTCACCCTGAAAGAGGAGTTGTCCGCTGGGTCCCTGGACTTAGGCCCATTAGTTCCATTCCGTCTGTTTCAGCATCACTTCAGTTATCTACAGTGCTTTTTTTCTAGGGAGTCGCGGGGGGACGCAAAACCCTAAGCATTTTGTGAATCTAAGTTTGGCCTCATTGAGGGGCAGTATTTCAGTATGAGTAGGAAAATGAGAGTACCCCTAAATATTTTTTAAAGAAAAAAAAGCACTGGTTATTTATAACCCTACAATAACATTCCAGTAGGAAACTATGAAAAATTATTTGTTTTATTTATGTCATATTTCTTACTGTTGTTTTAACTTCAGGACAGTTGAAATTTTAAAAATATATGTATAGCCTGACTCAAAAGTTTCAATTTCTATGCAGTATAAGATAAAGTAGCAGTTCCTTTTCTCGTTCTCCAGCTAATCAGTTTCATTGGATGAGCCCACCTGAATTAACAGTGTTACCAGAGGGGAGGAAAGTAACACCTTTCTACCTACCCCATGCGGTTTTTTAAAAACTAGCCTGCCTCTCCCCACTCTGTTAAATGAAGTGGTGCTTCCAGGTGAGAATTGATTGTGGGCTCAGCGTGGTTCATGCCACCCTCATCTGAACACCATCCTGGTGGTTATTGTTTTCCTATTCCCATGTTAAGTGTGGGGGAATACAGGACAGCATTTTGTAGAGGACATTGTGGAAAACTCACATGAGCATCAGTGAATGAACTTACGTACATGGCAGGGAAGCACCCAAATCCCAGTTCTTAAAGCCTCTCCTGCTTTTCCAGTTCAATAGCATCCTTTCAGGGGGGGATAATTGTTTGCTCGCGGCACAAAGAAGCTGGGAACAACTTGGTCCTTTGCCTCAAAATCAGCATTTTTATTGAAAAAGGCTAATTGCATTGCTGTATACAATCACACCAGGTAGTGTGCTACTTCAAGGAAATTGGTACAAAATATACCTCATGTACAGTCACCAACATGGACCACACACTCACGTACACACACACACACACACACACACCCTAGCAGCTGTGGACTCTGTTGTCACACTCCAATGAAAAGTAGGGAGAAGCAGCAGCTGTTAAGGAAAAAAGCTTCAGGAAGAAGTGTTTGTGCAGTGAGGAAGAACTGGGTGTGGGGAGGAAGTTTCTGGAAAAGGTACATGTATAAAAAGGATTTAGTGGAAGCCTAACAGGGAAGCAGTGTCACAACTCCAGGCCTGAGGCCTTTTTTTGTGTGCACAAGGATTTTGTGGGTGAACAGGAAACCTGGTGCAGGTCTAGCAAAAAGTTCTGCACTGGCTGATCCACAGAGAGAGTCCTTGACAATGGCTGGCAACAAAGGCCACAGATCCCCATCCTCCCAGCTGGCAGCAAAAGGGGATGGAGACAAAAAGGAAGCTATTCTGTTGCTTAAAGCCACCAAGAGCGAAAACGCAAGGAAGCCGCTGTTCTACAAAACGGATGGGGGAGTATCTTCCAGCGTTTGTCTAAACAAGAAGAAATAAAACCTTATTTACAGGATCAACACCAGAAGCAGATTGGACAGTAAATGTGGGATAAAGATAAGACAGCCCACTGCTGCCTTCAAGGAGACTATTCGCTCCCTTCATAGGCAGAGCAAAGCCGATTGCCTTTCAGATAATGCTGTTTTGGTGTAGGGTGGGGGTGGGATGTTTTAAAAGAATCCCAAAAACCCTGGGCTTATAAAAACAGGTCTGGCAACTGGAAAATTAACAGCCCTCTTTTCTATGAGATCCTGAGCAAGAAAGCAGATGACTTCTGAGGATTAGGTTAAGAGCAGTTCTCATAAGGCTAAGCCAAGAAGGTGCCCTTTAGCTGATGCTTGGCTCCCTACCTTCAGATGAATGGCACCACCTTAGATAGGCCAGCTCTAGAGCCAGAAATTGCAAAGCCTGCACAGACAAAGGTGTTGCAGATTCTCAGTTACTTACACCTCATCCACTCCCATGTTTCTAGCTGTGCTCATTGTGGTTCTTTTTAAAACAAACAACTTTCCCGTTAGTCGCTTGTACCAAGTGTATCACTAAGGCTGCTCCAATGGAAGTCCTGAGGACTCTAGCTTAGTCACTTTTATGATTATGAGTGTGCTGTGGGTCTGTTTGCTCCCTCCAGCCCTATAACCACAGTGACACAGACAGACGCAAGCTCACACAGAGCGCAAAGGAGGCAGCAGAATTTTGGAGCTTGGAGAGGATCTGCATGGCCTCTTCGTAGTGTTTAGTGAAAAGCTCGTGGCAGTATTTTAGTGGTAAAGATAAAATCAGAAGACATTTTCCCTTGCCATGTGGGGGAGGGGGCGAAGGTGGTTTGGGGGACACCTGCAGATAAAATAGGCAGTGGTCAGGAACGATGTGAGTTAAGAGTCCAGCAACTTTGGGGGGTGGGGAAGGCAAAGGTTCACCCTCCTTGTGCTAAAGCACTTTTGACTCCACCCAAGAAACCCTGTCTGAAATGTCCTGTAAGTTTCAACAAAGGAGTATGTAGCATATTCCCCCATTCATACACTCAAAAGGTCTCACACAATTCAAAAACATAAAACTGACCACGCTAACGGATATTTAAACAGTGTTAGTAAAATGTACAAATCCAACCAGTCTATTTACACAAGCAATAAATATTGGGGGTGGGGTGGGGTGGAACATTAGTAAATTCATTTTGAGATTCTCTTTACAAAAAAAAAAAATCTGATCACATCAGACAATAGTCCACAGACCCTACTTCACTGTCAAAGGTTCTTAGTCCATTAAAACACACACAAGAAAAAAACTGGAGTGGCACTTCCCAAGAGGGAGGGGGGCAGTTTCCTTGCAACCCTTTAGAGCAAATCACTTAGCCCTCCTCCCACCTCATCCTTCTCTCCACCCAAGGTCCTTATTTACAGTGTGTTTTGTACAGAAACCAACTTCCTTCAACTCCTGCCTCTGTTGGCCAGCGGAGGCGTTTTGTCATAGAAACACGCTTGCCATTTTTGATCTTTGGTGGAGGCTCTTAATAGAAAGGGGAGGGGGAAGGAGTTTGGAAAAGTTCAAAAAAGTCTTGAGTGGGTTGACCCTATTCTGGCACAGGATCCACCTTCGCTGGTGGCCTTAAATCCACACGAGGAATCCACAGGGCCCTCCATGTGGACAGGCAGCGGTGGGGGAAAGTTTCAGACTCCTGTTGAGGACAAAAAAGTGCATTTCTGGACCAATTCCAGGCAGTGAGTTCGCTTGACCAGGACAACCAAGAAGGAACTGTATCCAGGAGCATGGAAGATGAAGACAGTCACTGTCCCACACATGGGCTCGCCCCAATCTCCTGAACTCCCAGTCCCCAGCCTCTGCTCGGGTGCATCTTAGCAGAGAACGGAGAAAGCAAGACCCCCTTAGCAGCACCACGCTGATCGGTGTAGACACCTAAGGCAGGCTACGGCTTCAGGCAGCCACATAAGCTTGGCTTGCACCATGGAAAGGTGGTTTGTGTTTTTTTTAAATGGAAAATAAAAATGTCCTCCTCGTTGTTGTTGTTTTTAAAAAAGACGAGATGCAGACCTGATTTAAAGGCAAGGGGGGCCAGCTGCTGCCAACGCAGAGAGAGAGAAAGCGCGAAGAGCAACGTGCAGGAGCGGCGTTGCTGCTAAGGGATCCCGCTTCCAATTTCCAGGGTTTCGGCTGGGGCACCTCCTTGGCAAGATGGAGAAAAGGGTCAAGGCTGCCGGGCTGGGGAGATCAATCACATCATCTCTCACACACCTGCCCCCAACCCCATGGCGTTTAAGACAGACTGGTAGCCAAGAGTGGAACAGCACTGAGTTGGTGAGGGGGCAAAGCCCGTGGGTGGGGCAGGCGACCCTCTGCCCCAGGGGTTAGAAGATGCCTTTGGCAATTTTGAGGCCTTTCTGCTTCATCCGTGGCAGCGTGGAGCTCGATCCATGCTTGATCTTGACGGCCTTGGAGAAGCCTCTCTTCTTGAGCACAAAGTCGTAGTTGGCAGCAGAGTTCATGGCGTAGAAGACATTGGCGTTGTCCGGGATTTTCAGTTCTAGGAGGATAAGGGGAGGGGAAGCGAGAGAGAGGGAGAGTCAGGTTCAAGGACTGGGCTTTTAAGGAGATGCTATGGAGAGGGGACGCTGGTGGCACTGTGTGTTAAACCACAGAGCCTAGGACGTGCTGATCAAAAGGTTGGCGGTTCGAATCCCTGCAACACGGTGAGCTCCCGTTGCTCGGTCCCTGCTCTTACCAACCTAGCAGTTTGAAAGCGCGTCAAAGTGCAAGTAGATAAATAGGTACCGCTCCAGCGGGAAGGTAAACGGTGTTTCCGTGTGCTGCTCTGGTTCACCAGAAGCGGCTTAGTCATGCTGGCTATATGACCTGGAAGCTGTACGCTGGCTCCCTCGGCCAATAAAGCGAGATGAGCGCCGCAACCCCAGAGTCGGCCATGACTGGACCTAATGGTCAGGGGTCCCTTTACCTTTACAGAGAGGGGAACAGCTCCAATTCCCACCAGCCCCAGCCAGCATGGCCAACGGTCAGCATGGCCAACCAGGTACCCAAATTGGAAGCCATGAGCAGAACTCTTAGCTGCAGTGGCACTTCTTCGGACTTGCGATTCCCAGCAACTGGCGTTCAGAGGCCCACTGCCTCTGACAGTGGAGGGAAAACATAGCCGTAATCGTGGCTAAGTAACCACAGCACCTCACCTCTCTCTTCTGAGATGATCTGAATGAGCTCATAGTCCTCTGGCCGGTCCCCATCCAGATTGTGTTTGGCCATGGCTTTACGGATCACAACCGGGGTCTTGTCCTGGCTGGTTACCTGGAAAATATTAATGTAAAAACAAAAACCCACATTTAGGCAAGCACCTACTCTTGAATGCAGAAGGCCCCAGGTTCACTTCCCCGAGGGGCTTGGAGGTAACCTTCCTTGAAACTTTGGAAAGCTACTGCCTGTCAGTGTTGACAGTACTGAGCTAAATGGGCCCATGGTCTGGCTCAGTATAAGGCTTCCCACGTTCATCAGGAGCATCTAGAGTTCAGTGGGCAGAGGATCTGCTTTGCATGCAGAAGGTCCCAGTTCAATCCCTGGTGTCCCCTGGTAGGGGTGAGATAGGACTCCCTGCCTGAAATCCTGGAGAGCCTCTGCCGGTCAGTGTAGGAAGTACAAAGGCAGATGAGCCGATGGTCTGACTTGGTTTAAAGCAGCTTCCTAAGGACTAGCACAGAACATTTGTTGAACGGATATCCTTGGCTGGCTCTTTACATTTGCACCCAAAAGGCTTCCTGGAAAAACCGTCCGGATTTCTAACTGCACCCAACTACCCACCTCACAGAAAAACAAAGACCCCTCCTCGTCAAGAGACCCTCACCAGAATGCTCTTGTACATGTTTCCATTCTCCACGGCCAAGCTGACCCGGATGATGCAACAGTCGTCAATTTGCTGGTTATAGAGGGGCAAGGAGAGAGAGGAGTAGCTGGAGATGCCTGAGACAGAGCGCTTGTGGGTGCGAGAGGCCGTCACCGGCGTGGAAGAGACAGAGGAGGAGGATGCGCTACTCGAACTTGAGCCGATTCCAGAGGTGTCCAGGGAGGAAAGCGAGGTGGATTCCCAGAACTGCGGAGGGAGGAGAGAAAGAGGGGAGAGAATTAAAGGGCTTTATTTAAGCCTCCTGCAACACAGCGGGTGTTTCCTTTTCTGCCTCCCCAGGTATTCCTTATTGAGAAAAATCACCTTTCTACTACAGGCAGTGCTCAGGGGCACCCCCTCCTGGCCAGAAGCGGAGTTGAACGTCTGGGCGTCCAGGGCGGGAAGGTAACACTAATGGGGCGGGATAAATTACATTTCAGAAACACGCGGCGTCTCGCAAGACACAGGCCCCTCCCACCTCGAGCGCAGGAGGGGGAGGGGCTCATATCAGCTCCACCCACCCACCCCACCCACCGCCAACAGCCTCTGAAGCCTGCTCCCTACAGGCGTTTGCCTTGGGACAGAAGGATTTCCAGGCCTGTCTGTTCCAAAACCTGCCCCCCGCCCCCAAAGCGAAAGTAGGCCTCTCCCCCGACAATGGGGCGCACCTGCCACCTGCCCCTCTGGGCACAAGCGGGGCCTAGTGGGACGCTGTGTTGTACCTTCTTCTCTTGACCCTCGGGAGAGTCGGGGATGAAGCTGATGTTGATCTCCTCCACGTCGGAGCTGCTGGAGCCGGCTGACGTGACACTGACAGAGTCAGCCATGTCCCCACTGCACAGGTAGGGACCGCACTTCAGCTGGTCAAAGGACTTGGAGTGGGAGCTGCCGCTGGCACAGGAAGATTCAGTGCTGGGGGCCTGCCGGCTGGGAAGAACAAGGAAAGCAAATAAGCACCTTTCAGGAAGGGGCCCAGGTGGCTCAAGGGTAGGCAGAAGGCCCCAGGCTCACTCCCCAGTGACATCTATGTTCCCTGCCTCAAACCCTGGAGAGCTGCTGCCGGTGAGTGTAGACAGTATTGTGCGAGACAGGAACATTCTAAGCTAGGCCAGTGGTCTATTAAAATGAGGCTTCAGTTCAGAACCATGAGGACTAGGATCTTACATTGTTTTTAAAGGAAGAGCTCTAGAATGCAGAACTTTGCAAGCAGAAAATTGCATGCTCAATCACCAGCATCTCCAGATAGGCTTGGCAGAGACTGCTGCCAGTCAGTGTAGATAATATTGGCTAGAGCCATGGTGATGTAGTGGTTGGAGTGTTGGACAAGGACCTGGGAGACCAAGGTTTATATTCCCCCTTCAGAGGGTCCCAGGTTCAATCCCTACTGGCCTTGGGCTTAAAATAAAATAAGGGTACTCAAGCCAGTAGGATGTTAATTAAAATTGCATTAACTAGCCTTGGGTCCCCAGATGTGGTTGGACTGCAACTCCCATCATCCATGACCAAGCTGGCTGGGGATGATGGGCGTTGTAGTCCAACAACGCCTGACAACCCACTGTTACAAGTAACCCCTCTAAGCTAGCCCATCCCCAAAGTTGGAGGAAAAATTCAACTCCAGTCTAGTTGACTTCTGGAAGGGGCCAAGGTGCATTCTTGGCTTGTGCCTCATGCAGCAAAAGAGAGCGAGAGCGAGAGAGACTTCTGCTAGCCTCAGTATAAAGGCAGCTTCTTCCTGTCTCCTCAGGTTCTTGACGACTCCTCCTCTTTCACCTGAAGGCAGCCACTGCAGCAGTGGTACACTCTGGTGTAAGATGCCAGCTCCACTGGGCACCTCCTGCCCCTGAACTGTGCCAGATGGTCATTATAGGAATGTCTATGCCTGAGTTTAGATTTTTATTTTCCTCTTCCCTCCTTGTCCCTTTTTCCTTATGTGTTGTGGAGGGCTGTTTTTTGTTTGTTTTTCAAGAAGATTGGAAACCTGTGGGCAGGGACTGTCTTGTTTTCATTGTATTATAAGCTGCTCCGGGAGCCATTTTGGCTGAAGAGCAGGGTACGAGTGTTCTAAATAAAGACATAAATAATAAACAATTTCTGCAGCCAGGGTGTCTCTCAAAGCTGTTTTCTAGCCCCAACTTGTTTTAAGCTGGCTCTTAAAATGAGGGCTCAGAGACGCCCCTGGAGCAACACTGCACTTTGGGATCGATCCACAAGGACTCACTCGCTCCAGCGCTTGATGATCCCTGTGTTTTTCTTCGCCTTCAGGGTGTTACTGGCTGACTCCGACAGGGGCTCAATCTCACAGGAGAGGCCATAGCTGGAAGCAACAGAGGGAAAGGACACTGGTTGGTGTTTGCATCAACTCTGAGCTTCTTGCCTCAAGAGCTGTTCTCTTCACCCTCCTGCAGGATGGGGGAGACTTCAGGCCCAGGGGTTCCAAAGTGGCCTCCCAGGCTTCTCTGTCCGGCCCTCCAGACTCTCTTCCTGGGCTCTGCCCTCCCATTCACAGGCCACACCCTTTCACCAGCCCTGCTCTTGGAAAGGGGGCAATGCCTCTTGCCTGCCTACATGGAGAGATGTGGGGGTGGGCATAGCCTACAGTGTAAAAGGTGAGAGTGGTATCTGTTGCTCCACTCACTTTCACCTCTGGCCTTGCCCACCACTGACCTGCTATCCCTGGGAGGTTGATAATGATCATACACAACACTTGACTGGAAAAGGTTCCTCACCCCTACCCTAAAGGTAAAGGTAAAGGAACCCCTGACCATTAGGTCCAGTTGTGGCCGACTCTGGGGTTGTGGTGCTCATCTCGCTTTACTGGCCGAGGGAGCCGGCATACAGCTTCCGGGTCATGTGGCCAGCATGACTAAGTCGCTTCTGGTGAACCAGAGCAGCACACGGAAATGCCGTTTACCTTCCCGCCGGAGTGGTACCTATTTATCTACTTGCACTTTGACATGCTTTTGAACTGCTAGGTGGGCAGGGGCAGGGACCAACCTTCTGATCAGCAAGTCCTAGGCTCTGTGGTTTAACCCACAGCGCCACCCGCGTCCCTCACCCCTACCCTACCTGATACGTAATCCTTTTTTAAAAAAAGGACAAGTTTCTGGTCCTCAAGAGGAACAGCGATGAAGCTGTAATTGGAGCCTACTATCGAAAGCACCCCAACTAAGCAGGATGTAAGAAGAGACTGGTGCTGGATCAGGCCAAACAGTGGCCTCAATGTGAAGCCCCAGGAACTGAGCACAATGGCCACTCTCCCCACTTGTGATTTGCAGTAACTGGTATTACCTCTGACAGTGGAGGTAGGGCACAAGAGTCCTGCTGGATCAGAGCCAATGGCCTATCTAGTCCAACATCCCATTCTCACAGTGGCCAACCAGATGTCCCAATGGGAAGCCTGCAAGCAGGGCACAAGAGCCCTCTCCCCACCTGTGATCTTTAGTGTTCAGCAAAATAACTTGCTTGGACTGGAGAAGCACATTGGGGGCAGCCCCACGTGATTTAATATTTGAGATGAGGGGGGAAGGAGAGGGCTCACCTCTCTGCCTCACTGAGCCGCTCGATGCTATGGAACCAGACCACAAAGCGATCTTCCTGCGTGAAGTTGTAGTTGTTGCAGGCTGACTGGAGCAGTTTGATCTGGGCGATGACTTCAAACTCCTGCAGGTGGAGAGTGGGGGGAAGCAGGGTTAAGCTTGGCTCTCCATACACTTCCTTGCTAGCCCAGAAATATCATTGTAAGGGGTCCTACGGCACCCTTCCCTGACCTGTAGCCTTCCAAAGTTTCTGGACTACAACTCCTATCAGCCCTGGCTGATAAGTCACAAAGCGTATAAAAAGTATTAATGAAACAGGGCAGAGTGCTGTCGTTTAGGGTGCCTGCCAGCCACTTTCCCATCATACTCCATTCCATCTCCCAGCCAGCCTTGCCCTCTTCCCAGTATACTCCATTCCATCCCCCCAGCCAGCCATGCCCTCTTCCCAGTATACTCCATTCCATCCCCCCACCCACCTCCAATTTCTAGTTCCCCAACCCCACTGAGCTATAGAGAAATTCTATGGCCATTGAGAATGCTCAGTGCTTGGAAGCCTCAGTTTGGTATGCTGGTTTTATTCTCTCCCTTGTTTACGGCTGCTGCACTTCATTGAGAATTTAAAGCCACCTATAAAACGTTTGCTATTCATCATGAAGTTGGTTAAAAACAACAGCAGTTCTCACCTTCCTCCTTTTCTCAAAGTTGATCAGGCCAGCCTGGATGAAAAGAAAAGCAGGTCGTTAAAACCCAGTGACTGTCCCACCCCCCATCCCCAGCTGCCCACCGGTTCAATTTCTGAGTATCCAAAATATGGGAAAGCTTTAAGAATAGGTACGTTTGCAGAAAAAACAACAAATTCAAGGACCTAATCAGAAAACTGTACTTTTCTGCAACCATCATTGGATTGTTGCTTTTTAAAAGGGAGAGTAGAGTGTGTTCTAAGCATGATGTGATTCGTAAAAAAGGATTATGAAATGAACCTGGAGATGCCAGAGATTTGAACCCAGAACCTTCTGCATGCAAAGCAGATGCCCTACCAATGAGCCACAAGCCTTTGCTGTACTATGTTTAACAGAGGTGAGGAACCTATGGCCCTCCAAATGTTGCTGGAGTCCCATCAGGCCCAGGCAGCATTGTGTAATGGTCAGAGGTGATGGAGAAAACCACAAGACTCATTTCTCAATGGCACTTGCATTTCAGATTTTCAACTATACACCCCTCATGAGCAGGGACTGCTCTCGTTTTGGTGTTGCTGTTTAGGCTTGCAGTTGAAATGGTTTCCCAATAACAAAAAAATGCATTTAGGCACCCTTTTAAAAGCTGTAGGAAGCAACAAATGTCCACCAGGGGGCAATGTGACTACAGGTAAAAATATCTGCTCATCTGAGACTCTTAGGGAGACCTTATAAGGTTCCATCATGGAAACATTAAGCAGTGGTGTGCTATTTCTTTACAGGAAAAAAATGAGCGCAACAGGGAATGTGGCAAAGGAAAGATTAGTTTGCTTGAAAGAGAGAGTGGGGGGGGGGAAGGCTTGGTGATACTTACATCCACGTAGTCCTTCATGGCTGTGTCCAGCATCACTAAGTCAGTGAGGAAGGTGCCCAGGTAAGGGATGGTGCCTTGCATCACGCCCTGTAACAGGAGCCCAGGGGTTAAGATCGCTGAGACACACCAGGACCAAAGGTTCCACAAAATATGGAGTGCACCAAGGTCCCCTGGGCTTGATCTAGGAAGAGGTATTCCCTCCACTCTCATTATAGGGGCAGCCTTCCATCTCTTGCTAGCATAAAGGAATGCTGCAATTTAGATCAGCAGGCCCCTAGCCCTCCAGACATTGCTGGACTACAACTCCCATCATCCTTGATTATTGGCCAGTGCTAGCAGCAAGGGCTGATGGGAGTTTGAGTCCTGGAGGACCACAGAGGTTCCTTACCCCTGGCTTAGAAGGATCAAGCGAGAAGGTGAAATGAAAAACCTATTTCTCTAACCAAGAATCTGAAAGTCTGCTGCTATCTCCAAATAGCCCAGACTGATGAATCTGGCTTGGTATTTCTTTATTGCATTTATATCCCAACTTTCCTCCAAGTAGCTCAAGGTGGCATACATAGTTCTCTTCCTGTTCTACCCACACAACAACCATGTGAGGTGGGTTAGGCTGGCCTGAGGCTACGCAGTGAGATTCCAGTGAGGATTTGAATCCTGACCTCCCAAGTCCTAGTCTAGCACCTTAACCACTACAACACACAGCCTCTCTGGTAGAAAGCAGTGTCCTATAAAACACCATATTTGACTCACCATCTCCCGCTGCTGCTGCTGCCGTTTCTGAGCCCTCTTTGGGTTAATCTCTAGGGTGGCGAACTTGGACGTCCCCTCCTGCATTGCCAAGGAAAGAGAGACAGGGAACCATTAATATGAGAGTCTGGGTGTACAGCTTTCTTTTGAGATGACTGCAGTAATCATCAATAAACCAGAGTGGCAGGAGGGCCAAAGCTCAGTCCCTGGTGGCATCTCCAGGTAGGCCTGGAAAAGACCATGCCCCCCTGCATGAAACCCAGGAGAACTGCTGCCAGTCAGTGTAGACAATACTGAGCAAGATGGACTGAGCATTTAACTCCGTATAATGAGGATCTGACTCAGTAGAAGACAGCTTCTTATTTATTTCAACCTCTTATTCAGAAACACGAGGACTAGAATCTTAGTTCATTTTTAGGGGAAGAGCCATACCTCAGTGCTACAGCATATGCTGTGGGTGCATTAGGTTCAGTCCCCAATGGTATCTCCAGGTAGTGCTAGTGCGGCCCAATGCACAGCCAAGGGCCACAGGTGGACCTCAAAACCTTTTCTGGAAGCTCTTGGCAACATTTAACACTCCCCCCCCCAAAAAAACCCTCCTTGCGCTGCCTTCCCAAAGCTAGGTAAGCAAGGTGCTGGTTTGGAGAAGGCAGCGCAAGGGCTGGGGGCATCAAATTTTGGCCTAGGTACCCCCATGTCAAAATAGTATTGCCGCCCACCCAGTATGAAAAGTTGGACAGTCCTGGTAGAAAGGCTTCCTGCTTTAACCCCTGGGGAGCTGCTGACGGTCAGCCTAGGAAATACTGAGCTTGACAGATCAACGGTCCGACTTACAACCAGTATCAAGCAGCCTCCTATATTTCCTATGCAACAGTTTTTATATGTGCAATTGTATTGTTCATGCACGTTTAAAGTAGGCTTGAAGAATCAGGCTTTCTGCAGTTAGGGAAGTGATGGGGAAATGCTTTGAAAAATGTGGATGACTGATTAAAGGGGGTATGACTAGATGACCCTTTAAGCTCTAAAATTCTATGATTCTAAGATGCGTAGTCACACAGTGCAAGCAGATTAATGCTCACTTTCGTGTAAGAACACCACCATTAAATCAGAGCAAATGGTCAGTAGAGGCCAGATTATGATCTACGCTCTGAAGAAACTCTGTTCAAGAAAAGCCAGAATCAACTGATCGTCTGCAGGAATCCTGGGTTAATAGAATCATGGAAGCAAGAGAGCATTTAAAAACTGACTACAAGGTGGGGTGTCACCCAGGCTCCGGGTCGCAAACCCCGCCCATCGCTTAGATGGATGAGCAGTAATTCTGGGAAAGCTTTGATTGCAAGTCTGCTGATAAGAAAAGGGAATCCCTCTGGGATGACTCAATCAGTCCAGAACCAGATGATAACTCAGGATCATGGGTTTGAGCTGCACATTGCGCAAAAGATTCCTGCATTGCAGGGGGTTGGACTAGATGACTCTCGTGGTCCCTCCCAACTTTACGATTCTATGATTTTCTCCTCCCTGGTACTTATCTCTCACCCTCATCATCCTCACAAGGGGACTCCTTAGCAGCTGAGCCCAGGAGGTGCCCAAGCCAAGCAGAGAAGAATCTAAAAACAGCTGCCTCTGCCCGGTTTGCTGCACAACCCATTCCCTAGCAGAAGAGGGGGATGGGAAGATCTCTCTCTGGATTTACAGTAGATCAACAAAAGGTTTCTGGTTCTCAGGTCACTTCCAGACATCCTGTTTCTTAAGCCTTCATCCTGATTTGTTTGCACCAAGTTATTGTGAGTTTTAAAGATAACTGTTTTGCTGAGCATTATGCTGGGGAGTTAAAAGCCATCCATTATTTACTGAGAGTTATTCCTTGAAGCTTGCCCAAGGTCACACTCAGGTTGCTTCGTGACTGAGTGGGGAGGATTTGAACCCTGGTCTCCCAGGCCCTAATCTGAGACACTCAGATATCTTTGCTAATCTTTTTATACAACTGTCTTTTTATCTGATATCTTTGCTAATCTACTTCAAACAACCCAGGGATTTCTCCCAAGAAATCCTCATCTACCTTGTGACCAGTGGCGTAGGAAGAGGGGTGCAGTGGGTGCAGGCCGCTCCGGGTGTCATCACTGAGGGGGGTGGGTTTGACAAAATGGCAAAAATATGAGTTTTTAAAATAAACAAATAAAAATTGGGCTCACGAAACTTTTTAGTTCAGTCAACAAACGCAACTAAATGTAGCTGGCACTGGGCGCCACACTGCGGGGGCCGGCACTTACCGCGGGGCCTAAAGCATGCCTGAGCCATGCGTCTCTCCCGGGAGTGACATGACGGCTTGGGTGCCTGCAGGTTCTGCGCTGCCTGAAACAGTAGTGTGGGGCTTGCGTTTGCCCACTGCCTCTCCCCTAGCCGCCCTACAGCTGAGGGGGAGGCGGCGGAGAGGCTTTGCGCAGTGCGCTCTGCCCTGGCTCGCCCAGCCCCATGGGCAGCTCGCTCTGCCCCCAGGGCAGGGCATGTGTGCCACCCTGGGCACCCAAGCGGCTAGTTACGCCATTACTTGTGATCTATCTCCAAGCTGGCCAGAGAGAGAGGAGAAATCACACAACCACTCCACTTTCACGGAGGCTAAATGGACCACAGAACTGAGTGGTGATTTTCGGCCTACCTCTTTAGAAAAATCCTTTCAGATCCTCTAAGAGACAACTTTGCTGTGTCTTTGCAGAATCCAGCTGCAGAATCCATTAATTGGTAGAGGGGGAAAACCCCTGAGGAGTGGTTGCCAAAGTAAAACATCTCCAAAGGTGAGGAAAGGAGTAATAGAAAGAGGGTGGGAGTCTCACTTAGCAACTTCCATGACAACGGATGTATAAAGCAAACAGTCAAATGCCAACAGCACAGACACTGACCAATCAGTGCTGCACATAGGAGGATTCTAGGGTGAAGCTGTAGACATCATTTCTTGCACAGCCCCAGCAAAGAAAAGCATATTCCAAATGAATGCCTGTCACCCAATAAAATCTTCCACCTGACTTCACCCCAAAACGGGTAACAGTTCTCATCGATCAGCCACTTCACAACATTCCTGCCCAGGGCAAATGAAAGAAAGCTTTCAGGCATCAGTGGGACCAAACCGATCAAGCACATGTGTCTTGCAGATTTCTTTACTTTTTATTATTAGCAGGTACAGTGGTACCTCGGGTTAAGAACTTAATTCGTTCTGGAGGTCCGTTCTTAACCTGAAACTGTTCTTAACCTGAGGCACCACTTTAGCTAATGGGGCCTCCCGCTGCCACCACATGATTTCTGTTCTCATCCTGAGGTAAAGTTCTCAACCCGAGGTACTATTCCTGGGTTAGCGGAGTCTGTAACCTGAAGCGTCTGTAACCAGAGGTACCACTGTATTTTAAAAGCAGGCATCTTACCTTAATGAGAAGCTCCCGACTCAAGGAATGGTTGTTCTCATCTGAGAAGATTTCTGACAGCTCGTGGAAAGTGCGGAAGCTTTCTCTGTCAAGAGGGAACAAGGGTATCACTAAAACAAGGTACTTCTGCTTTCAACAAGTCTTCTCAACTGGAGATTTCTATCCCATTTAGTATCTATATTGGTTTCGAAAACATTTTTACATATGCCATTGCTTTAACTGTATTTTATATACGTAATGTTTTAAATCACTTTTACATAACACAATACAGTACTGCATTGCAGCGGGTTCGTCTAAATGACCCTTGGGATCCCTTCCAACTCCACAATTTCACAAGTCCATGATTGCTCTAGTCAATTACAGGAAGCTCGGTTACAGAGCACCTGCTCTGCATGCAGCAAGTCCCAGGTTCAACCCCCAATGGCATCTCCAGGTAGGGCTGGGAAAGAACCCTAATGCGACACTCCAGTGAGCTGCTGCCAGTCAGTGTAGACAACACTGAACTAGATGGATCTGTTCCAACTCAGTATCAGACAGCTTCCTACATTTTCCATGTCACTGTTTTTTATAGACACCACCGTATTGTGGATTTGCTTCAAGATGCTTCACAGGAAGCACTTCGATATGCATGGATTTCAGAAATCCTTACAACAGCCATCCCATTGTGAAGCAAGCCGATGCTATTATCCCTTTGCTGCAGGTATGAGTTTGAAATAACAGTTGCCTTGCCTGCAACCGCCCAGTGAATGTGTAGCAGAGGCAAGATCTGAGATGGAAGACTTGGTGGTGCTGACACCCAAGAGGGATCTGCCTTGCATGCACTTTCTCCCCCTGCACCCAAATTCTTCCTTCATACCCTACTCACCGGGAGACCTCATCCCATGTCTTCTTCAACCTGTGAACAGCGTTGCATTGCAGGGCAGAGAGAATGGCCCGGAGGGAAGAGAAATTCTTTAGGATCCGGCATTCCTGGAGGAGCACAAGGAAAAACAGTGGGCGTTAGAAGGAGCTAGAAAGAGGCGATACACACGCAGAGGTTAAAAAACCCCTTATTGTGGGTTAAGGATTAGGCAGTTGTTTCCTGGATCCTCTGCCCAGCATTTGAACTGCTATCTTAATTTCCTGGAATGGATTAAGTTCTGTGGCATATACATATATATATGTGTGTGTGTGTGTGTGTGTGTGTGTGTGTGTGAGAGAGAGAGAGAGAGAGAGAGAGAGAGAGAAAGAGAAAGAGAAAGAGATTTGCATTTAGGTGACCCAAATGTTGCAGTCAAAAGGAAATGCAAATTAAAACTCCCCGGTTATAGGTAAGCAACAAACTAAAAACTTGTTGCCTATGTTGAGTTTTGCTGCTCTTAATAGCAGTGTTAGTAGCGAAGAACGTAAAAATGTAAGAAGAGCTTTCTGGATCAGGCCAGTGGTCCAGCATCCTGTTCTCACACTGGCCAACTAGGTACCCTGTTGAGAAGCCTAAGAGCAGGACTTGCTTGTGATGCTCAGCAACTGGAGTTCAGAGGCATCCTGCCTCTTGGCAGTGGAAGCAGAGCACAGCCATTGTGGCTAGTAGCTGTTGGTAGCCCTTCTCCTCCACGAATCTGCCTAATCCTCTTTTAAAGCCACCCAAGTTGGTGGCAGTCACTGTCTACTGTGGTGAGGGCTAGAAACTTGATTGAAAGGAACCCCCCCCCCAAAAAAAACAACAACAACCACCCATGTTCTTGAAATGCCTCATTCCAAAACATACTTTGGATTGAGTCCCATCTCAAACCACAATACTATTTATTTATATTTTTGGAGGGGTCTACAGCCAAGCAACCTACCCGAGCTACTTGAATCCAGTGGTCCACCACCTTGGCTCTTTGCTGTGGCTTCAGGGCCCGGTCCCCAAGGCAAGTTGAAATGATGCAGTTGGTGACACGGTTAAACTGGGAGACGGTCGCCCGGATGGTGGGGGCCAAGTGCTCCTTGCCTTTCTTGTCCCGCTGGGACCAGATGCAGCCAAGGCAGTGATAGGGAACCACCTTTTTGAAAAGCTCCTGCAACAGAGAGGCATTAAGACAAGGATCAGGAAAAGAAAGGATGGTGGCTTGAAGAGGGCAAGATGTCATTCATTTACAGTGGACGCTCGGGTTGCGAATGTGATCCGTGCAGGAGGCACGTTCGCAACCTGCAGCGCCGCATCTGCGCACGTGTGGGTTGCGATTTGGCGCTTCTGTGCATGCACAAAGCGTGATTTAGTGCGTCTGCGCATGCGCCAAAACCCGGCAGTAACCCGTTCCGGTACTTCCAGGTTCGGCATGGTGCGCAACCAAAAAACGCACAACCTGAAGCGTCTGCAACCTGAGGTATGACTGTATTTGGAAATTTAATGTCATTTCCAAGGGTTTTGGAGGAGGAGGAACATAAGCACATTAGAACATCCTACTGGATGCATCTTGTCCAGCATCTTTTTCACACAGCGACTAGCCAGATGTCCACAAGGGTGACCTGAGCACAACAGCATTCTCCTCTCCTGCGGTTTCCAGAGACTGGTACCCAGAGGCATGGCTAAGCTGCCTAAGGCTTTATGAGCCAAAACTGAATTGAAACTGGAAGAAACTGATAGCCAGTGCAGCCAGGTCGGCATCCATGTCATATGCTCATTCCATCTAGTCCTAGTGGGAAATCTGGCTGCTGAACTCTGCGTTAGTTGCAGTTTCCAAAAAAAGTCTTCAAGGCCAGCCCCATGCAGCAATCTAACTCAGAGTAATATCTTATGTGGGGACGCGGGTGGCGCTGTGGGTTAAACCACAGAGCCTAGGACTTGCTGATCAGAAAGTTGGAAGTTCGAATCCCTGCGACAGGGTGAGCTCCCGTTGCTCGGCCCCTGCTCCTGCCAACCTAGCAGTTCGAAAGCACGTCAAAGTGTGAGTAGGTAAATAGGTACCGCTCCAGCGGGAAGGTAAACGGCGTTTCCGTGCGCTGCTCTGGTTCGCCAGAAGCGGCTTAGTCATGCTGGCCACATGACCCGGAAGCTGCACGCCGGCTCCCTCGGCCAATAAGGCGAGATGAGCGCCGCAACCCCAGAGTTGGCTACGTCTGGACCTAATGGTCAGGGGGTCCCTTTACCTTTACCTAAAATCTTATGTAAGAGAGAGGGTGGGTGCGGATTGTCACAGAAAGCACGCCCGGGCTGAATCAGACACTCACGGCATCCATTAGTGTGAATTGTTCGGCCACCATCTCCGGCGAGAAAGAGAGGAAATCTAGCTTGCCTTCTCCTAGCCCATTCTCCTCTTCTAGCCGCAGGGTGCAGCTGGCATGGTCCACAGCTGGGAGAGACAAGGGGACAGAGTCAAGGCATGGAGCAACTGGCTGGAAGGCCAGCAGAGGACAGGGCATCTTCCATCACTCCCCGACCCCCAGCCCAATCTAAGCACAGATCAGAGGGGCTATAAAAGGAAGTGGCAGAGAACACCCTTTACAGGAAGAATTCAATCATTGGCATCTCCAGCTAAAAGGGTCTCGTGGAGTCAGGCTGAGACCATCTTCAAAGCTGAAGGCCTGGAGGCAGCTGCTGCCAGTCAAACTAGAGACTATAGGCACCCCTGATTTTGCATGTGTTCAAAGAATGTGTGACTATGTATGCATGGCCCATTTTTGGACCAGCCACAACAGGGGTGTAATGAGCTTATGTGTGCTCCATGATGTCCTGGAATGCAACCCCTGAACAAATCAAGGGTTGCCTGCACATGTCCCACCCACCCCAACCACCAATAGCCATTTTGGACTATAGCTGTAGTCCAAAATCTCTGGAGGGCACCAGGTTGGTGAAGTTTGGCCTGTATGATGGAAGGGGACCATCGCTCAACTGTAGGGCAAAAGTCTTGCATCTGCAACGCTCCAAGTCCAGTCCTCGGGATATCCAGATAAACGGAATTGGGGTGGTGGGGGAGAATCCTCTCTGCCTGCCTGTGACCTTACAGAGCTGCTGCCAGTCAGAGTTAGCAGCCCTGGGGTATGTGGAATGACCGGCCAATGCACTGGAATGCAGCTGCTTAATCTTAATCTGGCCTTTCTTGCCTATGGAGCTCAGGCAGGCTGCCCCACCCACTCCTGCTTGCTATCTTATCTCCACAACAACCCTGTGAGGTAGGCTAAGCTGAGAGAGAGAAAGAGAGAGAGAGAGAAGCCCTGCTCACCTTCCGCCTCCACCTCGGCCCGCTCCTGCTGCTGGAACTGCGTGAAGAGGATGCGGGCTCTCCGCTCCAGGTCTGAGCCTGGGATGTTGAGCCGCACATAAATTATCAGCTGCTTCAGGCAGGCGTAGTCCGGAGGCTTGCGGAAGTCTTCGGAGTACTGATCCAGCCAGGCACCCAGGATGGACGAGATGGTGCTGAGGAGGAGGAGGAAGAATAAGAAGTTGGGCTTCCTCCACAAGCCAGGCCAATGGGCGTTTCAGAGGGTTGCATTGCACCCAAAGGGGGGGGGGGTTGACCTTTAGCCTTGAGGGGTGGGGATCCTTCGGCCCATGGACCTAATTGCTCCACCCCTTTTGACTAAGTCCCATTCCCTATGTATGTGACACCCCAGGTACGGGGGCAGATAACTCTGCAGCTGAGCCAAAGGAGGCAATGGTCGCTGATTGTCCACATGGGCATCTGACATCGGGGTGATATCAGGTGACTGACAGGTGGGCAGCCCCAGCGGGGGGAGGGGGGATGGGAAGTTGAGGATCTGTGGCCCTCTGGCTGGATCCAATCTTCATCCCCACTTCCATGCCCAGAATCCAGGCTGAAGAAGGGTTCTTCACCCCTGTTCTGGGGTAAACCACTTCTGAATCTTTTACTGTGTCTCTCTCGCATGCACACAAAATATTGCCATGCTGGTTAGAAATCTGAGGAAGTTGCCCAGCACTCCATCCCTGCTAAGGTATCCAAGATGGTGGCCTCCAGGTGTTGTTGGACTACAACTCCCATCAGCCCCTACTGGTTTGTTCAACGGGGAGGGAATGATGGGAATTGAGGTCCAAGGACGTCTGGGGAGTACTACCTTGACTACCCCCTGTGCCATCACTCACAGGCCAGACACTTACTTTTTCAGCTCCAGCCTCTCGTCCACTGCATGTCTGGGGTGGTCTCCGTTGACCTGGAGGTGCAGTTTGCCATATCTAGAGGACCAGGGAAAGCCAATCAAATCTTTGCAATGCACACATATGCGTTTCAGGGATTACTGGAAGCCCACTTGCCCCCAAAACAGTTCTGACTACCAGCATGGTCAGGCATGATGGAAATTGTATAATTGTTTCATTTCATTTATGAATCACACCCCATGAGCTGTCTCACAAAGGAATTTAGAATAAAACAACATTGTATTGGGTAAAAAAAGAATAAAGATTCTCATCCTCATCCGTGGTGGATTTTGTACAGGGCTTTCAGAATAACCTTTTTGAGGCAATAACTGCCATTTTTATCAATCACTGTTTATTTCACCAATGAATTGCTCCTCCTCCTTCAGAAGTGATTTACCAAAAAAGCAATTATGAATATAAAAATGGTTTAAAACCATGGCTCATCCATAAAAATCAATCCAGTGGGGTTCAAGATTTTGGAAGGCTTTCATCGTCAGCAGGTGCCGAAAAGGCAGTAGGAAAGGCACTTGTCTGATATGCAATGAAATGGGGTTCCAAAGGCTCAGTGTCACCCCACTAATGGCCTAATTTTGATGGACAGGCCTTCTGGTAGGATGGTGTCTACAGAATGCCTTCTCTTGCAGAATGCAGTGATTGGCTGACTATTACTATTATTGCATTTATAACTCACTTTTTCCTCCCAGAAGCACAAGGTGGTGTACATGGTACTCTCACCTTCCTATTTTACCCTCACAACAACCCTGTGAGGTAGGTTGGGCTGAGAGTGAGTGACTGGCCCAAGGCCACTCCATTGAGCTTCATGACTCCATAGGAATTTGGACTCTGGCTCCCCCAAGGTCCTAGGCTGACATTCTAACCACTATGCCACACTGTAGTAGAGGAGGAGATGTTTTAGGTATCTGGAGGAGTCCACAGCGACTACCATGCTACACCACTGACTGCTCTTCCCGACAGCAGCTTGGACTCAGGAACTGGTGTCTTACCCCACAGAGCCCCACAAGGAGAGAGAAGGCAGAAGATTACCTGTTCAGAAGGAGGTCCAGGACCTGCTTGGTCGTGGCAAAGGCACGGTATGTACAGAGGAAGATGGTGACGTAGGTGGAATCATTGCCTTTGAATGCAGAGACGAGGTATTGCACCAGCTTCTCCAGGGTCCCGGCTTTGATGGTCCGCACCTTACAAGTCTCGTACAGGTTTAAGGCCGACTCGTTCTCAAACTGTGAAAGGGACAGAGAATTACATGAGCCGCTGCTTCAAGGGGAGTTGTGGATGCCGTTCTAGTGCTTTTCCAGCTGCACTGGCTCCCGGTGGAATACAGGGTCAGATTTAAGGTGCTGCTTTTGACCTTTAAAGCCCTTCATGGCCTAGGACCCTCGTACCTACGGGACCGCCTCTCCCGGTATGCCCCACGGAGGACCCTAAGGTCCATATATAGCAACACCCTAGAGGTCCTGGGCCTTAAGGAAGTTAGATTATCCTCAACCAGAGCCAGGGCTTTTCAACTCTGGCTCCGGCCTGGTGGAACGCTCTGACTCATGAGACCAGGGCCCTGCGGGATCTGATTTCTTTCCACAGGGGCTGTAAGACAGAGTTGTTCCACCTGGCCTTTGGCTTAGAATCAGTTTGATTCCCTTCCCCTCTTTCTTTTTCCTTTCTCCTCCTGTGAAGAGGCTGCATCCTAATGTTTTAATGTTGTATTTTAATCTTTTTAAATTGTATTTTAATCAACTTGTTTTTATTATTGGTTGTTAGCCGCCCTGAGCCCGGTCTTGGCTGGGGAGGGCGGGGTATAAATTAAAAAATATATTATTATTATTATTATTATTATTATTATTATTGAGCTGTGAAGGTGGGGGGGAGAGACATAACCCCTCCAGATGTTGCACAGGGATAAGTGCATCTCAGGTCCAACTTCCATGTATTATCTGAGAGGCAAGGCCTCTGCTTACATGCCTCTAGCAAAGGACAGTCCTGTTCCACTGGTCCAACACTCAGAACAGCCCTGTAAGGCTGGCGACTTTAGTTGCCTCCACACCAGAGACAGGAAGTTGCACAGGTTCTGAGGTGACATCAGAACTAGCGACCTGCAAGCTCATTAAAAAGTCACTTTCGGCCACAGTGCCCTGTCTGTTCTTACGAAAGGTTGGAAGCCTTCACTTACCCCCAGCCATCGCTGCCCCTTGTTGGCTGTGTGGTGGAGCTGGACTTTCCGGAGCGAAATGCTATAGATCACGCCATCTTCCACCTCTTCTCCGATCTCCTGAGTGGAGCTCTGCAAAGGGATCGAAGAAACACAAAGAGATGGGCAAATGGGCCTAGCAAATAAAACGTATGCACTGTTTTCATCAGCTTCATGGGTACAAAATGGCAGCCCAAAAGGGATTAGCTCAGGCAGAGGCAAACTCCGGCCCTCCAGATGTTTGGGACTACAATTTCCATCATCCCTGACCACTAGTCTTATTAGCTAGGGATTATGGGAATTGTAGTCCCAAACATCTGGAGGGCAGGAGTTTGCCTATGCCTGGATTAGCTGTTTTCTTCATCTCAAGGCTCCCCAGCCAAAAGGCGGCCATATTTCAAGAGAACGTCCAGATCGCAAGAGCCCAAAAAATCCTGCGGTACAGGGGCTACAGCTTTTGACATGCCCACATTTTTTAATGTTTTACATCTATTCGCTGCCATTGAATCTCAAACCAGAACAGAGCTGGGGGCAACATTCAGGGATTGGGAGAACGTTTGGAAATATAAGAAAACTGTGGTAGGCACCACTAAATGCTCTTTTAACAGATAAGTGTCTGGGTTCATGCACTGGGGGAAAAAATACACTTTGGAACTCCCTGCCTATTGACATCAGGCAAGTGCCTTCACTGTACTCTTTCTGGCAGCTGCTTAAAACACCTTTGTTTATATGAGCCTATCCACATATTATATATATATATATATATATATATATATATATATATATATATATATATGTTCCAGTAGCACCTTAAAGACGAACTAAGTAAAAGCCTTCTAGGTATGAGCTTTCGTGTGTATACACACTTCTTCGGATACTGTTTTAGGTTATTGTTATTTTAATGTTTAAGAAGTCTTACATTATTGTTGCTAATTGGTAATTTTATTGTTCTATCTTTTTTTGGTAAACTGTTGCAGTGACGATGATTATTATTTTTTTACCATCAAGCAGTGTATAAATTTCATTACAATTAAAAAAATAAAAATTAAAAAATCATTTGCATGTTCTCAATGTGCCAGGTTGCGAAGAAGTTTCGCATGGAGGCTTTTCATTTGTGGAAGCTGGTTGCGAATGGTGTACTGCCACTTAACAGGGGTTGGGGTTACATGTCACAAAAGCAAGGGTTACAATAAACTGTTGCTGTGTGAATTGTTCAGATAGATTTCTAACTAATCAACCATGCCCTTTTCCTGGATACCTTGTTCTACCTTTACTCACCACTCAATTTTCTCTGTGTCCCCTTCCCCTCGGACAAACAGCATTTTGTGGTTACTGAGAATACTCAGTTCTCATTGGGCTGTTTTTGTGTGTGAGGGGGTTTCCCTCAAGGTATGTTATTGTACTTCTGCAAGCCTTGAGATTTCCCAGGAGCATGCCACACACCTTCCTCATATTTCTTCCTTGCTCCATTTTGGAAACAGAGCTGTCACAATTCGGCATCAGAGCTTGCTATTGTTATTAAGAACTTAATCTACAACTTGATCTAAGTTTACCAATCACCACAAGATTATGCCTGCAAAAATCACTGCAAAATAACTGGAAAACAATCAAATAGCATTTTTAAAACAACAACGACAACAACAACAGGAAGCTGCACATCTTACAAAGTTTACATAACATTTTAGAAAGCAGCAAAACACATGAGATATTAAGTGCACTGGAAAAAGTGACTTTATTTATAAATTAGTGGAATGATAAGATTGTTATATTTTTTTCAGCGCTTTGTTTATAGACATATAGTTATAGCTGTTTATTATGAGAACTATATGACTCCCCCCACAATAAATTTGTTCTCTTTCCATTATAAAACCTCACTCTTTAACAGATAATCAGCAAACTTTTTGAATAAATATCTTAATGGTTATGTCAAATATATCAAACAATATCCTTTCTTATATGAATGCCATTAAATGTAATCAAACTGTCACTCCCACTCTGTCTTTATATTTGATGTATTCATACAAACGTAAGTGTTGTGCTTAGTTTTTGTAAATTTAGAAGAAGAAGAAATCACAGCACAGAAGTGGAATCTGCAACAAATAGTTGCAGCATTGAGAGCTCACGTTCAGGGTGCCAGCCAGACAGCGCACCCTCTTCCAGGATGCTCCATTCTTTCCCTCCTCCTGCATGAATTACATGCATGCCTCAACAGAACATAAAACTGGGAAAGTATGTGTGTATGGACTTTTCCAGTGTTACCTCTCCAGTTTATAATGATGCGATTTTGGGGAGTGGGAAATTGGAAACTGCCTTCAACCGACTCAGACCACCTGGTCCACTTCAGTATTGACTGGCAGCGGCTCTCTACGGCAGAGCTCTCCAAACTGTGTGTCACGGCATGTTAGTGTGTCGGCTGCACTGTGTAGGTGTGTCATAGGAACGCTCCCTGCGCTACCCCCGGGGCTGGGAAGGGGTTAGTTTAACCTCCAGTTTGCTAGTAAAACTGAATTACTGTGTCGCGAAATGAAGCATGTCTAAAAAGTGTGTCCCCACCATGAAAAATAAAAAAATGTCCAGTAGCACCTTAGAGACCAACTAAGTTTGTTCTGGGTATAAGCTTTTGTGTGCATGCACACAAAAGCTTATACCCAGAAGAAACTTAGTTGGTCTCTAAGGTGCTACTGGACATTCCGCCCCCCTCCCCAACTAAAACAGACCAACATGGCTACCTACCTGAACCCAACATGAAAAGTTTGCAAAGCTGATGCTGTACCACTGAGCTACAGCCTTGAGAGTGGGAGAGACCCCACAGGGCCACTTAATTACTAAAAAATGTTTGTTCCCTAATAATGAACTCAGTGTATGCACACTCCGCCCTCATGTCTTTAGAGGTGGGAGTAAGCAAATGTTTCCCTAAGGGAGGAACTCTGCCCATGCTCAGAAGTGCCCCAGGTGCCAGCATCTCTCAAACAACATAAACATTCATGACTTGGACAGGAAAGGACTGTATGAGCTCAACTAGGTCCTGGAAGGTGGTAGTGGTGAGGTGAAGTAAAAATGACCCCTTGACAGGAGGGGTGGAGACCTCATCAGGAGGAACTGAGTATGCATCTATAGCAAAAGAATCAGCCCCACAGCAGGGAAAGTTACAAAACTGTTCCCTGAGTGCTGTTTGACAGAGGAGCAGGAGGAAGGTTGAAGGAAGCCAAAACCACGGGAATGGTGGGCAGTTTCCTGGAAAGCCAAGACAGAAAACATACAAACCTTTCATTTAAGGCAAACAAAAAACAAAAACAAAACCCTTATCCTCTAGAGAAGGCACAAAAGCAGGTGTCAGCTTGAGCCGGGTCCGGACCATATCCTTATCAAATGACAATATGACAGATACACAGCAGCGTTTGTGGAGTCACTTTATATATATTTTAAAAGTCAAAGATACTTAATTACAAATCCCAAACAGGTAAAAATTGAAATGTAAAGTCTGATCTTCATTGGGTGAATATAGCCCAGTTGGTTAGAGATGTTTTGGCCTACAACTCCCATGATCCCTAGCTAATAGGACCAGATGTCAGGGATGATGGGAATTGTAGTCCAAAACATCTGGAGGGCCAAAGGTTGCCTATGCCTAGAGTGTGGTGCTGATAACACCAAGGTTGCAAGTTCAGTCCCTGTATGGGACAGCTGCATATTCCTGCATTGCAAGGAGTTGGTCTAGAATGATTATTCTCAGGGTTACAATTCTATGATCCTATGACCTTGGGCCAGTTACTCACTATGAGCCTAACCTACCTCACAAAGTTGTTGTGAGGGTAAAATGGAGATGTGAAGAACTGTGTAAACCACCTTGCGCTCCTGGGGGCGGCGGCGGGGGGGAGTTGTGGAATATAAATGCAAAGAAAGAAAGAAAGAAAGAAAGAAAGAAAGAAAGAAAGAAATGAAGCTTTGCAAAATTGTCTGTAATCAGAAGAAAATTGCATACAAAAATGTGTACGGTAGAAGTGATTTTCATAAAAACGCTGCTGGGTTTTAATGAGGACTTTTAAAAATAATACCGCAAATTGATGTGGAAATCTGGAGGAGTGAACTGAAGATTTGGAATACAGTATGAGTAACCGAGAGATTTGGAATACAGTATGAGTAACCGAGAGAAACAAGAGACCACACAAAATCTGACTCACAAGCTGCAGAACGCAGATGAGTTGGCAGATGGGAAATGGTCTCTATCTCTCTCAAACCAACTCACCACGACATAATCTTTTACTCCTGAAAATGAAACCTGCTCTTGCCTCAATCACTTCCCCCTCTTGACATCAGAAACCCAGGATTTGCCCGCTGTCAAGGGTGGTAAAAGTGCCCAGCATAAGCCAATATCTCAAGGCTGCAGGTACAATAAATCAGAGCATCTCACGGGTTCATCACTGGCGTCAACAGTTTGGTACAGTGGTTAAGTGTGTGTGACTAGGACCTGGAGACCAGGGTTCAAATCCCCACTCGGCCAGGCAGCTCACCTTGGCCCAGTCACTCACTCTCAGGCTGACCTACCTCACAGGGTTGTTATAAGGATTAAAAGAGCAGGAGGAGAACTATGTGCACCACTTTGAGAACCTTGAAAGAAAGGTGGTCTATAAATACAAGGAAGGAAGGAAGGAAGGAAGGAAGGAAGGAAGGAAGGAAGGAAGGAAGGAAGGAATTTGCAGGCTGCTTGTGCAACCCTCATTTCACCAACTGTGAATGTCCATCGTGGAGGCCGTAAATCTCCATGGGTCACAGACATGAAGGAGACAAAAGGGAATTCTTGCTGGCTTCAAAAACTGTCATGGGGGACTTCTAGTTTATTACAGTAGTACCTTGGGTTAAGAACTTAATTCGTTCCGGAGGTCTGTTCTTAACCTGAAGCTGTTCTTAACCTGAGGTACCACTTTAGCTAATGGGGCCTCCCGCTGCTGTTGCAGCCACTGCACGATTTCTGTTCTCATCCTGAAGCAAAGTTCTTAACCCGAGCTATTTCTGGGTTAGCAGAGTCTGTAACCTGAAGTGTCTATAATTCGAGGTACCACTGTATTCCATTTGTATCCCACCTTTCCTCTAAACAGTCAGGTGGCATCCATGGTTCTCCATTTCTACCCCCACAAAAACACTGTGAGGTAGGTTAGGGTGTGTGTGTGTGTGTGTGTGTGTGTGTGTGTATGTGTGTGAGGGGGGGGGAGAGAGAGAGAGAGAGAGAGAGAGAGAGAGAGAGAGAGAGAGATGGTAACCAGTCCAAGGTCACTCAGTGAACTTCACAGCTAAGCAGGGCAGATCTGAACCCAGCTTTCCCACATCCAGGTCTGAACCTCTAACCCAGAGCTTTTCAAACTTTTCATGTTGGTGGCATACTTTTTAGACATGCATCATTTCGTGACACAGTAATTCAGTTTTACTAGCAAACCGGAGGTTGAAACTAATCCCTTTCCAACCCCGGGAGCAGCGTGGGGAGCATTCATGTGACACACCTACACACTGAAGCCAAAACACTAACATTGTCGCGACACACAGTTTGGAAAGCTCTGCTCTAACCCTTAGACCATCTTGCTTCTTGTTTTTCTAACTCAGATCAGCAATCTGCCTTTGTATGTTCAGGAAAGGGAAAAACAAACAGACACGTGATCAGACATCTGGGGTGGGTGGGTGTCAAGCTGAATCAACAAGCCAGGCCCCACCCTCTGGACAAATGCCAGTCCCTTTGGGCCAGGTCCCAGTTACCAAAATGAAGTCGTCACTAAGGGAAGCTCATTGTGTTTATCGACCCTCTCCCTCCCTCTCTCCAATACAGACTGTAGAGGGGAAAAAGACAACTAAGGTTTTGTGATACAGCTTGAATATCTCTGAATGGTTTTACATGTTCCAGAACAAAATCTGAATAAGCTTCCTGTATAGCCACACTGTGTAAACAAATCACATTGGTCTAAACTGACTGCATTCCAAAAGTTATGGATTCAAATCACCCATGACTTCACAATACAGTACACACCAGAGGTCTGAGATAGGAACATGCTCCCCATTAAGTCGCTGTCTCCATTTTGACTTAAAGGTGGAGTGTCTGTTTTTTATATGCAGATGGTCCCAGGTTCAATCCCCAGCATCTCCAGTTAGGACTGAGAGAGACCCCTGCCTGAAACCCAGGAGAGCTGCTGCCAGTCAGTGTAGACAACACTGAGTTACATGGATACCAATGGCTCAGTAGAGGACAGCTTATTATGTTCCTATTTCAACAACAGCCCTGGCAATTAGTCCCTGTGTCCTGTGGTATCTTCTTTCTGGTCAGAAATTAGCGTTCACATTAACTTACTTTTGGAAAAAACCTTGATATTTGTGGAGGTTCAAGCATTCTTAAATTATACTTGTGGTGTGAGGACCAACAGATGGACAATGAAAGTGGACCCCATGACACCTGGATGGGGGGAGGGACACCTGTCTTGAAGCAGCACATGAGAGAAGGATCTATGGGGTCTTGGTGGACCACAAGCTGAACCTGAGTCAACAGCAGCAGCAGCAAATAGAGCAAATGCTATTCTAGGCGTCTAGATCAAGCGAAGGCACTTGATTCTGCCTTGCTCAGACCAAACCTGGTATACTGTGTCCAGTTCTGGGCACCTCAATTTAAGGATATTGACAAGCAGGAATGTTTGCAGAGGAGGGTGACCAAGATGATCAAGGGTCTGGAAACCAAGCCTTATGGGGAACAGTTGGGTCTTGCCTGGATAAGAGGAGACTGAGAGGAGATATGATAGTCACCATCAGATATCAAGAGTTGTCACATGGAAGGTGGAGCACGCTTGTTTTCTCCTGCTCTGGAGGGTAGGACTCGAATCAATGGCTTTAAGTTACAAGAAAAGAGATTCTGACTAAACATCAGGAAGAACTTTCTGGCAGTAAGAGCTGTTTGACAGTGGAACCTCCCTTGGAGGGTTCTGGGCTCTCCTTCAATGGAGGTTTTTAAGCAGAAGTTGGATGGCCATCTGTCATGGATGCTTTAGTTGAGATTTGTACACTTTAGGGGGTTGGACTACATGACCCTTTGGGTCCTTTCCAATTATAAAGTTCTATGAACCCCATTGGTTTCAAAGAGACTTATATTTAGAATAATCTAGTCCAACCCCCCCCCCCCCGCAATGCTCAGGATCACAGTTATTTAAAGTTTGGAAGGATAAACACCCACCACCTATTAGAGCTATGAAGATCCTGTGGCCCTTTGTACATTTGAACACACAATGTCCATCTCATTTAGACACCTATTTGGGCATACAGACTGCCTGTGTTAACTTACACGCATAAATCAGAATCAACTAGGTATTTTTTTATTGTCAAGTGTCCACTGACAACGCTTCTTCCTTTTCTTGATAGAGTTGCAAAAATTGAAATTAAAAAGGAGGTTCTTATTAATACAGCCACTCTGAAGTGGCAAATGCTTAGTTGGCAAAGGCCGTTATCAAGGAACTTGAAAGCAAGAATGGAAAGTTGACTCGGCAATTATGATGCAGGCTCAACCTCACGAGGTCCCCGGCTGCGAGGAAAAGCCCCAGAATGGAAAAAGTGCTCACTCCGTTTCCTTCCCCTTTTGCAAAATTTGCACAGCCCATTCATATATAGAGAGAGAGAGGGAGGGGGAAACAGAAGTTAATGAACAGAGCAATAGAAAAATAAGAAAGCCAAGCATCACGCAATACTGGCAAAACTCACTGCTTGCCTTGGGGGTTTTCCTCTTCATTTTCTGGGAGGCTGTTCCAAGCAAAAACTCTTTTGCTGAGCACGTTTGTTCTTTGATTCCTTCCCAGAAACGGGGAAATCAAAACAAAGCAGAAACAGGAACAGCTGGAAGTCTCAGCTTGGCACCTGAGATAATATTTCTGGGTAAAGATCCCCCCCCCCCTTAAGTCATTTTTTAACTTACATAAAACAAATAGAAGTTATAGCTATGGATGAAAATTAAAAGATGAAAAACAACTATAAAACTGGCATGGGGTTAAAATAACAATATCCAAGTCATGAGAGAGAAAAAGTGACGATGCATGTTATCCGCATATAAAGAATATTAGTGCTATTGGATTATCAAGTGTAGTTACAGATTCGCTTGGCTGATGATGAAGGCCATCTTGAAAATTATCCTTCCGCTGTCTATGTAATAAAGGAATGCCAAATGATATAGAAGGAAGTGCTTGGAGGTTCTAGTCCTTGTCAAAACCTCAAATTATGTCTAATTTTCTCCATTATAAGCTATATTTCAGAGTCAGTGGCACCAAGTGTCCAGTGTAAGATTTTGGGCAGCTTTCCATTGAGTTGCAATTCTGAGATAACATTTCTGATCTGGGACTGCCCATAAAGGAACTATTTTCTGCCCTTATTGTCGCCTTGTGATGGTTTTGTGCCAACAGGGGTGAGAGGTCCTGCTCATATTCATAATGGTGAATCCTACGCACTTGAGAACTTAAGAAGAGATTTCTGGATCAGGCTAATGGCCCATCTGGTCCAGCATCCTTTTCTCACAGTGACCACCTGGATGCCCCAATAGGAAGCCCACAAACAGAATCTGAGCACATTAATAATATTCTCCCTTCCTGTACCTCCAGCAACTGCTATTCAGAAGCATTATCACCTCCAACCATGGAGCCACAACACAGATATCATGGGCAATGGCAATCAATAGCCCTCTCCTCCATGAATTTGTCTAATCCTCTTTTAAAGCCTTCCATGTTGGTGGCCATCGATGCCTCCTGTGGGAGTCAGTTCCACAGCTTAACAATGTGCTGCATGAAAAAGTCCTTTCTTTTATCTGTTCTGACTCTTCCAACATTCATCTTCCTTGGATGCCCACGAGTTCTAATGTTGTAAGAGGAGAGAAACTTTTCTCTATCTACTTTCTCCATACCACATGCAATTCTATAAACTTCCTTCGTGTAACCTTTTGGTCACCTTTTCTCTAAACTAAAAAATCCCAAACGCTGCAACCACTCCTTATAAGGGAGTTGCGCCATCCTCTTGATTATTTTTGTTGTCCTTTTCTGAAACCTTTCCAACTCTATATCCTTTTTTTTTTTAAGGTAAGACAACCAGAATTTGCTTTATAATGCTTATATTATTGAAGCCATGCCCTCAGGGACATCACTTAGGGGATGGGTGTCAGGCTCCAAATTCACAGGGTAAATTACCCACCCATTTAGCCAACTCCTAGCACTTCCTATATGGTAAGTTAGTCACAACCAACAGGTGGCATGTTAACCTTAAGAGGACTTCAGGATCACTCTGAATTCAGCCCCTTGACAGTTTGAATTCACCGCTGCTGGAGAAAAGTGTCTATCCTAAAAATAAAATCTTTTTTTTTTAATACCACATAGAAAACATCAGGTGGAAGATTAAAAGTCTTGGCCCAGTTAAAGTCTCTTCTGCCTCAGCCAAGGATTCCCTCAATTTTTCACAGCGCAGCAGAAGGACAAGAGTGTTTTTAGCAAAAAAGGCATTAGCCACTTTGTGGCTGCCCAATCTCTCCCGGAGAGCTTCAATGGGGATGAGAAGAGGCGAGAAGTTCACCATGGGGTTTTGCTAGGTGTGAACAGCATAAACCACACAAAGCTCTTTGCATGTTGAGCACAAGGCCCATTTCACAAAGAGAGGGCAACACGTCTCAGCCAAGAACTGCAGCTGACAGGCCATGCGTTTCAGAAGGCTGTGGGTGTGTATGTCAAGGATACGGGAGCCTTTTTCAACCCTAGGGCCACATTCCGGGCAGCATTCTGGAGGACACGTACCAGTGGTGTGCAAGGCCAGAGGCAGATGCGGGGAGAGCAAAAATAGTGAACACACACCCTCTATTCTGCATCCAGGCAAGCAAGCTGCATGATTAGAACAAGGACATATCCCACCAAGGCTAAGGCCAGATATATTGGTCCCCAGGGCCGAGGTTCCCCCTCTTCTCTAAGTGAATGCGACTTAAGAGAATTCTGCTTCCAAAACCAGAAACTCATAAAAGGATTATCACAGAGTTTTAGAGTTTAGAAGACATTTTGAAGTCTGACCTAAACGCTTAGATCTACAATGCAAAGATATCCAGATTTTTCCAATGGGCCTGTACTTTGATGGGGCCGTATAAATAATTACCATCGATTTTGGCTACGTGGCTGATGTTGAAGAGAGAGCTTGGAATGGGGCTAGGTAATACAGGTGCGGTAGCTGCGGTTTTAAAGTGGATTCTGTCCAGAATCTCAGTGTATTGAAAGCAAGCTATTAAAGGGACAATTGTGGGCCTTGCTGGAGCTCTGCTTAAGTGCCCATTAGTCACCAAAACAAATAATGAAATATTATTACCCTGCAGGCAACAGAGGTGCTTAGGGAGGTTATTTTTAAGTGGAGCAGCAACCCAGACAGAAATCTTGCTGCAGTTAGGTTTGCTCCTTCCGCCCTGAAGTCAATACAGGCCAAATCAAATGTAAAAGGTGTATGTGTACAGTGGTACCTCAGGCTAAGTACTTAATTCGTTCCGGAGGTCCGTACTTAACCTGAAACTGTACTTAACCTGAAGCACCACTTTAGCTAATGGGGCCTCCTGCTGCTGCCGCGCCGCTGAAGCACAATTTCTGTTCTCATCTTGAAGCAAAGTTCTTAACCTGAACAATGTTTCTGGGTTAGCAGAGTCTGTAACCTGAAGCGTATGTAACCCGAGGTACCACTGTACTGTTTTAGACACACATGTGGAAGGGGTGGATCTGTGTGTCGAAACCTCCCTGCATGTGGAAAGCTAGTAGTTTCAAACACACATACCAAGAGGGATAGCTTTTTCCAGGCGGGAAGATTCAAATCACACACGCACACCTGTTTGGATTGAGACAGAACTACCCCTGCGAGACTGTGTGTGTATGGTTTCTGTTTTCCTAACACCTTGACACTGAGGGAAAAAACCCCTGAAAAGAAGGCTTAGCCATCTTGGATGAGTCGCACGTTCCATCAAGCTTCCATCACTGTGATTAGCACCTTTCATCCGCTGTTACTCTATGGCTGCAGGCTGCAGTGACTGTTACTACGGCGACAGTATTTTTAGGATGACACATCACTCTGTGCAGGGAGTTAGTGATGCCAACTGTAACAATGATCGGAGCCACTGAAAAGCCATTAAAAAAACCCACACATTTAAAATCCTCCGGGGCTGCAAATTCACAAATCCCTCCTCCCTTCCACTGAACAGTTCATCTGGGCCTGCTTGCTATTCCCCATGCTGCAAAGCGTGTCAACACCATATATTTCTATGTATATAGGAAGATATACACACATCCCTAATTCCTTCAGCTCTGATTCAGTTTTCACTCAACACAGAGATAGAAAACTTCAGTGAGCAGCAACAGCTCTTACATAAGCTGTGACATGACTCAATTTATAGCTTCAAAAATACCCACACAATGTATACTCAATTTACAAAAAACAGTCTGTTTTCTCTCGGACAGAAATTTAAAGAGAAAAGAGAAAAAGAGAACTATTTGCTAAGTTTCCTTTTTCAAAATAGGAACAAGCCTGCAATGTTGACAAAAATGAAAAAGAAAACCACCCACATTTTTCCATACAAACTACAGTCTAGTCTGATACAGAAACCATGAGTCGTTCCCCAAGACTATCAAACGAAGTTCATTTCTCCAAGGTTTGGTTTGCTGCTCTTGCTCCAGGCCTTTGTAGTTTGAGGAGCAATCTTCCCTGGGTCTCAGGTAGGGATGTCTCCCAGCCCTACCTGGAGATGCCAGGGATCAGACCCGGGGCCTTCCACATGCAAGGAAGATGCTATTCTTTGTGTTTGTGGTGGGTTTTGGCAAAAAGCAGCCACCATTTATATTTCAACAGCAGCAGCATATCAATGCTAGCACAAAAGCCACAATAAGCACCAAAGGACTTGGCAAATGAGGGGGAGGTCTCTGGAAAATCACCTGCATATCCATTAAGGAGCCCCAGCTAGACCCAGAATTATGGGCAAACACTGGTTGCACATGCAAGAAGAGAGTGTGGGGGCAAAACCCATATCACCACCCAAAACGTTGCACAATTATACATGGTTCCATCTTGGCAGCCCCTCTCTTCCACCCCCCCACCCCGAGCTAATAGCCTTCAGAGGGAAAGGGAACGAGAGACAGACAGTGGATTTTTATTGAACTTTATCTATATAGCAAAATAGAACTTCTTGGAACAAACACATAAAAGCTAAACCAAACCAGATCAAGGCTGGCATGTGATGTTGTTACCGTGACAAGAAAATACGGTAAAGCTGGTTATCCACATTATTTGCAATGAGTTACAGAAAGGTAAGCGGGGGGTATTGTCATAAAAGGCTTTCATATTTTTAAACAAAATAGGAGCAGGAAATTCTTTCAGTTCTGCCTTCCTTCCTGCCCTCGGAGCCAAGAAAAAAGAGTCCAAAAGGCCTATTAAAATGTTTTAGCTTAGAAGTCAGAATAAAGGGGGGGGGGGTCAGCTAGCATATTTGAGAGGTCAGTTGCAAACGCAGTGCAGCTGGCTTGCTCATCCAAGGGTGTGATGAGCTGGCGGGGGGGGGTCACCAATGTTTTGGGGGCCCCTGAGCACAGTAGCTAACTGGAGAAACTACTGCACCACAATAGATCACTTCTTTCAAGACATGTTTCGGGGTTGGGAAGGGATCCTGTGGGAGCCAAGATCTGCCATTCACCTTCTGCTAAACTTGACCTCTCCTTCCCTACAGGAATCTGCCTTATTCCGAGGCAGACCACTGGGTCCATCAATCTCAGTATTGTCTACACGGGCTGGCAGTGGCTCTCCATGGTTTCAGGCAGGGAGTCTCTCTCCCAGTTTTACCTGGATGTGCCATTGCTGAACCTTGGGGTCTCAAAGCACCTCACAAAACATTGCTAAAGCAAAGGGGTTCCCCCCTAGCTTTAGCAGGGTTTCCAATGCAACCCCCTTTCTGCATCTGGAAGGGGTCTGCATGCAATCCTGCTGAACTGAACAGGATTCAACCCTTGCCCATCAGTTGATGAGCAGGTGGGTTTAATCCTGCTTTTGTGTGCACCCCAGTTCCCAGCAGGGAGATAGCCACATGCAGGATTTAACTCTGCCCTCCCACAACGTCAGATGATGTTATGAGTGATATCAGCAGGCTGATTTGGACCTGTCCCCACACTTTATAACAACCACAAACACACACACACGGATGTATACAAGAAACCAAACATCCCCCCCACAATGCTTTCATCCCTTCTCATTTTGGTGGGCGAAAATTCAGCAGCTGAAGGGCCTTTTAAAAACCAGATTATTAAAAAAAAAAAAGCAGTCGTGTGATCTTACATCAAATGAGTCATTGAGTGAAGAGAGGGATTAGGAGCTAAATCTCCTCCCTGCAGGTGCAAACTGGAGGAAAATAAAACTGGATTTTTAAGGGAGCTTGGTCAGGTTCAGTTTTAAAGGCCCGTTCAAGAGGGTAAGCAATGGCATAGCATGAAAGAAATGAAACCCGCCAAAAGGAGCCCTCCATCAACATACCTGAGGGCAATTACTTTTAAAAGATGCTCAGTCTCCTATGCACCCTGAAAATTCCAGTTCGTTTTAATTTATTAAAGCGCCCACCCTTCACCAGCAGATCCCAGGGCAGCTTACAACAATGTAAAATTCAGAATTCAAAACAGTTAAAACATGTTAGGCTACATGGTTTTAGTAAGAACTGTAACTTTAAAGAACTAGTGCCTAGGTTCACATTTTTCTTTTCCCTCCCTACCCATTTTTCCTTACATGTCATGACTTTTGGGGAATTGGGACAACTTAAGTTCAGTTTTGGTATCACGAGACAAAGTGAGGTGGCAAGCTCAAGGCCAGATTTTGAGCACCAACTTTGTATTTCACAACTATGCTTTAGTTGTAAAAAAAAGTGATCCCAGCACTATCATTCTGAAAAGGGGAAATTACAGGCCTTATCAGCACATTTACACATTAGCCAGCTTATAAGCTTGAGAGGACCCTGTTGGCTCCTCTTTGCTTCTAATCATGACTCTCTGCACATGATGTTCCAGGCAACTGTGCAAGGAATCAACCAGAGCTCAGTGGCAAAGTTACGAGGGTCAATCCCAGGTAGAGCTGGGAATGCCCCCTGCCTGAAACCAAGGAGAGTTGTTGCCAGTCAGTGTAGACAACACTGAGGTAGATGGAGCAGACAGGCTCAAAATAAGGGCACTTTTTTCCAGAATGAAGATCAAGGCAACTAAGGGGACAGTGGGCAGAAAACTGTATCAGGATCCAGAACTTATTTCTGAGAAGCAGCTTATGTTATCCAGGTCCTACCTCTACAACTCCTAAGGTCTATAATATTGGCATTTTAAATTTACACATACACCGTTCAGAACCCAGCAACTGCATGGGAGTCTGCCCCCAAATTCAGCCCAGGCACGCAGAGGGTAAGCCACAGAGAAGCAAATTCCTTGACTCCCCCGCCTGTGACCTTCAATTCACACGCGCTGACTAAGCGAGACATCAATTGCGCTCCATTTAATTTAAAGCTGGAATCCCATCAGAGAGAGACAGAGATAATAAAGGCAAGGGAGTGAAGCTCACTCAGCTGCACAGATCTCGGCGTGTGCTGCAGAATTACTGAACACTACAGAAATTATAGAACAGAAACTGAAATGTGTGTGAGAAGGGTACAGCAGGTGGGCTGTGTTTGCAAGGGGATCGTGACAGACAGGCAAAGTAGCACCTAAGTGGGAGAAAGTGCTGGAGGAAAAAGCACAAAGGCTGAAGGAAGAAGGGTGGCGGCCATTACTATGTCAGAAGACCACTGCTGCACCACATGACTTAGCCAGACAGAATAGTTGTTGTCTACAAATGTATAAATATGTATTGCTTTGCCTTTCACCTGGAAGGCACTCTCCTATCTGCCTAAAGGATGTGAGGAAGTAAGTGGCATCCGCTGCAATGTTTTTAATAAAAATGTCCTGTTTGATTGAAAACTGGGGACTGGGTTATTCTAGCCATCCAGGCTGAACCCATGGGTACTGGGGGGGTGAACCCCCTCCCAATACCTCCCCAACGCAAGTCGCTTTTTGGAAGAACAGCCTTCTGTCACACTTCCAGCTTAAAGGACACACGTTCTGAGAAACCGCTCCCTGCCTGCGGTGATGAAATTCAGAGGAAGCACTCAGTGCAGCAAGCTTGAGTTTCTCCCCCGCTGCTGCCAGCAAAGCACTTTTACAACAGCACCAACAGATCATCCTCTTTCAAAGCACAGAGCCATTCATAGTCTTCCTGGCAGAAGCAGGGCGTGGGCATCAAATGGGCACTGTCTCACCTGGGACCACCCCACCAGCCCAAGGCACTGGCCAAAAGAGGGAGATAATAAGTATTATGACAACCGACAGTTTCCAAGGGTGCCGAAAGTTGGTAGGAGGCCACCTTTCCCAGCACCCTGAACGAACTACAGTTCTCAGGATTCTTTGAGGAGGAGCCGTGGCTGTTTAAAAGTGGCACTAGAGTGCTTAAAATGTAGGGGGTGGATGTGACCACAAAGGATGGAGAAGAGAGAGGGGTGTGAGTTGGTGGGTATAGAAACTGGAACACTCTAGAAAAGCAATGTTTTCATTTGTTGCTCGGCTCACTTTAGCCTCTGGCCCCGCCCACTACTGGCATGTGGCCCCCAGAAGATTGCCCAGAAAGTAACGTGGCCCTCAGGCTGAAAAAGGTTCCCTCAATCCCACTGCGGATGGTGGCTCAGGTAGTGTGAAGCAAGGCAATCAAGCTGACCTAATAGAATCCACATCACATATTTAAAGCATGCTGCTCCCACCAAAAGAATAATGGGAAAGTAGAGTTTCTCTGCTGCAGAACTACAATTCCCAGCACCCTAAACCCAAGTAAAGCCCCCAGGATTCTTTGCAGAAAGCCAGAAATGTATGGTGTGAAACACTCTTGTTCTTTACTTTAAGCGTCATGGCTCTACTCACCCCTACAAAGAATCCTGGGAACTGTAGTTTGTTAAGGGAGCTAAGACTTGTATTAAGACTTATCGTATTTTTCGTCCTATAGGGCGCACCGGCCCATAGGACGCACCTCTTTTTTGGGGGGGGAAAATGAATAAAAAAAATATATTCCCCCCCCCGCCGCGGCTGCCGCCCCAAGCCTTGTGCACACCTGCCTGAAGCACGGGGCACCCTCCGGAGGGCTCCCCGTGCTTCGGGCGACAGGCTGCCGCCCGAAGCCTCGCGCGCTCGGCAGGACCTCCTGCTGGGCGCGCAAGGCTTGCGGACACTCGCCGGGGCTGCAGGCTGCTGCCCACAAGCCTTGTGAGCCCGCGGGAACTCCCACCGGGCTTGCAAGGCTTGCGGATAGCTTCCTGAAGCCTGGAGAGTGAGAGGGTCGGTGCGCACCGATGCCTCTCGCTCTCCAGGCTTCAGCGAAAGCCTGCATTCGCCCCATAGGATGCACACACATTTCCCCTTCATTTTTGGAGGGGAAAAAGTGCGTCCTATGGGGCGAAAAATACGGTATATCCTACCTTTCTCTCCAAGAATCTCAAGGTGGCATGCAATGTTCTCCCCCCCCCATCCCCCAGCCTCATTTAATCCCCACAACCCAGTGAGGTAGGATAGGCTGAGGGAGGCAGTGACTGGCCCCAAGGTCACCCAGTGAGCTTTATGGCTGATTTAAACCCTGCTCTAACACCGTAACCACTACACCACACTGGCTCTCCCAAGCTTATGTGTCAAGTGACCCATAAACGGAACTAGTAATAATTATAATAAACGTAAATACCAACCCAAGGCTACAGTTTAAATGTCTTGATGGGTCACTGCAGGGTATTAGAAGGGTAGCTAGGCTCAGCTGACCACATTGGGGTCAAGGAGCTGGGTGGGTGGGTCACACAAGCAGCTAAGCCTGCCAGGGCCCACCGATGGAGGGGTTCTTGGGCCAAGGCCTTCTCAAACTGGTGGTTGGCCCCAGGGACATCCCCACTGGGTCACTGCTCCCAAGAATGTGGGTATGCGTTATTCTCTGGAATGTACTCCTTCATTTGGAGCAGACGGGTGTCATTTGGGGTCAGTTCTTCCAAGTCTCTTTTCCACACCTAGGTCCCGACATCCGTGCAGCAGAGACGGGTCAGTGAACGGCGGTAACCCTGTTCAATGTTTCCTCTGTTCGAATCCTCCGTTTATGGGAGAAGCAGCTCATTGTGCAGATGGACTGGCCAATCAGAAAAAGAGGAAGGGATTTCGCTCTCTTCGTCGTCGTCCCCTAGTACGGTGACCCAGTAAACAGCTGAAGCAGGAAACACACAAGAACAGTCTCCATTGAAAGGAATAGATTGAGGCACCCAGCATGAAGCTGTTTGGAAAAGACCAAGGGGAATAAGAGGGGAGCTTTTGTTTGCTGGCTACGTTCAATCTCTCCTCCACCCACACAGCCACCCACAGCGGCCACAGCTGACGTGAGGTCCCTTCTCCAGCAGGGACAAAGCTTGCTTGCTTTTTTCCAAAATTCTTTCGCGCCCCCTCCCCTCTCCAGACCCTAAGAGCACCCCCCCCCTTTGAATTCCAGGGTGAAACATTCCCAATAAATTTTCTTTCAAATATGCTGGACACGTAGCCAATATCTGCCATCCACATTCCAACATCTTTATACCGTACTGGGCAAACCAATACGAAATATTTTTCTGCACCCAAAATAAATAAAACCAAGCAACTTTAGACAAGGGATTGGGAACCTTAGCTTGCAGCCAGGGGCCACTTTCCCTTCCGGACAAACTTCAGAGGGCCAAATGCCAGCTGTGGGAAGGGCCAGGGAAAACAGAGGGCAGGGAAATGAATGCCTTTTTTTTTTACATGTTTTCTAGGTAAATACACATGTTTACACCGACCCCCCACCCCACTCTGCATCCTCCATCCAGGCAAGGAAGAGACATTTGTCAGAGTTTAAGGACACATTTCCAGCCACGCAAAAATATTTGGGCTGCAGGGCTCATGCAGTATTCCCTGCCCATGGAAGGTTAGTGCATCAAGGAGGCAGTGAGGCTTAAAGCCTTCTTCCTGACATGCTAGCTTTCTAGGCATGAAGGGCTTTGAGTGCCATCTGGGACTCCAAAAGCGATTGTGTGTACACAGGTGTGCAGGGGAGACAAAAGGAGGGAAAGGGGGAATTAAGGGCTGCACTATCCCCCCCCCAAGGCAGCTGCAAAAACCTCACTGCTGTGGATGGTTGCCCTCTTCCTTGCTCTTTTACCTCCAAAGCTGGTTGCCTGAAGGGACCGCAAGGGACTACTCAGGGGGGTCAGGTTCAGCCTTGGAGGCTGCTAGCTGCTGATCAGTATGGCAAATGTTTGTCAAAAGCTCTCAAAAGGGCCTGTTAAGTTACCAGTTCACAGCAAACAATCTAACAAAAGGTACATAGTTTACCACAAGAGACAAGAATTCAATAAGGAAGCATAAGTCTGTTGCTAGGGGCATGGAAGCGGTGGTGCCACCACCCAGAAACCTGTCCGGCTGCTTCTCTGAAAGAGGAATTCCTCACTCCGGCGGGCATAGGGGGTGGGCATAAGTGAGATGACTGAGCTCCTGCTAGTCCAGAACAGCCTTCGGCAAGCTGGCACCTTCCAGAGGTTGTAGTCCAACAATCTCTGTAAGGTGCTGCGTTGACAAAGCCTGTTCCAGAAACTATGACCATGAAGGACCATCCCATCAATCTCACTGCCCAGGAGGCAGAACTGGGAAAGGTTTACAGAAATCCAGCTCCCGTTTAAGACAAGTTCCTGGTCCTCATGATAGCACCCAGCAAGCACAATGCTTCATTCATCCTTTCTCCTTCTTGTTTAGCAAGGCTGAAAGAGATCCAAAGCGGGTGGGGAGTGGGGAAGAAAACAAGTGTGTGTGTTTGTGATATTTTATATATGTGTGTGCGTGCCTTTTGCTTCAACGCTGATATTTTCAACTTCACAAACAGAATGAAAGAAGTTACAAACGAAGACCTCTCCCTTCCCATTAAAGAGTCTCCGACTTTGTTCAGCTGCTAGGTATTAAAATGTAGTCAACACTCGAACTCTAAAAATAAAAGGAGGAGCCGGCATTCCGGATTAAGTCTCCTCCAGTTGTTCCCCTCCAGACGCCTGTGCCTATTCTTCTATAATTTTTGCAAGTCAAAGCAAAGATGAACTCTCTCGCACTCCCCTCCCCCCCGGTGCCAACATCCGGCACACCGCACACAAAACTTGGCCTGGTTTGGCAGAATCCAAGCTGAGCTCTCCCCCCCCCCCGCAACACACACACACACACACACACACACACACACACACACACACACACACTCCTGCTTCCTTGAACAAGCACAGGCAGAAAAGGCCTCAGGAAGAAATAGGAACTGGGCCGACAGCTGCATCCGTGACACAGAACACAAAGGGTGCCCATCAACCAGCAAGAAAATGGTCCATTGCTTCCTTCGGGGAACAAGGTTTGATGCTTTGGATTGGAAACAAAGCCAACACACCAGCCCCATTACAAAACAGAGAGAGAAACAGATCATTATGAATGTTGGAAGGCGTCTTATACTGAGTCCATCTAGTTCAGTGGTTCCCAAAGTGGGCAGTGGGATTGTCTAGGGAGGTGCCAAGAGCAGGGCCAGCCCACCCACGAGGCAAGGTGAGGTGACAGCCTCGGGTGGCAGAATCCACCTGGGCAGCAGATCCATCTTTCTTTCCCCCCTTGTACCTGATGCATATCTTCCCTAGGTGACTATCAGACTTTGAAAAGCTGGTATCACTAGATCAAGTTAATCAACTTTGTTGAAATAATTAAATTAGTTTCAATTGGATTATGAATAAATGTGCAATTAATAGTTACTGTTTTGAACGTTAACGTGTTATCTTCCTTAGTGGGTCATGCAAACTACTATTCTGAATATTGCTTTTTATAGGGTGGAATAGGGGGCACTAGAGATGGAACCAAGACAGCGGTGGCCCGAAAATGTTTGGGAACCACTCATCTAGCTCATTTGTTTCCCTTGTGTTACGAACCACTGTTGCCAGATCAAGAGCATCCCAGACCCTGAGTTTTCAGTAAAGCTAAGATCCAGTCCTCATGGTTTCCAAATAAAGGGGCTGATTTAAACAGGAAGAGAGGGTGCTGACTTAAATCAAGCCAGGTCACTACTTCATCTAGCTCACTGCTGTCAACACTGGCAGGCAGAGGATCTCAATGGTTTCAGGTCAGGGACATTTCCAGCCCTACATACCAGGGTTTGAACTCTGGGAGTTTTGCATACAAGAGTACAAGTTTGTATGGCTTCATAAGTGCAACCGGTAACTTACGACCGGTAACCGGTGACTTACATAACTCCACAGTGACTGCCCTGTAAAACTGCCCCCTCAAAGCTGTTGGGGCAACACTGCCATGGCAGCAGGGATCACAACGTTCGTTAGCTAATTAGCAATCACCTGGCATGTAGGAATGAGCCAGCACTTTCAGGCCTGGCAAACATACATGGTGTGACCATTGCAAAGTTACCCAGGCCAACCAGGTTGCAAGACTACAACCTGTTTGAGTCTCCTGGAGATTACATAACAATACTTGTAAAGAAGAACTGGAAGCACACATTGGGCTGGATGCCTTTTGCTGCTTTTTTATTATAAAATGCTGCTAATCTTTATCTGATATACTGTTTGCAACTTCACTTTAGGTCTTTCGACATTTTTTGTTCGGCAGCCGATTTGATGGCAGTTTAGAGACAAAAAGTGGCATCTGTATTTTAATATTTTAAACTTTTCTCAGCAATCCTTACACCCACGGTTGATGGGTCAGGAACCTTCCAGACCCTGAGATTTCAGGGCCCAAACCTGGGACTTAGGAGCTGCCCTGGTGATGTCACAAGGGGAAGCTCCAAGTGATGTCATAGAACAGACACTGGTTATATGACAGGGACAGGCCTTGGAGACGGAGGTTAATTGGGTGAGGGGAGTGAAGTCTCCTCCCTAGTGCTCTCTCCCTAATGTCTATGCTGGGTTGAAGCTTGTAAGCTATGTGCAGTCTTCATAAGGCCCTTTCCTCACCCATTCAAGCTGACCACCTGTCAGAGGCAGGCAAACATGGAAACTTCAGGTCAGATCTGGAGGTCTGGCAACCCTACTTCCTACTGTCATTATTAACTTTCAGAAGAGATTCATAAATATTCCCATTTACCTAGGCATTTGGTGGCTGGAGAATACTATTCCTGGCAGCCCTGAGATATTTGGATGGAATGTTTTAAAATGTAATTGCTTTCATGTTTTTAATTGCCATTGTTTTTGGAATGTTTTAATCACTTTCAAAATGCTTTTGCTTTTAAATTGAGTATCTTTTTGCTGCCCTGGGCTCCCAAGGGAGGAAGGGCGGGATATAAATTCAATAAATAAAATTGTGTTGCAATGTTGACTGGTATTATCCCCATTGCGTTGCCGAGAAGGGAACGTCTCATTTAATAACAGTTTCTATCTTGCTTTCCATACAGTGACATATTTGCTCATCTGTTAAGACTTTCTGGGTTTTTAATATTTAGTTGAATGACCTACTCTCAACGACTGCAGCTGAATGATAAATTCCAGGATCTGAGATGCTCATGTACTGGCACCCTATAAAATCTATTATGTCTGCCAGGGGCTGCTTTCAAACAGATATGTTTTGATTAATCAATATCTAAATCAGTGGTTCCCAAGCCTTTTCAGGATGCCTCCCACTTTGTTCCTTCAAGTCATCCCTGGTGCCTCCCACCCTATAAAAAGCAGGATTAAGAACAGAGGTTTGCATGACCCACTAGGGAAGATGATATTAACACAATAAAATTCAAAAGAGTAACAATTAAGTGCACATTTATTCACAATCCAATTAAAACAATTTAGCTTAATTCATTCACCAAAACTGATGGACTTGATCCAGCTTTTCAAAGCCTGATGGTCCTTTGCACCTCTGGCACCTCCTTTATCTTAGCATCCCCCTAGCATCACCACCCACTTTGGGGACCACTGATCTAAATTAAGAATAGATCAATAAATAACAACAGTCCCTCAGTTCATCCAGGGTGGGGCAAGAGGTGCCTACCAGCTAACAAAATTTGGGGGACAGCACTCCAGGCTAAAAGCATCATGAAAAGGTGGGTTTTAACAGTGAGTTTTAAAGAAGGAAAGGGAGGCAACAAATCAAGGCATCATAGCAACGGCAGACCACACCTCGCACTCCCACCATAAGCAAAATCTTGTAGCAGAAATCAGGGGAATGGCCCTCCCCTCTGCTCCTCTTTCCACTCACCCCTTGAGAAACAGAAATCCATTCCCAGCTGTTAGTGATGAAGACCAGTTCTCTATAAGCCTGCCTTGCTGCTGTTGCCAGAACATAAGGAGCGAACGCATGACCCATCCACACCGGAAATTAACTACAGACCCACCAGGAGGCGAAAAGACCCACCCTCAAAAGGGGATAAAAAGAAAGGCTTGCAAGCTACTTCACACAACACATTTTTCAGTACCGTGCTGGACATTCCCCAATATTAGATGGTTTGTTTGGAGTACACACCTGCATGCTTGGATATTTAAGGCCCCTTCTCTGAATGCTGAGCTTTCATTTAAGCCAAACCAAAAAATATGGTGATTGAGATTGGGGGGCGGGGGGGGGGAGAGAATGCAGTTGGTATGGTATCCCACCTTGGTAAGGAGTCAAGCCGCTTCTGCTTCCTGGTTGTCCTGGCCAGTGAATTCAAAGACACTGGAGTGGTTCAGAAAGCCCACAGGGACATGGCATTTGCCTTATTATATAGATATAGATATAGATATAGATATAGATATAGATATAGATATAGATATAGATATAGATATAGATATAGATATATATTGATATATATATATTGATATATATATATAATCTCCTTATACAATACACACACAAATTACGGGGGTGGGGAGACAGAGTTCTATTTGCTGCTCTGCATTGATTTTCTCCTTTCCTCTCTGCATGTCTTAAGGCTCCACCAAACCCAACAACTACTGTATTTTTCCATATATTGGACGAGGTTTTTTTGACTCAAAAATCATGTCAAAAAACTGGGGTCATCCAATACACAGATAGTGGCATGGGGGGGGGGGGAGAAGCTGCGCACCGCCAGCCAGTTCACTTCCCCCAATGCCGCTGTACGGTGGGTGCTCCCTGTGCGTGCCCCATGCCTCTGCGCACGGGAAACGATCTAGGGAGTGTTTCCTGCCCGCAGCTGCGTAGGGGCTCAACAACTTTGTGCTATCTCCCCTCATTTTCCTAAAACTGAGTCCCCAAAAATGGGGGGAGTGGGTCTTATACATGGGGGCATCTTATAGACGGAAAAATATGGTATGTTTCTAGTCCTTGTGACTAGAATATTAATTTTTAATGGAAGGGCCATAGCTCAGAGGTAAAGCATAAGCTTTGCATGCAGAAGGTCCCAGGTTCAATTCTCAGCACCTCCAGGTCAGACTGGGAAGACCCCCTGCCTGAAACCCCTGAGAGCTACTGCCAGTCAGTGCAGACAGTACTGAGCTGAATGGACCAATGGTCTCTGGAATCAGCAGGAGGCAGTTTCCAATGTTCCTAAATAAGAGTGGGGAAGTGAAAGGAGACAGAAAACACTGGACACTGGCTTTATAAGAGTTCAGACCACTGGGTCCACCTAGCTTAGTATTGTCCACACTGACTGGCAGTGGCTCTCTTGGGTTTGGGGAAGAGGTCTTTCCCAGCCTTACCTGGAGATGCAACTGGGGACTGAACCTCAGGCCTTCTGCAGGCAAAGATGCTCTAAGCACTAAGCTACAACCTGTCCCCTGATAACAATATCATCAATGACACATGACTCTGGCTGGAATTCCACTTCCCAGAATGCAACGCTTCCTGGGGAATTGCACACCCTGTCCCTTGTAGCTCAGCCGGCATTGCATCCAAAATCCATTCCTTAGCAACACGCTTCCCCTCTTTTCTCCTGGATCTCGGAGAGCTGCAACAAGCTTTTAAGAGCAACAGCCTTGCAAAAGGATGGGGGTGGGGCAGCAGAATACAGCCATGCAATGGAATCGGAAATCAGCAACCCTTCCAAAATACTAATTGGTTGAAATAGCAAACCAGCAACCTCTCCAAAATGCTAAACTTGCTTGGAGGTGTGGGGGTGGGAATAGAAACAAGACCAGCAAGACCATTTAAAACAGAATTTATTTATCTGCTTGCATTTATATCCCAATTATTTCCCTCCAAGCAGCTCAAACTGGCACACATAGCTTTCTTCTGTCCCATTCTGTCCTCGCAACAACCCTGTGAGGTAAGTGAGGCTGAGACCGAGTGACTGGCTCAAGATCACCCAGTGAGCTTCATGGCTGAGTGGGGATTGAACCCTGGTCTCCCTGGTCATGGTCTGACACTCTAGCCACTGAATAACACAGGATAAAGATTTGTACACTATTTCCAAGCAGACCGAGGATGCTACTTGAGGATTTTCCTGTTCCATGCCCGAGAACCCCCCCTTTTTCTCTCTTAACCCTGAGCTGAAGCGCACAACAGCTGACACACAACTGCAGCAAATCAACACAATGCTCCTTTTGTTTCCTCCACTGAGGGATATCTTGTGCTGCTTGCGGCCTAGTAAACAGCTCGTTCCATCCTCCCTTCCCAGCTTTAGGAGATGAGGTTTGGCCTCAGGAGTCCCCCACAGGACAGAAATAAGAATTCCAAAGCAAACAGAAATACAGGCAGAGAGGAGATCTTCTAAGGTGGAGGACTTTATCCACACACCCAAAAGAGTAATCTCTGAGGAGGGGAGGGATGGTGGATTTTTTTTTTACACTTTCCCCCCAATCTTAAATTCTGTTTGTCCCTCCCCCATTCCTACAGCAAAATCTGAAAACTGCACCTGTTCCTGCTGCAAGATGGCACTGAAAGCCAGTGGGGGTTGGTCCCCCAGGAGGGGGCTGGTCCACTGTCCCTCAGACCTTGTGGGGGGGGGGCAGACTATATTTTGAAGGGGGGGGAAATGAATGAATTCCTATGCCCCACAAATATCCCATAGATGCATTTTAAATACTGTAAAAGCACACATTCCACTCATGTAAAAACACCAGGCAGGCCCAACAAATAACCCATAGATGCATTTTAAATAAAAGGACACATTCTACTCACGTAAAAACTTGCTGATTCCCGGACTGTCCGTGGGCCGGACTGAGAAGGCGACTGGGCCTGATTCGCCCCCCCCCCCGGACTTAGTTTGCCTACCCATGGGTTAGACTGTAACAATTAACCCCCTCGGAAGGTGGTGAATTCTCCTTCCTCGGAGGTTTTTAAGCAGAGGAGCATCTCCACCCCCATCGTTCTGCCCGGACGCTGAGGTCCAGCGCCGAGGGCCTTCTGGTGGTTCCCTCACTGCAAAAAGCAAAGCTACAGGGAACCAGGCAGAGGGCCTTCTTGGTAGTGGCGCCCGCCCTGTGGAACGCCCTCCTATCGGATGTCAAAGAGATAAACAACTACCTGACATTTAGAAGACATCTGAAGGCAGCCCTGTTCAGGGAAGTTTTTAATGTGTGACATTTTAATGTATTTTTAATCTTTGTTGGAAGCCACCCAGAGTGGCTGGGGAAACCCAGCCAGATGGGCGGGGTACAAATAATAAATTACTATTACTATTACTATTACTATTACTATTACTATTACTATTATTATTACTATGGTCATCTACCAGGGATGCTTTAGTTGAGATTCCAGCAATGCAGGAGGTTGGAATAGGTGACCCTTGAAATCCCTTCTGGATAGTCCCAGATTAGGCGAAAGCCTGTTTGCATTTGGAAAAGTACTAAGGAAGGGATTGGGGAAATGGTTTGGTTCCCAGGGATGCCGATCCAGTCATAAATCCTATTTGGAAACAAAAACAAAACCTCAAACCTAGTTAGCACACCCAGAAAGGTATTGTGCACTTCTATGGACACCTAGCGGGGACAACTGTCGAGAAACAGGAGGATGATGCAAAAGCTCCTTCCAAACTCCATCCTCCAAACTCTGCCCAGCAACTTGACAGGGAACTCCTCACTGTGAGTGACAGGTCTCCCTTGGCACAGCTTTCTTGGGAAGAAGGAGCCAGCTCCTCATCCACTGGGCTGTGATGTCGCTAAGGGGATTTTAAGAGTCTGGATTTAAATGATCTTACTGGGGTGGGCACCCTTTGTTTATATGCAAGAATTCATCTTTTTAAAAAATATGACTACCGGGACCCTGCTGCACTTGGGGACCCTCCTGCTCAGTTTGCTCAGTGCAGTCCCTGTCCTGCCCCTAATGAGATGGCACTATTACCCATCTAGGAAATGTCAAAAGGTGACATTTGCTCTCTGGATTGCAAACTGGAGTTGGGTGGGGATGAGTCTAGGAGCTGAGAAGCATTCCTGGCACTAAGCCACCCATGAAAGGGCAGATAAGTCTGAAAAATAAAAGGGCATTAATTTAACGAGCAAAGGCAGATGGGAGTCTACCCATGAGGTTTCCCACTGTGTCTCTGTCTGATGTATTGCCCTGAGGCATGTTCCTTTCCAATCAGCCTCTGCTAGATGAGGGTTAGCCTGTTGAATCTCCACAATGGGATTGTTCAATCGTTCCTAACAAGGAGACATGACAAAATGACCTGCCTTCAGATGTGACTTTCTGTAAAGTCTCTTCATGAGTCATTGCTATACAGAATTCCTCCTAAACCCAAAGCAAAACCTAACCCAAACTGAGCAAATCATGCAGAAATGCACAAGAGTGGGTGATTCTCCTTTGGGATGTGTTGCAGAAGCAGATTCTTTTTGAGTCAACAAGTGAGAAAACTACTGTAAAACTAGTCAATCCCCCACCCCAAACCCATTTAGTATACATTTGAGGTGTGAAGTAGAACACAGTAGCAGTAGGACAGAGTTTAAATTTTAAACACTTTTTTTTTGGCTGCTCTTAAAGTCACAGCTTAAGGACTACATTTCAAACTTGTTTTTTAAAAACTAAAATGAAAGCCATTATTCTTAGAATCCATTTCTGTGTCTTCCCGCCAACATGAAATTGTGGCACTCGCAGCACCCTGGGCTCAGCTGTGGGAAGATAAATGGTTCTGTAGATAAACAGTGCCTTAATCTGTATTAACTAGGGTATCCATTTAGTAAAAGCAGGATCACACAGATTAAGGAGCCGCTCCTTTGTATAGTCATGCCATCCAGATTTAAAATGCCTCAGTCCTCAGAGTTCAACTTCTTAGCTTGTTTCAAAACAGGCAGTCTTAATCTTCTACATACCCCTAATCCTTCAGAGGAGACTGTGTGTGCAGGAAAATCAGAATGACTTATTTGGCAAAGCAAAGGCTTTAGGTTACCTTGTTCGGGTGACAAAGAGTGTTTGTGTGTGTAGGTAGGTAATCTGGACAGAGATAAACTAACAACTGTCTATGCTCTGGTAACCTCTAGGTTAGACTACTGCAGCGTGTTATACATAGGACTGCCTCTGAAGACAGTTCAGAAACTTCAGCTGGCGCAATATTTGGTGGACAGGCTGCTCACCGAAGGAAGATGGTTTGGGCATATTACACTGATTCTGACCCAACTGGGTGCCAATTAAGCTTCTGGGCCCAACTCAAAGTGCTGGTTTTCACCTATAAAGCCTTAAATGGCTCAGAACCACAATACCTTAAGGACCTCCCGATATGAACCCAATATTAACAACAACAACAACAACAACAATCTCTCAAGGACTGAGATACAGGAATGAAATTTGATATGCATGTTCGGAATACAATTCTGCACTTCAAGCTCATACACCTATTTTTACCTCTCACATCCATTTGCAAGAGTGCAGAGAAAAAAGCACAGATGTCAAAACACCTGAAAGGAAATCTTATATCTGAGAAAGACAGAGAGAGAAGATAACTTGTGGGTTGGTAAAACTATGAATATGTCCCCAAGGTAAATGAAGAGAAAGAGAAAGAGAGAGAGAGAGAGAGAGAGAGAGAGAGTTTATTTTATATTTCACTTTATAAAGTATATAAGAACAGAGAGAGCAATTATTAAAAGATCAAAAGATGAAAAGAAAACTATAAAATGAGTACAGTTGCACATGCAATAAAAGAACAGTGCAAGTAAAGAATATCAACCCTTATGAGATTATCAAGCCAAGGTGAATATGTGGGATGCTCTCAGTCTGTCAGTTTTGCTAGCCAAACTTTGAACAGGATATTTCAAACTCACATTTGCATTCTGATGTCATATTTTCTCATTCTCCCCGCCCCCCTGTCTCTTACACAGTGTGTCTGAATGTATATTTTGTGTGTCCATCAATGTCAGGAAGTGCTAAAAGCATTTTTCTTTACGCTAGCCTAGACAAAGGATATGTAGAACGTTGATGTGCATGTTTTAATCTCATCTTAGTTCATTGCTGGTTTTAATTTTTCCTGAATTTTTAAAAAAGTCGTTTTTAAACTGTTTTTACAATTTCATTTCCCCCCTTTTTCTCTGTAAACCCATTTGAGGGGTTTTTTTGTACAATCAATCAGTGTTTTAATTTTATGAAATAAATAATTTTTTAAAATGTGTTCTTGTAAGAATGTGTATACATATGAGAAACAGTGGAAGGCTGATTGGTTTTGAATTCAAATTTGCAAAACAGATTGTTTCTTGTGTGTGAGAGAGAGAGACAAAGAAAGAGTGTGGGTCTGTTTGTATATACGTATATTGTATCTTTGCCAAGCTTAGATAAGTACTTCTCGACTCTGCGAAAAAAATAATTCATGCCTCTGTCCATGACAATCCCACACAGCCCTAGCATTGCTCTGGGACAGGGTGGTCTAACACGCTGCCCACAACGCGAGGGTACGTGAGTGAGGGGGGCTGGGGCACTTGAAAACCCACCAGTGGGGAGAGACAGGTGCCAAATTTCGAGGCCCCACCTTTTGATTGGTGGGCTGGCTGGCTGGCATGACTTGGCGAGGCCTCTCTGCCTGGGGCTCTCTAGTTCAGGTGGGCTGCCCTTCAGAGAGACACTTGACTATTCTAAATTATTATTATTATATTTATTTATATCCCATCTTTTTATCCTGACATGGACTCAATGTCCCTGAAAGGGCTCAATTTATTAATTATACACATTCAATTGTATATATTAATTGTCTATATGAGGAACACTTTAATTGACAACGGTCTATGTGGCCCACGGATTCTGTTTCAAAGTACTCTTGCCCATCCAGCTCTGGGGGATTGTGGGAAATTTAAAGAGTGGCAAAGCCTGGCTACTCTCTGCTGTCCAGGTGGCTGTACTCTTGGTGACCAGGGGCAACTTACAGAGGAAGCAGGGGCCACATTTTGCCCAAGCTCCCCCCCCCCCGCAGCCTGGAACTGGGTATTCCCTCACAAAGCTCCCTGATACACGGCACACACCATCCATCAAATATGACAGGATAGGGTGGCAAAGGGGAGAGGAGACTATCACAGAGGGGAACTCCTGAACACTCGTCACAGTTCCAGCTTGTACTCAACGGAGTTGGTTCTGCATTTATTTATTAAAAGAAGAAGAGGTTATTTGCGAACACTCCTGACAAAAAGCTGCTGCAAGCCTGTGCAGATCAGGCCCCTGGGGCAATTTCTGCCGCCTGCATCCCTGGTAATTAACAGGACAGATTACTTGTGCTTTATTCCCCCCCCTTTTTTCTTAATTTCCATCTGAGGCCTGCAGAGCTTTTTGTTATTTAAAAATAACCTGTTGCCTCCGCCACGTGGGAATGTCTGCCTCCATGCCTAGCCCACTAAGACCTACGTGCTGATAGGCAGCAAACTCTCAGTTTCAAAAAAATTTAGGAGGGAGGGGAGTTAAAGAACTAATTAAAGTTTATCAGCAGTGCAGAGTCTAGAGGTCAGAGCGCCAGCCTGGGAGCTGAGAGACCCAGGTTCAAACCCCCCACTCAGCTTTGATAACTAAATCAAGCCTTCACATTTAGGGGCAGTATATCTCCAATTACAAAATACTGGTGGAGGGGAGGGTGCAGACAATAAGTTGCTGCCTTTTGTCCGCTTGTGAGCTTTTCTGGGAGCTTCTGGCCAGCTGATGAACCCTAAGTCTGATCCAGCAAGGCATTTCTTAATCCATGAAAGCACAATTGAAAAGTGCAAAGCACAGCTGGGGCAGGAAGAGTTCAGGAGGACTGCATTTAAAGCAGTCTCCCATGGAATCCTAGGAACTGTAGTTTATCTCTTAAAGAGCTAGAGTTCCCAAGATTCTTGGGTGTGGGAGAAATGTGCTTTAAATATACGGTGTGTACACAGCCCAAGACAAAACATTATTTTCTTAAAAACCGTAAGTAGCTACCATCTACCATGGCCACATTTGCACCATACATTTAAAGCAGTATCATTTTGAAGAGTCATGGCTTCCCCAAAAAATTATGGGAGCTGTAGCTTATTGAAGGTGCCAGGAGTTGTTAGGAGTTGTTCTCCTCACAGAGCTTCAATTCTCAAAAGTGGCTTAACAATTAACGCTGGGAATTAATTGTAGCTCTGTGAGAGGCATATGGATCTGCTAACAACTCTCAGCACCTTTCACAAACTACAGCTCCCAGAATTCTTTGGCGGAAGGCATAACTGTTTAAGATGGTATCATAGTGCCTTAAATGTATGGTATGAATGTGGCTCTAGACATGCCCAATGTTAGTGAAACACGGTTTCTTTCCTGCCTGCAAGGAGGAGGAGGTATGGTGGTCTGGAATGATTGCACCACCCTTTCAATCATTATTTCCTTGCAATGGAGGGAGCTGAAAAGCTCAGGCTCTCCCCCTACCCTACCCAACTTTCCTGGCCTCTCTTCTGAAACCACACCTCTCAAGGCTCCTCCTAGCCTAGTGAAGGAAATCTGGGAGGTTGAAATACTTTTTTGCCAGACACGAAATGAGAAACAGATGATGGATTTTCAGCAACAATCTCTCTTGCTCCAACCTCCAAGAGAATGAAATCAGGGGCGGTGGGTGGCAGCCTTGTGTGCATAGGAAACTGGATCTGGTTTATTAACTCTTTGCAAAAAGTTTGGCGAAGGGAAGCAATTAAGATAAAAGCCCTGTGTCCCAAGAATGAAAACAGCTCATTCAATATAGCATCAGTGTCATAGGAAGAGACCTGCTGTAAGCACTGTTTTACACTGGCTGGCAGCAGCTCTCCAGTTGCAAGCAGGCAACCATCCCAGCCTAACACGGGGATGCCAGGCATTGAGCCCAAGACCATCCGCATGCAAAGGATGTGTCCTACTACTGAGCTATGGCCTATCCCCTAAAAATAAAGTAAGATTCTAATTCTTACTGTTTTGAAGAATTAAACAGGCTGAATTAAATAGAATCTGATCATTGGTCCATCTATCTCAGTACTGTCTACATTGGCAGGCAGTGGCTCTCAAGTGCTTCAAGCAGGAGACCTTCCCCGCTTTACCTGGGGATGCCAAAAATTGACCCGGGACCTTCTGCATGCATAGCAGATGCTCTACAGCTGAACTACACAAAGCACACCAAGCTATTGACAGGGGCCTCGACTGTCCTGTAATGGAATGTCAGAGAGACTCTGGTGCTCCCACAGTCGATGGATACAGATGTTTGGACATAAGTCATGACCCACCCAGCAAAGGATTTTCTCTGCATTGGAAGAAGATGCTACAGGCTCTCTCCAAATCCCTGGCCAGGTCGGAGAGCTTTAGGCAAGCAGCTCCAAGGAGAACAGAAGGCACAAAAATGGTTCGCAACAGGAAGCTCGCTGTCATTCATTAAATCCTTTAAAGGCGCCAGATCTGCGCTTCTCGCCACAGAGAGCGCCTCTCCTAATAGATGCTCAAACCTGGCAGCTTGCCAGCCACACAGATAATTGCCTGACCAGTTGAGCCCAAAGCGATCATGTGAGCAGGAGGGAATTGCAGATATCTGTGGAAGATGGAAAGGGAACAACAAAGATCATCTGCCTGGCCAGTGACCCTTTTGCTGCACACACACCACATTTAAGCACCTCTATATATATTTTTAAAATCATGGGAATTATAGTTTCACTGTCTTCACTTTTACCTGAAATTCATGCAAATTGAGGGTTGTGATATGGCATTACAAATCCTCCAGTGGGAGCTGCATGATGACAGCCTTATGTTTTTATTAGAGAGAGACAGAGATAAACCAATTGTGCTTTTTGTAAAGGGGAATTTCTGTAGCTCAGTGGTAGAGCATCTGCTTTGCGTGCAGAAAGTTCAATCCCCAGCATCTCCAAGTAGGGCCTGGAGGGACTCCCTGCCTGAAACCCTGGAGAGCTGCTGCCAGCCAGTGCAGACAATAATGAGCTACATTAACCAAGGAACTAGATATAGTCGGTAAAAGGCAGCTTCCCAAGTTAATAGGAAAGACTTCACTTTCATATTGACTGAGCTTATTACAAATAAAATAAAATAACATCCATGAGAGGCCTCCCTACTGTCAGCAAGTTCAAATGTTAAGTCATTTTCTATACAGGCAACTCCCCATTTACACGCATTCAAGGCAAGTGCAACAGCGCATGCGCGCACTGCAGCAATCTTGAAAACAGCACAAAAGGGGCAAAAATTGCCCTTAAAGAGTGTGAAAATGGAAAGAAGCTAGGATCTAGCAATCCCAGGAGCCTTTGCACCACCTTTGGCCTGTGGAGAGTTGGGAGTTTGAGCAAGGAGGTTTGGAAAGAGCGACTGTAGTGGATTTAATGAGTGAAAAAAATTTTTTAAAGGTTTTTCAAGGGCTTCCAGGGTGTTTGCAGGCTTTTTCAATGGTGTTCCCAATATACACAATTTCAATTAAATGCACGGTGGCTAACCCCCATGTAAATGGGGAGTTGCCTGTACTACATCATTCGATCATTGATTCATTTATAAGGTTATGAAGTTCCATCATATCCTCCCTCATTCTTTTAAAACTCAAATGTAGGGAAAGTGCCCCCACCCCATTTGTATGATGTGCCGCAATTTCAGGTGACACTGTACAGGACAGGAACATGGAATGTTTCCCTTGTACCGAGTCACATCATTGGTCTATCTAGTTCAATACTATCTACTCTGACCGGCAGCAGCTGTCCAGGATTTCAGACAGGGGACATTTTGCCAGCCTTACTTGGAGATGTCAGGGAATGAACTTGGGACCTTCTGCATGCAAATCAGCTGCTCTACCAATGGGCAACAGCCTCTCCTCCTAAGAACAGAGTAAGATTATAGTCCTCATCATTCTGAATATCCAGAGTCAGACCACTGGTAAACCTAACTCAGTATTGTCTGCACTGACTGGCAGCAGCTCTCCAGGGCTTTAGGTAGGGGGTTATTCCCAGCCATACCAGATGCCAGGGTTTGATCCTGGGATTTTCTGCATGCAAAGCAGATGCTCTCTCATTGAGAACAACATAAGAAGGTACCTTATACAGAGTTCAACCACTGGACAATTTAGTTCAGTATTGTCTACACTGACTGGCAGCAACTCTGAGATTTCAGACCAGGAATCTCTCCTAGGGATTGCAAGGATTTTACTACCATGAATGCTGCATTTTATTGTACATATTATGGGATCAGTGCTCCTTATGCATGCACATTTTTCACAGCATCCTCAAAACACTGTTGGCCTGAAAATACTAACCTGTATATCTCCCCCCACCTTTAATCTAGATTTACTTTTTTCCTGGGAATTCCTATACAGGAAAATAAAATCCTGTTGCTAGTGGCCTATTTGCAATATCCACAGTAAGTGAAGTGGCTACCTCTGAAAACTGAAGTGAAGTGGCTACCTCTGAAATCTGCCAAATCTTTCAATAATGCAATCTAAGAAGCACCATCGTTTTGTGGTGTGAGTTAAAAGACGAGTAGTGTAAAAATAAGTTGCAGTCCACTTAACCTGCCTCACAGGGTTGTTTTTAGGATGAAATGGGGAAAGAGGCAGAGAATGACCCATATACATGCTCATGCACGCCAGTAATGAAACAGATTAACGCCATAAATTTAAAGCCCATCCAACACTCATTTAAAACGTAGGACTTCCTGCAAAGAATCCCGAGAACCTCGCCAAGCTACAATTCCCAGCATCCTTAAACTACAATCTTCAGGATTCTTTGTGAGGAGCCTGCTGCTTCAAATAGGTTTTAAATGTGGAGTGGATTCAGAATCGGACCTAAATTACCAGTCGAAAGACAAAAAGTAAGGCGCCTCCTAGAGAAGCTACTTTCAAACAGCTTTGTTGGTGGGACCCCCAGCGCTCCATTCACCCTTCCGCGTGCCCACGCATAACACCAGAACTAGAAAACTTGGGAGTTTGCGGTCGCGGTATAAAAAAGCGAAGAGAGATGCGGTCAGGCTTCACCCCTAAATTAAACATGTCTTGGAAACACGGCGGACGCGGAGGGAAGAGAACTAGTCGTCTGGTTGGGAGCCCGTTACTACAAGCCTCTGCACGCTTTTGCTTGGGGCGCACGCCCCACTGAGCGGAGGCTTACTCCCGAGTAAGCACGCACAGGATTCGGCTGGGGCGGAATTTCTTTTGCCTGAAATTCATGCAAAGCGAGCGAGACACGCCGTATAATCAACCCGCCACCTCCATCCCCGCGGCGCATGGGGCTCCCCACACCCCCAACACTTTGGGCTTTACCTCCAGCGGGGGCAGGTCCGGATCCAGCTGCGTGAAACTGTGCAAGACGACGGGGCTGGTGCTCTCGGCCGCCACTTCCAGCTTCACGCCGTCCCACAAGCTTCGGAACCGCCGGGAGCCTTCGAACATTTTCTCCGGGCTGAGGATGCCGCCGCGTCCGCCGCCGCCGCCTCCTGCGGTGGCTGCGGCAGCGGCTGCTTTGGGGCGTTCATCCTGCAGGAGCTCTGACCACATGAGGTTCACCATGGAGCGGCGAGAATAGAGGGTCCAACTCCTGCTAACTTTCCATTATACTGAGCTAAAGGAGGAGGGGCGTCAGTTCACGGGCTCGGAGGGTCCCCTCTCCAAACTACGCGCACCTTGGGCTTGGGAGAGAGCGCGCGTTCTTTGCGCCTTTGCGCCTGGAACTCAGCAGCAAAGCGGCTCCTTCTCAGTCATCATTCTCCACACTGGGGAAATTTGATCCGCCCACTCACAAGCCCTTATGTCACCCGCTTGGAAAGGGGTGGAGATAGAGTGAGAGAGCAAGATTGAAAAGGCGGTGTGGTGCTGCTAGGGAAGCAAGAGAAAGCGGAACCAGAGCCTAGAGGCTTTTCCTCTTCTCATCCCCCTCCCGCTTGGAAGAGGCTAGGAAAGAAAGCAGAGGCGTGCCCTCTGCAGGCCGAGAAGGAGAGCGCCGCTGGAACTTTATTATTATTATTTTGCAGAGAGAGAGAGAAACGTTTATAATCCTAATATTAGTATTAACCACCTCACTCGTTCACTCACAGAAGCTGTGGCACTTTAAAAGGCTCAAGGATTTATTGCGGCGGCTGCTCTGCGCGCAGATGAATTGAAGGGTTATCACTGTGGCTTGGCAAATAGACACGGGTTTATTGGGAAGTAGGATGGAGGGTAAACAGAGGGGCCGAAAGGCCATCAGATGCAACGGAGGGGAGACCCGTGACACGTGTAGGCAAAGCTCAAGTGTATACAAGATAAACAGTTCTTAAATAAAGAAAAAACAGGCCTGCTATTTGCAATTTCTCCCCCCCCCCACCCCCCACTATAACCGTGAGACTAAGGATAAGATTTCACATCTCAGAGCAAGCCTGGATTCTTAAGCCACAGAAAGAGATGCTAGCAATAAATCTGGAAGTCGTTAAAGGTACAACACGGCTGTTTGTTACTTGATCTACAGCAGACTAATAGGACAACCACAGCTGTCAACTTTCCCTTTTCTTGCAAGGAATCCTATTTGGAATAAGGGAATTTCCCTTAAAAAAAGGGAAATGTTGACAGCTATGAGGACAACCCTACTGGAAGCATGTGGTGGTGGTGGTGGTGTTGTTAACTGCTTGGCATTATTATTGTTACTAATTATTAACAACAAATAGGAACTTCAAGCAAATGTTGCAACGTGGGATGCCTTCGTTCAGGGTGCCAGCCAACCAGTCGTGCCTCTTCCAAGATGCTCCATTCCATTGTATTCCACTCCCGTATTTCCTAGTTCCCCTCGCCCCTCCAGCATTCTGTGGTTGCAGAGCACGCGTCTTATGGCTGTGTGTGAGAGAGAGACCCCTTCTGTTTCTCCCCCTCTACATATTTTCTTCTTCTGCAGACCTCGGGATTTCCCGCCGAGCCTTTGTACTATTATTTCCCTCTCGTGTTTCCACTGTCTGCTTATCTATGTTTACTGTTTGTATGTTGATAAATGCCAAATGAATGTATGGAAAGGCCAAACCACTGGTTTCCCACAGGGAACTGGATGCTCATTACAAGAACAAGAGTCTGGGCTAGATGGGCCATGGACCTGATCTATCTGCAAGGCTGTTCTTATGTTCTTAGTGAGGTACAGAGTCACCAGAGTTAAGCAGGAGTTGGGAAGGCAAAGAGTTAACCAAGCTGCCGCTTGAGTAACGATGATTGATCTTGAAACTTAGCAGCCTGCTGAGATGAAGGCAGGAAATCTCTCCATTGTTTTTCCCTGTGTTTGCAGATTCCAAGAGGACAATGGGAAGGGGCCCTCAGCAAGGCGATCTGCCAGCAGATAATCCCTGCAGCTACTGAAGGATCTAGAGACCCTCTCCCCTAGTCTGCTTCTTGCTGGGGTCTCTAACAAGGTGCTCACCTTAGAGACTGATTGGGTTTGTTGTGGCATAGGTGTCTGTGGGCAAAAGCAAGGTTGAATAATGGATTCCAACTCCCATCTGCGCCTGCAATGGTTAGAGAGGATGGGGTTGGAGGATGGTCACTAGCCCCCCATTCCTAACCTTAGACCAGGGGTCAGCAAGGTTTACCTTGCCTGGGCCAGTTCACTCCAGCAGAGATTCCTACGTGGGCCAGATTGCGTGTGCACCCACAATTTCCTGAGCCCGCGCAGATGTGATTTTCGGCATCTGCGCATGCGCAGGCGTGATTTTCAGCGCCACAAAAGCAAGTCCCCACTCCGCACTGTGCCGGTTTAGCGCAGCGTGCGGGAACTCACCGAGCGGCCGGCTTGATTCAGGGGCGGCTCTGAGGAGATTTCACCCCTCCCATTCCAAGAATCTGCTGATGTTCTCTGCTGATTCTCCAGAGAGGAGGGGGGCGGTTTCTGCTCACTACTTATTCCACTCCAGCCTCACATCAGAGAGAGAGACTGAGTGTTAGAGCGAGATCGTGTGTATAGATAAGGTTGCTGCTAAGAGCAGCTGCAGACACTCAGTGCAGTTCAGCATTTTCGCTTAGACCTCATTTAGCTCTGTACATAGTTGTGTATTATAGTTGTAGATAGAATAAAAGAAGATATTCTACAGAGCTGCTCTCCGAGTCGTTTATGCTCTGCTATACTCTGCTGTACGACGACTGTCTTCTTGTTGGAGTGAATCCGGTGCTCACAACTCTAAGCTGTGAGTCCAAGGCACTTTGACCTGTTCCTGTGCAGAAGGTGGTCTCTGGAAGTGCTACCCAGCTCGCCTAGCCCAGTCGGGGCTGAAGTGTATGAGTCCAGTTAGTGGCACTGGCTCAAGGGCGATGCTGACAGGCTCGTGGGACAGTTAAACGACCCCCGTAGGCCACTTGTGGCCCATGGGCCTTAGGTTGCCGACCCCTGGTCTTGAGCAGGGGTCAACAAATTTTTTAAGCTGGGGGCCAGTCCACTGTCCCTCAGACCTTGTGGGGTCAACTATTTGGGGGGGGGGAGTGAACAAATTCCTATGCCCCACAAATAACCCAGAGATGCATTTTAAATAAAAGGACACATTCTACTCATGTAAAAACGCACTGATTCCCGGACCGGACGCGGTCCGGATTGAGAAGGCGATTGGGCTGCATCTGGCCCCCGGGCCTTAGTTTGCCTACCCCTGCCTTAGACAGTAGCATTCCCTAGCAGTGGGGTGTGGCGGTTAGTGTCAGACTAGGACCTGGGATATCAGGGTTCAAATTTCCACTCCGTTATGAAGCTCACTGGGTGACCTTGGGCAAGTCACTACCTCTCTCGGCCTAACCTACCTCACAGGGTGGTTGTGGGGATTGAGAGGGAGGACTTTGCATGCTGCCTTGGGCTCCTTAGAGAAAAAGGTGAGCTATAAATAAACACATAAATGAGATGGAAGAATGCCTGTTTAGAGACATACATATGACTCCTACGTATAATTACGTAGGAATTATGTGTTATCGTAGGCGCCTTTCCCTCTTTCAAATTTTACCATTTCTTTTCTGTTATCTCAAGAAAGTTGACATTCTGAATTTTTATACTGTATACACTGATCGGAATTGTCTTAGGCCACATACACATTTAAAGCACACACACCTCAAGAATCCTGGGAAGTACAGTTCACCCCTTGCAGAACTACAATCTCCAGCACTCTTAATATACTACAGTTCCCAGGATTCTGAGAGAGAGGGAAATCTTTAAATATTTGGTGTGTATGCAGCCTTAAACAGTGACTAAAATCAGGCCAAAGTTGGGTGCTCTCCTCTAGGTGATTCCACAAAGGAGATAAGCCCCAGTTTTAGGATTTAAAGCAGCTTAGTCCACTGACTTCAACAAGATTAAACCCAGATCCATTGCCTTAACAAGTTATTGGATCAGGGAACTCTCCTAACTACTCTCTCCCAAGCTTGGCCACTGTTTCAAGCAGGGGAGGGGGAGAGAGACATGTAGGATGAATGAGTTTTTGATAAAAATTGCCCTTTGAAGTACAGCCAGAGAGCAAATCCACAAGATTCCAGGCCACCCCAATTATTTCACCACTCCCTCTTGCCTGCACGAGGAGGAAAGTACTGTAGCACGAAAACCTAAAATAACTCATGCTTTGCTGAAGGAAGGGCCGTAGCTCAGTGGCAGAGCATCTGCTTTGCATGCAGAAGGTCCCAGGTTCAATTCCCAGCATCTCCAAATAGGCATGGGAAGCGCTTCTGCCAGAAATTGGCTGGATCCCTGTCCATATATAATTCTGCCCACAAAATATCAACCCTGCCCACATTGGATAGCTCCACTAATAACAAATGTCACATGAGTTGCTTCTGGATCTGATGTGGCCTTGGATGTGGCTCCATGGGCCTTTTGCTTTGTACTGCCCACAATCCATTATGTACCTACCTGAATGAAATAATGCAGGAGTGAAGAACTGCCGACCCAGGGGGCCAAATCTGGCTCTCCAAGTTTCTCTGTCTAGCCCATGAAACTTCCCCAAGCCATATCTTCCTTGAGTGTTTTTGCCTGGCTGGAATGCGTTCTTAAACTTTGATAAGGATTCCTGCTTCCTTGGATGGAAGAGAGAAAGGAGTGTGTGTGTGTGTGTGTGTGTGTGTGTGTGTGTGTGTGTGTGTAGAAGTTTGCTTTTGTTTAATATCTGTGTTCTGCTTTTCTATCAATAGGGCCAGAGCTTTTTTCGGGGGTACTAAAGGATAACAGTACTGGCACCTCCCGCCCCCCATGTTTTAAGCGCAGGGTGTGAACATGGCCTTAAACGAAAAGTAAATAAATCCTACAAATAATTAATACAATCTCAAAAAGTTAACATCTCATTACGAGAGAGAGGGAGAGAGAGAGAGAGAGAGAAAGAGAGATTCATAACAATGTTCCCAAAAGGTTCCAGGAACTAAGGAGCATGACATGGCAGGGTGAATCAGCAGCTGGCAGAGAGCTCCTTGCTGAGACAGCACTCCAGTGGTGCTGGCTTTGCCGAGAAAAGATTATCTCTTCCCGGCTTCACCACTCATTTCTTCTTCCTCCCCGTCCCCCTTCCTGCTATCTTGTCCTCTCACATCTTTATACAACAGTTGTATAATCACCTATTATTGGGAGGGCAGCGAAGCAAGTTACAACTTCCACCAGCTCAGGATGGAAGGATTCATGTCAAATCCTGTCTCTGCAACACCAACTTTGTCAGGGTTGATTCCCAAAGAATGCATGTGTGTGTGTGTGTGTGTGTGCGCTCTCTCTCTCTCTCTCTCTCTCTCTCTCTCTCTCTCTCTCTCTTTCTCTCTTTCTTTCTTCCCTTATCCTTCCTATCCTGAACAGCCAGGATGGCTGTCTTCTGCCTGCACTATCAGAGGCAGCCAGTCACTGAATTCCAGTTGCTGGGAATCACAAGTGGGGAGAGTGCTGCTGCTTGCAGGTTTCCCTTTGGGGCATCTGGTTGGCTACCGTGAGAACAGGATGCTGGACCAGATGGGTGTTTGGCCTGATCCAGCAGCCAGGCTTTTTTGATGTCCTTATGATTCAGGGTGTAGCTGTTACCGTTTTCTCTTTCTGGGGCATTCTACCAGCCTCATCATGTGGAAGAATGGGACTATGGATGAAGCAAAGAGCCTCATTTCAGCTTTTGGCATTAGTTCAACCAAAAGTTGGTCTCATTCCACATTCCACATTAATCTGCATTTTAAAAATAATCCTTAGAAAAATGTGTGTGTAAATACAGGTAATGTGAATCTCATGCTCCTTTAGGCAGCGCTTTGTGAACCTGGTTTTGGGAAGGTGACATGAGGGTCTGGGAGGGTCCTAGAGCAGGGGTCAGCAACCTGTGGCCCATGGGCCACAAGTGGCCCATGGGGGTCGTTTAAATGGCCCACGAGCCACCCCTGAACCGAGCCAGCACAGAGCGGGGACTTGCTTCCATGGTGCCGAAAATCACATCTATGCAGACGCCGAAAACCGCATCTGCGCAGAAACCGAAAACCGCATCTGCGCAGAAACCGAAAACCGCATCTGCACAGATGCGATCCGGCCCATGGAGCAATCTCCGCAGGAGTGAACCAGCCCAGGTGAGGTAAACTTTGCCGACCCCTGTCCTAGAGCCTTTGCACCTCCTTCTCAAAGCCCAGTAAGTGAGGCTTCTCACTTACCTCCCACAAGATTTCCAGAGCCCTCCTTCTTGGTGGTAGGGCTGTGTGTTTCCGGGTGTTCCTGGCTTTATGTGATTTTGTGTTTATGTGTGGACTCATGCATGTAAGTTATCTGTACATTCTTTTTCAAGATATGCATTTTTAATATTTATTTTGAGATACTCTGAGCATTGGAACATTTGAGGAATGTGAACTATATGTGAAGTAATTAGGTTTTGATCTGCTCAGCAGGCACAGATCAGATCAGTTAGCATCAGAATACAGAAGGCTGGATTCCTCAACCATCTTTAGGTGGAACTGGTCCATGTATATTCAACATGGAAATCTGGAATAATTTGTGAGTGGTTGGCAGCAGCTATTCTCATAGAACCATAATATCCCCATGTCTGATCACTTGGAGGTAATTTCTGCTCGCCCTAGGCAAATGACTCTTAAAGCCTGCATGGTTTACCTGGAAAACCTAAGCATTAATTTGTGGGCTCCGGCACTGAACCAGGCTTAACTGGCTCCAGAGCTTTGCTTGGTGAAAATTAACATCCCACAAACTAATGATGATCTTGCTCTACTTGACTGTGAATTCACATGCTGTAAATATACCACCCAGCACATTCTGATCCCAAACCAAAAGGATGGTCTCTGGCTCTAGCTACCTATCTGTGTAGAAAGCCACAGCACTTTGTTATGGCAGCAAGACCATCCAATGTTGTGGTAAGAAAGGCATAGCCAAGCCACACTGAAGCCAGACAGGTGTGCTGTCATCAGCAACTTGCCAGGTATCCTCCCAGCTGCCATGATCTCAGCCAGCCAGAGCCCAAGAGGTATTGCTAATGATAGCTTTTGTAAAAGTTGCTTTTATTTATAGTAACAGTTTCATTGTGTGGTGTTTGATAACCCTTTGGGTGGCTTAGGGCTTGAACCACCCTGTCTCCAAAACAGGGAGTTATGGGATGATTAACTCTTTGTTGGGCTTTTAGTGATGTCATGCTGTTATGCATTATGTTTTTGTCTTACAGAGCAGGGCAGGCAGGGGAGGCAAAAACACGAATTGCAGAAGGACATAGGAAGCTTCTTTATAGATGGAGTAAGACCATTCATCTATCTAGCTCAGTATTCTGTACACTTACTGGCAGCAGCTCCTTAGGATTTCCAGACAGGGCGTCTCTTTCCCAGCCCTACCTGCAAATGCCACTGGGGATCAAACCTTCTGCTCTGCCACAGACCTCCTCCAAAAATAACATAAGGTTCCAGGCCTCATGGTTCTAAACAAAGGGCTAATATAAATAGGAACCAGCCTTGTATTGAGTTAAACTAATCAGCTCATCTAGCTCAGTACTGTCAACACTGTCTGGCAGCAGCTCTGCAGGATTTGGGGCAGGAGTCTCTCCCACCCCTGGGCCTGGAGATGCTGTTGGGGATTGAACCTGGGACATTTTGCATGCCTAAGGGCCACATTCCTTTGTGGACAACCACCCAGGGGCCACATGACCTGTGGCAGGCCAGAACAGAAGGCACATGTGGGCCAAGCAGCTAATGCGATTTTTAAACTCTTGTACAATATGTACATTTCTGCACACACAGCTTTCTCTCTATCTTCCATCCAGGCATGCATCCTTCCAGGGGCCACATAATAGTGGTCGGCAGGGCCAGAGGCAAAAGTGAGTGGAGCAAGTAATGTGAATTTATGAAGCAGGTGAGGGGCGTGGCTCTAGAGGGGGCATGGCCTATAGACAGTCCCAAAAAGCCAGAGAGATAGGCCTTGATGGCCACATTGGCCCCTAGACCTGATGTTTCTCCTCTGTTTGTCCTGCCAGCTTTCCCCACCCTTGCATGATGAAGTGCTCCTGCAGGAATAGGATGCTTCCTTTTATGACGTCACACTATTTTGTCATCTGGCTCACTGTCATCTATTCTAACTGGAAGTGGGTGTATGGGGTGTCCCTGCTGCTCTTTCCAGTGAACTGGAAATGCCAGACATTGAATCTAGCTCCTTCTGCCTGCATATTTTTCACACTCATCTAGTTTCATTTATTAAAGGAGGACCCTCGTAGCAAAACACAGGCCCCACCTGCACAATACATTTAGAGCAGTATCATACCACTTTAAAGAGTCATGGCTTCCTACTCCCCCCCGCGCCACCCCAAAATAACCCTAAGACCCTTGTAGTTTGTACAGGGTGCTGAGAAATGTTAGGAGACCAGCTATTCCCTCCTCACACAGAGCTACAATTCCCAGGGTGGTTTAACAATAAACCCCTCTTCCCAGAGAACTCTGTACAGCCACACCAAAAGTCAAAGGTTTTCATATGCCCTGTGCCAAAACTGATCTTGTCCTGCATTGGCTGCTTGGCAGATCTCACATGGTATTTTCACAGAGCCAATTCAGAGAGAGGTCAAGAATAATAGTCCTCCCTCTGAATAGGTGCATGGAAATCTTAGTGCTTCCACTCTTGATTGGGGGGGAGATATTCGCTTCCATTCTAATTTTCACCTGCCAAAACAATACATGAATCAGAACACACAGTCATCCTTTGAAATTCCTTCTCTGAATTTTGCAATGCAGTTGTCCAATCATGTCATGCATTTAAAAAATGCACATGGTAAAGTAAAGTGTGCATTAAAAAAGCATATATTATTGAAAGTAGCAATGTCATATTTGGGGAAATACCATGCAAAAATGTGTACACAGGCGAATGGGAGTTACATTCTGAGGATAGCACATAAAGACAGAATCACACAAAGTCAAAACACATTGGGTTCAATAGCGGGTGGGACTGCTAATGCCAAAGTCTTTTTTCCTGGACACCCACCCCCTTTCTGCTACCTCCTTTTTTGCCAAGTGTGTAAAGCTGAATTGCGAGTTACCTGTATTCAGTAAAATTCCATACAAAAAAGGGTATACCAGGAAGAATTCACACTAAAATGTTGATTAAAGTATCTTCTTCTTCTTCCTGTATACATAGAAATGTAAGGCTGTCATCATGCTACAGTTGCACTACAGGTGGCCCAAGTGAGCTTTTTAACAGCTGGGGAAGGTGCTCCACAAAGCAGTTTGGCAAACTGCTCTGTAAAGTACTTTCCCCTCCTTTAAAAGGGGTTGCAGTTGCGGGAAACTGTGAGGGGATAGGTTGGGGGTGGAAGAGGTGGAAGAGGAGGGGGTTTGGGGGACAGGCAGTTGGCAAAGGGGCTGGAGGGGAGATGGGGTTGGCAAGTGGAATAAGAAAGAATCATAGCCCCTAGGTTTTGTCTTGTTTTTTTAAATCAAAAACTGAATTTCAGATTGGAAAAACGAGAAACTGAAACGGACACATTCACTTCCTCCTACCCTGATGCTGGCCATGCCTTTCCTGAAAAGCAAACTATGTGTGTTTATGCATAGCACTCATGGAGTCATATTGCACTCCCCCCTTCCCGAAGTTTACTGAAATGCATGGTTTCCCTCTGTCACCACCACCACCTCCTGACACCTGTCCCCCACCATTACAATGACATGGATTCTTGCAAGTTAATAACCATGATAGATCTGGGGCTGGAAGTAACTGGATTCCTGCCCCACTCCCCACCTTAAGTCATACAGCAGCAACCAGCAGAATGCAGCAAAGCTTGGAGAAGAGTCCAGCAGAAGATCCAGCAAAAAGAAAGTAATTTATAGCTGTGCCTGGAGGGACAATTCTGCTCTGTGGACAGAATTCCACTTCTGAAATTCTACTCCCTCAACCACCCTGTCTTGGCCCATCTCCAAGCAGCCCAAACGGGAATGCTCCCAAGTGCTGCAGAAGTAAATAGTGACACTTGCCACGCTCAGGGGGAAATAGGCAAAACAAGGTAGTAGAGAGCATTTACTCTGCATGCAAAAGATCCTAGGTTCAAACCCCAATGACATCTCCAGGTATGCTGGGAGGGACCCACTGCCTGAAACCCTGGAGAACCTCTGCCAGTCAGTGTAGACAGTACTGAGTTGGATGCAGCAATTGTCTGACTTGGTATAAGGCAGCTTCCTACTTAAATCAGCTCTCAATTTCAGAAACATGAGGACTGGAACCTCACTATTGTTATGGGAAGGGGCTGTATTCCATGATAGAGCATCTGCTTTGCATGCAGAAGCCCCCAGGTTCAATCTCCAATGGCATCTCTAGGTCTGGGAAAGACCCCCCCCCCATCTGAAACTTGGACGGGCACTACCAGTGACAGCTATCAAGAGACTGAGCTAGACAGACCAATGAGGGGCTGACTTGGTGCAAAGCACATTCCTGGTTTCCATAATCTACGGCACACTTCAGGTAGTGACTACAAATGTAGGAAACTCTGGGAGAAATCTTCCCAGTGGCTTTCTTTTCTAAGAGAGTAAAGCCGTATCTCTCATACGACGGCACTTCAAAGCAGAACGACACCTGTTGTTACAGAGGTCCACGCTACCCCTCAGAGCTTCTTGGTAATTTTCTAAGTTAACGTTGGCCAAGAGGCAAGGTGCTTTGGGCAACAGATTGCAAATGCTGCATAGGGCACCAGAGCAAGGCAAATGGGACAGGGATGGATCTAACTGAGAGGGAATTTCTTTTGCCCAAGAGCATGATGCACATCCACCAATATGTGTATGAAATTTTGATTTTCCATCACTCCATCCAAAATTCATAAGCCATGTGCATCTGGCCAATGGCCCATCCAGTCCAGCACCCTGTTCTCACAGCTGCCAGCCAGATGCCCATAGGAAACCAGCAAGCAGGATCTGAGCGCAAGAGCCCTCTCCCCTCCTGTGGTTTCCAGGAACTGGCATTCAGAAGCATTGCTGCATCTAACGGTGGACAGCCATTGTGAACAGCAGCCTTCGATAGCCCCTCTCCACCATGAATTTGTCCAGTCCTCTTTTAAAGCCACCCAAGTTTATGGCCATCACTGCCTCCTGTGGGAGTGAGTTCTACAGCTGTCTGAAGAGTTCTACAGCTGTCTTGAATCTTTCAACATTCAGCTTCAACATTCAACTATTAGAACCCAGGAACCCACTGAGACAGAAAGAAAACCAGGCAGTCAAACGAGCCCTTTGCCACCCCAAAGCATCCAGAGTCTCTGGAGCCCAAACTCTGCCGCCGCCACCACCACCCCAGAGCTCCCCCACCTAGCACGTGGGCAATACTCACATCGTCGTCCTGCACGCTCAGGGGAATATCCAGCATGCACATCTGGAAGGGCTGCACGAGCGCCTTCTGCATATTGAACAAAGGTTTGGCCTCCATCTTCCAGCAGGGTGAGAGACTCTCCTCCTCCTCCTCCTCCTGTCCACCTCCCAGAGTTCTGGCTTTTCTCCAGCCAAAGTCCTCCGGGTCCCTGCAGCTGATACCCTTACTGCCGTGGAAGCATCTTCATCAACGAGATGCTGTGTCTGTAACTGCTGCAAGCGAAGGTTTCCTCTTATTTCCTCTCCTTGGCAAATCAAAGGGGAGTCAGCAGGGAGAGGTTTCCGTGTGCGTGTCCAGGCGCAAACACACACACACACACACACGCAGAGAGAGAGGGAGAGCCCCCTCTCTGGGCAAAGCGTGTAGGGTGCTCCCCTTTCGTCTCACACCCACTTCCCAGCTGCCCTGCCGTCCCTTCGCTCTGCTACCGCTCAAGCGCCTACTGCATGCAGCTCCCTGTACTCATCTACATGCCTGGCACTTGCATCGCACCAAGACGTTGCAATGTCTGCCTCCAAAGGCACAACAGGTTTGGGTCCCCCCCCCCCCGCCTTCAGTTGGCTGTTGGAAGTCTGCGGCAACAGACCCAGCGGTTTCCCCGCAGTCCTCCGTTGCAGGCAAAAGCAGGAGAGCTGGAAAGGGGGTCGAGGGGAGGGGTGGTCGACGCAGCCACCATCACCCGCGGCCCCCTCCATTCTCCGCAGTGCATCCTTTTATTGTTTTCCAAAGGATCACATCCTTAGATCCCAAGGGCACCATGGTGAGTGGGGAGAGGAGAAGATTGAATAATTCATACCTGTTCAAGGCCAGGGAGATTCCCGAATACGGTACATTGTCCACCAAAAAAAAAGGTACGTGTTATTTGCACCCAGTTTTGTAAACACGCACTGCATTTGCAAATGGCACAGATGCCTTCATCGTTCGGTCTCAAGCATTGATGAAGGAACCGATCGCCCTCCAGATGTTGCCAGATTATGACTAGGGATACATTCAGTTCAGTTTGAATTTTAATGAGAAGCTACAAGGATTCACAGTTTCTCAAATAATATGCAAACCAAACCAAACCTCAGCAACCCTTCAGAATTCACACTCTTCCAAATTTTGCAGTGTGGTTTGCCAACCAAAGAATGTTTACAAAAATGCCTCATCTTAGGGGAAAGTGACATAGAATTGACTATATTAGTTAAAATAACATATAAAATGCAGTATATTAAGGCAGCAGTCATCAACCTTTTCAGACCTAGGACCCACTTCCAACCCAAACATGTATTTGGAGACCCATTTATTAATCTTCCACCATATATTTGCATGGTGGTAATGCTCCTGCTGTGCCCAACCTTGGATCAGGCTATGACTCACTAACAGGTCCCTACACACCAGCTGCATTAGGAGAAATCACTTGCAACATGTTTATTAAGAGAAATTCCACTGAAATGCTGGCAGTTTTAGAAAATAATGAATTCACAAACTGATGCCAAAACGTGGCGATCACCCCTTAAGATTGCCAAAAGGAGAAGCTGAAATTGACATATTTGTCCACCTTTAGCTACAACTCCCATCATCCCAGACCATTAACCATGAACATAAGAAGACCGGCCTGGCTGCTGGATCAGGCCAATGGGCTACCAAGTCCAGCATCCTGTTCTTACACTAGCCAACCACGTACCCCCAATGAGAAGACTGCAAGCAGAACCTGACTGCAACAGTGTTATTCCTATTTGCAATTCTCTACATTTGGTATACAGAGGAGATAGAACGTAAGAAATTCCCTGCTGGATTGGGCCAGAAACTCATAGAGGATAGCATCCTGCCCTCACAATGACCAACCAGCAGGAGCCAAGTGCAACAGCACTCTCCCCACTCGCAATTCTTAAGATTCGTACTCGATGTTATCCACTACAGACTCGGCTTTCTAACCACTAGACCACAATAGGTAACTGGCATACCCATTTCCCAGCTGGGAAACTGAGGCTGAGAGAATGACTTGCATAGTGCATGTTCCAGAACGGGAATTCTGATCCCAACTACTGATTATGCCTCCCCACAACTTGAAAGTGCAATTTGTTTGCTCAGAAGTGATTCCTATTGTGTTTCAGTGGGACTAACTCCCAGGTAAAGTGGTTATATAGGACTGTAGTTTTAATGAGAATGTTGCCGGATTTCCGTCATCAAAGGCATTGTTATGATCCACAGGCTGTTTCCTCTCCCTGTTACATACTCTCGTGTCAGAGGGCAGAATCAAAAGGTTTTTAAGCAAGGGGGCTATGGAAACAAACTTGGCCAAAAGCAACAAGGGGCACTTGTTTTGAGGAAATCCCCACCCCTTCTGAATTGTCTAGGGGCTCTAAGCATCCTTCTTCCAAGGTAGGTCAGTGGGAAGGGGATAGAACATAATCCTGTCCAGGAGCCAAGCAGTGCCATTGGCAAATTTGTTTTTCGTTGTCTGACCTGAACATGCTATAAAAAGATGTAGTTGGGCACGGAATCCACTCAGTCACTATTCTGTTATGACCACTGTTCTGCATGGTAAACAGTTTGGTTAGCAACAAACCTTTTGTATATATTAATGGGCCCAATCCATTCATTGGAGTGGAGGCTGGTCCATTAGACAACTGAGGGAACTGCCCCACCAACCTTAATCTGCCCTCAGCCAGCCCCCACCTGCCTGCTTTCTTTCTTACAACCAGTCCAGGGGGTGGCCCTGCCTGTCAGCTTCCTCCTCCTTAGTGTAAGTGTTGCCCCTTGAACCCCTCAGGAGGAAAGAGGATGGGGAGAAAACTAGAATTAGTTGGCTCTGCCTGCCATTGGTCCTGGTGTCGCCTACTGTTGGGCTCCCTGCCTTCTGCCCTACCTCCCTCACAATGGGTACCAACCATCACAGAGAGCACCTGCTCCCACACCATCCTGCTTGCACCTTAAGTTCTGTTTCAGAGGGTCTCCCAGTGTATCCATCCCCTAGGTTGGTGTGGTTGGGTGGCCAACAAGGGAGAGGTCATTCTCTATGGTGGTTCCACAGCTACCAGAGGTTCCAGCTGAACCAAGAGATTCAAATGACAAGAGATTCTAAGTAAACATTAGGAAGAGCTTCCTGGTGGCAAGAAACTTTCCACAGTGGAACAGACTTTCTCGGAAGGTGGTGGACTCTTCTTCATTGGAGGCTATGAAACAGAGGTTAGGTGTTCATCTTTCAGGGAGTCTTCAGCTGTGATTCCAGAATTGCATAGGGGTGGTCTTGATGGTCCCTGGGGTCCCTGCAAATTCTACAATCCTATGATTATATGACAATGGGTGAAGTTTTGGATCTCCCACAAAAGTGGGAGACAATTCACACGCTCAACCATCAGTAGGTTGCTGAGTGATGTGCATTTGTGTGTGAACTGGGCCTTTCTCAAGGGCAGAGGAAGGGGGTGGAGGGTGAGTGGGAAACCAAATAGATCTGCTAGTCCACTCCAAGTCGTAATCCCCAATGGAATACTGCCATGCTGTCCAGAATATGCATGCAAAATTAATCTGCAATCAAGACCTTACACAATGCTGGCTGGCCTCTTAATAGGTACAGACATCAATTAGCAATGCAAAACAAACAGATAACGAGCATTAAAGAAGGGGGGAAACACATTAGGTTTTTCTCAGGGATTCAGAAGCATGATTAGCACTTGCTGGAGGAGGGGGGCTTTTTACCCACCCCCATCCAAAGCCAACCAGCACCAAAATATCTTACAGACATTGGCTGCTGCTGCTGCTGCTTCAGCTCCAGGAAAGAAAAAAAATGCAGACGGCTTTGGGTTTCCCCAGTTCCCCTCCATCCGCCAGGCGAGTACCACGTACTGTCTCCATGGAGACAGCTGCATGCAAAGTTGCTGTGCTGATGGAGCACACTACAATGCAGGATACGGCCCCCTTGTGCACAATAAGATCAGTTGGTTTGCAGGTGGTGGTAGGGAATCTCTAGGAGGCTGTAAAGATGCTGATTTGGAGAGCACAGCCAGCAGCTAAATTCCTAGTTTAACACCTCTAATGACTAGGCTTCCAGGCTTTAATGGATTTAATCAGTAGATCAGCTATGGTGAATCTCTGGCCTGCCAGGCTTCTGCATTTTTTTTTCTTTTTTTTTTTTATAATTTTTTAATTGGTTTTTCACATTTTATAAAGACATAACACACACGTAAAAGACAAAAACAAAAAACATGTATAATTTCAAAAATCTTACTTTCTTAACTTTGGTCCTTGACTTCCCCCACCCCCCTTCATACATCCCATTTCCCATAATTATGTCAGCAAGTTATTATTTTACCTCCTTACCCTGTTAATATTACATCTTTTGTAGAAGATTAAATTCTATCCTAAGTTGGGCTCAGATTCCCTTCCATCGATTTCCCATTTTTTATTAAGCATCAATCATATTGACTAGACCCAAAAATCGTAAGTGTTTTTAAAATTCTATTTTACCCCTCCCATCCCCGGTTCGTCCCTTCCCAAGTACATTTCTACAATAACAGTTCTTAGCCTGGATTTCTCACATCCGAGGCCTTCAAGTCTCTTTCAGTCCCTCTCCGCCGGTTTTGTTGGTAGTCCTTTATGTTGGTCTTCGGATCTCGAAGGAGTTCTGTCCCAGTCAAGCCAGATTTTCTTCCCACAAGAAAACTTAGAGACAACTGCTGCAAAAGTTCCACCAGTCCTTCATATTCAGAATGGAGGCCCCCATCATATTTCTTCTTTCTTTTAAGTTCTTGAATTCCAAGTACTCCAGGGGCCTCCTCCTTCATCTTTCGCATCTTTTGCAGATTTGTAATCCATGTAATCCAAGGGTCTTCTTGTTTATAATCCACATGTGTAGGCTTCTGGTTGGTACTTTCCATCTGTGCTTTCTCCTTTCCTTGTTTAGTCTCCTTCAATTCTTGAGATATCTGTTCCGGTTCAGCTGCAGATTTTTCTCATTCAGATCCTCAATACATTCAGCAGAGCTGCTTATTCCAGAAGTCAAGGTCGTAAGTTGTTTATTCATAGCCAGACTCTGCTCTTGTAAAGTTCCCACAAAGTAACACATTCTTTCTATTTCAGCTAGTAAATTTCCATCCGCAGCCATTGTAATGTCTCAGAATTCCCCCTAGAGGGAATCTGGTTACTTAGTAATCTTTTCCCAACAGTCCTTTGCCTCGTTCTTTGTTTCTTTGTTTCGAACCACTTTAATTCAATTGTATCACATTTAGTCCAGGGAGATCTTAAATAACACGCTTTTTACTTTAAATTGCCCGTTTGACAGCTTTAACAGCTGTCAAACTCCTTTCCTCTTCAACAGGCTCAAAGGCAGGACGCTCCCGGGCCCGGAAGGGGGGGGTTACACACCACAAGAGAAAAACTTCTAAAATTCCACTCTTACACTCCAGCTCAAAACTTCTTTTATCAAATCGTGAAAGTTAATGTCTTTTTAACTCACCCCAAAGGGGTAGACTCTCCAACTTAGTTCTCCTGCTATTGCTTTAAATCGTCTGCAGAAGGGGGGGGTGCGGACTTCCCTTTAACACATTCCCCGGTCGTATCAAATTCACAAATAGATATTTTAAAGTCCGAATTCCAATCTACTCACGGGTTGCTTCTTTTCGAGTTCCGAATTTAAGGAAAAAAGTCAGTGCTCTTCAGCCATGGCACACGGCTCCGCTCCGCTGGGGTAGCGGTCTACTCCCAGCACCACGCCGCCTTCCGTACCCTCTCCGTAGCCTTTAAAAAGGCTCTTCGTGGAGTCGGGGGCGCTTAAGGTGCCCACCGAGTCACCAGGTCCGCAGGCATCCGCGCCTGCGGTTTTTAAGGGTCTCCGCGTCGCCGTCGCGGCAAGACCCGTCCCCAGCGGAGCCGATTCCCTCCGGAGCTCGGAGAGAATCCGCCATTAGCTGTTCGCACCAACCCGGAAGTCCGCCAGGCTTCTGCATTTGGTCCGCAAGGCAGCTTCAGAGAAGCCATGCCACAGCTGCCCTGCACACCATATGCACTACAGTTTAGGATCAGAAGTGAGATAGGAACAAACTGAAAAAATTGCCAGTATAGTGTAGTGGTTGGAGAGTTGGGCTAAGACATGGGAGAGACCAGGGTTCAAATCTTCCTCCCTCGGCCACGAAGCTCAGTGGGTGCCCTCAGGCCAGTCACTGCCTCTCTCATCCTAACCTACCTCACAGGGTGGTTGTTGTCAAGATGACATGAGGAGAGAACCATTAGCCACCATTTTGAATTGAGATGTGAGACTGAACCTTTCAGAACTGCACTGATTTTAACCAACTTTTGTGCGATCGTTCCTGAGATCAAGCCACAGTTTTTCATCGATGTTTGGATACAGTCGGATAGCATTCTGAATCAACTGCGCTGATTTTAACCACTGGTGTTTTGGTTTCTTAGAACAACTGAGCAAAGTTTAGAAGTCACCTTGGCAATTGCATGGCACATAAATAAATAAACACAATCATATCTCAAAAGGCAAGGGCTGGTCCCACTCTTGCTTATTTCAATCTGATGGATCCTGGGAACTGAAGTTACTGGGGAGTGCAGCTTCATGAGGGGGAAAACTACGGTTCCCAGGATACTTTGTGGGAAACTGCATGCAGCCAAAGCACAATCTCTTTGCATCCTTCCTGATAACACCAGTTCGACTCAGCAGACTTTCACCTGAGGTGTCCCTGAATGCTGAATGTGTTAAGTTTTCATAGCCACTCCCCTCCCCTTTTGCTGGGAAATCCAGAAAGCCTTTGCTAGCAGAACAGCTGATGTTGAGGAATGTCTTTGGCCTCCAGGCGTGGAGAGAGGAATCTCACGTCATCTGTGGCAGGCAGGCAGGCAGGCAGGCAGGCAGGCAGGCACATACACACAGACATAAAACTGTGCTGTGTGCTATTAGAGCCACTGGGGGTTGACCCCAAGAGATGTCACTTTGTGCCACTTTTTCCTAGCCCCCCCCCCCCATTTAAGTCCCACAAAACCCTGTGCTGTAGGTTAGAGCTTCATATCCGAGTGGGGATTTGAATCCTTGTCTCCCGAGTCCTTATCTGACATTCTAACCACTACACAGGAGGCACAGGTTACAGCAACAGCTAAGGCGACATTTTTCCACCTTCGCCGCATTAAGCAGTTGGTCCCTTACCTTTCCTGCCCCGACCTAGCCACAGTGATCCATGCGACGGTCACCTCCAGGCTTGACTACTGTAATTCGCTCTACGCACGGCTGCCCTTGAAACTGTCCCAGAAACTCCAGCAGGTGCAGAATGCTGCAGTGAGGCTCCTCACAGGGTCCCTGCCATGGGAGCATATTCACCCAGTGCTTTTCCAGCTGCACTGGCTCCCGGTGGAGTACAGGGTCAGATTTGAGGTGCTGCTTTTGACCTTTAAAGCCCTTCACGGCCTAGACCGCCTCTCCCAGTATGCCCCGCAAAGGACCTTAAGGTCCATGAATAATCATAGTTTAGAGGTCCCGGGCCCTAAGGAAGTTAGATTATCCTCCACCAGGGCCAGGGCCTTCTCAGTGATGGCTCCAACCTGGTGGAATGCTGTCCCTGGAGACCAGGGCCCTGCAGGATTTAACTTCCTTCCGCAAGGCCTGTAAGACAGAATAATTACTTTCAATGGCTTTCAATTTGAACCTGGCCTGATATTTTGTTCTTCTTCCTTCCCTCCCCCTCCCCTTTTTGTGAAGATTGCCTGCTCTGGGATCCCACAGCTGGTTCTTCCCTGGTCTCCTCGCTGGCCCAAGTGGGACTAATTTAGCCAGCTAGCCCTGGTGATCATCTAATGTTTATTGGATGGATTTTCCCCCTAAATTGATTTCTGATTTTTTATTTTATTGTTATTTACGCTTTAAATCATATTTTATGCTGGTTTTTTTGTTTGTTTTGTTTTTTGTAGCATCAATTGAGTGTTTTAAATTTGTTGTTAGCCACCCTGAGCCCAGTTTCCTGAACCGGGAAGAGCGGGGTATAAATAAAAAAAGTTATTATTATTATTATTATTATTACCCCACACTGCTCCTCCTCAGCTGAACCATGCAGATTGAGCTGTATTGTCATGGTTCAAGGACACAATCCACCCATGCCAAAAGCACTCAAGGAGGGTACAGAGCAGGACTGTTGAGGAGTGTGGCCTGGGGAGAGTCCCAAGGACCAAATAGAGAGGCATGGAGGGCCACATCGGGCCCCCAGTCCTAAGATTTCCCACCCCTATCCTAGAGACTCCCACTAGGGCCCCAAGTATATCCATGATGAAGGTGTATACTTTGCACTCAAATGACCCAGGCCAACCCTTTGCAGTCTGAGCCCTATAAAACAAAGTCAAAACAATGCTTGGCAACTTAACAGGTTGCGTCATGAAGTTTATGCTGTGCCTTGCGTATATGATCCGTTTATCTTCAAGGGAGAGTTGTGACTGCATCATAGTCTCAGCCTTAACCTTATTGTGTGAACAAAAGCTTGACGCTGCCATTATTCTGCGACCTTTTGAGAATACTCTGCAACCTTTCCTTAATAGTTTTCCTAAGGTGTTTTTTTATATTGCCACAATGGACTTGGTTTTTTAAAAAAAAAATAAGCTTTCTTCTTCCTCCTAATTTTCTCACTTAAAAAAATTAAATCAATAAACCCACAGATGTTCCAGTTTATCCTTTCTGTCTTGGTTTCATTATGCTGTATAGCTCAAGAGTACCCCTTTGGACAGAAATAGCACAACCAATGTAAGGAATAGGGTTGTCAGGTCAGGAGCATCCCAGACAGTGAGATTTCAGGGCCCAAACCTGAGATCTAGGGTGGGCTCTGGTGACATCATGGATGGAAGCCCCTTGTGATGTAATGGGGTGGCTTTTCGAGATGAAGGTTAATGTGGTGGTGGGTGGGCTATAATTTGCAACCAGCTTCTGCTGGGCTGCATGCACAGTCTTCTTAATTGGTTTTTATTGTTCGAGAAGGCACTCTCACCCACCTAGAGATGCCAACCAGTGGATGGTGCCAACCAGTGGATGGTGATGTGTTGATGGTCCAGTATAAATCCACCACTAATGTACTATTATTGTGCCAATAACATTTCATAAAAGAATAGATCCACACAAAAAACCCCACAGCAGTCTAGAGGGGCCAAAACAAATTACAGTAGTCAGAATCAGGGCTTTTTTTTTGAGCTGGAACTCATCGGAACTCAGTTCTGGCACCTCTCAGGTGGGCACCATTGCCATAATCAGAGAACAAGGGAGATGTTTGTGGTGAGTTCTGGCACCTCTTTTCCTAGAAAAATAGCACTGCTCAGAATACTTGCTGATCTACTTCAAATCACTCAGAGATTTATTGCTAGATCTTGATCAGCTTTCTGCCCACAGAGGAGATCCATGTCCAGGTCTCAGCTCATTCACGCTAATTCAGGAGGGAGTTTCAGACAAAAGAACATCTCTCAATCGTACCCCTTTTTTTGAACAACAAGACTCAACACCAGAGGACTTGTGGGAGGATAACAGAAGTCACTGGAAAGGCCGATAAAACCTAACCAGCCTTAGGGTAAAATAAATGGAGAACTGAAGGATGAATAGCCATCCCCTTCCCTCCTCTTCCCCACTGTCAACGCTGAGAACTGTAAACTCTTGGTGGGCTAAGAGCTGGAGCTGTGCTAGCAGCCAACTCCTAAAACAGAATAGAGGTTTTGAAGAAGAACGGATCCAATCCTGCCCTAGCCAATCAGCCATTATTGCTCTCTGTGCTAAGCTTCCCACCATAATCCTCTCCATCCTTGCTGGGCACTTGATGAGACTGTGCACCATTGTGCTGAGGACAGGGGTCTCCTCCCCCAAGTTCCTACCCCAACAGCTGATAGAAAAGCATTCAAGGGTTTTTCTGAGTAGCAGAGCTGGAAGCTCTTTCCAAGGTCCAACAGAAATTACTTTCCCCATTTTTATTTTATTTTATTTGTTTGGGACAATCCACAGAAGGATCAAGCTGGATTTAAGCAGTATGGGGATTCAAACACAGAGTCTCAAATCCAAGGTAGAAAAGCATCCCCCAAAATGCTGCCCCCAGATACATGGAGACCACAGCTGCCATAAGTTATGCTAACTGGGGCTAATGGGATTATAGCCCCAGACACCCTGAAGACAGCATTTCAGGGAAATGATGACATAGAGCAACCAAACACACACTCACACCCATCTCCCAGCTGCCCATCTGACCTTCTTTCTGCCTTGGTAGCTCCTCAGGAACATCACGGAAACTGAAGTCTCCTCTCCCTTCACGAAACGCCTCCAAAAAGACCCTTTTCTTGAACATGCCTGCCTCTTCGGTGGGGTAGCCCTGGCCCTGGATATTTTCCATCCTCGAGGAAGCTCGCTCACATTCTTCATGCCTCGCTCCTTCCAAAACAATGAGTAACACCACCTCCCCACCGCGGCACTCACACTCCCTGACGGACATGGCCTCACCTGGATGAAGCATGCTTAATATGTCCCTCCCCGTGACCTGGAACGTGGAGTCAGGCAAGGGAGGAGCTAAGGAACTAGGCAACCTGGCTGTTTATCACGACAACATAACCCTCCAGCTAAAAGCTCCAGAAGCGTTAAATGCAAGAGGTACATGCTTAAAAGTGCAGGGGGAAGGGGGTGGGGAACCTTACTTCTTCACACAGCCCATAGTTTAGATATGGAATTTGCTCCCATGAGAGGCAATGATGACCACCAAGGAGGATTTGATAAATTTACAGAGGAGGACAAGGCTGTCAGTGGCTGCTAGCCATGATGGCTGCTCTATCCAGTGGCGGAGGAAGGGGGGTGCGGTGGGGGTAGGCCGACCCAGGTGTCATCCCTGAGGGGGGTGACATTTGGCATGCCGCCCGCTTGCGACTCCCAAGCCTCCCTGAGTCCTGAAATGTCAAAATGAAGGGAGAAGGCCACTGGGAAAGCGGCGCAGCTCCCCATCTTCCCTCGACAGATCGTTTTGACAGCTCTGGAGTTGGGAGAGGCTTGGGTGTCGCGGGCAGGTAGCGCGCTGAATGTCCGCCACCGGCGGCTTACTCTGCCCCCCGTGGGTGGCTCGCTCCGCCCCCCAGCTGCAGGGCACGTGTGCCACTCCGTGCACCTGACCAGCTATCCCGTGCCTGGGAGGGCACCCTCTGCGCCCCGTGACCCTCGGGAGCATGCCATGCCCCTCTCGGTAGCATGTCCTGCCCCCCTCAGGAGTCCGCCCGCCCTGGGTAGCGCAGGCATATGATCCGCCGCTGGTTTTATCTACCTCCACAGCATGCCTCTGAATACCAGCTGCTGTGAATCACAAGTGGAGAGAGTTGCTGTCAGGCTCAGGTCCTGCTTGTAAGCTTCCCATTGGGGCATCTGGGCCGCCACTGAGAACAGGATGCTGGGCTAGATGGGCCACTGGCCTCATCCAGCAAGGCTCTTCTTATGTTGTTAATATTCAAAGAGGGACAGAGATGTGTGTGAACGTATGGATGTGTGTGTGGCTGGAGAATGGCCACATTCAAACCATGCATTAAACCACTGCAATAACACCAAATAATTCTGTAAGCTGTACATAATATATCTATGGGTGCTGAGAGTGGTTGGGAGATTCCCCTATTCCCCTCCCAGAACTACAATTCCAAAACGGTTTAACAATCAATTCCTCTTCCAAGGGAACTCTTGAGAATCACAGCTCTGTGAGGGGAATAGGAGCCATGGCTGTTTAAAGTGGTATCTGTGGTGTATTATCTGATACCTGGCGGGGAGGGGGATTGTTGCAAATAGCTATATAAGGAAACCACTCAACCTCCATTTCCTCAACTTTGAGGAAGGCAGCCTCTCTCCCCACTGCTTCCATAAGGCCTCCTTCCAATCCCAACTCAAGTTGGCTGTCCCACAGGGAGGGAAATGAAAGCAGAGGGAGGTTCATTTCAAGGGTATATACATCCCTTTCCCTGTCCCCAGGCTGGCCTGGATTTCTACACACCATTTCACTTACAAGGAAGGAAAGTGAGGGGTGGGTGTTCAGGATGAAAGTGGGTCAGGATCCCTAGAGAGCTTTCTGTTGCTTTGATGGACACATGCCAGGCGGTGGAAAGGCCCTTGACTGACCTCCCTGTTAATGGGTCGGCATCAACTACGCTTTGCCTGAGACTGGGCCCCTTTCTGGAGCTCTGCCCGGATTCCTGGAGTAAAACTCAAGGTGCTAGAGGCTCAGAACTATGGAGAGAGGAAATTCAGCTGCTCAGAGATGGAAAAGGGCAGGAGATATTCCAGGCCTGGTTGTCGCTGGGGAGAAAAGGTGGCTAGTTTTTAAAGGGTCTAAATCCCAGAGGTATAGTGATCGACAACAGCCCCTCAAGACGAATCCAAGGTTGTGCACACATTGCACATTTAAAGCACACCCCTAGCCCAAATAATATTGGGAATTGCAGTTTGTTAGCAGCTTCCTACATTCCTCTATGCTAGTGTCTCATAAACTTGAAAGCATTGTTATTGCCTCATTCACTTGTGAGAAAAAGGAGGGCCTACCTCATTCAGGCAGGGGACAGTCCTAACCTGGTCTGTAGATGTTGGAAGTATGGCTGTTATTGTGGCACTGGGACCTTCAGCGTGCAAAGCAAATGCTATTACCACTGAGTATACCACATTAAATTCTTTGAAACCAAGAAACTGTCTTGTGTGGGCAACTATTATTAGTTAATTAATTGGGAGGAATTCCACACATTCAATGGGTGCACAACACTGCTTCATGGTTTAGCACCAATCAAGTGTCTGTGTTTCCATTTTGGAGTCAAAGGGGCAATGTCATGTTGAATCCTCAGCCAACCAACCATACAATGGCGAGGCAGCTTTTGTGAGCACATTAAGGCCTCATTCAAGGGGGCAAATGGGAGCTCAGATCGCAATACCCAAAGCCCCCAGGTCCTTCTGCCAGGTTTGTCATGTCAGTGCTGTGAAGAAGGCGGAATGCATCTGCCGAACTTAAAAAAAAATCCCACTATATTGCCATGGCAACTAGGACAGGCTTTGAGGCCCGCTCGGAATTCCAGCCTCTGCCCTGCAAAAATAGGTCCCTGGAGGTGATGCCAGAGCCCCTTTTCAGACAGAACACCCTGCCATTACCACAGCCCCAGGGCAATGTGGGATATGGCCCCATGGCATATCTTTACAGATAATGTACACGGGACATAGATGAAAAGGGTGGAATCTGAATTATTATTTTTTAAAAATATGAAGGCGAGGCCCAGAATGCAACAGCTATTCCCGCACCACCGGGACATGAGCTTGTGAGAACAATGCCTAAACCAGATATGAGTAACCTATGGACCTCCAGAGATTGCTCAACTACAGCTCACACCAGCCCCAGCAAACATGGCCACGGGTCAGGGATGATGAGAGTTGTAGTCCAGCAACATCTGGAGGGCTACCTGCCAGTGGTGGGCAGAGCCAGAGGCAAACAAGGGACAGAGCCATGAATTTAATTTGGCTAGTTCCTATACATACTTACACACCCCTCTTGATCCTTCTCCCAGGCAAGCAAGAGGCATAATTAAAGTCCAAATGTTCCCCCAGGGCCAAAAAGATAACCAGCCGATAAGCTGAAGTCTCTCGACTACTCCAGCATCTCTCCCTTCCTTTGTTGTTACATTCAGAGTTTAGATTGCAAGCGCCTTTGAGCAGAGACTTCTCTCTCTTTGCTTATACAAGCACCCAAATATCCTGATGTTTTGTACTCCAATTCCCATCAGCCCCAGCCATCAAGGCAAATGGTAAGGGATTAAAGGAATCATAGTCCAAAACATCTGCAAGGGACATTACTATACATTGAGGAGTTTGCATAAATAAATCATCTTCAAGATTCCCATCCACTGTTGACAGCAAAATGGCCTCTCTCTTTTTCCTCCAAAGGGAAAGAGAAAGATTGAGAAGAAAGCCAAGATCCTACTCCCTGAAAACTCAGTGGCACTTCAGGGTCAAGTCTCCAGAGATGGCCCATGGGCCAAATGCGTCACAGCTATTGGGAAATGTCCTCCTTGGTGGGAAAGGCGTTTTCTAACCCAATCCCTCAAGAGCCATTCTCAAGTTATTGCCACTTGCTATTTGCAAAGGAAATAGTTCAGGCCTGGATCACTCATCACGACACTGGGAGAGTAAAGGGCTTCTCCCAAGGAGCAAATGAGGGACAAAGGGCTATGCAGATAGTCACAGGTTCAATCTTCAGATAGGGCCAAGAGAGAATCATGCCTGAAATCCTGAAAGCCACTGCCAGTCCATGTTGACAGTATTGAACTAGATGAGCCAATGGGCTGGCTCTGTATAAGACAGTGTTCCATATGCCTACAAAGCTGTACAACAACCCATGTTCAACCATTTTCGGCTACTGGAGATGACTGCAGTGATCGAACAGCCCTCAGAAAACTAGGGGCATGTTCACATTGCGACATTAGAGCATAGCGAAATTGATTCAGGGTTAGGTCCGTCCGTCTCCCCGAATTTCTCCCCCCCCCAAGCTGTTCACATCAGCATGTCTTCATTAGAGTCAGATTTTCCCCATTTGTCTACACACCAGGGGTCTTTGACGGGTGTGCGTATCTTGACCGTCTGCAAAGGTGTTCATATCTTGGCTGAAAATGAATTAGGAACGGCTTGAAGACTGCAGTAAGTGTGAAGCTGGCTTGAGAAAACAATGCAACACACAGTTGTATTTTATAACAAAGTACAGGATACATATGCAGTTTGGATAACATCATGGGAACACAGATTAATAACCCAGGACTGGAAACATGGTGAGTCAGTGGGAATGTGAACACAATTTATATGTCAGTGAGAAGACTATGATCTATATCCAATGCTAGTCCTCCAATGCTAGTAGACTCATTGAAATTAACAAACATAGGTAACTTAAACCCACTAATTTCAATGGAAAGTTAGATGGATTAATGCTAGATGGTAGCAGTACTTGGAATAAACTAGCTCAGGTCACATTCACACCATACATCTAAAGTGCTATGATACCACTTTAAGCAGTCTCAGCTCCCCCAAATTAATTATGGCAGCTATAGTTTGTTAAGGGTGCTGAGAGTTGGTAGAAGACCGCTATTCCCCTCCTATTGCTATAATTTCCAGAGTGATTTAACAGTCAATCCCTGTTCCCTGGGAACTCTGGGAATTATAGCAATAGGAGGGGGAATAGGGGAGTCTCCTACCAATGCTCAGCACCCTAAACAAACTAAAGTTCCCAGAATTCTTTAGGGGAAGCCATTACTTTTTAAAGTGCCGTTGTAGCACCATAAACATGTGGCGAATGTGGCCCCAGAATATCTGAACTATGCCTGAGAGTAGCTCCCATAACTGCCACATGAACAGAACATGAATTAAGTTTGCTTTGGGGTTTAATAAACCACAGCTTAGCGTTGCCATTTAATCCTTCAACAAATTCATGAGGCCTGGCGGCACAGTTTGATGCTTTGGTGTCAGACGGCAACCTTCATCATGTCCATTTCCTGTCTCCAGCACTGACAGAATTGAGATGAAGATGTCCAGACATTCCCACTGAGAGAACGAAAATAAGCCCCAGACATCCTGCGGAACAGGTGAGGCCCAGTTCCAAGAGGGACTTGAGATGCAGGCAGAAAGATAACCAGCTCCTCCTAGGCACAAATCACAAAAAACTTAAAAAGAAAAAAGTATTGTCCATTTTTGTGAGCTCAGTCCTGTCTAGAAGGTCAACCCATTTATCAAATTATCCAGCAGAGAGGGTGCTGGTATTATTTTGCAGTTAACTGTTTTTACCCCACCCCCAGCAACCTTTGGGGAAAAAGAAATTTGTCCTGGATGCAGCCCGTCACCCTTGACGTCAAGCCCACATGCACAAACATTTTCTTTGACCGCTGGCCAAACAGTGCACGAGGCAGGAAGGACAAAAGAAAATTGATGTGGAGAAGATTCAATAGAGAAAACAAAAGCTCAGTGAAGACGTTTGATTGCACATGATGTCACGTGTGGAGTTGCTTTAGTGCAGGGATGGCCAACGTGGTGCCCTCCAAAAGTTGTTTGGCTACTACTTCTATCATCACTAACAACTGATCGTGCTTGCTGAGGCTGATGGCAGTTGTAGTCCCAACAACATCTAGAGAGCACCACGTTGCCTATCCCTGCTTTATTATTGCAGGCAAAATCAGTTGCACTGAGTTCTTATTTAAATCAACAGGACTAAAGTCATGACTACACAGGAATCCGCTTTATCAGAACATTGGTCCACCTAGCTCAGTATTGTCTACACTGACTGGCAGCAGCTCCCCAGGGTTTCAGGAAGGAGTCTCTCCTCCCTGGGCACTGAACCTCTGATCCAAAGGTAAAACAGCTAAAATCCAAGATTCCAGTCCTCATGATTCTGAAATATTTATATTCCACTATTCATTTAAAAAAAAACACCCAGAGCAGTTTACAACAACTATACAGTGAAGGCTGATTTAAACAGTCCCACTGAAACTTGTCTTCTGCTGAGTCAGCGTATTGGTCCATCTAGCTCAGTGTCATCTACACAGACTGCCAGCAGACAGGCATTCAGGCAGAAGCCCACCTGATCTGGAGATGCTGGAAGTTGAACAGGGAATGTTCTGCACACCAAGCAGAAGTTATAACACTCAACTAGAGGTAGACGTGGTGCTTAAAGGGCCATATCCTCATGAAATTTATTAGCATTTTAGTGCAAATTTCTCCTAACACACACACACACACACACACACACAGAGAGAGAGAGAGAGAGAGAGAGAGAGAGAGAGAGAGAGAGAGACCTATGTTTGGATGTAGCTTTGACTCAATAACACTTTTTTGCAGCCATTTCCCCATACAGAATGCACATTCGTATGCAATTTTCATTAAAAGATTCGTTTTTATGGTCACTTCTCCTCAATATATGCATTTTTGTAAACACTCTTTGGTTGGAGACTGGCATTGTAAAATTCATATATGTGTGAATTTCGAAAGATGGCTGAGTTTTGGTTCTCGTGTCAATTCAGAAAGCACAAATCAGGTTGCACTGCCTTTAAATGAGGACTGAATTCGATTTCTCCCCCCTCCCTTAATAACTCGTCCCCACTCTTGTGGAAACACAGGGTGTGAAGCCTTGCTTGAGAGGAGAATTAGGCAACATAAAGCAACCAAGGCCAGCCCATGTCAAAATCAGAACAGTGACATTTTGCCAAATTGAAAATGTCTAGGTGGGAAATTCTGCTTTGGCTTCAGCTGTAAGCTGTGAGAGGCCTAGTCTTGCCTGGAATTCTGAAGTGTTTTGAGAGGGAACACAAGAATACAAAATCATTGTAACACAAAACAGCTTACACCACACAGTCAATGTGTTAGTTACTGAAGTGGCGTAAGACTCTTCACTGCTTTAACCTGGTGAGAAGAGAAGGGAGGGACAACCTAATATAAACAAAGCAGAAGGCTCCCCCTTCTGGCTGGCAGAAATGCAGCAAAGACCTCTGCTTGGAGCAGTGTTCTTCCCCCTCTGTTGTTGAATTACAAATCTCATCCTCCAGACCCAGCTTAGCCAACAGCCAGGGGTGATGTGGGTTTCAGTTCAACAACAGCTGGAGATCTATAGTGGAAGACCACTGACTTAGAGGAGGCCTCCAGAAGTTGCTGGACTGCAACCCATATCGTCCCCTGACTGTTGGCCATGCTGATGGGGACTGATGGGAGTTGGAGTCCCACACTATATAGAGGGGCACAGATTCCCCAGCTCTAATCTAAGGAGAGGCATTGTCCCCTCTCTCTCCTATGAGGGAACGCCTCTTTTAAATAAGAGGCATTCCTCCATCTCTTGTAGGCTGTTTCGCAGATCAGGGCTGGGGAACTTGTGTTCTTCTAGTGATCTTTAGACTCCAACTCCCATCATCCCTGGCTGTTGACCATGCTGGCTGGGGCTGATGGGAGCTGGAGTACAGCAACATCCGTAAACCTACAAAAGTTATCCACTCCTGGCTCAGAATAATTCCTGGGAGTTGTTCCAAGAGAATCTCCAGCTCTTTCTCTCAAAGGGAACGGATTGTCCGAAGCATTCAACACAAAGTGCACACATACATACTGTGCACGGCCAGAGAGGAAGGTCTCTTTTGCACACTTGTTGCATGACTGGATTTTGGCAGGTGCAGCCTGCCCCAAGGAGAAAAAATCATTTAATGAAACTCATATTTCATTGCTGATTGGGACGTAATCCTTGATCAGGGAGGGTGGTGCTGATCAGAGCTGGCAAAAGGTTAAAGTGGATGATTTTCTTTATTTAAGGCTTGTATGCGTAATAAAAAATTAAGCAGACATAGCCCTAGCTACCTTTGAAGGTGACCCGGAAACTACAGTGGTACCTTGGGTTACACACGCTTCAGGTTACACACGCTTCAGGTTACAGACTCCGCTAACCCAGAAATATTACCTCAGGTTAAGAACTTTGCTTCAGGATGAGAACAGAAATCGTGCTCCAGCGGCGCGGCAACAGCAGGAGGCCCCATTAGCTAAAGTGGTGCTTCAGGTTAAGTTAAGCCAGAGTGGCTGAGGAAACCCAGACGGATGGGTGGGGTATAAATAATAAATTATTATTATTATTATTATTATTAGCACAAGCATTTCTTAGCAGAGGTGAAGAACCTGGAAGAGTGGGGTTCAAATCCCTTCTCATCCACGAAGCTCACTGGGTGGCCTTAAGCCAGTCACACTCTCCAGGCCTAACCTACGGTACCTTACAGGGTTGTTGTGCAGGGATAAAGGGAGAAGCCTGTATGCCATGAACTCCTTGGAGGAAAGGTAGAATATGGCTGCTTTTAACAGATATTAAAGCTATTTTTCAAAAAACATGGACATAAATGAATATCTGATTACTTTAAAATATTCTAGGACCATTTTACAGACCTAAAAGAGAAAGCTGAGAAAGGGAGGGGGTTTGGGAACTATAATTGACAGATAAATTAATTTGGGGAAGTGCTGTGCATGCAGAGGGTCCGAGGTTAAACCCCCAAGGGCATCTCCAGGTACGAAAAACATGGAGTCATTGTAGAAAATACTGAGCTACGTGCACCAGTGGTCTGACTCAGAAGAAGGCAGCATCCTAAATAAAATGAGAACTAGAAACTTGATTCCCTGCAAATGAAAGCTGAGGTTCTCTGAATGCCAATACTGTACCACATTCTGAGACTTGTGTCTCTGTGTTGGCTATCAGGACTTTCTTCCACTTCTGCATTACACACAGTCCCTTAAACCTGACATAACCCCAGCCTTCTTGAACACTCCACACTTCCACAAAATCAAGTGCATTTAGATCTCATGACTTGTAGTCAAACCACAAGACTTAAACACAAAGAATGAAACTGATTCTTCACACATACAACCACCTACACAACCGCATTACTGTACAACAGCAGCTCATATAAATCAGAACACCATCTGCTTTTGCAGCATAGCAGCAGTTCAACAGTTAAATGTCTGGACCCACCTGTGGCAACTATATCTGCATCGAAGGCAAGTAGGACAGGCGCTTTCCTTCAGAATAAGGGCTGTTGATAACTTGTGGCTAGACTCTGGTACTTCTATAAAGTGAAGGTTTTGTAACAAACACTTCCTTAGACCATCCACCAGAGCAAAGGAAAGAAGACTCTCATGCCCACTACCAGATGTTTTCATAAGAGGCAGGATGTGAAAGAGAGATATTTCTTGATAAGCCTGCCAAGGTTATTTTAAATACACTCTTCTTAGACAGAGGAGATACCCATAAAGGAAGGTAAAAGGAAGGGGGAAAATATATAACATTTCCAATTCATTTCCACAGTATGGCTTTAAATCAAAGCAAGTATGGCACCCCCTTTCTCCTGAAACAGAATCGATAGCTAAATGGAACCTCCAGGTACAGCTGCAGTCTCTCTCTAACATACCAAATACTGGGCACCTGTGGGATAGTTTGGACATAAGAAGGATCAGGCCAGTGGCCCATCTAGTCCAGCATCACGTTCTCACAGTGGCCAACCAGACGCCCCAAAAGGAAGGCCACAAGCAGAACTGGGATGCAACAGCAACTCTTCCCCTTCTGCCGTTTCCAGAAACTGGCAATTCAAAGTATTGCTAGCCTTATCCTCTGCAAATTTGTCTAATCCTATTTTAAAGCTATCCAAGTTGGTGGCCGTCTTCTTCTTGTCTTCGGTTCTGGACTTAATGGTATTAGGGAACAGAGGGGGCACCTGAGCTTGTGCAGAGCGAGCATTGAGTAACACACATATGCAAGAGGGAGAGAATTTCCAGTACCGGTGCTGTGCCAAACAGTGGAGTCTGTTTGGAAATGGGCACTGCCCTATGAACTTCAGTCTGCCCTCAGCCAAACATCCTCTCTCAGTCTTGTGCAGAGCTTGTCTGAGGCCCAAGGTGGGAGTCTTGTTAGAATAAAGTTATAAACTCAAGCAAAAAATTGGCCGGTCCCTGGTGGGGGCCCCAGCCAGCTTAGTCCTCCGCGGTCCAGAGCAAGTGTACCCGACTGACCGCCCTCCTGGCATGGGCTTGCTTTCTTACAACCAGTCCAGCAAGTGGCACAGACTGCCAGCTTCCTCCTCCTCCTCCTCCTCCTCCTCCTTAGTTGCTCTTGCAGAACTCATTAGTGAGGAGGATAGGAACAAAACCATAATTAGTTGGCTCTGCCTCCACTTGCCATTGGCCCTGTCTCCACTCATTACTGGCCCCATCTACTTCTTGGGCTCGCTGCCTTCTGCCCCACCAGGCCAAACAGGCACAAACCATTACTGCTCCTGAAACACTGGTTGCTCAGACCAACTGTAAGAGACAAGTTAATATCCTTTCATACTAGGGTTGTCAGACCTCCAGGTCTGATGCAAAGTCTCCCGGTTTGCCTGGCCGTCTCCAGGCAGCAACTGATTGGCAGGAATCTCCAGGTATGCGAGGTGGCCTTTAACAATAGTAATAATGACAATAAAAATGATGACGACAGTGCATACAACTTGCAAGCTTCAGCCCAGCAGGAGCTGACTGCAAATTATAGAAGGGACACACTGGGGTGCCTCTCCTCTGCTCTCCTCTCCCAATTAACCTCCATCTCCAAAGCCCACCCCTGTGACATCACTAGGAGGCCTCCCCCCATGACATCATCAGGGCCGCCCCAGATCTCAGGTTTCAAATCTCAGGCTCTGGGATATTCCTGAACTGGCCAAATTATTGAATATTCTTTTTCTATGTCGCTGAGGATCATGGTGGGACACAAATTTCCCACTCCACAAAAGTGACTTCCCCAGCATCCTCCAAACACTGCAAGGATTCATGAGAAGGGATGACAGGGATCTCAAACCATGTTAGACAGGTTTCCTGAAAGTAACCTTCTTCTTTCTAGGCAACTCCTGGTTCCCTCTCATGGTGGGAATTAAATGAAATTCTTGAGGCTGAATTCCCTCACCCCCTAGCAAAGCAGGGATGGCGTAATACAGCTATGAGCACGTCCTCTCGGCAGAGGTGAAGGTGATAATTTGGCAAACCCACAAAAGCATCAACAACCCCATTACGCAAAATGTTTTTTGTGGGCTAACTGGAAGGGGTGGGGGAGAGCTAGAAGTGCCAGGGCTTCAGAGCTGGCTGGAAGCCCAGTCCCAAATTTAGATGAGTACATCTGGTGTGGGAAGGCCTACGGCACATGCTCAGAGGCATTCTATAATTATATCATCAGCATTATTAATCCACAAGTCCTGGAGCTGGTGCCTAGGAACAGAAGAATATGCCTTCTACTGAGACAGACCACAGGTCCATCTAGCTCAGTACTATCTACACTGACTCAGGGATTCAGGTAGGGATCTCTCACAGCCTTACCTGGAGATGCCAAGGATTTAATCTACATGCAAGGAAGCTACTCAACCACTGGTGTGGCCTGTTGAAAAGCAGGTTGCAACAAACATAATATGTTTAAAAACACATGACACACACACACACACACACACACACACACACCAAGAATCCTGGGAACTGTAGCTTTTACCCCCTCACAGTGGTACAATTCCCAGCAGCCTTAAAGAACTACAGTTCCCAGGATTATTGAGGGGAAGTAATGTGCTTTAAATCCTAAGAACACTTGGGGGAAGGGATGCCACCTTCTTTGCCAACCAGGCACCCTCTAGAAGTTTTGCACTACAACTACCAGCATGCTGGCTAGGGCTGCTTAGAATTCCAGTTCTAAACTTCTGGAGGGTTGGCAAAGGCTGTGTTAGTGGGAAGCACTCGACACATGCTCAGAGATAGCCTCCCCTTCTAATTCATGTGATCTTCACCACTTCCAGAGTGGAAGCCCTTGTGTATATATATTCATTTCCAGAATGTCCTGAAATTGCATTTGCTCATGTACATCTTTTTTTAGTTTCATCTGGTCTCCACTCCCCCCCCCCAACCCACAGTCAACTCGAGAATTGCCTTCCTGGATTAGAGCGGGGGGGGGGGGCAGGAACCCTCTGAGACCAGCCAGTCAGAAGCATCACAGAGCTCAAGACCAAGGACTTGGAGGAATAGCCTTTCATGATCACCTAACCCTTGGTTTGTACTGAAAGGCAAACTGCTCCTGAATATGGACGTTCTATTTTGTTGTCATAGCTCATATAGCCACCAGTCAGCCTGTCTTTCTCCTCTCCAATCATACTGTAAGAATACAAGGGCTTTTGTGCTGGATCAGGCCAAAGGTCCACCTTAGCTCCTCCCTTTCCAAGAAGCTCAAACATAAGGCAGGGAGGTGACTGATAAGGTCTTCCTCATAAAAGGATTCAATCGGCTTCTGTATATCCTGGCCGACTGTAGACTGAAGCACTGTGGGGCAGAGACCAAAGCATTTTCATTTATGTTATGTTGTTAGATGCCACACACAGCATAAGCTGTGGAAGGGCTGTAGTTCAGTGGCAGAGGGCCCCAGGTTCAATCCCCAGTGGCATCTACAGGTAGGGCTGGGGGAGAGTCCCTGTCTGAAACCCTGGAGAGCAGCTGCCAGTCAGTGTACGCAGTACTTAGCAAGAGGGGCCAATGGACTGACTTCAGCAGAAGTCAGCTCCCCAGCCCTTCTTTAAATTCAGAATCATGAGGACTGGAATCTTACTTCCTTTTTTAGAGGGGAATGCCAAAGCTTAGTGGTAGAGCACTTGGTCTGCATGCAGAAGGCTCTGGGTTCAATCCCTGTTGTCTCTAGGTAAGGCTGGGCAATAACTGCTGCCTGAAATCAGAGCTAGTGTCAGGCAGCATAGATTGTGCTGATTTAGTATAAGACACCTCGATATATCCCTATTTAACTCAGCCTTTAATTCTGAGCCATTCTTAATAGTTTCTTAATTCATTTTTAGGGGGGAAAGTCATAGCAGAGAGGTAGAGCTCAATCCCCAGCCCCTCCAGGTACAGACCCCCTGGAGATCTGCTGCCAGTCAGTGTAGACAGTACTAAGCTATATAAGGCAGTTTCCTTTCAACAACAACAAGAAGCAGTTCTGACTAAATAAGCCACCTGTCCGTTTTCCACCTGCTGGCAAACCCCAGATCGCAAACTCTCGGGGGCGAAGACCTGCCTATTATTCCCCCCATTTGTGGGGGGTGGCTGCTCTTTCGCTTGCGCTGCAAAGCATTACCAGGGGGTTGGACTAGATGCCCCCTTTGGGGCCCCTTCCACCTCTACCATCACGATTATTATTTTCTAGCCTTTGCAAAAGCGCGCGTCCTTTACCTGGCTATCCAACATCATCATCTCCCGCTCATCGTTCCCAAAGGCTGTTTGAGGAGAAAAGGCGCAGGAGAGGAATCCACTCAGGGTCGCTTGCCCTGATCGCTGGGTCACTCACTGGTCGCTTGCCATGCGGTTATAAATCCAGCTCAGGAAAGGTCTCTCCCTCTTTTACGCCTTGTCAAGAGTCCTTGCTGCCTGGCTTTGCCCAGTTAAGAAAGGCGGCCGCGGCAGCAGGTCTCCAGCGAGCCTGGCGATGCTCCAACCCCTGCCAACACCACCCGGGAGTAGCTCAGCGTCTTCTTGGCAAGCCCATAATAATCCCGTCTTCCTGATCTCCTTCTCCGGGCGGAACTAGGGCGATTCCCAGCCGGCGGCTCCATAAAACTCTCCTATACACAGCAGCCGCTTTTTGCGTCCAGCAAAGGAGGAATTATTATTTTTCTCTTCGCCACCAGCACAGTCTCGTTGCTAGTCAATTTCGCTTCCCTCCGCCTCCCCCGGCCTCTTCAATTTCCTATTGTTGTCTCCCCGCGCTGCTTGGGGAGAGGAGCGCCTCGCTGCTTCCCTCCTGGTCGCTCTCCTGCAAAAAAGAGGTCCATGGGTGAAGAGAAAGCAGGAAGAGGAAGGGAAAAAATGGATCTGCTTTTGGGGAGTCTGGAGATAGAGACAGAGAGAGACAGCGCTCTGAACGTTGCGCCCAGCTTGCAACAATTTGCAAAGGGCGGGGGTAGTGAGCGTGCGAAGGGGAGGGGGGGGACTGAAATGACTCAAACAGCCGCCAGCAGGCTTTTAAAAGATCGCCTCTTCGCTTTTACTCTGCTCCCCGTCTCCCACATATTTTTTCCAAGCTAGCAAACGCCACCTCGCGTTTCCAAAACACAGTAAACCGCAAGGCATCGTTGGGTGGGAGGCCCCTGAGCGCGTGCAGAGTGCTTTCCCCTCCTCGAAGGCGAATCTATATAACCTAGATAAAGGTTGCCTAATAAGGAGGCATCTCCTGTTGACTTGGTGGTTGGCTGCACCCAGACTGGCTGCAGACAGGTCTACAGGGAGAAAATTAAAGGGGTTGTTTTGTAGGGATCTAAAGGATTCTGAGCATGGACAGAACAGCCAAACAACAATGGAACAAAGGAGGGTGTTTTTTTTTAATAATCTGAGGGCTAAATTTATTCTCAACATGTGCAGAGTGCCTGACTGGATTTTTTTTAAAGATGCACCAATGTAGGCAAATACAGAAATTTTCTTTTGTTTTTGTTGTTTTTCAAAATATAGATGGGCACAAGGCATATATATATATAATGTTTTAACAGTCTAAAGGAAAAGAATCAAGTTCATCAGTTTTGTAATTAAACTAAATAATTGTAATCGGGTTGTGAATAAATTAATTGTTACTGTTTCAAATTTTATTTTGTCATTATCTTCCTTAGAAGGGCCATAGATCAGTGACAGAGCATCTGTCTTGCATGCAGAAGCATCGCCATATAGGTCTGGGAGAGGTTCCCTGCCCCAAACCCAGAGAACCTGCTTCCAGTCAGTGTAAACAATACCAAAGACTCAGTAGATGTCAGCTTCTTATTTAATTCGGCCTTTAATGCAGAACTGTAAGGACTCACAAGAATCTTACTTTATCTTTAGAGGAAGGGGTGTAGCTCAGTGGTACAGCATCTGCTTTGCATACAGAAGGTCTCAGGTTCAATCCCTAGTGGTGTCTCCAGGTATTATTATTGTTATTGTTTAGTCGTTTAGTCGTGTCCGACTCTTCGTGACCCCATGGACCAGAGCACGCCAGGCACTCCTGTCTGTTATTATTATTGTTCTTTATTAAATTTGTATAGAGCTGGGAGAATGCCTAGAGAGCTGCTGCCAGTCAGTGTAGACAACATTGAACAAGATGGACCAAAGTCTGACTCAGTATAAGGCAGCTTCCTATGTTCATGCAAACCAGTATTCTGATTAATACTTTTTATGGGGTAGGGTAAGGGGCACTGGGGACGAGTTTATGGAACCAAGAAAGTGGTAGAACGAAAAGGTTTAGGAACCATTACCTTAACAACTACACCACAGGTGGAACACGTTTTTTTGTCCAGGTCCTCTGCATGGGATATTTACACTGTAGGCTCAGTCCTCGGGCCTGCAACATGTGCTCTTAACAGGAACAGAAGACCCAGCAGGGCCCTTCCAATTAACGGCCCCCCAGCGCCCTGCAAGGCTACGGCATATAAAGCAATGCCCGCCCCCAACCGCTTGATCTCCATTCACACAGAACCCTGAACATTTTCAGGCGCCCCGGGGATGCTGCGGAGGTGAACAGAAGCTCCTGGAACCAGCCTTGCCTGATCAATTTCATGCCAGCAGTGAAGAGGGCAGAGCAGCGGTGGTGGCGATGGTGGAGAGGGTTGCTCTGGTAACGCGAAGCCTGCCTATATTATTATTTTTTCATAAAAGAGCATTCGGGGTTTCAAGAGTCGGGGAGGATGGCGACAAGCGTGATTCAGCCGGTGCCAGCTATCGTGGTGGTGGTGGTGGTGGGGTTTAGACCACCACACGAGACTAGGCCAGTGTATGGGTGGGCTGCAGCTCAAATCCCCACCACACCACCTTCTTATCATTCTTTCATTGATGTGGGTGTCAGTATCTATTCCCACCCACCTTATTTATTCTATTGCATGTATATCCCATCTTTTTCTGCAAGGTGGTGTACATGGTTCACGCCAACCCTGTGGTTCACGCCAACCCAAGGTGGTGTACATGGTTCATGCCAACCTCACGCCAACCCTGTGAGGTAGGTTACACTGAGAGGCTGGGCCAAGGTCACTCAGTGGGCATTTGAATCCTTAACAGGGGTGCCAATTTGAATAAAATATTGGAGGGGCCCAGGTAAACCCTGACACACAAACACACACACACACAATTTGAATGGAAATTTCCAATAACTTTGAGGGACCTGGGTCACTCAAATATTTTGGGGGGTGTTGAAGACTCCTCTGGTCCTAGGGGTTGGCTCCTATGAACCCTCATATACTACTTGCAAGTAGACAAGCGATTCTGGGTCCGTAAGTGCATGCAGTGTTGTTGCTCTTTAGCGTCGATGAGCTTGTGGTAGCATACATTAACTGGTCTGCCAGCAAAGAAGCAACTCAAACATCAATGGACTTCTGCAAGGGATAGTCCGCCATCTGCTGGCAAAGATGCTGCAAGGCTATTCCTGTCTCTTTTGTTTCGCAATCTACACTGCAGGGTTCAATATTTTAATCCTGTGACATAGGTACCAACTCCCTGGGGCCCTTGGTGTCCAAGCACCCACAAAATTCCCCATGAAGGGGCCGGGCACCCACAAATTTCAGTGCCAGGACCATGCACGCTGCATGGCACCCACAGCCCCGGGCACCCATGGTCACGGGGCCAAGCTGGCACTCCTGCCCTGTGACTGGGAATCATTTTCAGCCCAAGGGCAGCATATGCAGGGAATTTGAACTCAGATCTTGCCCCAGCCAAAGTCCTAACATATTGGTCACAGCCTCACACGACATTTTTGGGCTTAAGGGTAGTGATTTCTGTGAGCGTCAATACTCTTTATTTTGCTTTTATTGATTGCATTTATATCCCAAGTTTTTTTTCTTCAAAGAGCTGAAGGAGGTGCACATAGTTCTCCCCCTCATTTAATCCCCAGAACAGGCAGCGCTGGGTCCAAAGTCACCCAGTGACCCACATGGCTGAGGTGGGATTTGAACCCTGCTCTCCGAAGTCCTAGTCAAACACTCCTCCAACCACTACACCACACTGGCTCACAAACCTGACGGTTATGGGCATAGCCAGTATTTTTTTTTTGCATGGGGCAGGCCTTTTGTGGAGGGGGGGCAGAACCTCAGTTGGCTATGTACGTTTATGTATTTTTATTTATGTACGTTTATGTATTTTTATTGATTGGGGGGGGGCAGGTGCCCCTCCCTGTCCCGTCCCCCCGGCTCTCCCTTGGCTATGCTCATGCTCACAGTACTGAGTTGTGGCTTACTGGGATCATGGTTCCATTTGAAGCTGTCACCTGGCATCCTCACACAGTTGCGAGGGCCTCGGCCTAGCAGGGCCTTCCTATGCCTCCCCCTGCATCCAACACAGCCCTCTGAACAGGCACCAGGCAGCTGGACTGAGCCACTCTGTTAGTTTATTGTTCAAGCCTAATTTCACCAGTGGGGAAGGCTCTGACTATATGTATTTATGTATGTATGTATCTATTCATTAATTGCATACACACACACGCCAAGTATATATGTATATATATGGTATTATTATCCAAATACATTATATAGATATATATATATATATATATATATATATATATATATATATATGCATTCCAAATATTGTTTTACTCAATGCTATTTTTCTAGAAAAAGAGGTGCTGGCTGCAAAAAATAAATAAAATATAGGCCATATATATTTCTCCCTCTTCAATTAATCAGAATAACCTTGTGGGGTAGGTTAGGCTGAGGCAGTGATGGGCCCGCAAAGTTGCACCCAGTTAAAGCTTCATGGCCAAGTGGGGGAATCTGAACCATAGTCTTCCTCGGGTCCTAGTACGACATTCTAATCGCTATGCCGTACTGGCTTTCAGGCGCTTGGTTAAAATGGTTTTCTTTCAGGAAGGCTTTGCACTTTGCGAATGTTCCAATGTTTCCAACGTTTTGATCATACATTTTGCATTTTGTATTTTCAGTGGGGGTTTTTTCATAGAGATTTTTTTTTAAAAAAACCACACACACCGGGGGATAAATTCCTTTTTTAAAAAGTAAAATAAATAAAACTTTCCCACAATGCCTGTAATCCAGGCATTCTGGGAAAGATAAATGGTGGCCGGGCCCAGTCACCCAGCCGAGCATTGATAACACATGGTGGGGGGCTCCAGTGGTTATTTTACTTGGGGCAGGGTGTGGGTCTTGGATTCTGGTTCTTACTGACATAAAGTAGCCAGAGCACACTCTGACCATGCCTCCATTTTACCATCTTATTCTGCACTCTGTGCTTTTGCCTAATTGAATTTCTCTTTCTCACCATCTCCCTCTTCCCCCGACATCCTCCTGCCTCCCTCCCATGCTTTTTGGGAGCCGTTTCCCTGGAAACAAGACCTGCTTAATTCTGTCATCTTTGACATTCCACTCCTCATTCTTCGGTGAGATCATCACCTGCCTCGGTTCCCCTCCTTCTGCAATCCTGCCTCTCAGACATTTGCCATCAGAGGGTCATTAGCCAACTGCAGCTAGTATAATATTTTTTCCCAACCCCACTCCCCTCTTCCCAAAAGATTGCAATGCGATCCTGTTTATATCCATCAACCTCAGAGACATTGAACTCAGCAGTATTTAGTAGATAAGCATAGGATTGCACTGTTAGGCAGATAGCCAGACAGGTAGTGGGATGGTGATGATGATGATTACATATTTATTAATATCCTGCCTTTCCACATGACAGGGACACAAGGTGGCTTACAGATAAAATATGAACAAGCTAAAACGGGGGGGGGGGACCCATTAGAAACCATTAAGCATTAAGAGAATTAAAACATAGCTATATCTATATCTATATGAGCTCTATTAGAATCATACAGATAATTACAATAAAAACAGCACGGCACCAGCCCTTTAATTAAAAGCAGTTGTTTCCCAAAACCCTGTTAAAACAAGTCTTCATCTAGACTGCTACTAGCCAAAAACTGGAAATTGCAAGAGATACCAACAATAGAAGAATGGCCGAAGAAAAAGTTGGACTTTTTGGAGCTGGCTGACCTGACTGGAAGAATCCGCGACCAGAAAGAAGAGATACAAGAAGATTAGAAGAAATTTAAAGATTATTTGGCTAAGTATTGTGATATAAGATAATTAGAAAATTCTTGGAAGTAACTGAAGGGACAGGATACCCAAATCCTGTCTGTGAAATCACCCCAGGCCTCAAAACTGTCCAAAACTCCTTTTGTCTTCTAAAAATCCAAAACAGCTTTTCTCTGCTCTCCTCTGCTCTATCACAAGATGCTGTGGCAAAAGGCAAAATGTTACTTTTAAAGGCTAATGAATAGACTCTGTCATTGCCAAGAATTCTCAGGCCTGAGAAACGAATCTTATCTCATTCAGCTGCAACACCTTTGGACATGTTGAACCGTTCTCATTCCCCTTTCCTGGGAAGGGTCCCAAGAGTCCACAATAGTCCCAAGACAGCTTTCTGTTCATGCTCAGAGGACTCCTGAGGGAGGAGAAAGGAGGAGGGATCTGGAAGGGGTATATATGTTTGTGCACATGATTGTGAACTCGTGCATGCTTTTTGTGACTTATCACACTTGCTCCTTCTACCAGTTCATGGATGGTAGAAATAAAACCTTTTTCTCCGAAACTATTCCTTGAGTGTCTGTTGACTCCCACTTCCCTTTCCCAGGCGCAATATTTTTCCCACCCGAGGGCAAAGCCTCATAAGGCTACATTTCTTGGTGCGATTGGCCGGGAAAAACAGATTCCCTGAGGATAAGGGATGTGGGTTCAAGGCGTCCCTGCGGTGAACAGCTCGGTTCGTGTCAGCTGTTCCAGTGCACATCCTGCCAAGTTCGTGGGAGGAATTGCATCCCATTCCTGAGTGGACACACTGCAAGGACCGGAGAAAAAGCAACGGCCGTGCAGAAAGAAGGTACCTCGAGGAAAAAGGTAAGGCTCCACAGGGTTAGGTGGGAGGAAAGAGAGTTTGATCAGCTCCACCAGTAGGGCAGTAAAAGGTGCCACTGGTTTTGGTTTTGCCCAGAAAAGCAGCAAAAAGGGTGCTGCTGGGCCCTGGTCGAAGTCTAAGCGCTGCCGGTTGGTTGTTGATTTTGTGCCCAGAAAAAGCAGTAAAGGTGCTCTTGGGCCCCGGTCGAAGTCGTGAAGCGCTGCCAGTTGTGGTTTTGGTGTTGGTAAAAAAGGGGATTGAGGGAGGTGCATGGGTTTCTGAATGTGCGTGTGGGGACACTCCAGTGAATGTTTTGAGTGTGTGAGACGTTGGAAGCAACGTGTGGTCTGTGACTGAGTGAGAGAAATGACGTTACCATCCGAGGGCAAAGCCTCATAAGGCTACATAACGAATAGGCTTAGGGGTAGAATAAGAACATGTGTTAGTAAATAGCAAGGATTAGAATATTAATAAAGGAGAAGAGGTTAGTAAATGATAGGAGTTAATATTATTAGAAATATGAATTTGGAGAACTGATATACAGGTGATATAATGAAATTCAGTTAGAGGGGTTTCGAGGAAGTCAGATATCAATGTTATGAGAATTAGATAGCTGAAGAAATAATTTTTCCTGTGTTTAGTTTTATTGTATTGTAATGTGTTTTTCTTTGTTATGTGTTTTGTATGTCATTTTTGTTATCAATGGGAAAATCAATAAAAAAAAATTGAAAAGAAAAAAAGGAAAAAAAGAAACAAGTCTTTATCTGCCAGCAGAAGGATAGCAAACAGGGAGCCAGTCTAGCTTATCCAGAGAGGGAGTTCCAAAGTCTGGGAGTAGCCACTGAGAAGGCCCTGTTCCAGGTCCCCACTAAGCCTGCCTGTGGGGGTGGTGGGACCAAGAGACGTGCCTCCCCAAAAGATCTCAATGTCAGGCAGGTTCATATGAGGCAATGTGGTCCTTCAGATAGGCTGGACCTAAGCCATGTAGGGCTTTATAGGTCATTACCAGCACTTTGAATTGTGCCCAGAAGCAGATGGGTAGCCAGTGAAGCTGTTCTAGCAAAGGAGTTGTCTGCTTGTGGTCTTGGATGTGGGCTTCCCATTATGGGCACCTGGTTGGCCACTGGGAGAATAGGATGCTGTACTAGATGGGTCACTGGCCTCATCCAGCATGGCTCTTCTTTTTCTGAACAAATCCAATGAATAAATAAACTTTTAAGCTTTACTCCTTAGCTAGTGATGTTTGCTAATTTCAAACCTTCTACTTTAAGTGGGAGTAATATTGGATACAACCCATAATTGCTATTGTGATCAAAAAATTAGCCTTCATATTCGCAAAACTGTTCATAGTAAAGAGGGGATTCTTCCCATGACTTCCAGTACTGTACTTGTCTGCCAATTAAACAATATTTAATTTAATGAATTGATTGTCTCCTTTTTCCACTGAATCATCTGCTGTTTAATCCATCGTGTTTACGTTTAATCAATATATTGCTAGACACTTACGGTACCTGCATTGGTGCCTTTGAAAATATTATTGATTGTAAAGGAGCCCTTCTGAGATACTGAAGGAAGAGAAAAGTAACACAGTTTCATAAACAAAAGTTACCAATTTTAATTAGGAGGCAAATAGAATCTGCCTCTCATTTTTCTTTCACTTTTTCTCTATAAGGATTGACAAATCTTACCAGTTCAATTTGTCCCAGGGCCCCTTCGGACTAGTGTTATTTTCTGTAGGCTGCATTCTGCCACATTATGTAATAATAGCACATTGGTGATGGATTTATCCTGGATCATTCTGCTTTCTATGGCCACATCCGCATTCTACATTTAAAGCAGTATCATACTACTTTAAGCAGCCATGGCTTAAAGAATCGTGGGAATTGTAGTTTGTTAAGGGTACTGAGAGTTGCTAGGATACCCCCCACTCTACGGAGAGAGCTATGATATTCAGAGTGATTTAACAGTCAAGCCTTCTTCCCAGGGAAACTCTCAGCATCCATAAAAAAGTACAGCTCCCAGGATTCTTATGGGGGGAATCCATGACTTCCAAGTCAGACCATTGGTGTCTCCAAGGCTGAATCTACACAGATATAAAAAACGCTGTGAAAACGCTTTCTAGAAAAATAGTTTAAAAATATAGATGAAATTTGTCATTAGCTCATCAGTGCCATCTAGTGCCACATTTGTATAATGCACTTAAAACACACTTCATACATTATGTTTGCAGCTGTATAGCAGAGTCATAGCTTGGTATTATCTACACTGCAGCCCCATCAGCACTATCGATTTAAAGCACTATGATACCCAGTGCTGCTTTTATTTGGCAAAAGAGTGAGGGCTGGTACTCATATATCGATAAAAGTGTAATCGGTGGCAGCACAAAATGGCTGCCATGGACAGCAAAAAAAAAAAAAAAAAAGGTCCAGTGCTCCATACTGGTGAGTAATGCCACATTAAAAAATTCTCATTGTACCACTTTAAACAGTGATGTCTTCCCTCAAATAATTCTGAAAAGTGTAGTTTGTTGTATGCTGCTGAGTTGTTAGGAAGCCCCCTATTCCCCTCACAGAGCCACAATAGTTCCCAGAGTTCCCTGGGAAGAGGGATTGATTATTAAAGTAACTGGGAATTATGACTCTATGAGTGGAATATGGTGGTCTCCTAAAAACTCTCGGCACCTTTAACAAACAACACTTCCCAAGATTCCTTGGGGAGAGCCATGACAGTGTTTTAAATGTAAAGTGCAGATGTCGCCTCAGTTGTTCTGCAATGCATTATCAAGGCCTGGAAGGGGCTCTCTTGCACCATAGCTGTCAACTTTCAGATTTGAAAATAAAGGATCAGCAGCCTCGAAAATAAGGGATCAGCGGCCTCACCTGTCCCAGGGACAGTCTACGGGATATCTAACAATCTGGGATAGCAGTGGGAAAGGGCGGGAAACGGCGCTGGAATAAAGGAATTTCCCACAAAAAAGGGAAGGTTGACAGCTATGTCTTGCACTATAGGCACAACAAAAACAGGATACACACACACACACACACACACACACACCCCACACCCATAGCTGTCAACTTACAGATTTGAAAATAAGGGACCAGCAGCCTCGAAAATAAGGGATCAGCAGTCAAAATAAGGGATTTTAGTCAACCAGCTGAAATACAAAGTTAAAAGGGACCAGATAATTTGGGAGAGCAGCGCCGGTTTTTAGCCCTTCGTTTCCAGAGGTTGCTGCTCAAGACACCAACTGATGAAACACTGCAATTAAATAATTACAAGCAGCAAACACTTTTCGCGCAAAACCAAGTCCAAGCTATGAAGATGCTGCTGCAGTTCTGTGTCTTTTCTCTCGTGCTCCATCTGTAGCTCTCAGTTCCACCAGGCGGGGCGGGAGGAAGGGGGGGAGAAATAGCGCCCGAAGTAAACCCGCAGATCAGACCATCTATGCTAGTCTACCACTACAAATCTATGGGAAAAGAGCTTGCGGTCCTTCCTCCGCTTTCCCCCTCTATGGTTAGCCCTTGGAACACCTGCCCGCGCCTCCTCCTCCTCCTCTTCCTCTTCTCTTTGAACTGTTTTCTCTATGGTTGCCCTCGCTCTCCTCTCTCGCTCCTCAGCAATTCATAGGCCACGCCAGGCTGCCCGGGTCCTTCGTGGCCGCGAGGAGGGTGGCGGCGGAAGGGCCTCAGGCTCCTGGGGGCTGAGGCTGGTGAGAGGAGGCCGGAGGGGGGCCAACACAGTTGGAGCCTCCCTCCTCCCTGGCCCGCAGGCAGGGAGGGAGAGAGAGGAGCTGCTTCCTTTGAAACCCGGGAAATTTAAGGGCCATCATCAATAAGGGACAGCAGCGGGACACAGCACTGGGATAAGGGAGTTTCCCGCCAAATAAGGGACAGTTGATAGCTATATAACACACACACACACACACACACACACACACACACACACACACAGAGGTCATTTCTGAGATTGGGTTTAAAATCAGCACCTTCTTTAGCTCTTTTAAAAATATATATTTGGGAACGAAAACCAGGATTTACTATATAAAGCCCTGTTGGTTTTTCCTCTTAAAGCTGCTGGGTTAGAAATCACTTACAGGTGATGCTCCCTGGCAGGGATTTATTTAGATACAGGAAATAGTACAAAAAAGAGTTTGAAGCATTACTCTCTGAAATGTTGAGTAGCTGTGTTTTAGAAAGCTCAGGGAATAGGGTTGCCAGACCTCCAGGGATTTGCCCACTCCCTTCCAGGTGCAGGAAATGCTTTTAAATAAAAATAAAAGTAAACAACAACAGCAACCGCAACGATGGGTGTGGCTGAATGGAAACCAAAATGACCACTTAGAACAGTTTCCTCCCCTGGGTGCCAGTTTTAACTAAAATCTGTTTGATTGCACAGGATTTATTAAAATAAAAATAAATCTTCTTCCCTCTGCCTAAGGGAATGTCCACAGCAGCATTTCACTCACCCCAAACAGGGAAGCTTAGCTCAATGCTTCATGTGAGGCCCCTATAAACAAGTGAAGAAGACAAAATGACTGCTGTGCCTCCTAAAATAGCAGAAAATACAGCTGTAAAACCAAAATACTTGGATGCCACATTCAGGGAATAGTTTGAAGCATAATGCATTTCCCTTAAAAGCCAAAATCATATAAGCCTAGAAGGAATTAATAGCTTCTCTGGAAGCAAAGGTAAATACAATAATGGAAAAGCTGGAGGGTACTGCTGAAACAGCTTCTGCAGCAGTGGATTTAAGTTTGAAGCAAAAATTAAGAGGCTGCTTAGGGAAAATAAATGCATTAAGTGTAAGCTTGAAGAAGTGGGAAATAGTCACTAAAGGGTTAATATACACAGGATTAAAAAGGAGGCAGAAGGAGATAATATTACAGGATTGATAATCTAGTGGTTTAAAACTGTTAGACTTTGCCTGGAATTGTCCCCAGAAAATATGAAGAAGAATGCATAGAGTACTGCCAGCCAGTCTGCAGGATACTGCACCCAAAGGGTATTGTTATGAGCTTCCACTGTTTTAAAAAGAAAAATGAGATTTGAAAGGCTTTGAGAAAGGTTGAAATAATAATTTGTGACAATAATCCAATCATGATGTTTTTTGGACACTGATAAAATGAAGGGAACTTTGGCACATAATACTCAATCTGCAAGATGTAGGAATAAGATATTATTGGGCTTTCCCCTTTCGTTTAGTGACTGCTAAACAACACTCTCAGCCACCAACCTCAAGGAACCCACAAAACTATTAACACCACTAGAACTGGTCTGTCCGCCTAGGGTTATTGATTTTTTTGGATAGTGAATCCATTGGTGAAGTTGACCCAGCTCAGGAGCCCAGATGAGAGGGCTACAACAAAGCCAAAATACCATGTAAGAGAATAACAGGACAATGAAGAGGCAGCATTGCACATTTTTCAGAAAGGTTACTACACTCTTTAATAAGCAGGAACTAATGCAGAACTGAAGAATGCTGTTTAAAAAAAGAGTGGAAAGGCTCCTTTTCTATAGAAGTGAAAGCAATCAAACTGGAATGACCTGAAAATATAAATATCTTGAAAGTACCAGAGGTTGGGACATGAGGTTTACAAGAAAATATCCACTTTAATGTACCTCATCATTTACTTGTTTAAAATAAGTTTGATTTTTATGCTTATGATTTACTCTATACCCATAGTAGTACTGGAGTGCCCTCTACTGTTAAAAGAGGACACACACCAGGGTGTAAGTTCTCAAGGTTCTGGGTTAATTCAAAGGTTTTTTTCAAAGATGCGATACAAGTAGATTTTTTACAGAAGTAGATTAATTTGTAGAACCAAAGCAAAAACATGGAAAGCTTAGATTGGCAAAGGACACTATTGCTTAATGGCCAAAATGAGTACAGGTATTAAAGTAATTTCTTTTAACTGTGAAGGGGTTGGGAGATCCAATAAAATACACCAGAATGGCAACTTATTTGTTCAAAAAGGATCCACATATAGCCTTTTTGCAAGAACCCTATAATGCAGATAGGGGAAAAAACCCACACATTGTTTATGCAGTCATGTGTGGGCCAAAAGTACCTCACGAAGACAAAACCATGCAGGAGGAGTGGGAGAAAACCACACTGAGCTTGCTGGAGAAAAAGTGGGATATAAATTCAATAGAAAAGCAACGTGTTATGCTTCCTGACATCACTTTGCACCCCTCCTGTGATATCCCCAGGTAGCTGCTCCTGGGTCCCAAGTTTGTTCCCTGGAATCTCAGGGTCTGGGATGCCCCATACCTGGTAACCCTATCAGGGATGGACAAATACAAGACAGTTTTATTATTGATTGCTATCCTTTTATTCAATACATGGCTACAACTGGTGTTAACAAAGACAGCTCTGCAAAAACAGGGTCAGTGATGGCTGGATTGATCCTTCCTCTTTGCAATAAAATTTCTTTCTTTTGTGCCTTATCTTGTTTATGATGTAACACTTCCTGTAGTCATTTAATGTTCTGCATTGATTTTCTTTGGCAGTTTCATGGTTTTGACTTACAATATCTGTTATATTATAATGACCTGACTTGCACTGACTGGAAACATTGGAGTCTTTCCGCCTCAAATCTTTTGCAGGTACAAACAGTACTGAAAGTGGGATGGTGTCTAATCAACAGATAAGAGTGGGATGGGGTGGCCGTCCATCAACAGATAGGGTGTCATCACCTACTGATGGCAACCTAAGCCAAAGCTCTGGACAAGCTGGGCGAGGGGGCGCATAAAGATGTTAAAAAGCATTGGGGAGAGAATTGTGCCCTGCGGTACTCCACGCACCAAGGAGTAGCACGATGACAGCTCACCCCCCCAGCACCACCCTCTGTCCAGAAAGGAACGAGCACAGCCACTGAAGGACTGTGCCCTGAATCCCCACATCAGCGAGGCAGCGGTCCAGAAGTTTGTGAGCAACCATGTTGAAGGCTGCTGACAGATCTAAGAGAATCAACAGCCCCGACCCGCCTTGGTCCAGCTGCCTACAGAGATCATCAGTTAGGGCAACCAGAGCCATATCGGTCCCATGACCAGAGCAAAAGCTGGACTGGAATGGATCTAGAGCCGATGTTTCATTCAAAAATCCAACAAGCTGTTCAGCAACTGCTCTCTCAATCACCTTGCCCAGGAACAGAAGATTCGAAACTGGGCGGGAATTGAATAGATCTAAAGGATCTAATGATGTTTTCTTTAAGAGCGGTGCCAAGGGACAAATTCATGATGTCACCCAGGGGAGCCTGCAACTCGTCTGGACATGCTCAAATCAGCCAGGATGGGCACAAGTCAAGAGGACAAGTGGTGGGCTTTCTGGCATGGAGGAGTCTGTCCACATCGGCTGGCAGTATCCGGTCAAAGTGGTCCAGTACTGGACCTGAGGACAATCAAGGTGCCTCCAGTTCCGTTATTGTATCCAAGTTGGCAGGGAGGTCATGGCGGAGCGACAGGACCTTCTCCGCAAAAAAGCTCCCAAATGCCTCACAGCTATGTGCCTGATTCATATTTAAATTTGGCTGTCCCTCTAGGGATGTTAGAGACCTAATTATACTAAAAAGTTGTGCGGGGCGAGAGCTAGCGGATGCAATGGAGGCTGAGAAGTAAGACTTGTTTGCAGTCTTCACTACTATCTCATAGGTTTTCATAAACGCTCTATAAGATGTTCTTGAGGCTCCGTCACGAGTACTCTGCCATACTCGCTCTAGCTGTCTGAGCTCCTCAGTAAACCAAGGGGCCCGGTTTCTGTGGGGTTGCAGAGGGTGCCTAGGTGTGATCTCATCTATGGCCGCCAAGCGTCGGGTATTCCAACCCTCAACAAGCTTAGTCAATGAGTCGTCAGGGGGAGCAGGATCCCGCAAGGCCTGACGGAATCCATCAGGGTCCATCAGCCTCCACGCCGAGCCCAAATCGACTCACCACCTAAGCAGGGTGGGGGTGGGAAGTCAATCCTGGCTTTCAGAGCATAGTGATCAGACCATGGCACCTCCATGATCACATCTATGCCTGTGCCAAAGATCAAATCCAGCGTGTAGCCTGCCTGATGTGTGTGGCCCAAAACAAACTGGGAGAGCCCTAGTGTCACCATGGAAGACACCAGGTCCAGAGCCTGTGAGAAAGGGGTAGCACTCTCGGCAGGGGTTGGGGGACATGTCTGATTTTGCCAACTCCGCAATGGATCTGCAGGTCCAAATAATTTGATCCCAAGGGCTCCCCTGCCCAGAAATACACAGTGAGGCCAAGATGGACCCAACTAGGGTCAGTCCCTGACCTCCCTATAATTCTTGCTCAATGTTGAGACCCGTATGAGTCTCAGCTCAGGTGGTTTTGACTTTGTGTCGTCCCAAAGGTACTCCGGAGAGAGGAGCTTTGAAGGCTTCTGGGAAAGGAAGTGCCTGTTCAGATGACTCTCCTCTTGCCAAGCTGCCATGATGCCGTTGGCCTTGTCTGCCAATATGGTCATGTGGCAAGCCCTGGTGAACTCGTAGACATTCTTGACCAGGCCTCCAAAGGCCGCCCCGCAATAGTAGAAGTCTCCTTCTTCCTTAGAGATGTAGGCCATGGAAGCAGGTCTCCTCTCATATGGGAATGCTGTCCGAGAGACCTTGTAGTAGCCTGGGTGGATCACGGCCACCATCTCCCCCAAGGTCTCTGGGCCCCACGGGTTATGAAACAACATGTCAATGTCCAGGCAGAAGAGATAGTCCACGTCTCGGTGGGCTGTATCTGAGATGTACCGGTTTATGGCCTCCATCCTGCGCATGGAGATTTCTTGCCAGTGGGCATATTTCTTTATAGGGATGAGGTGGAGGGTTCTCCCAGGCTGCAGGCGGACAACGGAGATGTCTTTGGGGTTGTCTGTGAAGATGTAGTAGTTCACATGGTATCCCACCATGAAGTACTGTTCAGCTGACTCCAAAAAATGGCTCACAAATCGTATGTATCTGAGCAAACATTAAAGATATACAATATTAAGAGCAATTGCTCAGGGCAGAGTTTTTAAAAAGCAGATTTTCAAGCTGCACTGCTGCTGGTCAGTGTATGCAGTATTGGGTGAGATGGATCAATGGTCTAATTTGGTATAAGGCTGCTTCCGAGGCTCCTAAGGCCCCATAAGGCAGGAGCAAAGTAGGCTAGAATCAGACCAGGGGTCAATGTGGCCTAGGGCTACCCATCCTGAAATGCAGCAGCTCCACAAAGCTATTAATCCTGGTTACAGGTAGGTAGCCATGTTGGTCTGCCGTAGTCGAAACAAAATAAAAAAAAATCCTTCCAGTAGCACCTTAGAGACCAACTAAGTTTGTACAAACTTAGTTGGTCTCTAAGGTGCTACAGGAAGGAATTTTTTTAAATTTTGTTTCTATTAATCCTGATGGCTGTTCTCTCCCTCCACTGTTGGAGGCAGTAAATGTTTCTGAATATCACTTGGTGGAAACTGCAGGAGAGTTACCTTTTAGGCTTGATCCAAGAGGGCTCATCCTATGTCCTTAAGCCCAGGGGTCTGTGCCAGGCACTCATAACAAAGGCCTTTTATAACCAGAGTTGCTACAGCCCACATCATGTTTTAGATTTCGGCAAATGTGCAGACCTTCCCAACCCCTCCTGCCCTTTCTGCTTACTTTCCAACGGCGAAGGCAGTCATTCCAATGGTAAGGTTCAAAGGCTTGTAGATGCTGTCCAAGATTTCAGGGTTGAATGTCCCCTCCCAGACAATGGGGGCCAGCCACGGAGTCACGGTGAGCACATCAGAGCGCCTGAGGAAACCAGGAAAATAAAGCAATGCAATGTCAAAAGTGTTGATTGAGCAAATAGGATGCTACTGGTGATCAGATCTGTCAATTTCAGTTTCTTATTTTTCCCGAATATAAGTTCAGTTCTCCGTGTTTCCATCTGTTGTTGTTTTTTAAAGTACAGTACTCCGGAAACTTCATTTTTCTGCAAGTTTCCCTGATACACACACATTTTTCATATGCAATTATGGCTAATATACATACACAGTTTTGCAAAGTCACTTTCCCTAATATAATGAATTTCTGTATGTTCTATTCACTAAAATACACATTTTCAAATGCAAACTTTGTCCTAGTACAAACATTTTTTCTTTACATATTACTCAGCTGGAGAACAGCACTGCAAAAATTCGGAGAAGTGTGAACATGCTTGCGAGTTCAGGAAAAGTCATCCTGGACTTCTATAAGAGGTCACCTCAAATGGTATTAATTAGACAGGCCTCTGAAGCCAGAAATTTATTTTAATTAACCAGTATTGATGAATTTATTTAACTACACAGCACCAAGTTAAACTGTGGAACTCACTTCCACAGGAGGCACTAACTTGGATTGGACAAATGCATCAAGGGCAAGGCAATCAATGGCTATTAGCCACAACAATATCTCTGCTCTGCCTCCATGGTCAGAGGAAGAAAGGCTTCTGAATACGAGTTCTTGGAAACTGCAGGAGGTGAGATTGCTTGTGTGCTCAGATCCTGTGGTTGGCCACTATGAGAACAGGATGCTGGACTTAGATGGGCCATTGGCCTGATCCAACAGGGCTTTTCTTACATTCTTATTTACATTTAAATTTTTGTCTTATTTCAATTTTTATCACCGTTGAAACTTTTGTACAATGTCTACTGCTTTGTTGCATTTTTAAAAAAAACAACAAAGTAAATTTGTTAAAAGTTTTAATAAATAGAATATATGAATCGGGCCAGTCCTTTCTGGCACTTACGTCTGTTGCACAGACTTTGGCTGTGGATAAAAGAATCTGAAAAAGATAATAAATATATATTAGAACAAATCTCCAGAAGAAAGAAGCAGCAATTTTAGGGAAGAAGCAAGTGGAAGAGAACTAACTGTGGGAAAAGCTGGTGCGAATTCTCCTCTCTGTACTGTAGTTTCAAAGCACTGTCCAAAAAAAGAGAGAGAAAGGGAAATTCAACTTTTATTTATTCATTTGTTTGTGTGCATGTGTTTTTTTTTTAAAGGTGTATATTACTTAATTGGAAATGAAACCTCTATGCAATTTGCAAAAAGCAAACAAACATTAAAATTGTCAAGAAAAGGAAAGTTAAAAACAGGATTTTTTTTTTTTAAAGATGCAAAGTGTTATGAAAACAGTTTGGCTAAAAACATACTTAAAACACAAGCCTACATGTTCTGTGAGGATAAATTTGTCTGAACAAAAATCTTTTCAGTAAAGAGTATAGTGAAGATGCCTACCTGACATAAATAGGCTGGGAGTTGCAAAGTAGAGGTGTTGCCACACTAACATACTGATTTCTTATAAGCGCAGAACATGTATTATGCAGTGCCTGTGACAGTGGTATTTCCTCCTATTTTCAAAGCTCCTACAGGCTCAATTTGTTTGACACCTCACTCTTGCAACCAAAAAACATAGAACTGAAGAGCTACAAGGTACTCCAAAGTTAATCTAGTCTAATTGCCTAGAGCAGTGGTTTTCAACCAGTGTGCTGTGGCACCCTGGGGTGCCTTGAATGATAGTCAGGGGTGCCACAGGCAACACTGGCCTCTGTCCCTCTTTCCTTCCCTCCCTCCCTCAATGCCCTCTCATCTCTGCCCTGCACAGCTGTTTGTTGCAGCTGCCCTGGCTACAAGCTCCCTAAGTGAATGGTGCCTCCGGGGCTGGCCAGGGGGTGCTGGTTGCCAGGAGCTGAAGTGGCCTCAGAGTAAGCAAGCAAATGGGCAAGGGACCGCAGCCAGCCGGCCACCAGCCCTTGCTGTTGGGAATAGGCAGACAAGTCCCAGGCCACTTTGGTGCAGCGTGAGAAGGCACCTCTTTTCAGAGGAAGCTCAGAGACCAGAGGCTGCAGAGACGGCTGCCTGGAGGACTCCCAAGGAGAGGGGAGAGGAGAGGAGGCTGAAGGAACACTCCACAAGGGAGAGTGTTCGAAAAGGGGCGAGGGGCTGCCAGCTCTGCAGGCAGGGGGTGACATAACTGGGCTCCTGAGCCCCACAGGGGTGTCACAGAAAGAATGCAGTTGGTCAAGGAAGCCGTGGACTCAAAACGGTTGAAAACTTCTGCCCTAGAATGCAGGGACCATGGCTAATCACATAGCATTGGATGGAGTATTGAGGCTCTGCAGTTTAGCCCCCAAATCTCACTATGGTACTTACAAGAGATCTGGGCATGGAAGATAATATGGAAGGTAGTGGGTCGGTCCTTTCCCAATCAAAACCCTGGGGACAAAAAAAAAGCAGTTAAAAGAGGCATAAAGGTTGTGCAGGACTTGAGAAATGTTATCAGGATGGGGGCATCTGCAAGGAAATGAACAATAAAATGGTCTTGTTGGACTTGGCATGGTGGCGGTGGCAGGCTGTACTTTTCTCCAATCCTCATATTTACATGGTGGGAATGGATTAGGTACTGATTAGTATTACAAGTGAAAAATACTGAATTTAATTCAGAATTATTTTTGCGTTCTGTGTTTACAAGACGCAATAAGGATTTAGCATAGGAGGCGATTTTCCTCAAAGCATGGTAATCGGCCTCATAGACGACCATTGTTCCAGCTAGCTCAGTGTTGTATACATTGGCTGGCAGCATTTATTCTGTGGCTTCCAGCACACTGGTACTCAGAAGCATGGAGGTAAAGCATAGGCATCATGGCTAGTAGCCACTGAGAGCTTTCTCCTCCATGACTTTGTCTAATCCTCTTCAAAGCCATCCAAGTTGGTGGCTGCTGTGAACAGGATATTCAGCGAAAGAGACTCACCCGATAAAAAAGGAGATGGTGCTAAAGGTGAGTGCAAGGACAGATAAGATAAGTTTCTGAAGTTTCATGTTTCCTGGGCTTGAAAAAAGAAGAATTAAGGATATCCAAAGTTCAGATCTTATGTTGGTTTCACCTAGGGAAGTAATGAAAGTAAAATTAGAGGTGTGTTATAAGAATTCTAAGGTCTCAAATATAAAATAAATGTTTGTACATGTATAAGGCAAACACATACATAACTATATAAACCACGTGTCTAAAATAGTACAGGAGAGCAATCCTGTAGCCATTTTGACTCTCGCAGTGACCTCAAATATTCCTCTGCAGTAAGGAAGGAAAATGGGTGTCAGAGAACTGCCATCGGAGCCAGAGGGAGAGGGAGGGCTCCAGAGGGATTCCGGAGAGCGTCCCGGGAGGGAGAGAAACAGCACATCTTCTGGGGAAGGAAATCAGCGTAACACCAGTGGAGAAGGGGGGCAGATGGGGGAATCGGCGAGGTGGCTCCAAGACTCTTTGCCGGGAACCAGTGGGGAGAGCACGGGTCCTCCGATGCCCACACCCTCCCTGCGCAGAAGGCTTCCACGCAGGGAAGCTAGGCGGAGACTAAGCGTCAAAGAGCTTCTTTGCTGGAAGAAGTTCAAGAAACGCCCACTAACGGATTCTGCCAGCGATTGAGACAGCCACGGGCGCGTGGCTGTCCAGACAGAAAGGGTTCATTCAGGCAACCAGCCAAGGGTGGCGTTGATTTACACACAAGCAACCCCTAGAACCATTACAGCAATCCGTTAGTCCCTGACGTTGCTTGTGCGTAGCCCCGGAGAGGCAGCAAGATGAGCCAAACAGGAACAGCCGAAGAGATGGAGTAGCCAGCTGCGGTGCGGAGTCTGGTCGAGAGGAACTGAGACTTGGAGACGCACGTAGCTATCCTGACAGCGCGGCTGGAGGAAAGACGGGCTCAGGATGCACAGGTCAGAGCCACCCCCATCGCAAGGAAGGTACCGGGGCTGGTACACAAATTTGGGGGGAAGCCCCAAGACTACAATGCTTTCCGAATGGAAGTGCAGTACGCTTTGGAGCTGCAGAAAAATGACTTTGCTGATGACGGGGAGAGGGTGGCTTACATTGTGGGGCATCTGCAGGATGAGGCAAGAGAATGGATCAGGCCCCTAATGGCGACGCAAAATGATGCCTTGAAGGACCTTAATAAATTCCTTCAGGGAATGGACGCGATGTTCTCCAGTGATGTGGGGCAAAGCGTGACACGGCGGGAACTGATGGGTTGCAAGCAGGGGAGCCAGTCCGTCAGAAGCTACTGGTTGCGTTTTGCAATGTTAGTACACCGGCTCGGGTGGGATCTGGACTCTGAACTGATACAAATGTTGTTTGAGGCGGGTCTTTCCCCCGAAGTGAAAGACGAGTTGTCCCGAGCGCCCCGCCCACGGTCGATGGATGTGCTCACAAAGGCGGTGCTTGCGATAGGCGTACGCCAAGAAGCGCAGGCTCAGGAGAAGCGGGAAATGAGAGGGGAACGTTTCCATGACTACCGCATTCCTGAGATACCGAGGGAGCCTCCCCAGGCGGCAGAGCCAATGGAAATTGATGGCGCGCGAGGTTTCAAACTCCCGTGAAGGTCGTAAAAGGGAGGGAAAGGACTGGAAAACTACCAAGAAGTGTTTCCTCTGTGAACGACCAGGACATTTTGCTAAGGTCTGCCCTCAAAGGAAAGCCTGGCAAGGGATGGTGGGGGCTGCAGGCCACAACGAGAAGGGGGAGGAAGAGCAGGTGCAGGGAAACGACAATGCCTGGCTGCCAACCAGCAGGGGCAGCAGCCAGGCCAGCAACCAATAGAAGTGCCCCAGCCTGACCCCCCCAAGGCAGCTATAGCCATCGAAGTGGTGCTAGAACTCCCGAATGGGCACCCTGTCAAGGTTAAGGGACTGCTGGATTCGGGCAGCTCGTGTAATTTCTTCAGCAGAGACTTTGCTCTGGAGCACCAACTCCACCTGTTGCCTCTGGATTTTCCCTTGCAGGTGACAACCATCGATGGCAGGGAACTTCTGGGAGGGGAAGTGACACACCAGACCCCGCCAATGCGAATGAGGGTTTCCAGGCACACAGAGACCATTGCCTTTCACGTGGCCACACTGGCAGGACCCCCAATAATACTGGGAATGAGCTGGCTGGCTCTGCATGATCCAGTAGTGTCATGGCATCAGCGGTCAGTCACCTTTGGGTCAGCTTACTGCTTAGGACACTGTCTGGGAGGGGAGAACTCAAGAATGACAGTAGCCAGGGTTGCTGGGCTGGCCGTGGAACAACAAGGGCAGGTGCCACCGCAATATGCTGATCTGAAGGAGGTCTTCAGCGAGATGGAGGCAGATAGACTACCCCCCCACAGGCCCTTTGACTGCCAAATCAACCTACTCCCAGGGGCTCAGTTGCCGGTGGGTAAGCTGTACACCATGTCAGACCGGGAGATGCAGGAGTTGCGGCAGTTTATTGATAAGAACCTGAAGAGGGGGTTCATAAGGGAATCAAAGGTGGTGGGGGGCAGTCCGGTGTTCTTTGTAGACAAAAAGGGGACCAATCAGCCCAGGTTGGTCGTAGATTATAGGGCCTTGAACCTGGTGTCTGAACCCGTGACCTTCCCAATGCCAAGGATTGATGACATTTTAACCCGGGTGAGGCAGGGGAAGATTTTTACCAAGCTGGACCTCAGGGGGGCATACAATTTAATTAGGGTAAGGGAGGGGGACGAATGGAAAACGACCATGTTCACCCCCTGGGGGCCTTTGAGTGCTTAGTCATGCCATTTGGATTACAATCGGGCTCCGCCTGTTTTCAAGGATTCATGCACCACGTGTTGGGGCCCCTGCTGTACAAGAATTGCGTAGCCTTTTTGGATGACGTCTTAATCTACTCGGACAATGAGAAGCAACACGTCAGAGACATCAGGGAAGTGCTACAGAGACTGCAGAAGCATCAGTTGTGGGTCAAGCTGGAAAAATGCCAATTTCACGCCAGGGAGGTCGAGTTTCTGGGGTACAAGTTGTCAGACAAGGGCCTAGCTATGGACCCAGGCAAGGTGAAGGCAGTGCTGGAATGGAAAGCCCCCAAAACCTGGAAAGATGTGCAAAGGTTCTTAGGCTTCAGCAACTTCTACAGGAAGTTCATAAAGAACTTCGCTCACTTGACAGCGCCCATAACAGATTGTCTCAGTAGCAAAAAGAAGTTCGCGTGGACAGAAAGTGCCCAGCAATCCTTTGAAAGGCTGAAGAAGGCGTTCGCTTCGGAAGAGCAGCTCCTGCACGTTGATCTGGAGAAGCCCATGAGACTGGAGACGGACGCGTCCGACCGAGCTGTGGGAGCGGTCCTTTTGCAGCCCGGGGCTAAGCAGGACTGGAGGCCGTGTGCCTTTTTCTCAAGGAAGCTGAGCAAGTCAGAGCAAAACTACACAGTGTATGACCGCGAACTGCTTGCGATCTACGTGGCGTTTCGACAATGGAGACATCTGTTGATAGGGGCAAGGCACAAGATCCAGGTTTGTACTGACCACAAGAACTTGGAATACTGGCGGACCGCGCGAGTGCTCAACCAGAGACAGGTTCGATGGGCCCAGGAGTTCGCCAAGTTTTCCTTCAAGATCAGATACGTTCTGGGAGTGGAAAACGTAAGAGCAGATGCTCTCTCCCGGAAACCGGAATACCTGGAGGGAGAGGGACCACCGGAAACCCGACATGTGTTTCCCGAGGACCGATGGGTGTGTGGGGGAACGTTGGTTGGGAAACGAGAACTGGCAGGGCTTACCAGTTCACTCAAGCAAAAATCAGGGAACTCCGGGACGGAAGGGAAGACCATGGAGGGTTTGAGGAAAAGGAAGGGGTACTGTACTATAAGGGGGCACTGTATGTACCGGGGGAGACCTTGAGGGGGAAGGTACTTAAACAGCTCCATGACAACCCAACAGCTGGGCACTTTGGACAGCACAAGACCATGCTGCTCATCACCAGGCAGTTCTGGTGGCCAAAGGTGAGGGAAGACGTACGGGAATATGTACGGGGGTACGACCGATGCCAGAGGGCAAAGGGAGAGAGGGCTGCCCCCGCAGGGTTACTGGAACCCTTACCTACGCCGGGAAGGCCCTGGGAGGTGGTGTCCATTGATTTTATGACAGATTTGCCCAAGTCAAGGGGGAAGACAGCAGTCATGGTAGTAGTCGATCTACTGACAAAAATGTGCCATTTCATAGCTTGCTCGCACGTGGTGACAGCAGAGGAGACAGCCCGGTTGTTTGTGGATCACATTTTCAGACTGCACGTGGCTCCTTCGAGGGTAATCTCGGACCGTGGGAAACAACTTACTTCCAGGTTCTGGAGGAAGCTCATGAGCTTGCTACAGGTCAAGGTGAGCTTCTCGACGGCCAGACACCCCGAAACCAACGGGCAAGCAGAGAGAGCGAACAGTATACTCCAACAATACCTACGCTGCTACGTCAGCGAGAGACAGAACGATTGGGTAGAGAAATTAGCTTTGGCTGAATTTGCGTACAATAACGCAGAACACGTGTCCACGGGAATGAGCCCGTTCATGGCCAATTATGGGTGTCACCCCAGGGCCTTCCCGGGAAGGGGGGAGGAAGCATGGAGTGTACCCGTGGCCGAGCAGTTTGTAGAAGAAATGGAGGCCTTGCACCAACAACTCAAGATGAACTTGGAGCAGGCCAAGGAAGTTTACAAAAGGCAGGCGGACAAGCACCGTAGGGAGGGGGAGGCCATACGGGTAGGAGACCGGGTGTGGTTGTCAACCCAAGGGTTACCCCTGAAGGGAGGGTGCAAGAAGTTGCAGCTGAGGTGGCTGGGGCCTTTTGCAGTAGCACAGCAGGTGAACCCAGTGGCGTTCAAACTCAAATTGCCAGACAGCATGAAGATACATCCGGTGTTCCATAGGTCACTACTCACACCGTACAGGGAAGGGCGAGAGTTTCCGGGGCGGGAGGGAGGAATCACCACCCACCCGAGGGTAGAGGAGAGGGAACACCGCAACCAAGCCACGGAAATCCTCGATTCAAGGTGGCGAGGTCGGCAGGTGGAGTACTTGGTAGCTTGGGAGGGAGAACCCAGGTCAGAAAACACGTGGGTTCCTGCTGAGTCAATCAATGACGGGTATCTGGTGGAAGAATTCCACAGTTTGTTCCCAGATAAGCCAAAACCACTAGCGAGATTCTGGGAAGAAGAATTTGGAACCACAGACGACGAAGGGGACTTTGTGGGTTTTCCTGCCTCCGAAGAGGAGGGAGGTGGGGTGTCAGAGGGAGAAGAATCAGACTGGGAGGCCCACTCTGCGGGGAGAGATCGGAGTGGGTGGGAGGCTGGTTTTGAATCCTCAGAGGATGGTGACAGCTCCTTCAGGGGATTCCCCGCGTCGTCGGCCGAGGAAAGAGACAAGGTTGTATCGGAAAATCGCGCCGGGGGTGGAGGGGGTCCTGGGGAGGAGGTGGATGTCAGGGAACTGCCATCGGAGCCAGAGGGAGAGGGAGGGCTCCAGAGGGATTCTGGAGAGCGTCCCGGGAGGGAGAGAAGCAGCACATCTTCTGGGGAAGGAAATCAGCGTAACACCAGTGGAGAAGGGGGGCAGATGGGGGAATCGGCGAGGTGGCTCCAAGACTCTTCGCCGGGAACCAGTGGGGAGAGCACGGGTCCTCTGATGCCCACACCCTCCCTGCGCAGAAGGCTTCCGCGCAGGGAAGCTAGGCGGAGACTAAGCGTCAAAGAGCTTCTTTGCTGGAAGAAGTTCAAGAAACGGCCACTAACGGATTCTGCCAGCGATTGAGACAGCCACGGGCGCGTGGCTGTCCAGACAGAAAGGGTTCATTCAGGCAACCAGCCAAGGGTGGCGTTGATTTACACACAAGCAACCCCTAGAACCATTACAATGGGGAAAGCCTTTCCATTCTCTTTTTGCTTACAAAGCCTGTATTAAAGTAATAACAATAATAATAAAAAAATAAATATAAATATAAATAAATAAACCTTTTAAACCTTCCCGGTTTAAAAACTGGGCTCAGGGCAGCTAACAGCAAATATAAAATATTGATTAAAATGCGACTTAAAAATAGCATAAAATACAACATAAAATGCAGTGTCAATATCAATAAAATTCAAAAATTCAGGGATCATTTTGCGGGGGGAAACAAAAAACTAAATTATTAACCATCACAAAAGAATGGCCAGACTGCTCTGGTAATGAAGTCAGTGACCATTATGAGGTATCCTGGCAAACAGGATTTTTGCTGTAGACCACCTCCTTCTGTGATGTATGTATGATGTTTTAGGGGGGTTGTCTTGGGCGACAGGGTGGGCAATTTAAAGAGTTTACATAAGGGCTTGCACACCATTGTTCTGGGTTCTCCTGTGTGTGGTGAGTGGGGACCCTGTTGCAATAGTACTTTTCTTTTGCAATAAAGATCAGGCTTACTAGCCGCTTTGCTTCACAATATACTCTGGTTGGCCTCTGTTATTTTCTCCTACTGATAGGGAACCCACTTAAGGACTCTTAAGGCTTTTGGATACCCTGTAAGGGGAAAGGAGCAGTTTTTTCTTATAACAGTTGGGAAAGTCTCTCTCCCACTTCCACTTCCAGATCAATATAAAGGGAATCCAAGGAATCATTCTTACTCACTGCTTGTTGGTTATCTAACTCGCAGTGGTAGAGCATCTGCCTTGCAAGCAGAAGGCTTCAGGTTTGATCCCCAAAGGCAACTCCAGGCAGGGCTGGGAGAGAACCCAGCCAGAAATCCTGAACTGCTGCCAGTCAGTGTAGGCAATATTGAGCTGCATGGGACAGCGATCTGGCTCTGTATAAAGCAGCTTCCTATGTTCTCCACATGCTTTCATCCAGCTGAAGGAATCAGAGGGTCCCAGCCTACAACCCTGGAGAGGCAGCTATATTCATGCTAGGGAACGTAGAAAGTGTGTTGAGCAACAAAATTGCTGGAGGGCATTAGATGGAGGCCAAATCTTCAGTCAGGGCGGGTATCAACTTTGAAATAAACACTGCACCTCTAAAGCATTTAAAAACCATATTGTCAGGAAAGCATTGTTTAATGTTTGGATAAGATATAAGGACCTACTGGAAAACAAAACCCCAAGGTGGCTGTCACCGATGGAAGCGAAAGCTCTGAAAAAGCTCAATATGGAGGCCAAATGGCCGAAATATTGGGAAATTTTGGAACAAGAGGGAGACAGATTGAAACTGCAGAGTTTTGAGAAATTAAAAAACAAAGTGCGAGACTGGCTTCATTATTATCAGATAATGGAAGCATACAATTTGGACAAGAAAATTGGCTTCCAGGTGGAAAAATCAAAATTAGAAACAGAACTGCTAGAACCCAAAACTAAGATTTTGTCAAAGATGTATAACTTGCTGTTGAAATGGAATACACAGGATGAAACGGTGAAATCTGCTATGATTAAATGGGCACAAGATGTTGGACATAACATAATGATGGCTGACTGGGAATAGTTATGGACCACAGGTATGAAATTCACGGCATGTAATGCCTTAAGAGAGAATATTATGAAAATGATATACAGGTGGTACATGACACCAGTCAAGCTTGCAAAAATCTATCACTTGCCCGATAATAAATGTTGGAAATGTAAAGAAACTGAAGGTACATTCTTTCACCTTTGGTGGACGTGCCCAAGGATTAAGGCTTTCTGGGAGATGATTTATAATGAAATGAAAAGGGTACTTAAATATACCTTTCTGAAGAAACCAGAGGCCTTTCTCCTGGGCATGGTCGGCCAAATGGTGCTAAAGAAGGACAGAACTTTTTTTATGTATGCCACAACAGCAGCAAGAATACTTATTGCAAAGTATTGGAAGACACAAGATCTACCCACTCTGGAAGAATGGCAGATGAAGGTGATGGACTATATGGAATTGGCGGAAATGACTGGCAGAATCCGAGACCAGGGAGAAGAGTCGGTGGAAGAAGATTGGAAGAAATTTAAAGACTACTTACAGAAATATTGCAAAATTAATGAATGTTAGAAGGATGTCAGAATGAAGTTAAGTGGTTTAAGCAGCAATGTTATAAAGGTGTATGTAAAAATGGATTGTTAACAGGTGAGAATCCAAAGTTATAATATATTATGTTAAAGAACTAAGATAAAAACAAAGAGGGAAAGAAATTGCTGAATTAACTAACTGAATTGGAATACAAAAAAGGGAGGCGTGAGGAGGTCAGGGAAACAAGGAAATGAATGTAAGGTATGGAAAGACTGATGTATTTTTTAAAGTGTTTTTTATCTTTTTTTGTATTTTGTATTTTTTCTTTTATTTTTTCTTTTGTCTTTTTTTTCCTTCTTTTTTAATTCATGTAATTCTTTTTTTTAAAACCTTAATGTCAGGGAACTGACATCGGAGCGAGAGGCGAAGGGGAGGCTCCTAGATGATGCTGGCGAAGGACCCAGCAGCAGGGGGAGAAACAGCTCAGTAGAGGGGGAAGCAAATCAGCGCAACACCAGGGATAAAGGGGGGCAGATGGTGGAATCGGAGAGAGGGCTCCAGGACTCTTCACTGGAACTCAGTGAGGCGGGGACAGGTCCTCCGCTACCCACGCCCTCCCTGCGCAGAAGACTCCCGCGCAGTGAGAGGAGGAGGAGACTGGGTGTCAAACAACTTCTATGTTGGAAGAGGTTCAAGAAGCGCCCACTGACGGATTCTGCCAGCGACTGAGGCAGCCACGATGAGAAAGGGCTGTGCAGTCAGAAAGGTTTAACAAGGCAAATTAGCCTAGAGAGGCACCAGTTTACGCACGAGTAACTCATACCCACTACACTTAATAAATATCATTTTTTAAAAAATGAAATAAACACTGCACCTCAATGAACTGTGTGTGCAGATGTGATGCTTTACTTCCTGTTCCACTCAGGAACTTGTGAGAAAATATGAAGCAAGATCAGATTTCCTGACTCTTGTGTATATTTGGTTTGTCTGTGTGTGTTTGCATCTCTCTTTATAGATTTTTGCACACAGCAGCCCATAAAATCCTCCCGCTTTCTTTTTTTACTGAGCTGCTCTCTGCTGGGAGGCATTTGCAGCAAGGAAAATGGCATATGAGCACTGAGAAGCCTCTCTCTACCCCCATTTCCACTGTTTGGCTTAAAAGGCAGCCATGGGAGGAAGTTTTAAAAGGAAAATTATCCCATGTAAAAAGGTAAAGGCAAAGGACCCCTGGACGGTTAAGTTCAGCAGGACTAAACAGCTTCGGGTGCAACAGGATACCGTGACAAGTGCAAGAGCGCACAGAAACACCATTTACCTTCTCACCACAGCAGTACCTATTTGTCTACTTGCACTGACATGCTTTCAAACTGATAGGCTGGCAGAAGCTGGGACAGAGCAAAGGGAGCTCACTCCGTCATCCGATCGGTAAGCCTAAGAGTCCTGGTGGTTTACACCACAGTGCCTCCTGCATCCCCTCTTTTTACCTTTACCTCCCACCTTTTACCACTCCCTCTTCATAGCTCAGAGATTCAAGAGAGCTGAGAAGTTACTTCATCTCACCCCCTTCTAAAAAAAAACCCCATGGAATGATGAAACACCTCTCTAGAGTACTTAACCTGGTGCTTAAAGTTGATTTGAAATAGTTGGAATATTTATTTTGTAGTTTAAACAGCAGCAATTACTTAACCATCCATTTTATTTTGTTGAACTCTTAATTTAAAATAGGCATTAATGAGGGAAAAGGCTGTCTGCTTTTCTGCCTCCTTGTTGGAGCCTCTCAACGTTTTTCATATCCCTCTGTTATAGAAAGATTATTGCTGGCTGTTCATCCTGTTGGCTGGACACTGTAGCGTTTTATCTTTCCTGCCTCAGACCCTAAAATTTCCGATACCAAGGCCTAACTCCAAAGTCTAGGAAAAGATTTGCTTACCAGAAAGAAGGAAATCAGCGAAGAGACTGTGAACTCGGTGGCAGCTCCCTGGAGCAAGGCAATCAAGATGACCTCAGCATTTAAGGTGTGTTTACAGCTGAAAATTCAGGCTTCTTTCTTCTGATCCCTGTGTTCATATTTATGGCCAGTGGTGCCTCTGGTTCCTTGCCGGAAGCCGATATGGTACAGACCACATCCTTTTGTTGTGTGGTGAACCAGCAGGAAAATTTCGAAAGGCAGTATCTCACATGGCTTGAGTTTCCCCCCTCCCATTCCTTAGCCACCCCCTTCATGCATTAGTCATTTCCCATAAATGATGTCTGCCTATCTACCCTAGGAAACATTCTACTTCATTCATCATGCAGCTAGGCTTTTATGAGTTCTGCTTTTTCCTGGCATGCCTTGTGAGAGGCTAATGGACTAATTCTTGTCCGGAAATGCATTTTGCCCACACTTAGAGCTTTCTGTGAAAACAGCCACTTCCCTTGTGCTGTGACTATTGCCTAGATTTCTGCTTTTGCTTTTGTTTCATTTCTCTCTACTGTATATTTTGTTGCATCTATATTTTCAGCCCAGCCCAAAAGGTTCAGGTCCGTAAAAAAAGTTGACAGTTGGCTGCCCACTTACCGCCAAGCCAGATTTAAGGTTCCTGTGTTAATTTACAAAGCACTGAACCACTTAGGTCCATGGTACCTCAGAGACCACCTGAACCCTTAAATCCTAGCTCAGTCACTGAGATCACCTGCAGGAACATAGGTGGTTCCACGAATTAACTGGTGAGGCTCATTTGACAAGAAAACCAGCCTTAGATGTCAATGGCCCAGTCAACAGATTTAGCGGGCACCTTCTGTGCCACCTTTTAAACGCCTGCTGATAACTCTGTTTCGCCAGGCCTACGCAGACAACTAAGAAAATATCCTTCCACAATACAGTGGTACCTCTGGTTACGTACTTAATTTGTTCCAGAGGTCCTTTCTTAACCTGAAACTGTTCTTAACCTGAAGCACCTCTTTAGCTAATGGGGCCTCCTGCTGCCGCCGCCGCGTGATTTCTGTTCTCAAACTGAAGCAAAGTTCTTAACCCGAGGTACTATTTCTGGGTTAGCGGAGTCTGTAACCTGAAGCGTATGTAACCCGAGGTACCACTGTAGTTCATTGGCTTTTAGTGTGTGGTTTTATGTTTTTATTGTTGTAAACTGTATTGATACATTTTAATGACATAACAGTACATACATATTTATATAATTAATTAATTGACTGATTGATTAATTATATAAAATCCCCAGAGGGAAGGAGGGAGCAGCAAACCCCTTGAGTTGTTGATTTGCTGCAGGGACAATTTATAAGTTGGTGAGGGTTTCTTTGTGATAGGCTGTTCTTATCAAGGGAGATGGGAATGAGATATTGGGAAAGGAATTACTGAAACCCATGGAGTTGGACTTGCCAGGCAAGTTCAGCAGGAATTTCTCTTAGTCTTAATGAAACTATTTTTTATTCAACATTTCCTTATGCAATACCTTCCTCTGGAAAAACAGGGTCATAGATCGTGAGCTATGGATGAGGAGGGAATCGGTTCCAGCTCTCATTTAAAGGGCAACATATCTAATCTGCACTTTCTGAAACAACGTATAAACCAATACTGTACACAAAATTGTGCATACTAGGGAAAACTGCTCTGCAAAATTGTGCATATTAGGGGAAATTCCATAAAAGAACGTGTATATTAGGAAAAGAATTGCACTAGAATGCTTATGAACTTTCATGGGTTTAAAATAATAATTTCAAACTTATGTAGAAATGTGGAGAACTGAATTTAAGATTAGAAAAATGAGAAACTGAGAGAAACTGATCGATTTGCCCATCCCTATGAAGGCTTCTTCTCTTCACTCTGTGTACTTCCATGAGCAGGAAAGAGGTGATGAAACCGGAGAAAAACCTCAACAGAAAAACACAAATCCTCTTCCACTTAATTCACATTTCCCAAAACAACTCATGAAATGAAACTTGTCTCTCCTTCCAAATTCACTCTTTTCCAATGCAGTTCTCCAACCAAATAACATGTACTAAAATGTGTATATCAGGGGAAAGTGTGCATAAGGACTGTTGGGCAAAAAGATACCTGCATTGCAGGGGGGTTGGACTAGATGATCCTCGTGGTCCCTTCCAGCTCTGCAATTCTATGATATTGGTGAAAATGACACAGAAAAATATATTCTAGTAATTATTCAGGCCCATTAATTTCAATGGGTCTACTATGAGTAAGATTTACTTGGACAGAATCCTGAGTATATTCGACAAAACTGTGTTAACAAATGTAGTATATATGGAGAAACATGGACTAAAATGCTGACAAGTTTTCAGGAGGACTTTTTATTTTATGATTCTTTTTTTGATGCTGAGAGAATTAGATTCCAAGCTTGCAAAAATGTGAAAATGACAGAGTCATCCATCCCTAGTAGACCCAGACATGCAGTCTGAGCTGATGTAAAGCAGCCTCTTTGTTCCTCTGGGAACCCTTCTGAGGTGTTGTCAAGAGTTTCAACTGATTGACAGTTGATTCAAATTCCCATTTGCAATTCCTCACCAGTTAACCCAGGGTGTTAGCAAACAAGGACGCCTTGATTGCTAAATAATATATTTACTCAAGTGGGTGGGGGTGGATAGATTGCTTACAGAGGGAGAAATGAGAACACGTGAAGGTGTCTATTGCTTACACAGAGAGAAATGAGAACGCATGAAGGCAGAAGAGTGTGGCAGATTCATGCGTAGAGCTGCTTGATCTTCTGCACTGACTTCTTCCACCAGTCTGTCCAGTGCTGGGCCTTCATTAGAAGGGCTGTCTTCTCCTTTTTAATCCTGGCAAATTCCACCTCCAACAGTTCCTTGAATCCCTGTGTGAGCAACACAACCCCAGAAAATGCAAAATAAGGACCAGAGAAATCCATATTTGCCTTTGGAAGCCTTGAAAGTCGCCACTGGAGAGGGAGTGGGGGGAAACTGCATGGGAGGGGTGTTTCTGGGACAAAGGTGAAACAGTCAGGTTCCCTTGGCATTTTTACTATTGGATGCTGGGTGTTGTTTATGCAGTCTTGTTATATGTATAGTACTGAAATGTGTTTTTGGTATGTTGTCATGTTTGCTGTTGTGGTGTCTTGTTATGCTATTCTGTAAGCTGCTTTAAGCACGCTTGAAGAGTGGCATGATGTCAAGGTCAGTAAGGCAAGACACTGGTGAGTATGCCCTGGGGGAAGCAGGGCTGGAGTCTGACTCGGGAGAAGGGGGCAGTAGTCTGTGGTGACCAGTACTAGCCAGGATGCAAGAATTAGAGGCAGGGGAAGCTTTAGAGCTGGAGGAAGAGGCAGCCCAGGAAAGTGAAAGGTTGGGTGCTTCCCCTCCCTCCCCTGCACCACTGCTTCCCAGAACCAGGAGAGAACTGAAGCAGGAAGAGCAAAAGCAGCTTCCACACAGGTGTGGTCTCCAGCTACATGTGCACAGCCCATCAAGGGAAGGTACATAAACTGGGGGGGGGGGAGTGTTCTGCAGATGCTGCAACTGCTCCATTGAGCACAAAACCTGGGAATAGCTGCCCAGATGCTAGACTGGTGTGCATAGGTCTCCAGAGCTATAGAAGCAACTGTTATTGTTATCTATGACAATAAATAAAGAATTAACTCTTTGTCATGTGCATTCCTTTGGCTGGGAAATGTCCTTGCCACATGCAAATAAAAGGAAGGAAGGAAGGAATCTATCTTTCTGTACTCACACCTAGGGTGACTGAAGGATGGAGTTTAAAAAAACACAAAACTCCCCCTAATTTCCATTAATGATTATGCACTCAGATTCCAGAGATGGAGCCCACTCAAGAGCTGTTGGCATCTATCTGTCTCAAGAGACAATAGAGTGCACCTCCAGGGTTGAAGTCAAACCACTGAAGAATTACAGCACCTGCTGTGGCCACAGAGACCAGTAACTCATAACTGCTGCCTCATCCATTGTTTTTGCTGTGTTAGCAGTACCAAAATTACCTATCCTGAGCACAAGCCTAGGCAGTGTGTATGGAGGTCCTGAGCTGCCCAGATGACAAGACCCCCCTCTTGGCCTAGCTGATGTGGTCCAAAGGACAGCAGACGAATATATTTGATATCAGCTTGGGGGCAGGAGTTTCCAGAAGGAGGTGTATAAGGCGCCATCTGACCGTCTTAGGGACTTCACTCTGGATTTGTGTAGGGTTTACTCCTTAGCCTTTTCTTCTCCTAAACATGTTCCACAAGGTAATGGGTTCACATTCTTCCTTGGGATTTATTCCCAAAGCCTTTTACACAAATGGGTACATGCAACTACCGATTTGCGCGGTGGTTACATTCCTGACCCCCGCCTGCTCTGTCTCATTCTGCCACTGCCCCATTCTTCCACCTTTTCCGACCACTTCCAGGTTGCTGTGCTATGAGTGCGCAGTCGTGCATCAATTAGACACACATAAATTCGTTGTTGTCTGCATAGTCGCAAGGCAGCAGATGTTCAGGATCAGACTTTTCCTTCTCCAAGATGAGCAACCTTCCCAGGTTGACAAGCCTCATCTGCCCCTCACTTTTCTCTACAGTACATGCAGAAACCGCCTTCTTGACCATTGGACCCATTATTGGTCTTGTCCGCTCAATCCACCAGCCTGCCTTCACATGCAGGGGAAGTTCCTAACTCCTAACTCAGGGTCTGAGATCCATTAGCTACTCGCACTTAGTTTAGCTAGCCAATTGAAGCTGTTTACTGGTGTGTAGCTGCTATCTTGCGGCTTTACTCTTTTGTGTAGCCATTAACTGAAATAAAAGGATCTTGGTTATGCTCATTAACTTCAGTGCATCAATTCTGATTAGGACTGAGTGGGAGACAACCCTAGGCATTATGTTTCTGGATTAATGCAGTGTATACACACATACACCTGAAGGGAGCCCTGTTTAGGGAAGTTTTTAATGTTTGAAGTTTTATCCTGTTTAATATTCTGTTGGGAAGCGCCCAGTGGCTGAGGAAACCCAACCAGATGGGCGGGGTATAAATAAAAAATAATTATCGGCGGCAGCAGGAGGCTGCATTAGCTAAAGTGGTGCTTCAGGTTAAGAACAGTTTCAGGTTAAGAACGGACCTTCAGAACGAATTAAGTACTTAACCCGAGGTACCACTGTATTATATTATACTGTGTGGATAGTCTCCAAAACTGGGAGAACTGTTCTTGGATGGAACACAAGGATAGAATGGTGAAGTTATTCTTTAATTACACCAGAAAGAGACTTGGAAGGGGCAGGCAGTGCAAGCTTTTGAACACCAGAGTTATGTGCTGGCTATAGGCTGTCCCAATCAACAGTCTCTAGTTGCAGCATTTTGCTGGAGCCTCTGAACCAGGCTGAAGGGTAGCACATTTACTTAACTGATGTTCATTGAATATTTTTAAATTCCTTTTACATTTTGTATTCATGCTTTTATACTTGTAAGTCACTTTGAGACATTTTTTGCAGTAAGTAACAAACAAAAGTAATTAATAATTCCAACTTCGACCATTCATGAAATGCTTTTGCATGGAATCCTACCCCACATTAGCAACTGTTTTTCCTATCAGCTGCTGAGGCCACAGCATTTTCCCCACAGTTCCTTACCACATAAACAGCATCCCTTTTTTCCACTGCTGCCATGTGACCCAGGGTGGTCTTGGATGTCGTCAGTGAGGTGGTTTCTCGACAGATGATCTGGTTTGGAAAACCCACCAGGGTAGTTCTTGGGATTCCAGGCCAGGTCCTAAACAAACAAACATTTAATCAATCAATCAATCAATCAATCAATCAAATAACACACACAGAACCCTCCCAAATTGAAATATCAACAACCTCAGATATGCAGATGACACAACCTTGATGGCAGAAAGTGAGGAGGAATTAAATAACCTTTTATTGAGGGTGAAAGAGGAGAGCGCAAAATATGGTCTGAAGCTCAACATCAAAAAAACGAATATCATGGCCACTGGTCCCATCACCTTCCGGCAAATAGAAGGGGAAGAAATTGAGGCAGTGAGAGATTTTACTTTCTTGGGCTCCATGATCACTGCAGATGGTGACAGCAGCCACAAAATTAAAAGACACCTGCTTCTTGGGAGAAAAGCAATGACAAACCTAGACAGCATCTTAAAAAGTAGAGACATCACCTTGCCAACAAAAGTCTGTATAGTAAAAGCTATGGTTTTCCTAGTAGTGATGTATGGAAGTGAAAGCTGGACCATAAAGAAGGCTGATCGCCGAAGAATTGATGCTTTTGAATTATGGTGCTGGAGGAGACTCTTGAGAGTCCCATGGACTGCAAGAAGATCAAACCTATCTATTCTTAAGGAAATCAGCCCTGAGTGCTCACTGGAAGGACAGATCCTGAAGCTGAGGCTCCAATACTTTGGCCACTTCATGAGAAGAGAAGACTCCCTGGAAAAGACCCTGATACTGGGAAAGATTGAGGGCAGAAGGAGAAGGGGACGGCAGAGGACGAGATGGTTGGATAGTGTTCTCGAAGCTACCAGCATGAGTTTGACCAAACTGCAGGAGACAGTGGAAGACAGGAGTGCCTGGCGTGCTCTGGTCCATGGGGTCACAAAGAGTCGGACACGACTAAACGACTAAACAACAACAACAAACAAGGACAAGGAGGGCTAGCCATAAAATTTTGCAGCATTATCCTCACTGCCCGTTACTACTGTTCAGGGTTCATGCCAGTTTGCCTTATCCCCATCCTGGTTCCTATAAGTAGAAGATTCCTTCCTCACCCATCCTGCCCCCAGTTTTCCTTTCTTTTTTCCAGTTAACACTCAATAGTATGTGGCTAAGCGTGCTCAGTCCTTTTGGGGAAGGGGCCACAGCTAAGCAGCAGAGAATCTGCTTTGCACTCAGAAGGTCCTGGATCCAATCCCCAACAGTAGGACTGGGAAAGAATCCCTGCCTGAATCCATGGAGAGCTGTTGCCAGTCAATGTAGACAACAATGAGCTAGAGAGGGCTCAATGGCCTAATTTAATATAAGGCAGCTTCCCATGTTTCCTATTCCTCAGCTTTGGTTTCCCCCCTCCCTTTTATTTTCTGCCGGTTCTGGGGTTCTCTTAAAGAGGTTGATAGCATCCCTGTTGCTTTCCAATGACCCTATTTTGGCTCCGTTCCTATGGGCACTTACCACCCGAGTTCACTATCAGAGGGACTGTGTTTAGGGACTGTCTCTTTCCCACCCTCACAGCTGTCTCATAGAACCATAGAATTGTAGAGTTGGAAGGCACCCTGAGGGTCATCTAGTTCAATCCTGATAATGTTAATATCCATTAACATTAAAAGAACATGGTAGGGATGTAGAGATTCAAAAACAGTTTGCCCAGAGGTGTACCTCGGATCCCCTGCACCCTTGACAAAGAGATGCATTGGTGCCCCTACCCCACCCCTTGCAGGGCAGTGGAGCTTGCAGAAGAGTGGGCAGGCTCCTAGCTACTCCTAGGCAGACTGGAGAGGTACAATTTTGTGCCCCCCTGGTCCTGCGCCCTTGGTGTGGGCCAACCTGGCCAATCCCTAGACTGTACCCCCACATAGTGTGGAAAGTTAGTTGCATGTCTGCATTTAACTTACAGCTGAATTAGGGGCAGGCAGCCACTTTGTGGTGGGCCAGATCCAAAAGGGGCCACTCCTCCAGATTGGTGAAGCCAGTTCTAGCAGGTGATTTAAAATATGGCAGCGGAGGTTGGATGGCCATCTGTCAGGGTTTCATTAGTTGAGAATCCTGCATTGCAGCGAGTTGGACTAGATGACTTTTGTGATTCCTTCCAACTGCACAGTTCTGTGATTCTATTTCTGAAGAATTATGACACACCTGGTGTGCATCACCTGTTACTTTTCATTGCCTTGCGGTATAGTTGCAATTAATCTCTTCGCATCTACCTGGCAGCAGTAAATGACAGCCAGTCTCCTGCTTTCAGCAGAAAAAACTGGACGTGCCCTCCTGGTTATTCCTTTGCAGTTATGGCTTTATCTGCCCTATGCTTCACATATGACATCTTACCTGCCACACCCATGACAAAGACATGGCCAGGCATGAGGAGAATGGTTTAGCAGGCCAAATCAGGAACACTGGCAGGCCTAATTTAGCCTGCGGTGCCAGAGGCTCTGCACACCTGTGCTAAGAGCTGCCATTCTGTAAGCACTCTTGAACTGCAGATGCTGGGGACTCAGTACGGGACTACAAAGCAAATTAACCCAAGATAAATTCTACTGCATGGATGGATTGCCTGCAAACTCCCCCATCAGATGGCTTCAAAATGTTACCTGCTTCCCCGCTCAGCCACCAGCTTGTATTCTTCTCTTTCTAAGGAAAGGCCGGCTTTCTTGCGACGGATCAAGGTACAGGTCTTTTCCCGGGAGACTTCCACCTCTGGCACAAGAGAAAGGCCACTGTTATTGAATATTTCTGATGGTACCAAGGTAGATATATATTGTCGAAAGAATTGGTCTTGTATATGATCTTGAATAATAATTGCAACTTAATGGAAAACAGTCCAATATCTTACACTGGAAACTTGGTACCTCTTGCTTTGGAATATAGCTGTAATGGAGAAAATCACACAAAAAGGACTAGAGCCTGCAGACATTTTTAATTATATGTACTGGCATTCTTTCATTACATATACAGTGGTACCTCAGGTTAAGTACTTAATTCGTTCCGGAGGTCTGTTCTTAACCTGAAACTGTTCTTAACCTGAAGCACCACTTTAGCTAATGGGGCCTCCTGCTGCTGCTGTGCCGCCGGAGCACGATTTCTGTTCTCATCCTGAAGCAAAGTTCTTAACCTGAAGCACTATTTCGGGGTTAGTGGAGTCTGTAACCTGAAGCGTATGTAACCCGAGGTACCACTGTATAGCAGAACTATCACTGTCAAGATAACCCTTGTCACAAGCCTGACAGATATGGAACAATACTTGATAATCTAGTAACACTAATATTCTTTACTTGGACTTTTGTTATTTTAATCCATGTAAAACTGTACTCATTCAATGGGCCTATTTTAATAGTTTTGTTTCTCATCTGTTGTTATAACTGTTTAATATACATTATAAAATGAAATAAAAAGCTTTTACAAAAAACAAAAAACAAAATTAACACCAGCAAGATAGGAGTCTGCTTCTAATGTAAGAATGGGGGATAAAACTCAGCGCAGTCTGCATTTTAATGCAAACTCTGTCTGATCTGCACCTCCCAAACAATATGCAAACTGAAACAGCAATCTTTCCAAATTCACACTCTCTTTTGCTAAATTTTCCAATGCAATTCTCCACTCCCTCCACAAAATGTGTAGGAAAATGAGTTTAAATTTGGGGAAAGGATGTGTCTAAAAATACCTGTATGTATGAAGACATCACGCATAAGTGAATTTCCATAAGGGAAAAACTGCTTGTAAAAATGTGACTTAATAGGAAAAAAAATGTACTAAAAGACAGATGAATTTCCACAACTACTTTGTTTTTTTTAAGATTAACTGCAAAGTTATGATGGGTGGTAAACTGAGCTTAAGACTGGGGGAGAGAGAAATTGAAAGTGAAATTGACACGAGTTGTCACTTTAGGGTTTCATTCTCTCACAGCAAGTCCACTTCCTGTGTTTTGCTTCCTCACAAGTTTCCTACTCTGTGCCCTTGAGAAGAACATGCAAAACACGCTGGCTGCGCTTACTTATTTGCCTACTGTATTGATACAATGCCCTCCTCCCAAGGCTGTTCAGAACAGCTAACAGTGTAAAATGCTAAAGTTAAAGGTTACTGCATAAAGAAAATGAGGATGGCAGTCAGAGGGCTAACTTACAACCTCTCTCCCAACATGCTAGAATTGTGCTTGCGGTGAATTTTTGTTATGTTCATGTACATATATGAGAGAGCATTCAAATGTGATATCCCCACCATCTGTATGCAGTGTTACAGTCCACTTTGCCACCTTCCTCTGCTGCACAAGTAAGCTCTCCTTCTGTCAGGAAACCATGGCAGAATTCACATTCCCCTGGACGTACTTCCCTGCTGCACATCGTCAACGGTGAGGCTGGCATCCATCTCCACAAGCATCTTTTCCGTGGTGGCGGCCAGGCTGGAGACAAATTTCTGGGCGCAGTTGATGACACAGTCCTGTTGGGGAACAACAAGTGGCACAGTGTATGTTGTGTGGAGGTAAAAATCTACAAGGGCTTCTCTTTCAATTGGGGTTCTGACTGCCTTCTAGACTCAGACTGGGTCTGGCTTCCTGGCCTGGATGCTGTCACCAGGTCAGCTTCTCAGTCTGATCTGGGGGTACGGATGGGACAGGAGGAAAGTGTTTCAGGGGACTACCCTTTATCAAGGGCAAGACTTCAGTTTGTCATCAGTTGTGACTTTAAGAACTGGAGCTTGAGCTTGTTTTCCCCTCCTCCCTCCTCTTCCTTTTCTCATGCATGCCATGCCTTTTTTACCCTGTGAACCAGAGGATTGCGAGCCACTGCCAAGCATTGTAGGCAGTACTCGGCTACATGGACCAATGGTCTTACACAACATACGGCAGCTTCTTATGTTCTTTAAAGTCTGGTGGATAAAAGATAAAAAGAGGCCAACCCAAGGAAGCAGCCCGTCCCTTGAACTGCAGACTGTTCTGGTCCCAGTAGTTGATGACAAGAGTACCGGACCCACAAGTGAAAATGTCTGGATAAGTGAAGCTCCATCACTCCATACCTTAAATGATTTCATCTCTGCACTGAACTCTAAAGAGGTGGCAAATCTGAAAGAAAAAGGTACCTCTTGCTGCTTGGTGGATAGACGGATCCCTTTGGCCTGCTCCTTCTGCCTTTCCTCCTCCTCTTGGCACAGAGCCTCCAGCTGGGGCAGATTGTCAGGGTGGCCCAGACTCGGTCGCAGCTTGTGCTTGTTCTTCTCCTTTAATTGAACAGTCAAAGGGCGACATGCGCTCAGTTTTCATTAGAACAGCAGTGCGAACTGAGCTACGTGCATGCAAATTACATTGTGATTATGCTATTCTGCCCTGTTTATGTCAACGGAAAGGACATTGGTATTCTGAACCAATGGATTCAAAAGATTATGACTAAACTGTAGGAATAACTTTTTTATGGTGAGAGCTGTTTGACGGTGCAACAGAAGCCTTTGGAATGTGGTGGACTCTCCTTGGAGGTTTCTAAGCAGAGGCTGGATGGCCACCTGTCTTGGATCCTTTAGCTGAGATTCCTGCATTTCAGGGGGTTGGACTAGATGAAACTCTACAATTCTATGATTCTATGAAATGTAACACAAATGCAGATTGGGGGTGGGGGAAGAGCAAAATCAGTGACACATTGTTTGTGGGATGAAAGTAACAGCAGCAAATACTAATCATATTCATTTATAATTTCATTTGTATTTCCACTTAAAAAAAAAAAGATGCTCAAACCATCGTACAACAGGAAGATATTTCAAATTCAAACGGTGCAAAAATGAATTTCATAATTAACACAATAAAATGGCGACACAATAGGCCAGTGTAAAAGATACAGATTTAAGGGCACTCCTTGCAGTGAACATTTCTGTCCCTTTGAATATTAATGGACTGGCTGGATGCAGAGGCACGGTGGGAGGCACCAGCTAGGGAACCCCCAAGGGAACCCCCAGGGGAAGAAGGCTCAGAGACAGGGGATTGATGGTGGGATGATGATGAGTGGTCAGAGGGAGAAGAGGAAGCAGATTGGTAGAAGGACATGTTGGAAGCAGAAGAGGTAACAGGGTTTAGTGAGCAGGAACAGTCTGTGGTAGAGAGCAGTCCAGGCTCAGAGGCAGCAGCAGAGGGGGAGGTGTCAAGAGGCAGAGTGGAGGCAGACTGCTGAAGATGCCAGGGAAGCTGTCTCCTGCTGTGACCAGCTCCCCTCCCCACTGGTCTCCCAGAACACACAGAGAAATGAAGATGGTGGAGTGGAGCAAAGAGACAAGACAAAGGAGCCCTAGGCTGCTGGGGAAGGAACCAGTGGAAGAGCCTTAGAGAGTGGTAGCAAGCACCTTCAGTCCTCACATCTGCCTCACTGGGGCAAGACCTACTGGGAAGAGTTGCTTTGATCACTAGGCCTGTGCTGCTTCGGTTTCTTTGAATAAAGAGTTAAATACATTGACACCTGGGTGTTTTTTTATTGCTCACTTACTCCTGTCTCTGGCTACTGAAGGGGCAGGGTTTATTGAGTATTTGGCTCATGTGCTTATTTCCTATCATTCCTATAACAACCTTCAAATCAGATTTGTGACTTTTGTTCTCTCAAAATTTCTGGATACTGTGTGGCCTACCTTTTGACCGATCTGAACAAATTATGAACAGAGACTGTGCCTAGATTTCTCTTGTTGGCTGCAAAAATGTGAAAGGAAATCTTTTCACAATTAAAGCCTATTCCGTCTGGGTGCTGTTCTCACGTTACAGCAGTGGTTCCCAAAGTGGTACCGCCTCCCCCCAAGGGGGTGGGATTACCTAGGAGGGACACTAAGAAGCAAGGGGGCAGCAGTACTGCCCACTTTGGGAACGACTAACATAAATATAATAGAACTGAACTAAAAATGTTACACGTCTTGGCAAAGGCAAAAGGGAGCGTGACAGTTTCACCTTGGTCCCAGTATAACCTCTCCCATGATGTTGCTCACAGTTCCTCTCCTGCAGCAGCTTGCAAGGATGTGGGCCAGAGAAACCAGTGGTGCTAGTTTCTGTTCCCATTTTTGTTGGAATTCTCCTATGATGTGAGGTGCAAGGGCTGCTGAAGGTGTTTTCCTGCCTTAAGACTGAGGGGCCAGGAGGAGGAAGGAATAGGGTGGTGCCTTCCAGGATGCTCACACAACCTACTTTTGCAATGTCCCATTTCTGCATCTGTTCCTGTAGGTTGTGCCGGATCTGCTCCATGGAATCCATGAAGAGCTGCTCATGATCTTGGTGGAGTTTGCCAATAACCATCTGAACAATGTGAGGGAGCTGTTCCTCAAAGCTCTTCAGCTGATCCCGGAACTCTGTAAGGTTTGGGGGAAAGGGAAAAGAAACAGCGCTATTTCCCGGCAAGCTAAGGAATTAACTCTCTCATAAGGCAGTGGACTCTCCTTTGTTGGAGGTTATTAAACAGAGGTTGGATGGCCACCTGCCAGGAATTCTTTAGCTGTGATTCCTTCATTGCAGGTGGTTGGATGAGGTGACCCTTGTGGGGGTGCGCACGTTCCTTTCAACTCTAGAATTCTATAGGACTTCCCCACTGGAGAAATGGGTAAAACATTGCAGCCCAAACTTACCAGAAATGCAGGCTACACGATACTCGTCTACCTGCAGTAAATACATCAGTAGCTTTTGCCCCAACACGTCAACACACAAATCATAGGTTTCTTGCAAATATTCTGGCCGAGTGATCTGATGCTTTTCCTTTTTGTAGAATTCCTTTGGAACATGGAACAGGATAGAAAAAAGAGCTGGATGAAGATTCTGAGCCCTGGGGCAACAGAAGAGGGCAACAGAGATGCAAGGACAGCCTTGTTGGGTCTATATTGGCCAGGCAAGGGGGTTGATATTGTCCGCCCATCCTGTCCAACCACAGGCTGATGGGACTGTGCTGGCATGAAACTAGGGATTTAAAAGGGTCTGGCTGTGGCAGAGAAGCTTTGGCGATACAGGGTGAAAAATTTAATCAGGAGCTAAGGGTATGATATATAAATGGCATGGGCATGTACAGAATGCAACCCCTTGCCAATGAGGAACCTCAGCATTTAATTCATTTTTTTATGTTTTACGATTCCTAGTAATGGTGACTGATGATGAGTAAATTTTGATATGCTGTTATTTCATGCCTCTTAGTTAAATAAGAATTTGGGTTGAGGCTGATAACACCTTTATGAGCACATAAAGCTCATAAAGCTTTAGGGGTTGGTGAACTAAGAAGTTTGGCGGCCCTGATCTCGACCAGCATCCGAGGTCACACCCTTAGCAGTGGAAGGCAGCTCACAACCACTGTCTTTGCTGCTGACAGTGGATGTCGAGTCATTATGATGCACTGTGAAAAGGGAAAGTGGCTTTTGCCACAAGAACATGGGGATTGCCTTGGGGGCTACCAGGTGCTTGTGGTGGGGTCTATGGCCACTTCTCTCACCACAATCATCCATGTCTGTGTCCTGGAATGACTCAACATCCAGGGCATTTCTTGAGAAAAAACTGGCAGCAATAAACCGCTTACTGCCCAAGGAAGCCTCTTAGGAGCCACAAGGGACCCATAGACATATTTGTGGGACTGGGGAGCAGGGTTTGGGGACTTTGCAAAAGGTCCCTTCGACCCTAGAAAGGGCCCTGGCTGACAAACCTGATTTTTCCTGCATTTTCTTTTTAAGGTCTATTTCAACACAGTTCAAACCCTGCAAAGGCTTAGGTTGGGAACCTCCTTCCTGACAAACCCAGCCTCTATGCACTCTCAAACATTGAGGAAGCCATCAGATGGAAAGGAAATAGGAGCCAGGGACCCTCTGTTGTGCTTGAGAGACCCCCCCCCCCAGCTAACAACTGCAGGCACTGGGGACACCAGAAGGAAAGGAAGTAGCAGTCCTTTTGTTTGTGTTTAGATTCAGGCCCAATAGTTGTTGAATTACTACCTGCTGGATTCTGGAACTATGACATAGTGCCTGAGTTTGCTTTGCTCCTCCTCCCTCCCAATCCTCCCCCCCCCCCCCTTTTTATTGCTGTACTATTGTATTACTGGTCATTGTAAGCTGGCCTGGGGTCTTTTTTTTTTCAGCAGAAGAGCCGGGTGAATATGTTTTAAATAAGTACAGCTGACTCAGCTTACGCTGGGGTTACATTCTGGGGACAGCACATAATGTCAAAATCACATATAGTCAAAACACATTGGGTTCAATGGCAGGTGGGATCGCCAAACTCTTTGTTTCCTGGATGCCTGCCTACTTTCAATTTAAAAAGTAAAAAAATAAAAGGTCAAGCACGTAAAACTGAATGTGCACAAGTTAAATATATGTAAGTTGTGAGTTACCTGCAATATTGATTCCCTTGCCCTACTAGCCCAGAAAGATTTGCCTCTTGGCCCTGCTCACAACTCCGCATCATTTGTCAACAATGGTGGAGGCAGAACATGATGGCACCAGGATGCAAAAGAAGTGTTGCTATATATTATTTCTAGAAAGGGGGAGGATTCTCCTAACAGCTGGTTCTGCTCTGAAGCTGCATTACCAGGATCATTAAAAAGGAAAAAAGGAAATAAATCCAGAACTAGCCATAGCAGAAGTATCCTTACCTCTGCAGAATTCATAATAATATCAAAGTTGTCCCACAGGATGCTGAAGATAATTCCTTTCAAATGTTCAGAACTAAAGGGGGGGAAAAGGGTTTAAAGGAGGTGCCTAGGAGTAGATTTAATAATATTTACAGTACTACCATTATCAGTACATTGCATGTGGCTCAGTCAATTCCATTTGGACAGAATCATCTCCAGTGTTCTGCTCTGAGATGTGGCCTTAGTAAGGCAAGGCCTCATCTGCACCCTGGACATCTCCATGCAGGGCTCAGGCTGGTAACTCCATAAAAGAAGAGCTCAGATGTTGTTTCAGCGCCCATCTTCCTCAGACTGAGCCTTAAATAGGAGCTGGAGCTGTCATAGCTAATAGCTCTGGCTTTGGTGGGAGGAGCCTCTTCATTTAAAGGGGCCCAGCCAGCTTTAGCAGACATCCGCTTTGACAAAGCAGGGGAGACTGTGGTTTCACTAGGGCTTCTGAGATGGATTCAGAGGAGGGCAATGCAGAGAGATACCCGCAAAATGGGCTGCTCTTGAGTCAGTGCTTTGGTTCAGTATATACCTCTTGGGCTGGCACTGAGTGCAATTCAGCCTCCTAGTCTGAATCTATTGCTTCGTTCCTTGAAGAAGGGAAGTATTCCCCTGAGGTCAGGACACTCTCCTTTGCCAACTCAGAGAAGGAGGAGAAAAAGGGAAGCCGTGCTATTCCATTGGCCATCCTAAGAGACCCATAACCCTCTGGCTCTTCCTCAACTTACCCACCAGGCAACCTGAATCTGTTACCATCCCATCTGGCCATTATAACTGCTGTAACTTTACTAACCGGTGTCTGAGTTCCTTTGCTTTCCTTTTTCCCTCCTTTTGCCCTTTTCCTTTAATGTGATTTCTTTTAATGTTTAAATATGGAGGCAGGGACTGCTTTGCTTTAGTGACCTTGTACAGTGGTACCTCGGGTTACAGACGCTTCAGGTTGCAGACTCCGCTAACCCAGAAATAGTACCTCAGGTTAAGAACTTTGCTTCAGGATGAGAACAGAAATTGTGCGGCGGCAGCGCAGTGGCAGTGGGAGGCCCCATTAGCTAAAGTGGTACCTCAGGTTAAGAACAGTTTCAGGTTAAGAACGAATTAAGTTCTTAACCCGAGGTACCACTGTAAGTCACCTGAAGGAGCCTCTTCAGCTGAAGAACAGACTAACAAAGCTTATCAAAGCATAAATCTTAACCATGGGGCTTACTCATTGTCTTTCGGCTTGTCTCCAAAGATCTGTATCTTCCTCTCAATCCGAGTGGTTTTTGTATATCTCTGTATGGAGCTGACACTGTTCTCGAAAAGAAAAGATTTACAGCAGGGTGGTGGTGGTTGCTTCTCTGTTTCTTCCAGAAGTTGGTTAGTCACCCCACCCCAATATCACAGAGATATAATCACTGATTATAAATAAATATAAATAAATAAGTATTGGCAAGCCACCATGAAGTCCTAGCTGGAGCCATGTGAACACAAACAGAGCTCTTACTGGATGAGACACAAGTCCATCTGGGCTAGCCTTTCCTAAGCTGGTGCGCTCCATATGCTTTGGAATTCAGCTCCCAATCCACTCTAGTCATTTCAGTTGCAGCCTTGGCTGACAACTCTTTTCAGCCACAGGTAAAAACTTGAGGTGGTATCCAGTGCTAGCCCTGTTGTATCAGGCCCATCTAACCCAGCATCCTGTTCTCACAGTGGCCAACTAGATGCCTGTGGGAAACTGGTATTCAGAATCACTGTTGCCTCTAACCATGAAGGCGGGGCATAGCCATCGTGGCCAATAGCCATTGATAGTCTTATCCTCTATGAATCTATTTAATCCTTTTTCTGAAGCCATTTAAGGTGGTGGCCACCACCGCCACTACTGGGAGTGAGTTCCATAGTTATAACTATGCCCTGCTATGTCCTGAATCTGCTGGCACTCAGCTTTGTTGGATGTCCATGAGTTCTGGTGTTATGAAAAAGAGACAATATTTTTTTCTCTATTCACTTTTTTCATGCCATGGAGTAGATCCATTCAAATCTAACTTAGGTTCATTAATTTCAGTGGGTCTATTCTAAGACTTAGTTGCATAAAACTGTTTACCTTCCCTGCCCCCAGCTCCCTCACCTTCTCATGTCATTTGCATATCACAAAAATAGCATAATAAATTTGCAGCAATATCTACAACATATAATTCACCATTAGTAGTTAATGTATAAGTTCTTGGTTTGTGAATTGGTTTAAACAAAAACAAAGGAGTAACAGGACAGAACAGAGTTAACAAATAACATTCAACATTGTATAGCCAGGAGCTCTCATGGTTGTGCTTAGATTAAGTCTGAGTAATAGTCATTTTTCCTCTTATGTTACCAATGAAGCAATATAAAGTGCTGGTCTATTGATGAACATGGGAGATGGGTTCAAAATAAATATAATAATTTAATTTGGGTCTTTCGCAGAACTTTTGCCACTTTGGTATCTGGTTAAGTGGGATCGAAGTGGGTTAGTGATTGGAATAGAAACAACAATTTTGGTAGAATCATCATTTTTACCATCGCTAATTTGTCCAGGAGAGTAAAATGGGTTTTGCTCTCTTTTTTGCAAAATTCTGAAGAACTGTCTGCCATACAAGAGGATATTTTGTCAATACAGTCTGTTAAGGTTACTTGTTATAATTATTCCTAAATAGCTAAGCTTTGTGTGACAGAGTCTAATGCCTGTGAGTTCTGTGAAAGCTTTTTGGATGTTGGGTGGTACATTGAAGCATAAAGCTTCAGATTTTGAAATTTTAACCTGACTGTGTTGCCAAGTTGTGAAGCGCTCCCATGTACTGCTGCTCCCATTTTCAACAGGTCAGGTGTCATTACCACTAAATTGTCAGTGAATAATCCTATTTGAGGCTGATTTATTTGGGTGTGTTAAAAAACAACATTGAAGTGTCTGTGAGTTATTCTTGAAAAATGTCCTTTCCAAGTGTGTGTCAGTGGGGATGGGGTACGGTTGGAAGGGGAGGGGGAGAAGCCACTGAAACAGAAGGAGGGGGCAATTTCCTTGTTTTCCTCACCTTCCTGACATCCGCTTGCCAATGGAACTAGATTTCCGTGCAGACGTGAGAGATATGTTGGTTTGAGCAAGCTGGGTGCTTTCGCGATGGGAGGCTCCACCCGAGAATGCCGGAGAAAATGGTTTTGGCATAAGCTCTAAGAAAAGATGGAAGAGGGCATTAAGTGGCAGGTGGGGACAGCTCAGAATGTCAATGGCTTCCAGTGCTTCCTGGGGCCCCAAACATCAGGAAAGAGAGAGCTCCACCTTTCATATCAGGCCCACTACTCTCACTTTGCACAGATAATTTAGAGGCAATGTTTCCATGCAACATCACTTCTGAATTGAACGAGAGCAGCGGGGTGGGTCAGCAGACTTTGTCTTAGCCAAGATCCTCACCAAATCCTCAAGCCAGCCCCATTTGTTGGGATCACACCTCCTATGGTTGTCTCCAACTAAGCTTTAGTCAGAGCAGACCTATTGAAATCAAGAAACCAAGTTCATGTTCATTTCAATGGGCTTACTCTGAGTAGGAACAGCATTGAATACAGCCCCTAAAATGCACTCTCTTCTCTTGGAGAGAAGCTGCCTTCTACTGAGTCAGACCCCTGGACTATCTAGCTCAGTACTGTCTACACTGGCAGAAGCTCTCAAGATTTTCAGGCAGGGGACATTCCCAGCCCAACCTGGAGGTGCTGGGGATTGAACATGGAAGCTTCTGCATGCAAAGCAGATGCTCTACCACTGAGCCGCATCTCTTCCTTGTTGTGCTTGGGCTACAGAGTGTTACAAGCCATGTTGGCAGAACCTTGAGATTGTCAGAATGCTTATAATTTGTTTTTGTGAACCTAAGTTTGTTTCTAGACCTCATGGTTGCAGAGAAAGGCTTGAAAGCGAGCAAGGCAGCATGGGAAGCTGCTTTATACGTCCAGAAACTTGGTCCATCTAGCTCAGTACTCTCTGCACTGACTGCCAGCAGCTCTCTAGAGTTTCAGATAGGGTATCTTTCCCAGCCCTACCTGGAGATGCCATTGGGGACTGAACCTGGGACAATAAATTAATAATGAAGCTTACACAAAGGAGGCAAAATACTATTACAATTGCAAAGTGCACATATCAGTGAGGCTTTTCAAAGAACCGTGTACCCCAAAAGTAATTATTGTTATACTGAAGAATGCTCTAAGCAGCTGACAAAAAGACAGATTTCTGGATACGGTCCTGTTTCAAAGATCTTCCTCTGTTTCAAGGCTCTGATTGCAGTTTTCACAACTGGGAGGACTTCAGAAAAGTTACTCAATTCTAAAAGGGGGAAAACCACTGCAATGGTCTAGAATGATAGGCAGGTAGAAATGAATACTTTGTTTGATATTTTGTCTACATTATTGTAAACTTCATTATTAATATATTGTGTTTACAGTCCTGTTGCCTTGGAGCACTATTTCTGAGGTGGTTATGTGTGAAATGGGGCAAAGTCTCCAGCAGCTGATGCCAAACCCAATGCCAAACCCAATGCTAGCCAATGCAAGCATCGCCAACACCATGCACTCTGCCCAAGGACCTCTTCTGGTGCCTGAAAAAGGTCTCAGCAAATATCCATCCCCAAATCACCAAAGTGTGAGAGTGATTGCTTGCTCTTCCTACTCAATTCCCATTTGCACAGACTCCACCTCTCCCTTGAGCATCTGCATGGTGCATTTGTGACCAGTAGCCACAGTGCTCTGTCAGAACTCCAATTGTGACCAGCGGGCCCAAAAAGTTTTGGCAACCCTGTGGTGGAAAGCCATACTGATTGATAGGTAGTCTACATGTGAAGGTATGTAAAAACAGTGTGCGAAATAATATAGTTAGGAGAATCTGCTTCTGCAGACTGTACTGTATTAAGAATATGTTGAGAATGGTTTGTTTGTTTGTTTTTTGCGGGGTGGAGAATGTTTGTGCTGGAAAAATTCAGCCTTGGACCAGTTTGACAGAAAGCAGACAGTGAATTCTTCTTGCTGAATCAAGCACACTTTTCCTCAGAGAACGCATCTTGATTTCAAAGTGTGTGAGTAAGGCTAAGGCAAGGGAATGCTTCTATATAAGCCTGGGTAATTTATAGGCCTGTGAACTCTGCTTTTGCAGGTTCCCGGTGGCTGCTGTTGTTGTGATCTAGTAAAGCTGTCTTAAGCATTGCAACTGGTGTGGTTAATTGAAGAAATCCGTTATAACCCCCTGAGTTAAGCTGTGTGGCTGCAATGATTGCCTGCATGGAAGGTCTCCTTGTGCCCACCTGGTGCTGTTTCTGTTGCAGCGGACTGCAAGCGCTCTTTCTCCTGCTGCACATCTGTCAGTCTTCTGGTGCGATGGGATCTGAAACAAGCTCAACACAGGTTAAGACTCAGATCCTGGGAATTTGTAGGGGATGTCTTTTGACCCATAAAGCTTTCTTTCCTTTTTTGATATTATTTACAAAAACAGAGGTCCTTCAAGTCTTACATTCCCTTACTTGTATTCCGCTATTTGACAAAGCAATTCCATCTTTCAGTGAAGTCAACACTCCATGACCTCCCTTCCCTCCTGTGGACTAGAGCTCAGTTAACTTGTCTCAGCCAATTCCGTGCACTTTATTTAAGCACTCTTTCTCTGTTGGAGTTTCGTGACACTCTCATTTTCTTGCCCACATCATCTTAGCAGTAACTTTTCCCATTGGGTAGCCAACATGAAGTCCTCTTTATGTTGTTGGGATTACATCTAACATCATCCCTGACCATTAGCCACACTGGCTGGGGCTGATGGGAGTTGGAGTCAAAAAACATCCATAGGGCACCACATTGGCTACTCCTTGCCCTCATTAGGGTGAGTGGAGAACCACCCTACCAACTGCAGTCTGCTCTCAGTCAGTCTCCACCTGCCTGTCTTCCTACAACCAGTTCAGGGGAACTGGTCACTGGCTATCAGCTTCCTCCTCCTTAGTCAGTTTTGCCCTCTTAGCAGGGAGGAGGATGGGGATAAAACAAGAATTAACCAGCTGCCTGTGATTGGCTCTGGTTCTGCCTGCCTCTGGCTTTGGTGCCACCACCTTTTGGGTGTCCCTTCCTTCTGCCAGTCCCAACAGTCAACAGCCACCACTGCTAGGTACCACTCTCTGCAGTGAGTTTAAAAACCAATTGGAGGCATTTGTTTATGAGCATCTCCCTCCTTGCTGATGGGCTTAGGGTTTACTGTGCTCTCAGTCTCCACCACTTTTGCAAGAACCAGGACCATCCCGCCCCTTCCCCTTCAATACCTACCCAATGAGGTGTTTGATCACACTAATCGCTGCATCGTCAAAGGCTGGCTTCCCCATCCGGCTTGGGTTCAACAGTGATGTGCCTTCAACACCCATCACAAATGTCTTGCTTTCCTGCAGCATGCTGTCTGATTGGATGGAGGTTGTCACGGAGGTAGGGATTGTGGGGTCTTGTACATAAGAGAACACAGGGTCCTGTGTCGGAAAGGAGCAAAACAGATGAAGCATCCTATTGGACCAGACCAAAGGTCAATTTTCCCAGCTTCCTGTTTCCAACTGTGGCTAGCCAAGTGCCTTGGGGGAAGCCACAAGAACAACATAGCGATCTGCCTTATACTAAGTCAGATGATTTCTCCTTTTAGTTCAGCACTGCTTACACTGACTGGCAGTAGCTCTCCAGGGTTTCAGGCAGGGAGTCTTTTCCATGCTTACCTGGAGATCCTGGGAACTGAACCTGGGGCCTTCTCCATGTGAAGCAGATGCTCTACTATTCAGCTACAGTCCTTCCCCAAAGGGGGAGCTTTAAGCTTTACAGATCTGCAAATTTCCCCATCAACATCATGTGTCATTTTGCCCACTGATTGCCAGGGAACTGTCTTTTTGCTTATGTTATTCTTGTTTAGCAGTGCATTGTACACAAATGGCACTAGGGAGACAAATAATAATCATTACAATCATTCACCATGTGGATCTATTTACCAGTTCGAGCAGGCAATTGAGATACTTGCTTCTCTTTTTCAGTTCTTCCATCACAAACGTGGCAAACTCATAGAGTGCTTCTGAAGTTACAGACTGAGAGAAATAAACAAACCAGGCACTAAATATGATTTTGTTCAATATAAACATACACACACACACACACACACATATATATATACACACACACACACACACACACACACACACACACAGTGGCACCTCGGGTTACATATGCTTCAGGTTACAGACTCTCCTAACCCAGAAATAGTACCTCAGGTTAAGAACTTTGCTTCAGGATGAGAACAGAAATCGCGCGACGTGGCAGCAGCGGGAGGCACCATTATCTAAAGTGGTGCTTCAGGTTAAGAACAGTTTCAGGTTAAGAACGGACCTCTGGAACGAATTAAGTATGTAACCAGAGGTACCACTGTCTTAACATTGCTATTTTTCTAAAAAAAGAGGTGCTGGAACTCACCATGAACACCTCCCTCATTCTCTTAGTATAGCAGTGGCACCCACCTGAGAGGTGCTGGAACTGAGTTCTGGTAAGTTCCAGCTGAGAGAATTCCATAGTTTATGTGCTGCATGAAGTCATTTCTTGTTGTTTGTCCTGAATCTTCCAATGCCCAGCTTCATTTAATGAATGATCCCCTTACTGAGGAATCCCTGGCAAGCTTCCAGGTCTGCATTCTAGACTTTGAAAACCCACTGGATGTGACTTGAACCCCTTGCAGCAAAAAGACAAATCATTTTTAATTGCATGCTGTTGGAACTTACTTCCTTATCTGCAGTGGGATGGGCACAAGCATCAATCCTTCTGGTGAGTTTCTCCATGTAAGAGTTTAACGTCTGGGTCTGCCAATTGGATTTTGCCACCTAAGAAGGAAAAGGGGGAACTTGAAGTCAAAAGCTTAACTGAGATTCGCAGAAGGTAAGTGGAGAAAGGTTTTCCTGGCTGACACTGATACAAGGGGATATGGGACTTCCAGTGGCAGAACTACAATTGGGCAAATGCATTTCCCCAGTTGTGTGTTTACCAGTTAAGGAGAAAGGCAAGGGTGGGGAAATCTGCAGGAGATACAGTGGTGCCTCGCAAGACGAAATTAATCCATTCCGCGAGTCTCTTCGTCTTGCGGTTTTTTTGTCTTGCAAGGCACGGCTATTAGCGGCTTAGCGGCTATTAGCGGCTTAGCGGCTATTAACGGCTTACCGGCTTAGCGGCTATTAATGGCTTAGCGGCTTTAAGAAAAAGGAAACAAACTCACAAGAACTCGCAAGACGTTTCGTCTTGTGAAGCAAGCCCATAGGGAAATTCGTCTTGCGGAACGACTCAAAAAACGGAAAACTCTTTCGTCTTGCGCGTTTTTCGTCTTGCGAGGCATTCGTCTTGCGGGGCACCACTGTAGTTTTGTGAGAATCCATCCCCCAGTGGTCTGAGAGCTTTATACTGGTGATCTGCAGTGCATCTCTGGCTATGCATGATATGTTGTTTCAGAATCCTTCTTGTCTCTTTTGCCATCCTCTACTCAGCATTTGCTGCAGAGAGCCAGTGGTGTAGTGGTTAGAGTGTCAGACTAGGGCCTCGGAGATTGGGGTTCAAATGCCACCCCCCATCATGAAGCTCACTTTTGGGGCCAGTTGCTGCCTCTCAGCCTAACCTACCTCACAAGGTTGTTGTGGGGGTTAAATGAGTGTGGGGAGAACTGCAAATGCCACCTTGAACTCCTTGGAGAAAAAGGTGGGATATAAATGCAACGTAATAGATGAAATAATAAATAAAAAAGGCGGGTCTCACTGGCGTTCCCACCAGGACTCATTCAGTTCTGGGGGTGCTTCCTGTGCTTTATCCCTTTTGCTGTTTGTGTGCAAGTGCTAACGGGGAGGATAAGATGAGTAAGGGCTTGTCAAACATCCAAGGAAGTAATCTGGAGCCCTTCAAAGCTTTAGGTAAAAAGTCATTGAGCTGGGGGTAAAGGAGAAAGCTCCATGCCTGCCTCTCCCCACTCTGGCAATAAAGTAAAATAAAATACTCTTCATTTATCTGCACCTCTGTCTTGATTTTCACTTGAGTGTTCGTCAAGAACCGTTGGATTTTCTCTATGAAGAGCCGGTCGAGTGCCAGAAAACGAAACTTGCTTTCATATCTGTTGATGACCTCTGTAGCCTTGGGAGGCAGCGGGGAAAAATAAGAGTTTTTATTCTTCTCGCTGTTCTTGATGCAACCTCTATCTTGCTAGAACAGGGAGACCGGCATCTCCTCACCTGCTCCAGGTAAGAAGACTCCATCTTCTCCAGGTCAATCATGATCAAGCCCTCGACAAACTCAATGCGCCCACTCTCCTTGTGCAGGCGCTTGATGAAGCCATCTAGTTCCTCAGGAGAAAAATTTCCGCCATCAGCAAATAATCTGGGGAAAACAATGAAAAATACCGGTTAAGGATGCTATGACTCTGGATGGCCTGAGGTTGGAAAAGGCCCTGTTTATGATTCCACCTGTATAGGAGGATCTTATAAAGACTTAGTGGAAGTTGCCTCTTTAGGGCAAGTAGGACACTACCTTGCCTACCCCAGTCTGCCTTCAGCTAGCCCCCACCTGCCTGCTTTCTCACTTACAAGGGGTGGTGGCACCAGCTGCCAGCTTCCTTCTCCTCCTCAAGTCTCAGAATTGTCCCTTGTAGAACTCAGCAGGGGAAGGAGGAGGGGGACAGGAACGTGGCTTAATTTCTGCACTTGTACAAAGCTAAGATAGGGAATTTATAGGCCTGGGGATTCCACTTTTGTGGGTTTCCCAGTGGTGGCTACCATGACTAAGTAAAGTTGCCTTAAACAACACAGTAGTGTTGATATCGGAGCGGCGCATCAGCGCCAAAATCTTCCAAGATTTCTCGAACTATGAGAGATCTTGTGAGATTTCTGTGAGATCTCATGAAATAAGCACCAATGCTGGTACCCATTCTCTGCTGGCAGTGGAAGTGGTGGGGCACCCACAGGGGCACTGCCTCGGGGGCTTCACCCCACCTCATGGAATCCATGACACCAGCCACTGCTGAACAGATCTTGGCATACCTGCACGCTTTAAGGAAGTCAGTGTTTGCGTCTCGCAGCTTCCCTAGTGCTTCTTCCAAGTACTGCCTGTAGCTCCGAAGGGAGAGCTGCATCACCTCCACGTGGTCAATCAGCTCAGTGCGCATATTGTTGCTGAGACTCAACAGCCTGAGAAAGGAGATGGTGATATACCAACAAAGTTTTTTAAGTTTATATTAAACAGCTTGACTGTAAGAAACAAATAAACCCTCAAAGTGGCTTACAAAAATGATAAAACAATAACATTGTAAATAAGAAGATTAATAACAATTTAAGGCTTTCAAAAAGCTACAATAACGACTGACTGAAAATTGATGTAAAACTTGCATCAACTTTCTCAGCATCTGGACAGGGTTGCCTAAACAAAAGTGTTATAGCACGTGCTGAAAAGAATAGAATGAAGGTGCCTTTCCTGATGTTAACATGCAGGGAGTTCCAAAGTGTAGGGGCAACCACACTAAAAGTTCGAGTTCTTACAAATACAGAACAGGTATTATATGGCATCAGGGGCATTGTCAGTTCCACAGATTAAAGTGACTGAGTGGGTGTATGTGCTGCAACATTCAGCACTAACTGCAGCCTCCTGATCAAACTCAAGGGAAGCCCCACACAGAGTGCATGGCAGCAACCCAGTCTTGGAGTAACCAACACATAAACAACTATGGCAAGGCTTTCCTGGTCCAGGAATGGCCATAGCTGTTGAACTAGTCACAGTTGGTAAAAGGCACTTCTAGCCACTGAGGCTCCAGTGAGAGACCTGGATCCAGAAGTACCACCAAAATCAAAAGCACTCAGGAAACCTGATGTTGTGATAAGGTAGCCCCTGCTCAACCAATTCCCTGGGACTGAAGACGCATGGGGGAAAGCTGTGCGACCCCCTCCCCCCCAACTGACTTTTCTGCCCTGGTCTCCATCAGGAAGATGTTCTCCATGTCTTGGATCTTCCGCCGGAAAGTCTTGCTAACACGGTTCTGGTCTTCTCGGAGCTTGGAAAAGGCGGCTTTTTCTTTATTCAGGGCCTCCACCACACCACTGCAGTGTCGCACTAAGCGGTCGTTGTGAAATCGCAGCTCCGCTGAGAGGGGGGGAAGGAAAGGCGTGCAGGGGTGGGGTGAGAGAATGCTTTAGGTTCAAGCCAGTGGGAGTTGAAAGTAAGATAAATCTGGAAAGCCTTGCAATCCATATCCCCCCCCCCCCCCGCAATGCCAAGGGGTGCCATTGCTCATACATACATATTTATTTATTTATTTATTTGTGTGTGTGTGTATGTGTCTGTCCAGACACCACTGAACAAATTTCCAAAAACCCATCCTTGCCTTTGCTTTTTATAAATTCAGCCTCCACAAATTTGTCAACGTTTTGAATTCGATCCTCTGCCTACCAGTTGAGGCCAGGGTGACAATGGTCGGTGGAGGGCAGGGGGAATTTAACCTAACAGCTGGGCACAACCATATATAGCAAATCAGCCTATATTATTTGCAGAGACTCATTATTCCCCTCCTAGAACTACAGTTTATTTATTGCATTTCTATCCCATCTTCTTCTCCAAGGAGCTTGAGTCCGTGTCCATGGTTCTCCTCCTCCCCAGTTCATCCTTACAATAACCCTGTGAGGTAGATTAGGCTGGGAGGCAGTGATTGGCCCAAGGTCACCCAGTGAGTTACATGACTGAAGGGAATCTGAGCCATGGTCTCCTGGGTCCTAGTCCTCTGTCTAGGGCAGGGGTAGGCAACCTAAGGCCCAGGGGTCGGATGCGGCCCAATTGCCTTCTAAGTCTGGCCTGTGGATGGTCCAGGAATCAGCATGTTTTTACATGAGTAGAATGTGTCCTTTTATTTAAAATGCATCTCTGGGTTATTTGTGGGGCATAAGAATTTGTTCATATTTTTTTTCCAAAATATAGTCCGGCCCACCACATGGTCTGAGGGATAGTGGACCGGCCCACGGCTGAAAAAAGTTGCTGACCCCTGGTCTAGGAAATTCCCTCTTATGACTTTCTTTTTTTTATTATTATATGATATTTATTAAAGTTTCAAAAAAGGTTACATAGATAAAAAAAAGAAAAGTAGAGAAAAGAAAAATACAAAAAAAAAAAACCAATTAAAAACAATTCCATCTTTTCATCACTTATCTTTCATTTACTTGTTTCCCGGACCTCCTCATGCCTCCCTTTTTTGTATTCCAGTTCAATTTATTAGTTCCGCAATTCCTTTCCCTCCTTATTTTATCCTGATCTTTAATCTTAATATATTATAGCATTAAGTTTTTACATATTGAAAATCCAATTTTTCCATATTCTTTTATACCATTACAGCTAGAAACCACTTAACTTCAATCCAACATCATTCTAACATTCATTAATTTTGCAATATTTCTGTAAATAGACTTTAAATTTATTCCAATCTTCTTCCACCAACTCTTCTCCCTGGTCTCGGATTCTGCCAGTCATTTCTGCCAATTCCATGTAGTCCATCATTTTCATCTGCCATTCTTCCAGTGTGGGTAGGTCTTGTGTCTTCCAATGCTTTGCAATAAGTATTCTTGCTGCTGTTGTAGCATACATAAAGAAAGTTCTGTCCTTCTTTAACACCGATTGGCCGACTATGCCTAGGAGAAAGGCCTCTGGTTTCTTCAAGAAGGTATATTTAAATACCTTTTTAAATTCATTATAAATCATCTCCCAGAAAACCTTAATCCTTGGGCACGCCCACCAAAGGTGAAAGAATGTACCTTCAGTTTCTTTACATTTCCAACATTTGTTATCGGGCAAATGGTAGATTTTTGCAAGCTTGACTGGGGTTATGTACCACCTGTATATAATTTTCACCCTCTTATGACTTTCAGCACCCTTAACAGCCCCCAGAATTCTTCTGGGGAAGCCATGACTGTTTAAAGTGGTATTGTAGCGCTTCAAATGTATGGTGTGGATGTGGCCTTAGTGTTAGTGGGGAGTAGGTGGGCTAGCTGAAACAATTGTGTCACATTGGTAACAAGTAGCAGTGAAAACATTAATACCCATTCTGACATCGTAGATATCCTTCTCGATGCGCTCCCGCCTTGGCTCATGAAGGTGAGCACGCAGCTGCAGTTCAGCGCTGATCTCTTCTTTCTTGGAGTCCACAATGACCCAGGCCTTGGACAACGTCTCAGAATACCAGTTCTCCAGGTGTTCAAAAAACTGCAGCCGGATTCTGTTATGGGGCAAGAGAAGGAAGGGAAAAGTTGGGGCATCCTTCTGCTTACAGGAACAAATCTCTCTCTCATAAGTTCTCATCTCTACTTCATCAGTGTTCACTGTGTTGCATCACGCAGTGTGGGTGAACCCCAGAGCTTCACAGGCTTCTGGCAACTCTGGTTATGCTTTGCTTCAGAATTTAAAAAGTAGGAGACATGCTTTGCTCCAGGTTTATGGGAAGAACTGCCCATCCTCAGATTAGCTAAGCACCCTCCCTCCACATTTTTATGTATGAGTTTCTGTGCTAAGCATTTCCCTTGCTCAGAAGTGGTGAGTCAGAGATGTGATGGGAAGCTTTCTTTGTGGGTGGGCCATTTGTTACTTATATGAAAGGCCAATCATGGGGGTGGCAAATCCCAATGAAATATGGCTTGTATTTGTAACCTTTGGTCTGTACTCTTTCTGTATCGGGTCAGTTTGTTTTTGTAACATCTAATTCAATGTGTAGTCTTGAGAATGTATTTTATATAGTAATGGCTTTATGGGGGGGAAATTTACTTTTAAATTTTTATTTCTTATTTCTTACTGGATTCTTATTTTAACTTCATAATAAAGTCTTGAAAAAAAAAATTGGGTGTGTGGGGGGGGGGGGGGGAGAGAACAGCAACAATCCTTCCAAGACCACCATTGAAGGAGGTTGCAGGTTCAGAGGAATGAATACGTTCAAACTTCTATCATTAATTTCCCCCAATTATGCTAAAGATCCTTAGGATCAGATGCAATGGAATGTCCAGAGGGTAGTCCACAGCCAGAAGCTCATCTTGTTTTGATTTTTATGCTGAAAGATGCCTTGAACAATCTTCTTCTCGTTCTTGTTGAAAAAGGCATTTACCTGGAAGGCTATGTGCCTCTGTATTAATACCGTAAGATTGCTTAGATCATCTAGAGAAATTCTACCTGTGACATGGCACCCTGCAAAATATTGTAGGGTGATGACTCAGAAACTTTTTCTGCTGTAGTTCCTATATTGGGAAAGGCTCTTCCCTCTGTCACACATGAAGCAACAGCCATCAGTCACTTCAGATATCTTACAAAGACTTGTGTCTTTACTTGGGCATTCTCCCTGGCCTATAAATCAGATCCGGATTTATGTGTTTGAAATCTACGGGACATCTGTTTTCTGCACTTTTGTCCACACCAGTTTCTATATTGCTGTTTTTCAGGCTTTGGGCTGCATTTTTGTTTTTACTAACGTATTGTTTTTAAAATGTACTTATGCTCCGGCTTCCCTGAACTGAGACTCAAGGCTGCTCACAAAAGCTAAAAAAGACACAGATAAAACACACAGGAAGCTAAAAGCATATAGAAGATGATAGTCAAAAAAGTGATTAAACTATAACAGAATTAAAAACTATAACAGATGCAAAAAATATATATTAAAATGCAAGTAGTAAAAACAATGTTGTGCTATTTAGAAGCCCTTTCCTTAAAAGCAGTAGGCTTCCAAAAGCCTGCTGGAACAAAACAGTCTTCACCCGCTGGCGGTAGGACAACAAGCGGCATGTAAATGTTTTTTAAGTGGCATGTAAATGTTTTTAATTAAAACATATAAATAAATGCCATTAAACTACAGGTTGATTGCATCTCACACAGGCTTCACCTACACAAATACAACTTTATGTACTCAACAAAAAAATTAAATAAATAAAAAGTGGATAAGGCAGCCTTGTTTGCCAGGGGTCTTTCCCTTCATAGAAAGAGTTTTAAGCCCTCTGCCTTGCTTACTAGGCTCTGGGAGGACCATGCAAGGGCTCTAGAAGCCCTTGCAAGATCCTGCAGGGCAGTCTGAGATCTTATATGGCCCCAACCTCATTTCAGGGGTCGAGGTAGTTTTGGCTTTGTGTAATTTTGCTTTTATGCACAAACCACTGGAACATAACCCACACAGAAGATGGGATCGAGCTGTAAACTAAGAGAAGAGATTGAAGTCCTACTCACTGCCTTCTCACATCCGTAAAGAAACTCTCAGAGAGGTACACTTGCTCTAGGTAGGAGGGCAGCAAATTCGCCTTCAGTTTCCCCACATAATATTTCTCAGATTTCTTGATTTTAAGCTTTGGTGAGTTCAGAACTGCCTTGTAAGTGTTTCCACTGGATGTAGTGAAGAACTCAGTGGTCATTTCCATCAGGCGTGACGGTGTCCTAGAGAGCCTCACCTGCGGAAGAGGCAAAGGGAGAAACCATGACATTGGTTCCCAATTAAAAGCAACATTTAAGCCAGTGGATGGCATAAGGTAAGAATTGTTTGCAGGGAGGTTAGATGATGTTTCAGCAAATGAAGGGTTTCATCCCACACCTTTCCAGTGCAATTCTTCATTGTTTTTCTTATATCACAGTATGTCCAGTCTTGGGGGGGAACTGGACCTGCTGCACAAGACCTCTTAGGCTGTCTAGGTTTAAAGAGTATAACTTTCCCCCAAAAATCTTGCAATTTCCTAAGGATGCTGGGAATTGCAGCTCTCTGAGGGCTAAACTACAGTTCCCAGGATTCCTGGGACGCAGGAATCATGCACTGTAATGTATGAAGAAACATTGCAGTGCATGTGATATTTTCGTTTAGAGAAAAGGCAAGGAAAACACTACATGATGCTTAAAACTGTGCATGGCAGTAGAATCTGATGCCCAGTTAAAATGTTAAAATGTACAAGAGAGGGTCCAAACTGTGTTGGAAACATGAAGAGATTGAGGGATCTTTCATACATATGTGGTGGCAGTGTAAATAACCCCAAAAATACTGGGAGATGGTTTACAATGAGCTCATCTCCCCCCCCCCACCCCCATTTACATTTCCAAAGAAACCAGAAGCCTTTCTATTAGCAATAATTGATTATGAGCTCCCTGCAAGGCTATATCATATTTTTTGTAATGCTGCAGCACCAGCAAGAATAGTGTATGCTAAAAGTTGGGCGGGAAAAGAAACACCAACAAAAGAACAATGACTGCATAAATTGACAGAATATGCCAAACTTGCAAGCATGGCAGCCAAAATAAGGAATCAGGATGGAAAACAAATAAAGGGTGAATGGGAAACTTTTGGGGAGTATTTTTTTTTAAAAATGATACTAAAATGAAATTACAAGTAGGGGTGATTCTCTGAACAACAATTAAATACAAAGAAGAATTAGAAAGGAAAAAGTAGGGTGGATTAATATATGGATATACAGCAATACCAGACATATTACAGACACCATGGAAGGCTAGGCTAGGAAGTCTATATGGAAAGAATATTTGATGGTAACGTATGATATGTAAATAGAAAAATGCAAAATACTATGCTATGCACACACACACACAAATAAATGTGCATGGCATGGAGAAAGTGGACAGAGAGATTTTTCTGCCTCTCTCATTACAACAGCACACATGGATATCCAACAAAGCTGAATGTTAGAAGATTCAAGACAGATAAAAGGAAGTCCTTCTTCATGTAGCACATAGATAACCTATGGAACACACTTCCACAAGAGGTAAAGGTAAAGGGACCCCTGACCATTAGGTCCAGTCGTGGCTGACGCTGGGGTTGCGACGCTCATCTCGCTTTATTGGCCGAGGGAGCTGGCGTACAGCTTCCGGGTCATGTGGCCAGCATGACTAAGCCGCTTCTGGCGAACCAGAGCAGCACACGGAAACGCCGTTTACCTTCCCGCCGGAGCAGTACCTATTTATCTACTTGCACTTTGACGTGCTTTTGAACTGCTAGGTTGGCAGGAGCAGGGACGGAGCAACGGGAGCTCACCCCATTGCGGGGATTTGAACTGCTGACCTTCTGATCGGCAAGTCCTAGGCTCTGTGGTTTAACCCACAGCGCCACCCGCGTCCCACACAAGAGGTACTGATAGCCAATAACCTAGATAGCTTTAAAAGAAGATTGGACAAATTTGTGGAGGAGACGGCTATCAACGGCCTTTACTATGATGGCCATGCATGGCTTCTATGGTTGGAGGTAGAAATGCGTCTGAATACCAGTTGCTGGAAACCAAGGGAAGGGAGAGCACTCTTGTGCTCAGGTCTTGCTTCTTCTATGTCATTCTGTGTTTGCTAAAGTCATCCTGTTCCCCCACCCCAACCCGGTGGAAACTCACAAATGCTGGTGCTGTGGCATTTTCCACGTCACGGACCTCAACAGCCTCTTGCGTAGTAGAACTGCTCCCTTCATCAGATTTCTCCACATTGTCACTTTCCAGGATAAAACTGCCGTCTCTGCGGATGAGCGCTCCATCGCTTTCTGGAGCAGAGCTCTCTGAATCCCCTGCTATGGTAATTCTCGATTCCTCAGCTTCTGGGTTCACCTCCACCTGCTGTTCCTCTTTTTCTTCTTCTTCGCTTTTGTTCTCAGAGAAGCCCTCCTCAATTCTGTCCGACTCTTCAATGTCCTCCCCCATTTCTGCCCAAAGAGCATAAAATGAAATTATTGTGAACACAGTGCTCTGAAGAGGAAAAATTAAATCAAGGGAGGTGGCCTCAACCCTAGGGAGCTTACAGTTAAAATTTCACAGGTGGGGAGGGAGACAGCAAAGGGAGGGGGCAGAAGGAGAGAGCAATGAGCTAATTGTGAATAAACTTAACATGCATTTAGACTGCACATGGAAGGCTGTAATTCCTTGCATTTTTAAGATTGTAAGCTTTGAGACAGAGACCTTCCTTCCTTTTGTCCCTCTATGAATTGCTAGGCATATGAATACTAAAACAAGAAGGAGGAGGAGGAGGAACCCCTTTTTAGCCAGAGGGCCACATTCCCTTCTAGGTAAATTTCTGAGGGCCTTATGGCAGTGGAGGGTGGGGCCAGAGGCAAAAGTGGGCAGAACACTACAAATCACCATAGTGCTGATTTCTACACACACTCACCCACCCTCCCACAGCTCTCCTGCCTCTGTCCAGGCAAGCAAGAGGCAAAACCAGAGTTCAAGGACTTAGCCCAACTAGGCAAAAATATGCAAGGAGGGGGCAAAGCAGAGCTAGTAGACAGTGTGGCTTAGGGAGCCGTATTTGACTTCTGGACCTGAAGTTCCCCACCCTTGAGTTGAGGAAAAGGAAAAGGAAAAAATAACACAAGGGTCACCTCCAGAGGGTTGGCAATAAGGGTGTTGGTGATATGTGTTCTTACTTTCCACACTCCCATCTCTTACAGGTTAAGTAGTCTCACTCAAGGGCAGCCTCCCCTTTCTGAAAATCTTGGAGGGAGATGGTGGGCTTTGAAGGAAGAGACCTTAGGGGTTGTTTAAACAAACTGGGATGAATATTTGTGGAAAAAGCAAAGGCCTTTACCATGGCCTGAAAAGTCAACAGACAAGGGGCCTGTTAGGTATGTGGTGGGGGGGAGTTCCAAAGGATAGGTACCGTAATACTGGAGGTTCAATGCTGACATCATGTGGAACAAAATGCCTGATTGGATGGTACTGATTCTCATGATTGTAAGAAGCAAAGTTGTGCTTTTTAAAATACTATATTACACTGTGGAGGATAGAAATTACCTTCCTCTTCACTCATATCCCCAGTTTGCTTGAATGGCTTCTGATTTTTTAAAAAAGAAAGCGGGAAAAGAAAAAATATCAAGAATTAAAAAGGATAATTCATTATTTTTCACAAATAATACTTAATGCATGACATCTACACAGTGCTCTTGGGTGCTCATTGCATGCCACTGACAGCATTTTATTTTGATCTCTACAAGAACCCTTACAGGTAGGTCAACACAGGTTTGGAAGGCTGAGTCTGAGAGAGAAAAAATGCATTCAGATGGCATGTTCCCAATCCCCCAAACCATGTTCAGGGGCTTTTAACACACTGGAATCCATGCTATGCTCTTCATCAGCTTTGTGTATGTGTGTGGGGTTGCCATTTCCTTGGGGATCAACTCCACTCCTTTTTCACACACTGTTACTCTACCTCTTCTGAGTCAGGTCACAAGTGGCTGCTCAAGAGGACTAGGAATGTCACAAATGCAACTGGGCCCTGAAGGGAACACATTCACAGTCCATCAATTTAACTGAGTTCAAAGAAAGAAAAGACAGTCCCCACTCCTTTAACGGGTATCTTCATGAAGCTCACTAGGTGACCTTGGGCCAGCCACTCGCTCCCAGCATAACCTACCTCACAGGGTCATTGGGAGGAGGAAATGGGAAGGGGGGAAATTATGTACTGCCACCTTGAGCTCCTTGGGAAGAAAGGTAATAAACAATGTAATAAATAAAACAAATGAAAACAGCAAATAAATAGATTACTAACTGTACCCTTTTATTCCCATTTGTTTGCTAGATGAACTGAGCAAGAAGTCAATTTCAGTGTAGGGAAGGGGAACATGTGCAAGGATGCAGCACCTGCCTGCACCTACTTAAGTTACAAAAGTGTCAAATTCAAAGTCTTGTTTTCTACATACCCCTTTGTAGACTTCCCACACATTAAAATACCGGCTGACAGAGGTGCTGTAAGAATTCAGGCTGCGTAAAATACAGTCTGGATAAGCGGATAATTTAGTCAAGAGATCTTGTTGGAAGGTTGCATATCTGTAAACAAACAAAGAAACCAAAACTTTTTAATTATTTTTACTTATTGCATTACTTGTCCACCTTTTTCTCTAAGGAGCTCAAGGTGACATACAGTACATGGTTCTCCCCCTTCCTCATTTAATCCCCACAACAACCCTGTGAGGTAGGTTAGGCTGGGAGACAGCAACTAGCCCAGGGTCACTCAGTGAGCTTCAGGGTTGAGTGCGGAATTTGAACCCTGGTGTCTCCCAGGACCTATTTAACAATTTTGCCACAGATATTATCTGATTGTGCAAGAATTCATCAAATATGTGCAATGTAGGATTAGAGGTTGACATCAGAGGCCACTGCAGTAGAAGTCAACATTTGATAACAACAGACACCGTGTACAACTGCCAGAATCTGTCGGCATCCCAACTTGCAGCAATGAATATTCAAACATCTATGACAGATGACTTACAACTAAATTGAGTAAACATTGTGCGAACTTCATTCATTCAACCAGAACCACTGAATCAAGAATGTTGGTTTTGGATTTGGATTTTTAATTTTTAATTTTAATGGTAATTCTTGACATCAAAATCTTATTTAACTGGAGAGAGTGGGGACAGAACTAACGACTTGCTGTATACAAAGCATGTGTCCTGCTACTGCACCTCCTCAATGTGGGTGTAGACTTGGCATGTGTAACTGGCAAGCCAGCATGCCCAACTGTCAGGGATGATGGGGTTTATAGTCCCAAACATCTGGCCGGAGAAGGCTGCTCTAAAGCTTTGAAACATGCAGCTTATGGTAGCTCACCAGACTAGGCATCTGCCCTGAAAAGTCCCAGCTCACATCCTAGAATTCCAGTGAAGACTCAGTCTCAGGCCATTCACTGTTTTGTGCATCAGAGAGCACATTGTTCTTACTGGTTGACAGGCATACCTAGGGCAGCATCTGCAGAGTTTTCTTTTAAAGCAAGTTTATAGACCCTATGGTTGTGGAGATGAGCTTCAAAACATGCAGTGAGAAGAACACAGCAGCTTGTTTGTCATTTCACAGGATTTATATACATACTGTACATCTATCTATCTCTAGCCCAAAGCATTTGTGCTTCCTCTGCCACCTGCACTGCTTGAAACATACCCAGCTCGAATGAAGTCCAAAACAGCATAAACCTTCTCCAGCTGGGCCTTCAGTTTTTCATCAGAACTTTGGGTCCTCAGTTTGTCCACGGTCACATCCAGATTAAGTTCCCTTAGCTGGCTCCATATGGAAGGAAGCAGTCGGCATTAGAATGGTTAATGCTAGAAGGCTTAATTACTTGGGGCAGGGCAGATAAACCATCTAAAACTTGAATTGATTCAGGCTGGAGTTTATTTCCACTGCTGCTCCAAGCTACTTTGGGACTGGTGTGTTCAGAGGGTATAAAAATTAAAACAGTTATAAGGCAGCCTTACAGTGAGCAGCAGATTGAGTTTTCTAAAATCGTAAGTTATTTCACACATCTTTCAATTTCTAAAAGAATCTAGCTAAGCTGACTATCTGCCAATATGCAGTTGTTGTTTTATAAGGTAACCAATCAAATGATTAAAAAGCATACTGATATTCAGGGAAACATTCAGTAATTGGTCAAGAGGTGTGTCAGGGAACTGCCATCAGTGCCGGAGGGAGAGAGCAAGATCCAGAGGGATTCCAGAGAGCGTCCCGGGATTGGGAGAGGCAGCCCATCTTCTGGGGAAGAGAATCAGCGTAGCACCAGTGGATAAGGGGGGCAGATGGGGGAAGTGGCGAGGCGGTCCCATGACTCCTTGCCGGGGACCAGCGGGGAGAGTAGGGGTCCTCCGCTGCCTACGCCCTCCTTGCGCAGAAGGCTTTTGCGCAGAGAGAGTAGGAGGAGACTAGGCGTCAAAGAGCTTCTTTGCTGGAAGAAGTTTAAGAAATGCCCACTGACGGATTCTGCCAGCGATTGAGACAGCCACAGGTGAGTGGCTGTCCAAACAGAAAAGGTTCACTCAGGCAACCCAGCCAGGTGTTGGCACCGGCTTACGCACGAGCAACCCCTAGAACCACTACAAGGTGCTAAAGAATTTTTAAAAATATATTAAGTCAGCATTTTTGTGATACTGTTCCCAAATTTTGTGTTTGCTTTTGTTTATTCATTGTCTGAAATTATTAGACTGTGATTTAAAAATGTATTTAGGATACTGACTGTAAGCTAGTTTGGGAAAACATTTGTTCTGAAACATAAAGTAAATTTAAAAAACAGAAGAGAATACAGCGCTACAAACAATAACTATGTAGTTTAGTTAAGCTTATTTAAGAGAAAAGGGAGTCACTATGCAGTTTACTTTAGAGAAAAGCTGAAAAAGCGGAAACATGATAGAGGTGCACATAATTATGTATAGTTTGGGGGGAAATGGATATGGAGAGGTCTTTTCTCCCTCTTTCATAATGCTAGAATCCAGGGCTGTCTGTCCAATGAGGGAAACTTTTGGAAGAGTCATGGCAGGTAAAAGGAAGGACTTCTTCACACAGCACAAAGTTAAACTATGGGATTCACTTCCACAGGAGGCGGTGAGCGCTACCAACTAGGATGGCTTCAAAAGACGACTGGACAAATTCAAGGAGGAGGTTAAGGATATGGGTGGCAACTAGCCATGATGGCTGTCAAAGGCAGTATGACTCTTGAGTACCACCAGCTGGGAATCACAAGTAGGGAGAGCGCTCTGCTCATGTCCTGAGTGTGGGCTTCCCACTGTGGCATCTGATTGGCTACTATGAGAAGAGGATGTTGGACTATGATGGGCCAGAAGTCAGGCTCTTCTTATGCTCTTATGTTATCAGAGTCAATGTGGTGCCATAGACATAGAGTGTCAGGCTAGGACCAGGAGATCAGGGTTCAAATCCCCCCCCTCAGTCCCAGAGCTGACTGGGTGAGAACAGGATGCTGGACTAAGTGGACCTTTGGCCTGATCCAGTAGAGCTCTCTTGATGTTCTTGCTTTTCTCCATAGACTAAGCCAAAGCAAAATCACGTGAAAATAAAAATTGCAGATCATATTGTGCAAATAAATTTTGCAAATGCACATGGCTGATTCAAGATGCAAGAGTTCATGCAGATTTGCCAACAACCTTTCTTCTTTCTGTCCCCACCAAGATCTCTGATACAGCCTCCCATATTGTATTCTCTGTCCTCTCACCCCTCACTGAACCAGACCCCTGCTCTGACCTTGTTTAGATTTTCGTGCTTGTTTCGGCATTCGTTCATTTTACTGTGAAGCTCATTTTCATGACGAACAAGGTTGCATTTGTGGGTATCAAAGAGAGTGAGAGCATCCTGGAAGTACTGGTAGACATTCCTGCAGTTGATTTCTGTGTGCTTAACCAACTGTTCTAGGTGGTCCTGGAGAGAAATCAAATGGAAATAATTTGTGATTTAGGATTTTTGTTAGCAGATGCAATCAGCATTTAGCTGAGGGTGGGTAAGGCCCAATGTAAATCAGCGAGGACCAATCTTATTCACAATCTCCTCCTCAGGGCTGTCTTAAGCATATCCGCCGCTGTGGTGCAAAGATCCCTCTGGCGTCCCCCCGTTTCCCAGAGTTGTTGACCTTTTTTTGGGGAGCTGACACCACACTTACACATTATCTCTAAGAAAATCTAATGAAGTCCTCAATTCCAAAGCAACACTCATTCAAGACTCAGCAGTTCTTCTAATTCATCCTTTCTTTAAATAAATTAATAAAGACACAGACAACGAAGTTCCCGGCCAGTTTGTGTTTAAGTACAAAGCTGACGTTTTCAAATATTGTGGGGAGTGGGTGTAAAGCAGTGACATCCTGAACCTAAAAATGACCCAAAACTTGAGTCACAAAGGCTGCAGCTCTAACCGCACTTACCTGAGAGTAAGCCCTGCTGAATCTAATAGGACCTTACTTCTGAGTAGACAGTAGGACTGCAGCAAGAAACACAGTTGGGAATTAGGGCTTTCTGTTTCAAGTCTCAACCAAAATGTAATATTGGAGATTAGGGAGAAAGGAATATGAATAGATTGGGGGGAGAGGGCTGACGAGAGACCAAAAACCACAGCTAGCAAGACAAGGCACACTTTCTGGGGAGCAAGACTCACACACAGTTGCTTGGGGCGAGGACTACAGAGGGACCATAGTTGGGTTATGTGTGTGTGCGTTTTTCAGAAAAACGTAGAATTGGAAGGGACCCTGCAGGTCATCTAGCCCAACCCCCTGCAATGCTTTTTAGATTGCATTGATCTCAAAAACCTTCAGTGCCTTTTTTTTTTTAGTTGGATAGGCAATTAACAGGCTTGTTTCACAAATAAGGGAGAAGGAGGGTTGCTGGCTTGGTTTGGTTTGCCTTTGTTCTAGTTTTTAGCATGTGCTTAGTACCGTAGTTTCAGGCTATGAGCCACCCTGATATCTATGGGGGGAGGGCAGTAGTAGTAGTAGTAGTAATAATAATAATAATAATAATAATAGTAATAATAATAATAATAATGGTGATGATATTTTTTGCAGGGCTTGGAGTGGGTGGTGGCTAGATGCTGGAATGAATGGGGTCGGTGCTAAATGGTCTGGCTTGCTTTACAATCCCTAGGGACCTTGTTGGTGGGGGGGGGGCAGAGAAGGAGCCCACCCCCAAGGAGGAGGAAGAAGAAGAAGAAAAAGAAAAGCGAAGGGAGGAGGCTTCCCTTCCCCAGGATAGAGTTGCCCATAACATTAAACACAGGGCAGGATTCCAGGGAGAGAGAGAAACAAGGGCAGCAGTTGCTGCTACTCGCAGCTCGGGCTAGATGTAGCTGAACAGGACGGGCAAGGGGACCTTGCAAACAGGGCTGCAAACCCAGCGCGGAAGCTCCGTGGCCTCGCCATCACCCACCTCCCTCTTCCCACAGGCTGGGCAGGCGAAAGAGAGAGAAAGAGAGAGAGAGAGAGAGAGAGAGAGAGAAAGAGAGCGCTGCATGCCTGCCAGCCATATAGCTGGCGGGGCACAGCTTCCACCTGAAGCCTCTGCAGGGATTGCTCTCTTCCTGCGGAGGCTTGGAAGGCAAGCTGCATGCCCGCCAGCCATATGGTTGGCAAGGTGCAGCTGGTGGGTGCAGGGAAAGGGGAGGCCACTGGCAAAGCTGTGCAGCTCCCCCACTCGCTAGGGCTCCCCTGAGAGGACAGCGCCCTGGCGCAAGGCACCAGTAAGCCCAATAGGAAAGATGCCTCTGCTCCTCCTCCCAAGGAAACATCCAGTGACATAAATAAAATAGAGGAATGCATCTCAAAGGTGCCAGTTGAGGCATCTGGGTTGCATTGCCTAGACAGCCTGATAGATAATGCTAGGGAGGAACTGGTGAAGAGTGTGGCTCAGGGAGAGAAGGGTGCCTAGGGAAAAGGTGTGATGTGGGAAGAGCCCTGAGCAGTGTTCGAAACTCCCATTGTCATAAGTGCATTTTGCAACAGGGAATGTCATTAGCGCAGACAGTTTCTGAGCTAAGATTTCAGATTAAAACTGCAGAGTGCAAGGAAAGGACCTTTTTCTGCCTCCCCACTGCCAGCTATTCTCTGAAGACTGGAGAAGAGACCCTCTTAAGAATATTAGGGGAGGTGGGCAGGGGAAGGACTAGACCATGTGAAAAATGAACATAATATTTTAGCTGCAGTTCATTCATTTTCAACTTTGTATTCTTGTTATAAAAAAAGCGCGTAAACATTCTGTAGTTGTGCCCATAACCTAGGTTTAAGGTGCCATTTAGCGCCTAGCTTTCATATTTCAGTTTTGGCCACTGGTCCTGAGGGCCAAATGCAGAGGCCTTGAGGGCCACATCTGACCCACAAGGAGAACTGCTACACAGACCATGGGTTCTCTCAATTTGAGTTGCAGCAGGTTCATTTCTGCTACTCTGATCCTGCTAGGATGTGTTGCAGGAAACGTGTTAGGAAGAGACACTGGCAAACTTACGTCCATCATTTCTACTTCCTGCTCAAAGCGACTCTGCAACTTCCCAACTAACTGGTAGAAATTTGGATTCACAATCCTTTCAGCCTCTTTTTCTGTGCAGATTTTCTTATCTATCAGTTTGTTCTAAAATTGGAGAGGGAGAAAGCATTATTAGTAGTGAAGTTCATAAATATGCAGCCTTGACTCCACCAATGTGTTTCAGTTATTATGAATTAATATCGCTTTTCATTTACAGCAGGGCTCATGGACCACATGAGGTCTGGTAAGTGTTGCAATGTGGCCCATGATACCATTTCCCTGCAAACCACACCCACTTCCATCATAGATGACATCAGGTGTGGAGCAACTAAAAATGTGGATGCAAAAGGATGATCAGGAGCTTAAGGTGCACTGCCACTTGTTCCTTGGCAAGTAGGGTTCGCTAATCCACACTAGAAGTTAGTCACTTTTCATTTATTTATTTTACAAAATGTATATACTGCTTGATTGTAAAAACAACAACAACCCCCTCAAAGCAGTTTACAAAAAAAGATAAAACAACAAAATGATCAATAAGAAGATTTAACAATGATAATTTAAGATTTTCAAAGCATTCAAATAACAATAAACTAAGAACAGATTAAAACTCACACCAACTTTCTAAATACCTGGGTGGACTTGTCTAAACAAAACCGTTTTTATCAGGTGCCGAAAAGGGTACAGCGAAGGTGTGTCAGCCTGTCATGGATGCACAGGACTGGTGGGAGGCACCAGCTGGGGACCCTTAAGGGACAAAGGTTCAGAACCTGAGGACTGGTGGTGGGACAATGATGAGTTGTCAGAGAGAGAAGAGAGAGCAGACTGGGAGAAGGAGGTGTCAGAAGCAGAAAAGGTAACAGGGTGTAGTGAGCAGGAAGAAGTTGGGGCAGAGGGCAGTCCAGAACCAGAGGCAGAAGATGAGGCTGGAGAGGAGGGGGGCCAAGAGGCAGGACTGAGATGGGCTGCTGAAGAAGCCTGGGGTTCTCCCCCTTCTGCTATGACCAGCTCCGCCCGCCCACCCCCCGGTCTCCCAGAACCAGAAGAGGGATGAAGATGGTGGAGCAAAGACAGACAAGGCACAGATTGCTTAAGAAGGACCATGGGGAGGAGGAAATTTAGGGAGCTGTGGGAAGACAGGGACCTTCAGTCCTCACAACTGCCTCACTGAGGCAAGAGCTGCTGGAAAAAGTTGCTGTGCTCACTAGGCCTGGCCTCATGAACTGTTTTGTTTCTTTGACTAAAGAGAGTTAACTTTCCTTACATCATGTGAATTATTGCTTGCTCCTGACACCTGCCCTGACACTGCCTGATGTCAATAGGCTTTGAGCTTTTCTGGTCTGCGAGGGGGGGCGGGAATGTAAGTTTGCTGACAGCAACCCTCTTTGAGGCTAGTGTTACAATAATGTAGGTTGCTGACAGGTAGGCAATCCTGCTCACCTGTCAAATCAGGTATGGTTGGACTCCAACTCCCTTCATGCCTGACCACTGGCCATGATGGCTGGGGCTAATAGGAGTTGTAGTCTGACAACACTTGAAGGTACACTACAATGGCTATCCTGATCTAAGATCTGGCAGTGGGGAGTTTACATCTTACATCATCTTCCCTTCCAGATCATTAGTCATTACAGTCTTCAAAAATATCTATATTGCCATCTATATGCTGAAGGCACACCTCTTTAAACTGGCTCCTGACACTTGAGATGTATATATTAGGGCCTATCTTATTACTGTGATGGTAAGTTGTTTTAAAATGCTTTTAATGTTGTGTTTTGATTGTTTTAATTTGCCCTGGGACCTTAGAGTGAAGGGTGGGTAAACAACAACAACAACAACAACAACAACAACAACAACAACAACAACAGATTTTCTCTTATTCTCATCTGTAGTCAGGCTAAAAAACAGAATCCACATATTTTCAACAAAACTGATTGGCCCACTAACCTTACACTCCTGCACCTTTGACAAACACTCCTGGCAAACTTTCTCGTACTGGAGGCGGATTTTCATTAAGTATTGGACATTGTGGGTATCTTGAGACAAAAATTAAAATTAACACAAGATTGGATTTGGTGGTTACAAGATTGAATATGAAATATTCACATATTTCTGTTTGTGAACATGTGGAGCACTGCTTGTTCCATCTGAACAGCTTTACTTGTGTTTATCATTATAAAGATTTCATCTTATTTCTATAATGGTATATTATATTCTTGTAGCCTGCCCTGAGACCTTAAAGTGAAGGGTTATAGTTAGGAAATCTGGTAAAGATATAAATTGCTGCTCTAAATAACAATAGCAAAACTTTTGTTCCTTACCTATCCGCTTATTTAAAGCCACCACAGATTCATACCACTCATTTAATTCAGCCTTGGATTGCATCAAAGGCAGCATATTGCTAAAAAGACAAGAGAGAGGGAAACACTTAGCACATAAAGCTCTTGAGGTCTGCATGACAAATCTTAAAATTCATTTGGGTCCCAGTTTACACTGGTCACATATTAGTTATATAGCTGAGCTGAAAGTTCCACAGAGAACCTTTTTCAGGGAAAGCTGAAGGGGGGATTGTGTTGTTTGGGCGTAGGAGAAAATCTGGAAATTTGTGGGCCGGGACTGGGGGCTCAGTGGAGACAAGTGGAGGTAGCAGATTTCCCCTTCCTTTCACGTAGTTTGGCTGACAACACTCCTACTGCTAACCCTGGAGTTGGGTGATACAGGGAGCCAACTGGAAAAACTGAACAACAGGTTTTATCCCATGTTTGTCCTAGAATACTGTGATTCCTGCATTGCAGGGGGTTAGACTAGATGACCCTTGAGGATGTTTTCAACTCTACAATTCTATGATTCTATACTTACCAGGTAGGCCCACGGAAACTAATGGGTCTAAATCTGTCATTAACTTCAGTGGGCTTACTTTGATTATGGCTAACATTGGATACAGCCCAGGTTGTTAAGAGTTCTATATTTGCCTGTATATGTGCAGGTGGTTGTTTCTTTTATACAAACTGACAACATTGGATGCCCTCCACCACTGAGGAATGGGGGGGAGCGCACCGTCCCCGGCAGCGCGATCCTGGTAGGGTGCCATTGCGGCTGCCCCCCACCTGCGCTGGGTGCCACGCCCCCACAGGTGACGTGTCACGCCCCTGGGACGCACGCCAGCCCCGCCCCCACCTGCTCTCCACCCCCTGGTGCTGGAGCATGAAGCTCCACCACTGCCTCTGCCCCCCACGGCCCTAATTTGGAGTCCTCCCCACAGGTTGCATAAGGAAAAAGTCCTGTGCAAATTATTGGCATGGGGGGTGGGGATAATATGGTTTGGGACCATAGGGGGAAGTAAAATGTTAAAGTCCCTGACCTACATACACATCGGCCAACCACCCATAATTTGACACCATCAAAACATCACTACTACAAGCCAGGGTGGCTTTGTTCTGTCTGCACTGTGGGAGGTAATATGCCTCTGAATACCAGTTGCTGGTAATCATAAGGGGAGAGTTACTGTTATGCTCAGGTCCTGCTTGTGAGCTTCCCACAATGCATCTGGTTGGCTGCTATTAGAACAGGATACTGGAATAAAAGCATCTTTGGCCTGATCCAGCAGGGAAGCTATTCTTACGTTCTTAGGAATGAGAAGTTACATTTTATTCTCCTGTTCACCTACCCCAGAGAATATAACAGTGCTGTTCTCTTCTCAGTGAGTGATTTTTGATCTTGTAGCATGTTCTCCAGCTCCACATTCACAGCACTCGGGTGCCGTATTCTTTCACTTTCCATGAACTGTCTACAGGACATGACAAAAAACATTAAATGTGGGCTTCCTTTTTTGCAAGGGATACTGTGCAATTGAAAAGCCACACCCATCTTATACTGCCCAAATCTCCTGCTCCATCATGCCTTCTTTCCCCCAAACTGCCATCTGGGGGCAACCATTCAATCAGTCTGCCTCAGTGGGAGAGATGAGAAGCAGAGTTCACCAAAAGACCAGCTCTGTTAAGCACCTTCTATCTGTGAACTATGTGTGAACTATGATAGCTGGCCATTATAAAAACAACTGTTTAAGAACTGGATCCCGAGCTTGATTTCCACCCTCTTCCCATCCTCTCCCTTTCTCCTTGTGTGTTGTGAAGCCTGAGGACAGGGACTGTCTTGTTTTAACCAATTGTATGCAAACCTGCTGTAATGGGTTTAGGGGTTGCTCGTGCGTAAGTTGCCGCCACTCCTGGCTAGGTTACCTGGTTAACCCTTTCTGACTGAACAGCCTCCAGCAACGTGACTGTCTCAGTCGCTGGCAGAATCCGTCAGTGGGCGTTTCTTAAACCTTTTCCAGCACAAAAGTTCCTTGACGCCAAGTCTCCTCCTACTCTCCCTGCGCGGAAGTCTTCTGCGCAGGGAGGGTGTGGGCAGTGGAGGACCCGTACTCTCTCCGCTGGTCTCCGGCGAGGAGTCTTGGAGCCTCCTCCCCGATTCCCCCATCTGCCCCCCTTCTCTACTGGTGTTACGCTGATTTCCTTCCCCAGCAGACGGGTTCCCTCTCTCCCTACTGGGACCCTCTCCGCCATCCCTTTGGAGCCTCCCCTCCGCTTCCAGCTCCGATGGCAGTTCCCTGACACCTGGGAACCACTTTTACATAAAGAGCAAAGTACAAATACTCTAAATAAATAAATAAATGAAATTTCAGACCTGAAACTGTAAATTATTTTCTGCTTCCATTTGGCTCTCCAGGTCTTTATTCTCTCCTCCAGTTTGCGATGATAGAAGATGTCTCCTTTCAGGTCTGCCTCCATCAGGTTGACAAACAGCTTGGCTATTGCTCTCCGATTGGCCAGCAGGGCTTGGTTGATCATCTGGAATTGGAAGATGTAGATGAGAGTAGCAAGGGAATCTCTCTTTTTCAAGGAGATGAAGACTTCAGATTAGTTGGTTCAACCCAGAGGACATGATGGGCAAGACAAATTTAGGTACAGTAATCTAAAGGAGTCTACTCTGAATAAACCTTAGCTAGATGCATCCCTTAATTGTTCTCTAGTGCCATTACAATGGTGGCTGGTAACCCACTGGGACTTGATGGGGCAGAAAGCAGAGATGCCCAGAGTAGGTTCCTCCTCCCCTCTTGGTCAGTCTGCTTTCTTCACTCCTTTCTCACTTCCAAAGAGGGGGAAAAGATAGTTTCTGATAAAAAAGAAGTGGAGAGGAAGAAGAGTGCAGAGGGTTTTGAGGTATCACAGGCACCTGTGCACCCTTGGCGCCGTGCTGGGGACACCAGGGCAAACGTGTCCTTGTCTTGTCTCTCTGCTCCTTTCACGTAGAATATCTCAGGGATCCCATCCCTCTTTCCTGGTTGCTGTGCTAATCTTGCACATAGCCTCTCTCTCTCTCTGTCACCACAATTTTATTTTAAAATGCCCAATTCTGCTACCCAAATTAGGTTTGCAAATATGCCCACTTTCAATCTTTCCCGAACTACAGGGTTGGGGGGTGGGATCAAGCAAAACCTGTAGTTATCTTACTGGAGAATTTCAGGTATCAAGCAGAAAGGTTTTACCATGGCTTCCTTGTGAATGAACCTGTGGACATCAGAGGGTAGGAAATAGGAAATGTCATCCAGGATCTTATTATATTTGTTCAACAAAAGTTTGATCTGGAAACAAAGCAGAGGGAGGGGGTAAGAAAAGTGTTCAGGATGGTGAGGACACCTCTCTGCTGAGATTGCTAGGGACATGCTGGGGGACCACCCCACTGGGCTGTAGTGTAGGCAGAGCCATAGCCAATGATAAGTAGAACCAGAGTCAATGACAGGCAGAGCCAACCAATTCTAGCTTTTATTCTCATCATTCTCCCTGATGAGTTCCACAAGGGGCACTTTGAGTCTATGCAGGGGGAAGCTAACAGCTGGGGCACCCCCTAGACTCACTGTAAGTAAGGAGGAAGGCAGGTGCGAATTGGCTGAAGACAGAATGAGAGTGGTGAGGCAATGCCCCATTCACCTAAAGAGACAAACCTCCACCATCTCACTGAAGAGGGCAGTTCCTAAAAAGACACATGCGCCAGCAAGAAACAACTATTTCTGACCCTTTCAAGGAGCCATAGCAAGGGTGGGGAACTTTTTCCAGCTCCAAGGGCTGGATTTCCTTCTGGGCAACATGCTGATGGAAGGCATACAGCAGCACCCCCCACAATCATTCATGTACTCTCTGTTAGCATCTTCTTGTACTTACCCGTTCAGCTCGATCTACCTCTGCCTTGAGTAAGGCTTTGTCCAGCTCTCTAATCCACTGCCTTCTTTTTAAGGTCTCCTTGGAGACAAGGTTCCACATTCTCTCAAAGTCCTGCAAGGTAGAAATGGGATGTGGATTCCACACAGGGGAGCTGAGGTGGAACCCTATATTGTTTAAAAGTTATCAAGAAAAAGATGAAGTCTGTTCTATGGTCTTTGTTGGCATGCCAGATCCTTTCAACCCATCCCACTGTTCTGTTCACTGACATGGGCGTAGCCAGGATTTTTGTTGGGGAGGCAGGCTTTTGTTGGGGGGGGGGAGAACCTCATATTCGTACTGATTTGTATTGATTTAGGGGGCCAGCTGCCCCTCTGCCCCCCCCCAGCTACGCCCATGTGTCAGCCTTTGGAGGGAAGGGCTGTAGCTTAGTAGAGCATCTGCTTTGCATGCAGGAGGTCCCAGAGTCAATTGCTGGCATCTCCAGGTAGGGCTGGTAATGCCCCTGCTTGAAACCTTGGAAAGCTGCTGTCAGTCAGTGTAAACAATACTGAGCTAAATGGACCAGTGGTCTGACTCTATATAAGGCAGCTTTCTATGTTTCTGGAAAGGGCTGTAGCTGAGCAGCAGCCCATCTGTTTTGCATGCGGAAGTCCCCAGGTTCGATCCCTGGCATCTCCAGGTAGGGCTGGGAATATCCCTTGCCTCCCTTTCTGGAAAGCTGCTGCCAGTCAGTGTAGACAAGACTGAGGTAGAAAGAGACATAGTTCTGATTCAGTATAAGGAAGTTCTCCATGTTCCTAGGTTCAAGCCCTGGGATCTCCAGGTAAGTTTGGGAGAGACTTCCAACTTGAAACCGTGGAAAGCCGCTGCCAGTCAGTGTAGACAATACTGAGCTAAATGAGTCAATGGGATGATGCAGTATGTCAGCTTCCTATGTTCCTATCTCCAGCATGCCTTATTCTGCTACCCACAGTGACTGCCAGGCCCTTCATCCCTGTTGCTAAGCAGTGTGGATCTAGGGTGACCAGAAGTATCAGCCAGAGGGGCAAGAAAAGGTGGCAGGCAGCATTCAAGCCCTGTTTGAGTTTGAGTTGCAAGGCACTCCCTCACCTCCATGGTGTAAGTCTCCAAGTGAAGGTTCTCAGCGGAAACTTGGAAAAGGGACTCAATAGTGCGATCGGATTCTGACAGCTTGGTCAGAAATAGCTTCCCAGGCTCCAAGAAACACACCTCCATTTCCTGAAACAGAGAAGATGATCTGGTGGGTAACACTTGCCAAGGCTTGGACGAAACAATGTGCATCAATATGTATGTATTAGAAAAATGTGTCACATAACTGAAAAATAAAATGAAAATGCACCTAAGGGGGAATTTCTTGCATAAAACTATATAGTCAAAACTGAACACAAAACATTTGGAGAGAGCCGTACTAAAGAAGTAGCGTATTTTCACGAGGATTTAAAGCAAAGATTCACAAATTGTTGCAAAAAGTGGAAAACTGAATTTAAGATAGAAAGAAATGAGAAACGGAGAGAACTGAATTTTATTTCTTTATTACATTTATATCCCACCCTTCCTCCAAGAAGCTCAATGTGATGTTCATGGTTCTCCTTCTCCCCATTTTATCTTCACAGCAACAACCCTGTGAGTTATGTTACGCTTGGACGAAACAAGGCTTGGACGAAACAATGTGCATCAATATGTATGTATTAGAAAAATGTGTCACATAAGTGAGTGGCTAGCCCAAGGTCACTCAGAGACCTCCATGGCGAAGTGGATAAATTTGAACCCTAGTCTTCCAGGTCCTAGTCCAGCACTCAAGCCACTACACCACATTGGCTTCACATTGCAAATAGACAGATTATCCCATCCCTAGTACTATCAATAGTGATGCACTAAACTGGTGAAGGGGGCTGCCTACCTTCCCAACGCGTGCCAATTCCTGCCGTAGCGTCACCACCGTCTCTTCGTAACGGCACCTCCTGCTCTCTGAGATACGTTCCACAATGTCACTGTTTTTCTTCTCAGGAACTGGGAGGGAGGGAGGGAGATTAGACTGTATGCACAGCTGTAGAACTCATTCCAGGCTAGCATAAAGAGAGAGTAACGTGCTTTGGAGTTTTTTTACAAAACCACTGGGTTAGCTGACATTCTCATGCTGCTAAAGAAGCCTGCCACATTTTAGTTCCATCTTCAGTTTTATGCACAAGTTCATAGTTACTCATTCTTTTATTTAACTAACTGTAATAAAACATATAAGTGGCTTACAGACAATAAAAAGGGAGGGCTTGACCACAATAGTTCAGGCATTGGTGACTTCAAGATTGGATTACTGCAGTCAACTCTGTGTGGGTTTGAAACTAAAGTTAGTGCAGAATGCTGCAGCATGGTTGTTGACAGGAGGCCCCGTCAGGAGACTTCTGCTCAGAGATCTGCACTTGTGGCCCATTTGGTAACAGCCTAGGTTCAAGGTGTTACTATCGGCAAAACAATTTTGGGTTTTAAAGACTATCACCATCAGGTTGAACTGAGTGTGAGAATGCAGTGGCCACCAGTGCAACTGGCAAGGTATTGGCCAAAAACTGAGCAGTGATGTTCTGCACTGGCTGCGGTTACTGAGCTATCTTCAAAGGAAGCCCCAAGCAGAGTACTTTGCAGTAGTATAGCTGGTAGTCTGCATAAATGAAAGATACCACATTTGCTAAAAACACTGATTATGGTGCCAGAATTAAATTGGTAAACATTTACTTATGACTTCAGCAAGTCCTCGGACTTCCCGGGCAGCAATAACATTTTCACTTTCTTGAGTCTTTAAAAATGCCAGTGTTGCAGCCTCTCTGGAATAGAAACAGAGTGTGAGAAACTTGAAGCAAGAGACATTATTAGAGTTCAAGAACACATTCCAGTCAGGTCAAAACACTTGGGATGTGAAGTAAGGGTGACTGAGGGGTGTGGCCTGGAAAAAGTTCCAAGGGTCAAGTAGACAGCACAGAATAACATCATAACTCTGTTCCTTACTTGTATTGCACTGGATTTTCAGTGACGTCATCATTGGGCATTCCCTCAACCCACATCTGCTGACGATGTGATAAAAACCCATTGCCAGAGCAGGTTTCCACATCCCTCACCAGCGGAATCGTTCCTGGGATCTGTGGAAGCTTGTGCTGGGCTATCTTGCTTCTCGCTTCTCCCAGAGTGCGCACAAGGTTTATCTAGCCAAAGCCAAAATGAAAATAATTAGGCCTCTTCCTTTAAGGTGAAAGAGGGCATGCTTATACTCACCAGAAATAGAGGGCACTTGCCAAGCAAAGTTAAGTATTCATGAGTCCCACCCTGATTTAATTCTTCATAATATATTGTTGTCATTTTTTAATAGCTAGAATTAAAGCATCTTGTTCAAGGTTAATGAAGTGAAAGTTGGCAAGTGAATAAAGGAGAAAATTGTAAGGCAGGGTTTGAATGGCAATGAGATGCAAAAAAATAAGGGGAAAGATTTTGCCATACAACTCCCACATTACAATTTTCTCCCTTACAAACATGTATACTAAGATTTCAATTCACCTATGTGATGAAGTGAGCATGCGTCCTCAAAAGCTTGTGTTGGCGTTCATCTGTCTTAGGAGACAATAGAGGAGTGTGCCTTTGTGGGTGAAGAGAGGTTTTGCTGCAGCTGGGGCAGATGAAGGTGCCTGGTTGTGCCGCTGTAGAAGCACTATGGTGTTTCTTCCCTCTGCGCTCATTCCAGTGGTCATTCCTCCCATGACCAGATTGACTGTCTCCAGGCACTGCAGTCATCTGCAAGGAATTCCCACACAGGGTTGATGTTGCCAGCCTTCTTGTCACATTTGCAGACATCTTTGTAACACAGAGTTGGTCTGCCAACAAGCTTGGTTCATGAAACTAGCTCCCCGCAGAGCACATCCTTGGGCAGGCACGTCGAAAGTCCATTTCGGGGGCCTAATCCGGCCTGCTGGTCAATTTACTCTGGCCCCTGTGGCAGTTTATTTCCTGGGGTCGGCCCTTCACTTCATCAAATCTGGTTTGGACACCACTGTCCTTGGGGATTCTTCCATCTTCCATTCTGTGGATATGACCAAGCCAGTGTAGATGTTGCTGAGACAGGAATGTGAACATGCTGGGGTTGCGGGCCTGGGAGAGCACATCTTTGTTTGAAACTCTGTCTTGCCATGTGATGCCCAAAATCTTCCTGATGCAGCACGTGAGAGGCGTTGAGGTGCTGCTCCTGGCAATTGTAAGCTGCCCACAAGTCAACACACAGTGTGCAATAGCAGCGTGCTCAACAAGCAAACCTGGTAGTCCTTCATCTTCGTATTAGATGTTAGCATCACATTCTCCCACACCCTTTGGAGAGGCAAGCCATTGCCAAAGCTGCCTTGCCAATATGCTTGTCCAGCTCAGCATTAATGGAAAGGTTGCTGGTTATGGTAGAACCCAGGTAGACAAAATTGCCTACCACCTCAAGTGTGTGGTCACCAGTGCTGATGGTGGAGTGCTGGCGGCGTTCTTACCCAGGATATTGGTCTTCATCAGACTGGTGGTATGGCCAAATTTCATGCAGGCTTGTGTCTTTGTGAAGCTTCCTTGGAGTGCACTGTCAAGGCTGCGTCATCTGCAAACATCTCTCAGATAAGGACTCGCCACATTTTTGTCTTGGTACAGAGATGTGTCAGGTTGAACAAACCCTGTCACTCCTCGAATGAAAGTATACACTGTCTTCAGTCAAGCTGAAGGCATATGAGACCAGCAGGGAGAAGAATATGCTAAAGCGAGTTTGGGTGAGTTTCACACCCTAAAAGCTTAAATGTGCTAAGTTTTCTTCTTCTTTTAGAATATGTTTTATTGCTTTTACATGTAATTTAAAATACAATGAACTGCAACAATAGCAGGTAGCCTGTCATTTCTTGGGAAAAGTCTAATAGCAACATGAAATTAGAACCATTACTCAGAACAAGTTTATGGAGTTGAAGTCTCTCCAGATGTTTTCACATGGATTTGAGGGTATTATCTGAAAATGGTTGATACAGACCATAATGAACAAGGTACTCCCCAAGTGATCCTGTGCAAGATATCCCACAAAAAATTAGGACACAAATCTCACGCAGCCTTCACCCTGTGTTGGCTAGCACTGATGAGAACCTTAGTCCAAAACACCTGGAGAGCACTAGGTTTTCAAAGACTGCTCTAACCCAACTTTGCAACTGCCTCTGCTGGAGTTTAAGTCTAGTGGTGGGCAAACCGAAGGCTTGCAGGATCTACTGTGTGTGTGTGTTTTACTAGAACCTGCAGATCTACTAATCTGCAGATCTACTAACCAAAACTGGACAGGGGTGTGGCCTTGGGAGAGGAGGTGTAGCCCAGGGAGAGTTCTGTGCCTGCAGTTCCCCATCCCTGCTTCAAGTGATGCTATTCCCCCCCACCCCACCCGCCCAATCAGGTATTCTAGCTTCTGTCATTGCTGTACCTCATCATCAAATATCTGTCTGTAGACTTTCCCACTGGGGACGACACGGGACACCCCCACTAGGGTCATGTTGCAGACTTTTCCTAGGCGCTCGATTGGTTTGCAGCTGAACTTTTTCTTGGGTTAGCTGAGAAAAAGGAAAATGCAAAGAAAGAGAAAGAAAGAAAGAATTGAATGGTTTGGTGTCATTCCTTGAGTGATGTTGGGAATGGCGAGTGGGGGAGAAACTGCTGTGAACAAGACTTTTTTGTAATTGCATGGCATCTCAAACTGACTCATATATCAGCAGTAAATGCCAGTGTATGTATTTCAGTGGGGTTTTATGATATTATAGCTGCAATCTTATTTGCAACTGTGGACTCCCTCCCCATTATCTGCCATCTACCTATCTGGGTGCCAGTGCCCTGAGCACATTTAAATAAAAGTGTCATTTATACAATTAACGATTGCATTTAATTGTGCAAATTTATTTACAGCACTTATTTATGCAAATCATCAAATGGAATTAGGCAATAACCAAGAGTGGTGTCCCCTCCCCCTCCCCAAGTCCTGTGCTGATAGTTGGGGAGAAGAGAAAAATGGCTTTTGTGGCTCGGATCAGGTCCTGCCATGAGGGATACATTTGAGATCCAAACTAAATGTAATGGGAGGGACGGATTCTTTCCATGTGCTGCTCTCCCAGAATGCATAGCGGGGCGAGTGACTGCTTTCCCCCTTAGGGCAAAGGAAAGGACTGCAACTCATTGCAACGTATTATTTTTTTGGGGGGGCTCTCCTCTTCAACTCATCTCTTCCCGCCTTCCCGCTGTTGCCCCTCTCTCACCCGACACGAACCTTACCTGACGAACCCTTGGAAAGCCAGTCCTAAAAGCCGCCTCAAGGCAGCTAGGCCAAGAACGGCGTCTTTTGGTTGCCATGGTGACTATCAAGAGCAGGGAAGAGGAAGGAATGGAGAAAGTGCGTGTTATTCTCTCGCGGGACTCGACGGGATTCAACATGGCCGCTTCGATGACTAGCTGTTGCCATAGAGACGCGGAAAGCGGTTTAAAAAAAAAATTACGAGCGGCAGGGGCTTGTTTTTGTCTTACGAGTTCGTCATTGTGTCCTGGTCACTTATACAGTAATCTTGTTAGAAACAGCGATAACAGCGTTTTATAGAGCACTAGTTGTTATAGTTGTTTTCCTCCATAATTTCCCCCACCAGAATATTGCGTGGTAAATAAGAGTCCCGAGCATGTACAGAACCTTTCCGACTTTGAATCCTTTTAAAAGTTAGAATAACGTCAAGATGCTTCTGCATTTTGAATCCTGCTTTTCAGTGCAAGATGTCCTGCATTGAAGGTTACCACCATTCCATTTTTTTTAGGGGGGGGATTGTAAAAACGTGGTTTTTAAAAAGTTGGGAAGTAGCAAAAACCACCACGCACCAGCCACGGAGCTGTCTGGCAGATTTCATTAGTATACACGTGTTTTTGTCAGGACACAGGTGTGCATCCACAGTTTATGGAGGGGATTTGCTTGGGTAACTGGGGAGAAATTGTTTTGCATTCCCTTATGAGATCACAGGCTCCACCTGGTGGCAAAATCAAAACTCCATTTTCAGAGGCAGTCTATCCACACCAGGGGCTGAGGACAAGCAATAGGAGATGGGTACTTCTTTAATGCCTTGATTGTGAACTTAACAGATGCAGATAATAAAAGCTTCTTGTCCAATCAAGGGGGATTTTTGATAAGAATGGAAGCCTTGCTGGATCAGACCAACTGGGGCCAAAAACTGGTGCCAGAACATAGCCATGGTGGCTAAGAGTCACTGATAGCCTCCATGAATTTATCAGTCCTTTCAAAACCATCCAAGGTGGTGGTCCTCACCAGCCCTGAATTCTCCAGTGTTATAAGAATTCTAAGGTCCCAAATATAAAATAAACGTTCATAAATGTACAAGGGAAACTGTTATGAGAAAAAACTGCTCCTTTTCCCTTATGGGGTACCCAAGAGCCCATATAGAGTCCTTTTGTAGGTTCTCTGTCAGTAGGAGAAAATAACAGAGACCAACCAGAGAATTTTGAGAAGCAAACCAGCTAGTAAGCCTGATCTTTATTAAAGCTGTTGCAACAGGATGCTTCCCCCCACAGGAGGGGGGGAGGGAACCCTAGCAATACACCCAAGCCATTATATAGACATTTTAAATTGCTCATCCCGGAGTCCAAGACCACCCCTGGAAACATACATACATCACAAAAGGGGTGTAGCCCAAGACCACCCCCTTAATACACCAGAGAAGGGGTGGAAATCTGGGTGTGTTGTTTCTTCCTGTCTGCCAGGTTACCCGACTGGATTACCTGGGCATCCAGGCCACTCTTTCGTTATGCTAACTACTGAATTCCTGAATACAGGTTACAGGCTTGCATCCTATTCATATTTTAAATGTGCACTTAGTTGAAGGATATCTTCAGATATCTGAAGAAGTGTGCATGCACACGAAAGCTTATATCTAGAACAAACTTAGTTGGTCTCTAAGGTGCTACTGGACAATCCCGCCCCCTCGACTGCGTCAGACCAACACAGCTACCTACCTGAACCTGTTGCAACAGTTTAATAAAGATCAGGCTTACTAGATGCTTTGCTTCTCAATACTCTCTGATTGGCCTGTTATTTTCTCCTACAGATAGGGAACCCACTTAAGGACTCTATATGGGCGCTTGGAGCAGTTTTTTCCTATAACACCAGCATTCAGCTTCATGTCCATGACTTCTAGTGTTATGAGATTGAGAAATATTCTCTGCCCACTTTTTTTACCTCCATGCACAATTTTATGTATTTCAGTAACGTCTCCTCTTACTCGCTTTTTCTCTTGACTAAGAAGTCCCAAACGCTGCAACCTTTCCTCATAGGGGAGCTGCTCCATCCCCTATAAAAGGGGGTTTTTTATTTATAAAAGGGTTTACCCCAACCTTTAAGTAATAGACACTTAAATCAGTGTTTGTCAATTGAGAGTAAAAGACACTCATTCAGCTTTATGTTTTCCTTTCATAATTCCTTTCCACCTAATTTGGATTAAGGCAAATTTCAAATATATACCTATTTAAATAAAAAATAGTTATCTCCTACACTACATAGGCTAAATACTATAAACTCATCAGATATATGTTGGAGATACCACACCTCCCAAGTTGAGCTTATGCCCACTTTTGGGGTCTGTTCTAAAATAAGCCACTTTTGGAACATTATTTTGGTTATTTAACAGATTAACATCTAACTACAGATGAAAAAATAAATCTTATACATTACTGAAAAGTTGAAATGAAAATGAAATAAAAACCAGAGGATTTGCAAACAGTATTAAACTTACTAACTGAAGTTATGTGTATTGCCTCATACCTGAAAACTCTGGCACCACCACAAAAAGGACTGCACAAACTTATTTCACAAAAAGCTATTATAAATCTCAAATTGACTGGAAAAGTGGTACTGTTTATTAACTTCTGGAATTAGTATTTTCAAGATAACATTCAACTTTTGTGCATCTCTGCAAACAGCTGTAAATATTTATTCTTTATCTTCTGGAAATTATATGTAAACTAATACATAGTATTTTTATGTTGCGCTAATGTAAAGTAATTAAAAATAATCTCTTCTTTTAATTTACCCAATTATTGTTATGATATTAAATTCATTTGCTTCCTTCCTGAGCTCCTGTTGATGAGATTTTGTGAAATTTCTTCACAAAAAATACATTTGTCAGCCTTAGGGCTGTGTTCCCTTCTGGGAAATTTTCAAGGGGCTGCATGCCAGTTGATGGGCAGGGCAAAAGCAAAAATGGAGGGGAGCAATGAATACACATTTTACCCAAGGGGGGGGGGAGGCATAGCACAGTTAAAGGTAGAAAATATTCAAGGAGCGTATTAAGCAGTGCCAGGGGGTCTGGAAGATAGGTTTTGAAGGCCACATTTAGCACCCAGACTGAAGGTTCTCTTATCCTGACTCAGGGAGAGGGATGAAAAGATCCACTTGATCAACTGGCATAGCTCAGGGTTGTATGACCACAGAAACAGTCTTGTGGAAATATATCTCTTTTGCATCTCAAGTGTAGGAGCTCCCTCTTCTTGGTCTAGCTGCACAGCCTGATGATTCCAAGTCATCTCACAAGCAAGGAGATTTAGATATAAAAAATTTCAGATGTTCCACTACAAAATAGCTTTTATTAATGAGCCCTGTGAGCACCTGCCTTGGAGTGGGTTCCAATGGTCCACTAGCCTGATTCATTTAATTTTAGCTTTGCCCAGGTCCTCAGGCAGGATGCGACCCTTTTTGCGAGCCTTGGCTTTCTTCTTCTCCACCTTGGCCATCTTTTTCTTCTGGAGGTTCTTGCGGCGCTTGTCTTGCCGCTGCTGCATTTTGTTCACTACGTTTTCAGTCCGCTTCTCCCACTGCCTCTGGCGCTGGGCCTTGCGCTTCTCCTTCCGCTTCAGGGCCGCCTTCAGCCGGTCCTCGTCATCGCGGATTTTGACCCCTTCTGCCTTGTACAGGACATTTGTCCACTTCATCTTCACCTCCAGCTCCTTGGCTTTCGCCTCATCCTTGTCTTTCAGATCTTCCAGCTTACTCTTCCGAGATTCCAATCTGCTCAGGAGTTGCTTGTAATTCTTCCCTGTCAGTGGAGTAATGTTGCCTTTCAGCGCCTTCCTCTTTTCCGCCTTGCTAAGCCCTTCCTCATGGACTTCAACCTTATTGAAGACGATCTCGACCTTGGTGTCATTCTTTGGGGCCTGGGGCTCTGAAATGGCTGCTGAAGCCTCCTCTGCCTCCTTCTTCTCCATTTTTTCTTTCATCCTCAACTCTTTTCTACGGCGTTTCTTTCTCTCCTTCTCGTATTTCCTTCGTTGCCTCTTCTCCAACACTGCTGGGGACAACTCTTTGCTGTTTCCCTGTTAAGAACAGCAAGTTGAGAAGAAAGAGAAATCGTTCAAAAGAGCAAAGTGAATTTTTTAAGCTAAAAAGACAGTGCCTAGAAAAAGCACTAACATATATAACATTGTAAATCTGGTCACTGTATTATCTTTACCATTACATTTAAAAGCAGGAAAGCTGGCAAGGATTATTTCCTTCAAGAGAATTTCCGCTGGAAGACTAACAATGTTACTGGATGCCACAATCAGAATATTAGGCGGGGGGGCGGGGGGACGACAAAATACTTTTATGCATGATTTAGAAATCACTATTGACCCCCCAAATGGAAACTGCTTCAATCTGTCCAACTTATTCCTACAGAACAAACATAAAATCCATCTTAATAGCAGGAGGATGCACAGACTCAAGACCCTGATACCTTGTGGACTTAATCTGGAAAACAAAATTTAGGCTACAATTCTGAACCCACTTACCCAAGAGTAGGCCCCACTGAACTCAGTGGGACATACTCTGAAGACAGTATTATAGAACCGCTTTGCTAATTTCTATGTAGCTAATAATAGTAATAATAATAATAATAATAATAATAGTAATTTTTAAAGGGATAATTTGTATATATCACATCTCTTATTTTTTTTCCATCGTGAGTACTCTTAGAATTGTCACTATTTATAGTGCTGGGATCTATCTCAGTTTCAACACACACACACACACACACAGAGTATCTATATACAGTGGTACCTCTGGATGTGAACAGGATCTGTTCTGGAGCCCTGTTCACATCGTGAAGTGAACGCAACCCCCGTCTGCGTGTGCACCGTTTCTGCGCATGATGTCATTTTGAATGTCTGTGCATGCGGTGAAACCCGGAAGTAACGCATTGTGTTACTTCCGGGTCATCACAGAGCGCAACCCGAAAATGCTCAACCCGAAGCTACTTCAACCTGAGGTATGACTGTATTACACATGTTTACAGAAAAAACCTAAATACTGCAAAAGTTATTGGAACTGTGGGATAACTAGCCTCATATAATCAATGTGCTTAGCTCACTTTGGGAGAGACTGGATAATCAAGGCTTTGTTCTCTCCCAGTTTACCTGAGCAGTTCAGGTGTAAGAGGATGTGGTGGTTGCTCAGCTTTCACAAGTCACTCTTCAGTTCCTATACCAATGATTTAGGAACTTGCACCATTGTAATTAAGCCACATTTTACTGCCTGTGCAGCTTTTTCTGAATGCTGTATGGAAAAGCACATGAATCTGACATTTGGAGAGCTTGTAAATAAACTTTTTAATTTGCCAAATGTGTTCTTTTTCTAAGCTACTGAAAGAGGGAAACTTTGGAACTCATTTTAAGTGGCATATTTTAAAAGTCTAAAAACCCTTATTTCCATACTTTACTTTGTTGTGTATTTTTCTATTTCAAATCTCTGCTGGTGTTCTCTTGCCAAAGAGCACTTGCCCCAAACTTGGATCATGGTATCTAGGAATTCTCATTTTTATATACCCTTTTTCTCTCTCCTTGAACCAACAGAAAGGTTCTTCATTTGCTTACTTAGGCTCATGCTTATCCTTAGGATCACTGCCTATCTTTGTCATGGGGAGGGGTAAGATGCATAGGACACTGGAAGCTTAGAATGCATTGCTATAAGCTTATATTTTCAGCCATGTGATCTACAAACTTGCTTTTTAGAGTGAAAACAGTAAAGCTAAGATTATTAAAAAGCTGATTTTTTTCACCCAAATATTTCTCACCCATGCTATGTCTGAACAGAATCACAAAGTACAAACAGGCCTGACTGAAGAGTGTGTTACATTTATACACTCAACTGTAGCCCTTCAGATGTTTCTAACCATCCCTGACCACTGGCAATGGTGGCTAGGGCTGATGGAAGCTGGCTGTTCAACATCTGGAGAGCCATAGGTCCCCCACCCCTATTATACATCAACCACCCCCCATCACATCCTCCAAAATCTGGCCTCCAAAGATGGGTGAACTGTTTTAGTTCAAATCAAGGTAGAGCAGAAGCCAGTATGATATCAACTCGAACCAGAATACTAGAGGCATAGGAATATTTCCACCACACATCTAACAGTGCAATTCTGTGGGTGTTTAATCAGGAGCAAGTTCCACTGCCCTAAACAAGGCTTGCTCCCAAATTAAGCTGGCTTATGCCTACAGCCTAAAATTGGCTTTGGATTCTCCAGGCTTTCTCCACATCTTGACAACATTTTAAAGGAGGGTGCTGATCTTACCTGGCCAGAGATTTCTTGGATCTTCTCATGCAGTCTCTGCCGCAAGAGATTCATGGCTGAAAATGAGCTGGCTGTGCTCTTGTCACCACCTGTAAGGGAAAACAGGAGAAAGAATGTGACCTGTGTCCCAACCCAAATTTCTGCTAAACTCAACTCAGCTAAACTCAGTGGCCTGGTTCACACATAATGCTAAAATATGGGTTACTAAACCATTGCTTAGAGTTATGTGAGAACCCAGCCCAGTAGCTTAACTGACCGGCTGTAGAAAAACTCTCACCTGCAACATCGTTTTGGCTTCTGTCCCCTTTCCCCCCAGTAGTCTGAGATCCACTGGAACTGGGTGCAGCATGGATAACTGGGCCAGATTTCTTAATACTGGCATTTGTTGGCTTGGCTGGTGATGCTTGGCTGCCCCCAGGTGCTGTCTGCTTGCCCAGAGAGGTGCCCACTATCTTGCCTTGCTTCTTTTGTTTCTTCTTCCTCTTCTTCTTTGGCTGGGTGCTATCGTCTCCCAGTCCAGTTCCTGGGAATGTTTGAAGGCAGAGACACAAGACTTCATTAAACAACCAGCAATCTGGTTGATAAGATGCTGTGCAAACATTTCTGCAAGGAATATAGTCATACCTCGGGTTTCAGCCGCTTCAGGTTGTGTTTTTTCAGGTTACGCACCGCCGAAATCCGGAAGAAGCGGAATGGGTTACTTCCGGGTTTTGGTGGTCGCGCATGCGCAGAAGCGCCAAATCGCAACACATGTGTGCGCAGACGCGCCACTGCAGGTTGTGAATGTGCATCCCGCACAGATCACATTCGCAACCCGAGCACTGTAAATGCCTAAGAACATACATATTAGAAGCCCCTCCAGATGTTACTGGACTCCAACTCCCATCAACCTTAGCCAGTATCAGGAACGATGGGAGTTGTAGTCCAGCAACTTCTGGAGGTCTGCAGGAAGCACCAAGACAAGACAACTGAATTTTTCCAAGCTGCATTTTCAAAACACACTACTGTCATTCCATTGTGGCATCAGGACCCTTTCCTGAGCAGATTATAATCTAAAATGAGCTGTGGTTAAAATAAGGGAAAACATTAAGTACCACCACTTTGAGGTCTCATCACAAGCAGTATATAAGTCCTGTGAAATAAAGAAATGAAAATAATTACAATAACTAAGGAGGCTGCACTACTACAAAAAACCCTGATCTAAATAAGTAAATGACAGAATCAGATAATTGTACCGAATTTCCTTTTTCGTAGCTCGGGGGCTTCCTGGGTGCAAATTTTCTTGGCCAATTTCTGCAGGTAAGAGTCTTTGTTGACTAAACTGGCCATTGTGGGATCAAAGTCTCGTGAAGGTAAAAGAGAAAAGTAAATGAACCAAAAATTAAAAATCTTAGGATGGTCTCGCAGGGGGAATGTTGCCTCTAAGTCAAAGATGTCTTGTTCATTCCGATCATCCTCCCTTCAAAACTTCTACCCAGAATGCTGTGTGAGGCTACTTCTGCTACGTCGACCAAAAGTGGACAAAACTCATGGGGCCACGTTTGCATACTTGCTTTTCATCCTGCTTAATGAGAGAGAGAAATTATTCAGTGACATGAGTAAACTGAAGGAGATTCATAGCTTGATATTTACAAGTCAAGAAAATAAAAATCCACAGAAAGTCATCTCAACACATGTACGGGGATAGGGGTGGGGAAGTGGACATCTGTTGGCTTGTAAAGCTATTGTATACACAGGTAGATTGTACACTCCTTAATATCACATGTGAATGGTTGTTCAAGAGCAGACCTAACTAATTTGTACACATGGGTACCCCAAATTGTACATCTGTTTAAGAGAACAGGTGAACAGCCCCCATGTGTCAAATCAGCCAGCTAAATTTTACTTTCCAGAAAACACGTGTGCAGGGTTACTCATTAAAGAGAGCTACTTCTACGCACGCACAAGCGTTTGCGTGTAGAGTGTGCTGATCAACTACTGTGTACACAGTTTCCCAAACTGAAAATATGAATAGCTGTAGGAGCGTGCAGCTGAACAACTTATGTACAGAGGTTGTACGCTCGTCTAACGCCACGTGCGAACCAACACATGCTGGCCGCTCACGGGAAGGAGAGATCATTTCATGTGTAGGCGTAAGGCAAACCGACTCTATTCGAGATCTCCCATCCTGTGTAGGACTGGCCAGTGAGCAGTTGGCGGAGATCCACCCCCTTAAGGCTTTTTAGGGGTTGGCACGCGTTCCCCTAAACCGGGATCGCAGGGCGTGCAAAGAAGGCGCTGCAACCCGTGTGGTTCACCTCAACGCGTGCGCTTCTCTTGCAGGAATCGCAAAAGCGCATTACGCGTGGCTCGTGAGCTGGTCACTTACCTGGGCTGGAGAGGAAGGCGGAACTAGCTCACGGCCCTTTGTGACCGGCTCGGCGCTCTATTGATAGACCCTGTGAGGAAGAGGCGAAGGATTATGGGATGTTGGAGGAGCTTCGGAAGGAGGAGGAAAAAACGTTTTCCCCGCCCCATGGGTTGGACGTAGCCAGTGAAGGAGGAACCGTTCGCGAGAGAAAAAGGAAAAATGGCCGCCTGTCTACAAGAGGATTACATGTATTGAGTAAGATACTAAGATACTAACATTTATTTGTTAGATAATCGATCTATTTATTTAGACTTCTTTTGTGACTACAGAGCAGGAGAGCGATGCACCGGACTTCTCTCACTTTTCAAATGCATGCTTGTGCTTTCAGTGACAGGTGTGTTTACTACTCCGGCGGGAGAAAGGCTGAAACTTTTCTGAATTGGCGCGCGGAGTAATGCACCACGAATGCGGGTGGAAGGCTTCTTAAACAGGGGGTGGTCCACCCCTTAGTCTCGTTTGTTGAGCGCTGGGCGAGTTCAGATCAGCCTTTCTCAGTCTTGCTGGCTTCTAAGGTTTTGGGATTTATGATTCCCATCATAGCAAGTCAGAAAGCTGGTCCATCTAGCTTAGTGTGACCCACACCGACTGGCAGTGGCTCTCCAGGGTTCCACTCTCCCACTCTCCACGAAATGATGAGGACCTTCTTCAGAAATAAGATTCCAGATCTAAAAGGAATGGTTTGAGTAAGATGCTGTCATGTACTGAGTCGGACCATTACTCCATCTAGCTCAGTGTTCCCAGGTTGGGTGAGCTATAGTCCTTTCTTCGAAAAAATAATACAGCAGTCCAGTATTTGTGGCTCTAAATAAATAGGAAGCTACCTTATGCTAAGGTAGTTGGGACTGATGTGAGTTGTAGACTTAAACTTCTGGAGGGCACCAAGTTGGTTAAGGCTAATGAAGCAAAATAGGCTGGAATGTGACCAGTGGATATGTATTTTGTAATGCGTGCATTTTGAGGTGGGTCATGGAGATGTGCAGTTGATGGAGAAACTGTTGGGATCTGTTGCAAATTGAGTTGTTTTTTTTTTTTTTTTTGCAGAAGTAATGACATCCTTCTGGGCCATCTAGAGCAGGGGGCACTGTTATACAGTGGTCCCGCTCCTTCCTCCTGGGCTGTGTCCAGAAAATGGTGTTGGGGGATGAATGTTCAGACCCCTGGGCTCTCACTTGTGGTGTACCTCAGGGCTCTGTCCTCTCTCCCAAGCTTTTCTACATCTATATGAAATAGCTAGGAGAGATCATCAGGAGGTTTTGGCTGGGTGTTCGCCAGTATGCAGATGATACCCACCTCTACCTCTCCTTTAAATCGGAACCAGTGAAGGCAGTGAGGGTCCTGTGTGAGTGTCTGGAGGGTGGATGGAGGTTAATGGATTGCGGTTGAATCCCGGCAAGACAGAAGTACTGTTCTTGGGGGGGCAGGGGACACGTGGGTGTAGGGGACCCCCTCCCTTGAATGGGGTAACTGTGCCCCTGAAGGACCAGGTGCGCAGCCTGGGAGTCATTTTGGACTCACAGCTGTCTATGGAGGCACAGGTCAGTTCTGTGTCCAGGACAGCTGTCTACCAGCTCCATCTGGTATGCCGGTGGAGACCCTACCTGTTTGCAGATTGTCTCACTAGAGTGGTCCATGCTCTGGTTATCTCCTGCATGGACTACTGCAATGCGCTCTACAAGGGACTACCTTTGAAGATGACTCGAAAACTATAACTAATCCAGAATGTGGCTGCTAGACAGGTGACTAGGAGCAGCCGCCAGGACCATATAACACTGGTCTTAAAGAATCTACATTGGCTCCCAGTACATTTCAAAGCACAATTTAAAGCGTTGATATGGACCTTTAAAGCCCTAAACAGCTTTGGCCCTGTATACCTGAAGGAGTGTCTGCACTACCATCTTTCAGCCCGGACACTGAGATCAAGCACTGAGGGCCTTTGGGTGGTTCCCTCACTGTGAGAAGTGAAGTTACAGGGAACCAGGCAGAGAGCCTTCTCAACAGTGGTGCCCACCTTGTGGAGTGCCCTCCCTTCAGATGTCAAGGAAATAAACAGCTATCTAACTTTTAGAAGACATCTAAAGGCAGTCCTGTTTAGGGAAGTTTTTACTATTTGATACTTTATCATTTTACTATTCTGTTGGGAGGCTCCTAGAGTGGCTGGGGCAACCCAGTCAGACGGGCGGCATCCAAATAAAAAATATATTATTATTATGTCAACCATAGTTTATTTATTACTCTGTGAAGGAGGGCTGTTTCCCAAACTGTTTTGTACCAATTGTCTACTGTGCTAGAAAGCTCTTTCCAGTGTCTGGTTATGTTGCAACTCACTACTTGTAATGAATGGCTTATTCATTCAAGACTGTTGTCTTGAAATATATGTAATAAAGCTTTGACTTTCAATTGTTGTTTAGTTGTAACTCTTTCTGACCTTTCTTGGTGAGCAGCTAAGATTCTCTCCTTGGCACCACAATGCCGCAGCAGCGCGCGCTCCCTCAGAGCAAGGAAACCCTCCTTCAGTCTTACAACAAGAGGCTGAAAGATGACATCAAGTCTATCATGGATAACTTCACAGAAATAGTCAAAACTGCAAAGGTACGAGAAGATTACTTGTGGGTGGGGGGCGGGACCTCATGACATGGGTATTCTTTCTTCCATCCAAACTCAAAGTTTTTGCTCACCTAATTGGAACATAAAAATATTACCTCATCATTGCTTTAAGTCAAAGCTGGGGGAAATTCTCACGTTCGATTTAAAGCCCCATGATATGACTTTAAACAGTCATAACTTCCCCCAAATAATTCTGGGAGCTGTAGATTGTTAAGGGTGTCAAAAGTTGTTAGGAGATATTTAGTCCCCTCCCAGACCTTACACTTCCCAGAGCTCCCTGTAAAGAGGGGTTGATTGTTGAACCACTCTGAGAATTGTTGCACAGTAAGGTGAATAGGGGGTCTCCTAAAAGCTGTCAGTGCCCTTAAGAAACTACAGTTCCCAAAATCCTTTGGGGGAAGCCATGACTGTGTAAAGTAGTTTAATACTGCTTCAAATTTATAGAATAGAAGGGAGGCCTAAATGAATAAATGTTCCTATAAGAAGGATTGAATGAGAAGCCTCCATTTTACTAGTTGGGGGTGTTGCTTCTTCTATGGTGGAGTTGGGGAACCAGTGGCTCCTCCTGATGATTTTGGACTCCATCTCCCATCAGCCCCAGTCAGCATGGTCAGCAGTCAGGGATGATGGGAGTTGTAGTCCAGCAGCATCTGTTCCCCATGCCTGCTTTTGCTCAAGTGTTCGGAACCTCTGGCAGAGGGAATGAAATAAAATCTCATGGAGGATAGTGAGAGGGCTGTTTTTCTCTGCAGAACAGTGAAAGAAAGATGTTGAACCCAGTGTAAAAGCTTTATTTCTAACATTTGCTGTAGATTGAGGAAGAAACCCAAGTTTCTCGGGCAACCCAAGGCGAGCAGGACAACTACGAGATGCAAGTCAGAGCTGCAAATATTGTGAGTAAAAAACATCCAATAGGAGCATTTGTTGGGTGGGTTCTAGGGTGCGTTCAGATACCTGAGAGGCTGCCTTCTTCCCTACAGACCCTCTCAGGTATTGAGATCAGCAGAGGGGCTTTTTTGATTGTTCTGCCACCCTCAGAAGTTCTGGGTGCTGATAGCTTAGGACAGCTCATTCCCTGGGGCAGCTCTTCGATTGTGGAATTCCCTCCTCACAGAAGTGTGTCTTCTTGTTTTTGTTGAGATGTGTGTGTTTTAGGATCCACCCAATTCCTTTGAATGTGATTTGTTTTTAACTGTTCAGTATAAAAAAAATGTTTTAATATGCCTTGGAACCTGCTGGTGAAGGGTGAGCAATAAATTGTTGTTGTTGTTGTTGTTATACGTTCAGCGTAATTTGGGGCTGTATGTCAAGATTGGATTACTGAAATGTGCTGCATATGGGCTTCCCTTGTGCTCATTCCAGAAGCTGCAGTTAGTGCAGAATGTTGCAGCATATAACACCCAAGCTAAGAGACCTGCAAGGGTTGCTCATTTGCTACTGGGCCATGTTCATGGTGTTATTATTAGTATATATAGCCTTCAACAGCTTGGGACCAGTTTACCTGCAAGATAGTCTTACCAAATACATGCCCAGTGGTCTGTTTTGATCTTTTGAGCAGGCACTGTTACAAATGCCCCGTAATACTTGTTCTGGACTTGTAAGAAATTAATATTTTAGGGTGGCAGCACTGATGCTTTGGAACTCCCTGTCCATTGACATCAGGCAGGTGCCCTCACTGTACTCCAAGGTATCTGCCAAAAACATTTTTGTTTAGGTAAGCCTGTCCAGACATGTAGAAGACAGACACATCTTAATTTGGTTTTCAGCTTGTCATTGACTTTAATTATTCATTGAATGTTTTAAATCAGGGGTCAGCAACCTTTTTCAGCCATGGGCCAGTCCACTGTCCCTCAGATCGTGTGGTGGGCTGGACTATATTTTTTTGGGGGAAATGAACGAATTCCTATGCCCCACAAATAACCCAGAGATGGATTTTAAATAAAAGCACACATTCTACTCATGTAAAAACACGCTGATTCCCAGACCGTCCGCTGGCCGTATTTAGAAGTCGATTGGGCCGCATCCAGCCCACAGGTCTTAGGTTGCCTACCCCTGTTTTAAATAGTAGTGTGGTATTTTTCTTTTTTCTTATGATTTCATTGTTTTATTCTTTTTGTAAACTGCTTTGACACTTTTTCTTTTTACGATCTAGTGGTGAATAAATAGTATAAAATAAATAATTTAAATTTATTTCTCTGCTAGGTTCGGGCTGGTGAGTCTCTTATGAAGCTTGTCTCTGACCTAAAACAGTTCCTGATCCTCAATGACTTCCCTTCTGTCAACGAAGCCATCAACCAGCGGAACCAGCAGTTGCGCAGCCTTCAGGAGGAATGCGACAAGAAGCTTATTGCCCTGCGTGATGAGATCTCGATAGACCTCTATGAGCTGGAGGAAGAATATTACTCTTCCAGGTACAAATGAAGCCATGGACGGTTGCCCTATAGTAACCACAACAATTTCCTGTTTCTGACATGGGGTGGGGGTAGGGTGGGGCGGGGTGTGTGTGAAAATAACAACTGTCCTTGTTTTAAAAAGCATCCCTAAATTCCCAGCACCCAAAGAATCCAGGCCCCAAAGCCATTTTATTGAGTACTTCATGTTTGACGTGAGATGTGGCCATTTTGGAGGGCAAGCACACCGTGTAACTAGGCCTTCCTCCACAGAGATGTGGAGGTGAGCTTCTCTCCTGCCCCCTCATCAGCATTGTGATCTTGTCACCTAAATGACTTGCAAACAGGAACAGGTATTGGATCTTGAACTGCCCAGCGTACCCTAATCACTAGTCAGTGTAAACTGCAATCCTAACCATGTCTACTCAGAAGTAAGTCCTCTTGAATTCAGTGGGGTTTGTTCCTATCTAAGTGGGATTAAACTGTTTTGAAGCTTTTTTTACAATCAAGTGGTGTATAAATTTTATGAAATTAAAAATAAATGAAGATGGCAGCTTTAGGCCACATTCATACAATACATTTAAAGCCCTATGATGCCATGCTAAACATTTATGGATTCCGCCAAATAATTAGGGGAGCTGTAGTTTTCGAATGGTGCAGAGATTACAGGGTTACAATTAATTCCCAGAGTTCCCTGTGAAGAGGGACTGATTGTTAAGCCACTCTGGGAATTGTAGGTCTGTGAAGCGAACAAGGGCCTCCGAATACTACTTAGCACTCTTAACTACAGCTCCCAAAATTCTTCAGGAGAAGCCATGATTGTTTAAAGTGGTATCGAATGCATGGCACGAGCATGGGGTAGTCAAACAACAACATCCGAAGGGCTGCAGTTGAGAAGATATGGAACTTTTGGGTTTAGGATGCAATCATACGCACCCTTAGCTGAAAGGGACCACAATTGAATAGAGTGGGGCTTGCTTCTGAGTAAAGATACGTAGGATTGGACATAATAAGCATTTTTTCTTCTGTCTGTGATGACTGGACCATGCGTTTCCAGTTCCAGAATGTTAAGATGCATCAAAACAAAGCAATATTTTAAGGATTCTTTTGTTATGCCATTATATTATCATTATATTATTATTATTATTATATTATTATTATTATTATACACACACATATATCCCATTAAAAATATTTGCTGCAAGCTTTATTGTAAATAAAACAGCAGTGTGTGTGGGGAAATATAATTGTCATTTCAGCTGATAACTACATTATTTTTTTAAGCGAACCCACAGCTTGTTTTTGAAAACCTCCTTCCCCCTGCTTGTCTTATGCAAAGCTTGTTCCTCTCCTTCCAAAACTCTTCCACTTTATTTTCTTTTGCACCTCTTGTTTGCTTCAGAGCAGGATTTCCACAAGCAAGAAGGACCAAGATAAATGGTTACACACTTGCAGCATCTTTAAAAAAAAAAAAAATATGGGGGGAGTATAGTTCAGTGGCGGAGCATCTTCTTTGCATGCAGAAGGCCTCAGGTTCAGTCCCCAACATCTCTAGGCAGGGCTATCAGAGACTCCCTATCTAAAATGCTGTACACAATACTGGGATCAATGAACTCGGGATGAGGTAGCTTCCTATGTTGCCGTTCAGTATCATGAGGACAGAAGTGTTGCTTTATTTTTAGGTGAAGAACAATAGCTCAGTGGCAGAGCACATCTTTTGTATGAGGATGGTTCTGGGTTCAATCCCTGGTATTTCCAGTCAGGGCTGGGAAAGACTCCCTTTCCAAAACCTTGGAGGGGATGCGGTATAACCTGAATACTAGCTGTTGTTAACAGTAAGGAGAGTGCTATTGCACTTGCTTTCTGCTTTTGGGCTTCCCATAACTAGCATCTGATTGGCCACTGGATGCTGGACTAAATGAGCCTTTGGCCTGATCTTGGAGGGCTCTTACGTTCTTAACCTTAGTTGTTGCTTCTTTTTTTCCCTTTTTTTGCTATTTTCTTAACACTGTTGCCTCTGTCTTGCTTTTCTCCTTTTCTCTCCCTCCTGTATCTCTCTCTCTCTCTCTCTCTCTCTCTCCCCCTCTTGTGGCTTTCCACTGTCCTTTTCTCCTTAACGGGCATCTCATTCGGGGAAAGCTACAGTCTGTGTGACACCAACGACCTCCCGCTGTGTGAAGCTTATTGGAGACAGGAGCTGACCATGTCCTCCCCAGAAGGCCTAGCCATGCCTCTGGCGGCTGCCATGATGGAGGAGAACATTCCGGCCCCTCAGGGGTCCACTCCTTCTCACCCTCACATCAACGGGCATGGAGCAGGCCCGACGGAGCACGCCTGAAAAGGGAACCTGCGATTCTCCCCAGCTTTGTTGCGTTTTGACAGTTGAACGTTCTGGTGGTTGTATCAAGACAACATTTTCCTGCCCTCCCCAGGCCTTCTTCTCTGGCAGCAGGCCTCAGCTGTATTTGCAAATCAGGAGAAGATTTGTCAGTTTAAGGATGTGTGTCGGGTGGCTGTTTAAAGGCAGAAGAGAAGTGCCAGTTGAAAAAGAGACCTTAGTTGTATATTCAACATTAGTCTTCTGATGCCAGTTCACTTGAACACTTGATTGTAACATGTTTGTGGCGTTTTTAAAAGTAGGATTTTGTGGGGGGTGTTTAATTAAAAAAAAATGTATATTTCTCTAATTGTTAACAAATTGTTTGAATAAAGTCAATTTTTATACAAAGGTTTGGAAAGAGATTAAGAAAGTTTTGGAGCTGGGGGGGGGGGGAAAGAATGAAGCTTTCCCTAATGGGTAGAATTTCAGCCATCAAAATGAATGTATTACCTAAAATGTTTTTATTCCAGTCTGTCCTGATCGTCAACAGTTTGTGCTGCTTCAGAGATATTTCTAGATATATCTGGCGGGGGAAGAAACCAAGAATTAAGTATAAAACTCTGATAGATAATAAATAAAGAGGAGGCTTTACCCACCTTTGCCCTTTACAGTTATACTATGAGGCAGCATGTCTTTGCTGGCTAAAGGAATGGATTGGTTTGAAAAAACGCTTATCCATTAGATCTGAAAGGTCAAGATCTTAAATTTGGCTGGTATGCATGTCTATGGTATGGGAAAGCTAAGATACATAAGAGTTTCTCAAATCAGGGAGTCTGGGAGAAATATAAGAACTTGTTGGAAAGGAAAACTCCATTGTGTTTATTGCCAATAGAAGCCATTGCGATGAAAATAATAAATATGGTCAGACAGTGGGTGACATACAGAGAATTCCTGGACTTTTCGGAGAAGGAACTCAGACTGAAGACAGTGAAAGAAATAAAAAAACAAGTAGCAGATTGGTTACAATATCACTGGGGAACAATTTTTTTTTCATTTTCTGTTGCATGAGCTTTTTCAACTGTTCTTATATGTTCTTTCAATGCTGATTTCAAATCTGAAATTGATTTTTGTGTACACGCTATCATTAACTTGCAATTTCTGACTTTTGCTGATATATCATATTTACACTTGGGATAAGTGGACACTGACACGTTGATCTACCCTAACCACATGGTAATTATTGTTTCGCAAACTTGATTTTTTTAAATATAGTTTTGTAACCTAAATATTTGTATTTTTCAGATCGGACCATGGCTTCTTCAAATAGACAAAAATGTGTAAACAAGCCTGATGCCTTTTGTTATATACCATATTTTTCGCTCCATAGGGCGCACCGGACCATAGGGCGCACCTAGTTTTTTTGGGGGGGGAAATCAAGAAAAAAAATCTTATTTCACCCCCCAGCCCCAAAGAGCAGCATACAGGCTGCGCAACATCTCCCTTCCGGAGGGGTTGCGCGGGGCTATGGCACAAGCCAAGGCAGTGAGTGGGATGGATCCCGCTCGCTGTTTTGACTTCCTCTTTAGCCCCACACAACCTCTCCCTGCCGGGAGAGGCTGCGCAGGGCTAAAGAAGCCATAGCCCCGTGCAGCCTCCCTTTCGGAGGGGTTGCGCGTAGCTATGGTACAAGCCAAGGCAGTGAGCGGGATGGCTCCCGCTCGCTGTTTTGACTTCCTCTTTAGCCCCACACAACCTCTCCCTGCAGGGAGAGGCTGCGCAGGGCTAAGCAGCCATAGCCCTGTGCATCCTCTCCTTGCCGGAGGGGTTGCGCGTAGCTATGGTGCAAGCCAAGGTAGTGAGCGGGATGGATCCCGCTCGCTGTTTTGACTTCCTCTTTAGCCCCACGCAACCTCTCCCTGCCGGGAGAGGCTGCGCGGGGCTAAAGAAGCCATAGCCCCGTGCAGCCTCTCCCTGCCGGAGGGGCTGGGTGCAGCTATCCCTGAAGCCTGGAGAGTGAGAGGGGTCGGTGTGCACCGACGCCTCTCGCTCTCCAGGCTTCAGTGAAAGCAACGCGACGCCTCCGGAGCACAGAGGGAGTGCTCCCTATGTGCTTCGGAGGCTTAGCGTTGCTATCGCTGAAGCCAAGGAGCCTGCATTCGCACCATAGGACGCACACACATTTCCCCTCAATTTTTTGAGGGGGAAAAGTGCGTCCTATAGAGTGAAAAATACGGTATGTGACTGCTATGCACTTCCTTGTCAAAGATGCAATATAACAGCGTTTGTGAGGCATGCCTATAAAACCTATTTTGAAATTCCCCTGGGTGACCAAGACAAGAAATGGGCTCCGCATATTGTTTGTCACAATTGTGAGGAAATGCTTAGAGACTGGACAAAAGGAAAACGGAAGAGTATGCCTTTTGGGGTTCCCATGGTTTGGCGAGAACCCAAGGATCACACAAGTGACTGCTATTTTTGTTTCCCAGTGGTATCTACAATTGTTATTCAGGTACTTGGTAAAGCCTTTCTGTTGTCCAAGCAAGAAATTGACCATTTTGAGATCCACACAGATGACCCAGTTGTGCTCCTCACCATGTTCACTTACTTCAAATTCAGAAGAGACAAACCCCTTAAAACCTGGAATTGGAGTTCCTCAGAGTGCGGGATAGGTCTAATTGCTGAAGGAATACTGGGATAGGCGACAGCATGTTGGTTTTTCTTGCCAATACCCTACGTATTGACCAGACAAAAATAGCATAACAAAAGGCATTAGGGTTGTTTACACATTTTTGTCTACTTGAAGAAGCTATGGTCCAATCTGAAAAACACAAATATTTAGGTTACAAAACTATAAAAATTAAGAAAAATTAAGTTTGCAAAACAATAATTACCATGTGGTTATGGTAGATCAACGTGTCAGTCTCCACTTATCCCCAGTGTAAATATGACATTTCGGCAAAAGTCGGAATTTGAAAGATAACTATAGCATGTACATGAAAATCAATTTCAGATTTGAAATCAGCATTGAAAAAACATATAAGAACAGTTGAAAAATATGCAAAAGAAAAATAAATAAAAACAAAAATTGTTCCCAATGGAATACATTTTTTTTGCATACCTCCAGCTGTACATAGATACACATAATTTTAAATGCTATACATGTCATGTTCAATGTTATATAAGTCACATTTATACTCATATTGTACTACTTTGGCTATGTGTTTAATAAAATATTGAATCCTTGCATTGTGAAAAACAAAGATTATGGTGAAAAGTGAAAAACATGAATTGCAAAAAAACCTAGAGCTTACAGAACAAAACCAACTTCAGATATGAAATCAGCACGTCAAAATTAGGTTAGAACAACTGCAGGTGTCAATGCAACAAAAATTTTGTTCCCCAGTGTTATCAATTAAATGAATGGTTCAAGATAGATTTTAAAAATGTTTTTTTGGACCAAAGCTCAGAATTTGAGAGAATCCTATTAGAAAATAAATGAAAAATTATTATCCAAAATGTATAAGTTGTTATTGGAGTGGGAAACAAAAGATGAGCTGGTAAAATAATCAGTGATTCACTGGGCAAGAGATATAGGGCATAATATTGAATTTGACCGCTGGGAGAAACTATGGAAGAAAGATTTGAAATTTACTGCGTGCTACACACTAAAAACCATGTGAAAATGATACATAGATGGTATATAACTCCAAGCAGGTTAGCTAAGATGTATAAATCTAAATCTGATATGTATTGGAAATGCAGAGAAGTGGGAGGAACATTTCTACATATGTGGTGGGCATGCAGATTAGTTAAGGGATATTGGGAAATTATATACAGTCGTACCTGTTTTGCTGCCGGGATCTGTTCCGGAGCCCCGGCCGCTAGCCAAAATGGACACAGGGCAAAGCATCACATCTGCGCACACGTGTGGAGCAGTTTGCACTTCTGCGCATGTGCGATTTGGCGCTTCTGCGCATGCGTGAGCGGCAAACCCGGAAGTAACCCGTTCCGGTACTTCCAGGTTTGCTGCGAACATTCGCTGGACTGGACACTAGACAAGGCGCACGTTCGCGGGGGTATTAAGGCATAATGAGATGGAAAAAACATTTTAGTTAGAAAAACAATCACCCCCAAACCAGAAGCGTTTCTTTTGGGAATGGTGCAGACAGAGGTACCCGGGAGCCAGAAAAACGTATTTATGTATGCAATTACAGCAGCTCGGATTTTGTTAGCCCAAAACTAGAAGGTGAGAGAAGTTCCTAAGAAAGAGAAATGGCAGCTCAAAATGATAGAATATGCAGAGTTAGCAGGCCTACAAGAGCAAGAAGGTCAAGTATATAAAGAAGAGTGGAAAAATTTAATGGAATATTTGGAAAATAACTCGAAGCAAGTGAAAACACTAGCGGGATTAAGGTAAATTCAACAGTAGTGAGATATAATTGGGGGGGGGGGCTAAATTAAATGGATTTTTTTTTTAGAGTATGCAGATATTGGAAAATTTAAAGAACCATGGAAGGGGAAGGAGGGAAGTCGATGAATGCAAGATTACAATGGTGGTTATTTATTGTAAACAAAAATCTGCCCTTTTTCCTTATGGGGTATCCAAGAGCCCATATAGAGTCCTTATGTAGGTTCCCTATTGGTAGGAGAAAATAACAGAGGCCAACCAGAGAATATTGAGAAGCAAAGCAGCTAGTAAGCCTGATCTTTATTGATCTGTTGCAACAGGGTCCTCACTCACCACACGTAGGAGGAGGAAGAACCCAGAACAATGGTGCGCAAGGTCTTATATAGACATTTTAAATTCCCTGCCCTGGAACTCAAGACCACCCCTCCATACATCATACATACATCACAGAAGGGTTGTAATCCAAGACCACCCCCCCAAGATACATCATAACTACATCACAGAAAGGGTGGTTTACAGCAAAAATCTGAGTGGTTTGTTTACCAGGTTACCTGTTTAATGTCTGCCAGGTTACCTGTTTAATAGTCACTTGATTGGATTGCCTGGGGAGCCTGGCCAGTCTTTTGTAATGTTAAATACTTAGTTCCTGAGCCAGGCCACAGCCTCACACCCTATTCATATCTTAAATGTGCCCTTAAGACAGGATTTGGGAAGGAAAAGATAATGGGGAGGCTTTTCCATTTTCCTTTGACCTTGCAGAGAAAACATTTGCTCAGTTTGGGAATCAAAATGGTTTCAGGTCGGTCTTCCTGTGCTGATCTATGTACAGTGCTTGGTTGTTACACTTATGAACATTTAACATATATCTAAGACCTCAAAATTCCTATTACATATTTAATGATGAAAATGTATATTTGAAAATTTTCTATAAAAATCATTTTTAAAAATGAATAAAGTCAATTTTGTGTTATTTTGCTGAAAATATGAGTGTGCCTTTCCCATTTTGTAGACAATAAAAATGAAACGGTTGTTGATTGGATGTAACACAGATACTAGAGGTATGTGAAAGAGCAGAGGAGTGATTCAATTTCTGATATACAGACAGGAACCATATTAGGTGTGTGATTCAATTGATGTGTGATCGCCAATGCATGGGCCCTCTTGAACCGGAAGAAGGCACAACGGGCAGGTGCATATATAGAATAAATATTCATAAATGTTCATAAATGCACAAGGTAAACACACATAGATAAGCATATAAACCACATGTCTAAAATAGTACAAGAGAGCAATCCTGAAACCATTTTGACTCTCCGCAAAGGACCTCAAATATTTCTCTGCAGCAGGAGGATGGGAGAAACTTTCCAATTGTCTTTTCACTTGCAAATCCTCCCTGCAAATCCAGTCTGGCAAGTTTCTGCTAAGCTGAGCAGACTATCAATAAGGTGTAAATTTGTAAAAAGGAGATTCAGGAACTAAAATATTTACCATCTCAAAGGAATGGCTAGGCTACCCAGAAAATGCAATCAGTAAGGCGTTATCAGGTATTCTGGCAGACAGGAGAGAAGCAATGCACTCAAATTTCTGCTGGAGACCACCTGCAATGTATGTATAATGTTTCTGGGGTGGTCTTGGGCTACAGGGTGGGCAGTTTTCAAAGTCTTTATAGGGGCTTGCGCACCATTGTTCTGGGTCTCTCTTGCCTCCTTGCAAGGAGGGGAGGGAACTCTGTTGCAACAGAAAAATAAAGATCTGCCTTGCTTTCAGTGCATCCTACCGCCATTCCTTTCCAACCAGTCATGGACTTAGTGGACTCAGTCCCTTGGGGAGTTGGGCAGCAAAAGCCAACCTCCTTATTTTCTTTAACGTTTACCATATTTTTCGCCCTATAGGACACACTTTTTCCCCTCCAAAAATGAAGGGGAAATGTGTGTGCGTCCTATGGGGTGAATGCAGGCTTTTCCTGAAGCCTGGAGAGCAAGAGGGGTCGGTGCGCACCGACTCCTCTCGCTCTCCAGGCTTCAGGAAGCTCTGCGCAACCCTAAGGAGACCTCAGGAGTTCCCGTTGGGCTCCCAAGGCTTGCATATAGCAGCCTGTTCTGGGGGCTGGGGTCGGGGGAAGCTCGGGCTGGGGGGGAAATAATTTTTTTTCTTTATTCCCCCCCCCAAAAAAAAACCAGGAAAAAGGCAGCGCTCTCCGGCAACGGCTGTGCGGCTTCGCTCCACGGAAATAGCAGTTGACTCACAGCACCGCGCCACTTCCCCCTCTTCACTTCGGAGCCCATTAGTGGGTTCCTTTACGAGTTGGGGGGGCGCGAAAGGTGCCCGCCGAGTCCCATGGTCACAGGCTTCATCCGCCTGTGATTTTTAAAAGGGTCCCCGCTTCGCCATAGCGGAAAAGACCCGTTTCCTGCGGAGCTAGTCCCTCCTGTTCAGAGGGAGTCCGCCATTGCCGATGGCGCCACCCCAGAAGTCCCAGAATGTCGCACTTTTCATTCGGTTGTCCCTATTTTCATTGGAGAAATGTTGGAGGGTGTGGAGTTATCCTACCCCTGAGTCATGTGAAGGCAGTTTTTCAATGTTTTCTGTTTTTATAAATGTTGGGAGCTTCCCAGAGTGGCTGGGGCAACCCAGTAAGATGTATCGGGTATAAATAATAAAATTATGAAATGGGATGTCCCTAGTTTCATCAGAGAAATGTTGGAGGGTATGCTGTCAGTATTGTATATACTGACTGACACCAGCTCTCCATGAATGGAGACAGGGAATCTCCCAGCCCTACTTGGAAATGTTAGGGATTTAATCTGGGACCTTAAATCCCTTAGGAAGAGCGTTCCATAAATGTGGGAAGTGGAGTTTACAACAGAGAAGGCGGGGGGGGGGGGGGGGACATAGCTGTCAACTTACAGCTTTGAAAATAAGGGACCAGCAGCCAAAATAAGGGATTTTAGTCAACCAGTTATAAGGGACCAGATAATTTTGGAGAGCAGCGCCGGTTTTTAGCCATTCGTTTCCAGAGGTTGCTGCTCAAGACACCAGCTGATGAAACACTGCAATTAAATGACTACAAGCAGCAACCACTTTTCGCGCAAAACGAAGTCCAAGCTACGAAGATGCTGCTGCAGTTCTGTATCTTTTCTCTCATGCTCCATCTGTAGCTCTCAATTCCATCAGGTGGGGCGGGGGGGGGGGGAAATAACGCCCGAAGTAAACCCGCAGATCAGACCATCTATGCTAGTCTACCACTACAAATCTATGGGAGAAGCGCTTGCGGTCCTTCCCTTGTAGCCCTTGGAACACCTGCCCGCGCCTCTGCCTCCTCCTCCTCCTCTTCCTCCTCTCTCTGAACTTATTTCTCTATGGTTGCCCTCGTTCTCCTCTCAAGGCTCCTCATCAATTCATAGACCGTGCCAGGCTGCCCATCTCATTCGGGTCCTTCAGCGGCACAGCTGCAGTACGGCCTAGCGGGAGCGGCGGTGACGGGCAGAGGGGAGGCCCCAGGCAGAGACGCCCAGTTCGGCGGCCGCAAGGAGGATGGTGGCGGAAGGGCCCAAGGCTCCCACCAGTCCCGGCGGGGAGGGGCTCCCGGGGGCCGAGGCTGGTGAGAGGAGACCAGAGGGGGGCGGGCTGGGCAGCCAAGCAACACAGTTGGAGCCTCCCTCCTCCCTGGCCGGCAGGGAGGGAGGGAGAGGAGCTGCTTCCTTTGAAACCCCGGAAATTTAAGGGACATCCATCAATAAAGGACAGCAGCAGGACATGGCGCTGGGATAAGGGACTGTCCCTCCAAATAAGGGACGCTTGACAGCTATGGGGGGGGGGGTGGAGATTTCAGCCTCAGCAACTAGTCTCAAGTCTCAACTTTGCCTATGGTTCTTTTATAAACACAAGCCACCATAGCTAGGGTTGCCACTATTCTAGCAAACTACAGGACAAGGCAGGGTGGGGTGTTTGGTGGGTGATCCCCTCCCCCCCCTCCGCACTGGTGCTGAAGTGACTCCAAAGCAATCCATTACCATCCATTGCAGCCTAACCGGATGGCCCCACTGGAATTTGTCACACACACGTGAATTTGTAAATCTATCTGTGCTTTGCTACACAGAGCTTAAATACATTACCTTTCACACCCCCTTTCGGATACATGCATTTGGAGAGGATCCTCAGCTTGGCATCGAGAGGGGGCGGGACGGACCTGAAATACAAGACGAAACTGTTTCGATATAGGACGTTGCGTTTTACATTCAAATATGGGACAATGCTGTATTATACAGGACAGGTGGCGACAAGTGCCTCAGAGAATTTTGGTCGTGGGCAGCCCAACAGCTTAGAAGCTGTGCCATGTGTCCTTGGATACTTAGCTTCTTTGTGGGGCGGGGGGGGGCAGGGCTGCATTTTAACTCTGATTAGAAACTTATGGGAACACACACTGTACATGCTTAGGAGCTGTTGTACATCACTGCACAAATATCTGGGAATTATCTGTACTTATGTACAGGGGCATTAAGTGAGGAAATAACGTTGGGCAGACATGGTCAGTTGGGGAAAGAAGGATGTTGCTGAACTATTTATTATTAATTAAACATATAGCCCGTTTCACAACATAATCGGCATGGAGTACGCTAAGTGTCCCGTGAACCCAAGCTACGCTGACTGGAGCTAACCGTCCACGCGTTCCTCATGCCTGCTTTCGTGCGCAGGCGTGGTTTGCAGCCCCATGCTCGCTTTGATACTGTCATCGGCAATAAACCGGTTACGCTCTAGGCACGGACCAGGGTTCTCTATGGATGAGGAGCGGCCTCCTATAGGTTTGCATATCTAAGGTGAAAAGCCACAACGACCATAGACGTATAACTATAGAGTTTACTTCCGCTCCGCGGATTTCTAAAGCCCGCCCAGCGCTTCCTGTCCTTTCCTTTTCGAAGCCGAAGCCAAGATGGTGAGTTGTGTCTGTTGTAGCGGCGGACTTTCAATCCGTCGCCATCGGTCCTCTAAACGGGCTAATGGTTGGGCTTCTTCTGGCAGGGGAGGCACAGGACACCCTGGCGCCTTGTATTTGGGAAAGCGGATGAAATGGGGAACGGGTTTTGGGGCCCGGGCCTGGTGCAGGCCTCCGATGTGTGTGCGGCTCGCCCGCTTTTGGTAGGGAATTCACCGAATCGTTCTTTCAACTTACGCAGCCCAAGGGGAAGAAGGCCAAGGGGAAGAAGGTGGCTCCGGCCCCTGCCGTGGTCAAGAAACAGGAGGCCAAAAAGGTTGTAAATCCTCTCTTTGAGAAAAGGCCCAAGAACTTCGGCATCGGTGAGTTGGAAAAAGGAATTGGGGGTTGGAATGATGGGTCTCTGCAGCCCTGTTGATCCGTCAAGGAGCCTAAACAGAATAGGAATAAAGTTGCTTTCACGGGAAGTGGGAAATACACGCCTGTCTCTAAAATACCTGTGTATGGGGAATACTGCTGGTTTTGTTGCATTTTGACCAGTTACTATCTATTTGTCTATTTATAACAAGTATTTATGTGCTGCTGTACCCTAGAAATATATTGCTGAGGTTATGCAACAGCATAAAACCATACAGTAAAATCATTTTTGAAGAAAAATTAAAAGCAAGTTTAAAGCAAAATAATTTAAAGCAAGCATCAGTTGATCATTGAGGAGGGATCTAATCTTAAATGTCTGTATAGGCCTTAGGCAGTAGCAATTTTTAAATTGATATTTCATTGGAAGAATTTCATTTTTTAAAAAAGTGATTAGAAAAGGAAAACGTGAACGAGAATTAAAAAGAAAAAAATACTCAATTAGGTTTCTGTACATATTAAGACTAATGTATAGCTTTAATATTCTGTTACAAATATGTTCATCAGTAACCTAGTATTTTCTGTATAAACTCGTTCCAAATATATTTATCCAAAGAAAGTGCCTCTATAAGTGGTTGTTCATGTGTTGCTAATATTGCCATGTTATCAAGCTATTGGTTATGGAGAATTAAAACTATTCTTCCAGTTCATCAGTCCCTTAGCCACCATTAGGGCATGCAGAATCTATTTTTGCTGTCCCATTGTCACTTTCCATACAATAGGTACAGGGGGATATCGTTCAAAAGTATATGCCCGTCTGATAATCTGAAATTCCTCAGTAACAAATTTATATAATCCAACACAAAATTTAGAGTGAAACATTGTAAAAGTATGTGTATCAAAAAGCATTATCCATATTATAACTGTAGCAAAAGATGTTACAAATTGGTCTAATTGAAAGAAATTCTGATGCACTGGTGATATGAAAGTGAATTCTCCCTTGGTAGTAGGGAGCATTAGTTTCCACAGATCTATTAAATTTAAATCTGTCATATATTTCTTAATTGCTTGTCACGCTAAATATGTTTTCTTTATCAGTGTATTTCTATCTAAATTAGGATGTATGTAGTAGCAAACTTTCTGGCAGGCATTTAGAAGGGCCTGGTGTTTCCACTATGTTTTGGAAGACCAAGCTTCTCTGGGCTGTGAGCAAATGATGCAAAAGAATATTTGCTATCTGAGTGATGCTGCTGACAATCTTATCCACCAAGATCGCTGATGCTCCTGCCACCTTTGCTTTGGGCTGAAAACCAGGAATAAAAAAGGATAACCAGTAATTGCTAAGGAAGCAGTTATTTTGAGTTGTTATTCTGCCTTTCAGGGCAGGACATTCAGCCCAAACGGGACCTGACTCGCTTTGTGAAATGGCCTCGTTATATCCGACTTCAGCGCCAAAGAGCCATCCTCTACAAAAGGCTGAAGGTGCCTCCAGCAGTTAACCAGTTCACTCAAGCATTGGACCGTCAGACAGGTGAAGGCCGGCTCCTTTCCTTGGTTCTAAGGTGGGGTTGCAGAAGGAGGTGGGGTAGCTGCTGAGACTCCTTGAATTGAATGTGCACCCCATGTTTTGGGAGCTTGCTGGAAAGAGACAAGTGTGAGAGAACTAGTTTTACACAGTGCTATAGTAAGAAAGGGGTTTCCTTTGTGTGCAGATGATGCTAGCAAAATATTTGCTATCTGAGCTTCCTTGATGACTCCCAACCACCAAGATCGCTGATGCACAAAAGTCATGTCCTTTAGGGAAGGGGGATAATGGGAACATGGTGTTAGAGAGGCTTTCATCTGAACGGTTCTAGTTGTCTTCCACAGCTACTCAGCTTCTGAAATTGGCCCACAAATACAGGCCTGAGACGAAGCAAGAGAAGAAGCAGAGGCTGTTGGCCCGTGCAGAGCAAAAGGCTGCAGGGAAAGGTGACGTCCCTACCAAGAGGCCTCCTGTGCTCAGAGCAGGTAACCTTCCTATTTTATATTTGCACATTTAAGCCTGGTTGAATGAAAGCTTGGACAGCTGGCCATATTTATTGTGTTAATATCCAAAAAGTTGAAGATGGCATAGATGGTTCTCCCCCTCCTCATTTTGGCCTTGCAAACAACCCTGTAGGGTAGGCTGGATTGAAATACAGTGACTGGCCCAAGGCTGCCCAGTGAGCTCCATGCTTGCGTTGGGGTTTGAACCCTGGTTTCGCCCAGGTAACCCCTGCATCACACTGGCTACCGCGATGATGTATGAATTTCTTCACCTGAACTGCAGACTGAAGAGCAAAACATACGAGCTTTTTAACCCTGAGCGGTAGCAGGCCCTTCCTCTGCTAGTCCTTGACATGGCTAGGAAAAGCTGGCAGCTTGGTGCTTTGTTAACACCACTTGAGCCACTGTGCTTTTCCACAGGCAGGGCGCTCTGGATTTATTTTTTTTACATAGGAAAACATAAACTTTTGTAGCACACTCTAGTAACTGGCTTTTTCTGCAGGTGTCAACACTGTTACAACTCTGGTGGAGAACAAGAAGGCGCAGCTGGTGGTGATCGCACACGATGTAGACCCCGTTGAGGTAAGGAGGTGCAAGAGTCGGCGTCTTGTGCCCAAAAGCTCAGATTTATGCTGCTAAATGGTTTTTTAAAAAATGAATAGCAGCCATTGCATTCTTGTAGGCACGGGTGTTTTCTGCTGTTTCTTTCCTTAACTTCAACAAAATGGTCACCCATTCCTGCTCTAGATAATTCTTAATGTTGCCAGGCCACTATGGTGACTGTTGAAATGTGCTTGGCTGTACAACTTACTTTGGAAAACATCACTGGGTCCTGTTAACAAATCTTCAAACTTGACTCTTTATAGAGCAGGGTATGGCTTTTGCAATGATGTTTGAATTTCTTCACCTGACCCTTATCTGTGAAGAGCAAAATTACACGAGCTTTTTAACCCTGAGCAATTGCCAGAGCCCTTGTTGTAAAGCAGGGATGGGGAAAGCACTGGTGTTAGACTCCAGCTCCCATCATCCCTAACCACTGGGGCTGATGGGAGTTAGGAGTCCAGTAAAGTCTGGAGAGCCACAGTTCCTCATTCCTATTGTATAAAAAACCGAACCACCGCCAACTTTAAAGCATTTCTTCTCCCCTCTCTGATCCAGCTGGTAGTTTTCCTGCCTGCCTTGTGCAGAAAAATGGGAGTGCCCTATTGCATCATCAAAGGCAAGGCAAGGCTGGGTCGCCTTGTCCACCGAAAGACCTGTACCTGTGTTGCCTTCACTCAGGTTAATCCGTAAGTAGCCCTGAAAACATTTTTTGCCTATTTTCTAACTCAAATGAAGAAACCGAAGAGGCTGGTGTGGTTTGGGGCAGTTACACTTTTAACTGCAAGCTAAACAGCTGTTAAAGCTGCAGCCTTTCCTCCTTCCGCATCTGGCCATGGTAAATTGAATGTACACAACTGCTGAAGCTAAATGAACTTTTATGGGGCCTCTTAAGAGAACGTTGCCCTGAAAAGTGGCACTTAAAGCAGTATTTCAAATTGTAGTCTACTTGGATAACTCAAACTCAATTGCTGGCTTGTTGGATCTGTCTTCTCCTTTGCAGCGAGGACAAGGGAGCTCTAGCTAAACTCGTGGAAGCTGTCAAGACCAACTACAATGAGAGATACGATGAGGTAAGATTGTGCCTATAGGATCTGTGGGTATATTGACTAATTTGTCGGCTTTTGGAAAGTTCCCCCTTCCCTGGCAGTGGCATGACCACTGTCCCGCTTGCTGAAATCAGGGATGGCTTGCTAGCAGCCTCCAATATGAAAATTCATTCCAGCCCTGTGTAGAGAATTCCCTCATAGTGTAGCAGAAATAATGTGAGTGAACAGCAGTATCATGTTGACGCACTGAGCTGGTAGCATCTAAAAATATTTTGGGCAAGATAACAGGATTGAGAATCTATAAATGCCCACAGGAGAAAAGAAAAGGACTTGAGCCACCATTGGGTTACACAGCCTGTTACCAATTTTCCAGGGTCTGTGTCTATAGTACTACAATGTTTGAAACTGTTACTACTTGTTAGAGCACAGCTGTAATGTAGGAAGTGGAGTTGATTTGAGTCTGTTCCAGTAGTAGTTTTTGCATCTAATTTGTAGCAGACACTCAGGTTATTGCTGTGAATGTTAAATCCTCAAATTGTACCATTTAATCTAAATTTTAATTGTAAGTTTTGTAAGTCATTTTGACATGTGTGCAATCTTTTTTCCTTCCAGATTCGTCGTCACTGGGGTGGCAATCTTCTGGGGCCAAAGTCAGTGGCCCGCATTGCTAAGCTTGAAAAAGCCAAGGCTAAAGAACTGGCCACTAAACTTGGATAGATGTATCAGATTTGCCTCAAGAAGTTATTCCCATAAAAATAAAATACTGCAAAAAAAAAAAATGTGTTCCAGTTTTCTGTAAGTTTTTAGTGATTAAGAGTGTGGTGCTCTGTCAGTTATGTCTCTTTTGGTAGCCTTGTCTAGTAAAGGGGGATTCCATAGCACCTAAGAAGAAATTATTCCAGCGTTCCTTTCTCCATTTTCTGTCCCAAGGGGAGAGAATTTAAGATTTGCCCCAATAATGAGCACCCCGGAAGCTTATCTCTGCAGGTGTGAAAGCTCAAACAACACCTTCATGGAGCTTTGGCCAATGTTAGCTGCAAGTATATTGGGTTCTAGAACATTTCTTAAGCTGCCTTGACAAGACAACAGAAATTGATCAGCTCACAGGGGAGAGTGCAATTGAAATACCCTGCAGCTAGGAACTTCAGAAGTTTACAATACTTCTTTTTGATAGGGACTTGATGTCATTATTGTTGCCAAGAAGAAACAAAGCTGTATATGTGACATGATTTATTTACTACTTCATTACATGGAACTTTGCATCATATTGTATCAGCAACATGCTGATTATTTGCACAAACACTAATACTCTTGAATCCTGATTTCCTTCATGTCATTTCTGATTACATAGCATTAAGCAACCCAAGATAAGCACTACAATTTGAAAGGCTTTCACCCTCCCTGTTAAGGCCCCCATCATCCTAATTCCTCCCTTAACCATGCCTACCCAGAAGTAAGTCCTACTGAATTCAGTGGGGCTTACTCCCAGGTCAGTCGGGCAAGACTGCAGCTCTAATATATTGCAGCCAACTTTCAGCAGAACACAAGAGTTCCTTGCTTGGGTCTGCATGCTCTGGTCACTGAAGTGCTGCAATCAAGTCAGAAGGCCTGTTCCTCTCTATAGTGACCTCACGAGACTGGCTGCAGCTCCTGTGAGCATTTTGAGGCCAAGCTTGCACCAAGGAGTTGTAAGTCTTAGAGGTGAACCTTCTGAATGAATTTCTTGTACCACATGTAGGAGGTAGCTGCACACAAACCATACCTGCAAAGAAGGGAGAAAGCTAGTGTTAAGACACAAGGTTAACCTGCAAAGGGCACACAATTTTAGGGTCAGAAATGTATGCAAAGGGTTGCCATATAATGAGTACAAAGAGGACAGCGAGCTGGGGAAAGGGGTGTGCCACAGTTTGGGCTGGCGGCAGCCAGGGAATGCAGAGTGCCTGTACGCCTCTCCTGGCTCAGGCTGGCAGCGGTCAGGGTGTGCAGAGCAGTCTGAGTCAGGCAAAATAAAAACTTCCCGCAACTCACATTTCCTTAAAAATTTATAAGTACCCCTGAATGGGCCTTTTGTCCCCTAAAAGAACATGTCTGGGAACTCCCAGACATGGCAACCCTACCCAAGGGTCATCTAGTGTAACCCCTGCAATGCATCATTGCTTTCATTTGGCACATTGATTTGGCCATTTAATAACCAATCATTTCCCAAAAATTCAAGAGAACCAGAATCATGGAAACTGCAAAATACACATCCGTGCATTTTACTTATATTGATGGTAGCCTTGATGAGAATCAGGTTCTTCGTTTTTTGTTATTTAGATGTTCCGTCATACAATTTAATTTAAAAAAGAGAAATAATACATAACAGAAAAGAAACATTAAATCATTATACACTATCCAAAATAAAATAAAATAAACCCACCACCCTGTTTAACTTCCCTCCTCCACTACTCAGCTTCTCTAGAATCAATTTTACTCTTATTGGATTCTGATTGTTTTTATTTTCTCTATATACCGTATTTTTCGCCTTATAGGACGTACTTTTTCCCCTCCAAAAATGAAGGGGAAATGTGCGTGCGTCCTATGGGGCGAATGCAGGCTTTCGCTGAAGCCTGGAGAGCGAGAGGGGTCGGTGCGCACCAACCCCTCTCACTCTCCAGGCTTCAGGAAGCTATCCGCAAGCCTTGCAAGGCTTGCGGGCAGCACTCTGGAGCTATCCGCAAGCCTCGCAAGCAGTCTGAAGCTATCCGCAAGCCTCGCAAGGCTTGCGGGCAGCAGTCTGGAGCCCGAAGCACGGGGCGCCCTCTGGAGGGCTCCCCATGCTTCGCGCAGGTGTCCACAAGCCTTGCGAGCAGCAGCCTGCAGCCCACAAGCTCGGGGGACAGCGGGGAGGCGCAGCGCCGCCATCCCGCTGTTCCCCAACCTGGTTTGGATTCCCCAACCTGGTTTTGGGGGGGAAATAAAGGAAAAAATTTTTTCCTTTATTTCCCCCCAAAAAAACTAGGTGCGTCCCATGGGCCGGTACGCCCTATGGGACGAAAAATACGGTACATACAGTGAATGCTTGGGTTGCAAACGTGATCCATGTGGGAAGCACATTCGCAACCCGCAGCGGCGCATCTGCGCACATGCAGGTTGCGATTTGTTGTCTCTGTGCATGCACGAGCTCTGAAACCTGGAAGTAACCTGTTTCGGCACATCCGTAACCTGAAAACCCGTAACCTGAAGTGTCTGTAACCTGAGGTACCACTGTACATAAGTCATTGATAATTTATTGTTTTGATGCATTTACATTCTTAATCTAAGTATATTAGCATGTATTTTTTAGAGCAATATTTTGTCATATAACCATCAAAGCATTGCCATTCATTTTTTAGTTTTTGATTTGACTGCTGATGTATGGATGCTGTTAATTTAGCCAATTTTAAATATTCATTTAATTTGAGAATCCATTCCTCCTTGGTAGGTAGTTTTTTAGCTTTCCATTTAGATGCTATTACTATCCTGGCTGCGGTGGTCGTGTATAAGAAAATTCTTTTTTTCGATTTCAGTATTTTCCTAAAAGGCCCAGTAGGTAAGCCTCTGGGATTTTAAGCATTTTTTTCAACTCCTCATGTATTTCTCCCCAGAAGTACTTAATTGGGGTGCAACTCCACCACATATGCATTGTTGCACCAGCTTCCTTGTTGCATTTCCAACAGAGGTTGGATTTCAGTTTATAGATTTTTGCTAATTTGACTGGTGTTAAATATCACCTGTAGAACATTTTGATGAAATTTTCTTTTATTGTACTACAGGCGGTAAACCTTATATCTTCCTGCCAAAGTTTCTCCCATTGCTCTAAATATATTGTGTGGCCAAAGTCTCGCACCCATTTAATCATTGTCTCTTTCACTTCTTCGTCAATCATGTCCAAATTTAGCAAAAGGTTATACATTTTAGATAGTAATTTTTTTTGTTTTTTAATAATGTTTCATGCATTAATGAATTCTCTTTAGCAAAGCCTCTCTTCAAGTCCAAGTTAAAGACACTTCGAAGTTGTATATATTGCCATCTGCCGGAGACATAATGCCTTATTTCCTCATATGGTCTTATTCTAAGTTTACCTTGATCTTCCATTATCAAATCTCTATAAGTTGCCTAATCCTTATTCATGTTTAGTTTTTTCATGGCATGGGCTTCTAGAGGTGAGAGCCACCATGGTGTCATTGGCTCCAGTCTCGTTTTGTACTTACTCCAGACTTTAAATAATGCATTTCTAATTAGGTGGCTATTGAAGCCTTTATGGATTTTGATCTTATCATATGCGAGGTAGGCGTGTTAAAGCCCTCCAGGTCTTAATAAATCTGCTTTTTCCAAAGTGATCCATTCTTTCAGGCACACAAGGCATTCTGCTTCATAATTTTAAATTTGGCAACACCAGACCTCCCCTCTTTTTTGTGAGGAGCTTAAATTTTATGTGAGCTTTCTTATTTTGCCATATGAATTTTGTCATATCTTTCCTGCACTCCTCGAAACATGTTTCTCTAGATATTATGGGAATTGTTTGAAAGAGATGGAGCATTTTGGGAAGGACATTCATTTTTATTATGGAAACTCTTCCTCCTATTGATAACTTTATATTTTTTAAAGGCAGGACTATGTTATCTTCCAATTTTTTATAGTGGATCGACGTTAGTCCATCTCGGCCAGGAGCTTTACCAATTTTCAAACTAGAAATTGCTTGGTGTAATTCCATTACCGTAACTGGGGCATTTAACTGTTCCATTTTCTCTTTGCTTATTTTAGGTATTTTCCTCTTTGAGAAGTAATCTGCAATTTCTTGTTCTGTTTCTTACCCTCTTTTATATAGTTTTGTGAAGTATTTTACAAAACATTTATTGATTTCATCTTCCGTTTCATAAACCTTCCCTTCGTGCTCTACTTTATTTATCTGACTTTCTTTTTGTTTTTTCTTTATTTGCCATGCGAGTAGTTGTCCTGGTCTATTCCCTGCTTCAAAGAACCTTTGTTTCATCCATTTGATGTTGCTTTCAATCTCATTATTTAGCAATGCTGAAAGCTGTATTTGCAATAATTTTATAGGTTGACTCAATGTTTTATCTTTAGGGGGTTTGCTAGTAATTTTTCTTGATTTTCTGTATCCTGCTTTATTTTATTTAATATTGTATTTAATATTGTCACCAGCTAAACATCACAATATACAGACATATCACCATGTCTGAAATAAGGATGGAGCTATAAAGAAGCATTAGCTGGCTTAACAGCTTTTCCTGCATCATGATTTTCAAATATCGCCCAGCTCTAGATAAAACCCCAAATGTTTTGTCACTTACCAGGTAATGATGTATTGCATGTGCTCGTTGCGTAACGTCACCCTCGTCTGGCCTCCAATGGGCCCCCCTGGAACTGTGCTTTCTGTGGTTGCAAGAGAGAGACAGCAGTGAGTCAGAACCAGATGCAATATGAGCCTTTAGAAAAGAAATTCAAACACCAGGGGCAGCTTACTTTTATGTAATAAGTGAAAACCTATGTAGTCTGCTCTCAACTCCCACTCCCATCTCACTCTTCTTGCCAATGATACAGCTCTCCCATGCTCAGATTTTTTGTGTAACTCCCTGTCTGACTTCACCCCCTGTATAGCATAGCAAGCCAACCAAATGGCTGCTTAGCTTGATACCGTGCTGGGTTTCTATTCTGCCTAGCAAGAGACACGCAAGTGGATCTTATGGGGGAGGGGGGACAGATTGGGCAGGCAGGAAATGGCTATTTACTTTGCAGTAAACTTGGCTTTACCTTGCAGTAAAGTGCTGCTTCCTGCCTGCTGGATCTGCAAGCCCAGCTGGGCAGTGCATTCTCAATATATTACAGGGTGAAAAAATATGAAACCTTGATCGTGGTCTAGAGTTCATATTGGTAAGGAACAAAGTATCGATATATCACCCATCCCAACTTACCTTCACAGAGCTATGATTCAGAATTCCCTGGGAAGAGGGATTGACTATTAAACCACTAGTAACTGTAGCTCTGGGAGAGGAATTGGAGGGGGGGTGCTCCTAACAACTCTCAGCACTGTTAACAAACCACAGTTCCCAGAATTCTTTGAGGGAAGCCATGACCGTGTCAAGTGCTATGATACTGTTTTAAATGCAGATGGGGCCCAAAGTCAGGAGCCTGTTGCAGTCCACTCCTATTAAAAGCCAAGACTACACAGCCAGGTCCTTGGGGAACTCACTGAAGTCTGCATCAAGGAAGATGGGCTCAGCTCCTGTCACTCTCGCCATGGCATCCAGGTCCCGGTAATGCCAACGATTCCTTTCAATGTCGTTCTTTGGAACAAATGGCTTGCGGGTTTCCGACAGCCTCACCACCCCTGTGAGCTCAATTTCCTCTTGGATCTACAAGGAAGAGTCAAATAGCAGTTTCTGTCCTTTAAAAAAGGAACACAGTGTCTTATGATATATAATGTGGTAGTTTCCATCCCTTGCTACCTACCTGTCCTCGCAACCTGGTCTCTGGCTTAAGTTTCTTTCTGGAGACAAACCCTCTGTTGACAAGGATTGTGATCCTGCAGGGTCAGGGGGAAAGGGAGAGAGAGAAGACAATAAACTCTGTAAGCATGGTAGCGTGCCAGATCTTGGCTGAACTACAACTCCAGGTACCCCTGGCTGTTGGGTATGTTGGCTGGAGCCAATGGCAGTTGTAGTTCAGCAACATCTGGAGGGTCCACTTCTGCTGTAAGGCACCTAACATTGTAATTCTATGCCAGTCTACTCAGAAGCAAGCATCATTTATTCAATTTGGCTTACTCACAAATCCATTTGTATAAAACTTATTTTTGCTAGCCAGCTGGGAAGAGTTAAGAACACAGCCATCAAGATTGCATTGTGGCAATTTGATTGGACTCTGTTTGGATTCTATTATGAGTGCCCGACATAGTATTGTTAACATACTAACAGTTCTCTTTCATGTAACTTGGCTTTTGACTTCACAGCAATGGTTTTTCTCTCTCCTCTCTGTGCTCAGAGTAGATCCACTCACTTAGCTAACTAGCCCATGCACCTTAGAGTAGATTCTAGGGCAGAAGATATCTGTTGGCCTTGAAGATGCAGAATTCTCTCTTGTTGTTTTCTGCAACAGACTAACATGGTCATGTGCCTGGAAAATTGACATTTTATGTTATGACGGTTCGGACATTGTTATCAACGTGAAAGAAACCTATGCTAGGCAAAATTCAGACATATTAGTGAAATTACATACATTTGATAATAGGAGATATGCCTATCTCCTATAATTAAATTCATGTAATTTCACTTATACTTTTGGAAAAGTTAAAAAACAAAAATGAATCATCACAGGTATAAGTACATTCTGAAACAAGCTCTGACTCCTTTTACAGAATCCAGAGAATGACAAATAAAAACAGTGCAGAACATTTCAGGTCCTCATGGTTTTGAGGCAGAATCTGAATATATACAGACTGTATTTATTGAAGGGCCATGATCCTCTCTAATGTCACGATCCTATGCATGTCTGCTCAGCCAAGTGCCCCAGATTTCAACAGAGATTGTTTGCCAGTAAATGAGTACAGGGCAGCGGCCCAAACTGTCTGTCAGTTAATATACTTACCCAAGGTCTATGCAGTAAAAGGGTGTGATGACATTGGCACCACTCTCAGGATTGGACATCAGCTGCCCAGCATCCCTGGCTTCTTTCTCTGAATCAACCAACGAACGTGGAAGGATGTACAGCTCCTTGTCATGAATGAAATACCCTCGGACCTTGACAGGTCTGTATTCCAACTCCTTTAGCTCCGAGAAGCTGTCAAAGGACAGAAAGCAGCAGGTTTGAAAGAGAGGCTGAGCTGCAGCCCAAGGCAAGGAACAGCTTCACTTACTTAAATTCTGCAGAATATAAAAAGGGCTACTTTGTTTAAAGTGGCACAGGCACTCTGAAAAGCAGCACACACCATCCGCACGTTTAATTGATTCTAAGCTAGTTCACATACTTACTCTGCTGGGAGTGGGATCGGTTCTGCTGCCACCTTGGCTTCCAGATCAGAGATCAACTTCAACTTCCATTTCCGCCGTTGAATCTGACATGGGCATAAGGGCTCTTAGGGGCCTTGAGGGCAACACCAGACATACATTTGCCCTCCCCAGCACAAAATTTCCCTCCCACCAAGGCAGGATAGCTGATCTACTAGAGAAGTATTTGCATTACAAAAAACTGAAGCTTTTCTGTTTCCTCCTTTAAAGCAAAACAAAATGCACATTTGAAGGAAAATGTGGGTTCCTCCTCTCAAATTCCCTAAACGCTTATTTGTTGTTGTTGTTGTTTAGTCGTTTAGGACTCTTCTTGACCCCATGGACCAGAGCACGCCAGGCACTCCAAATGCTTATTAGTTCTTTTCAAATAAAAACTACTCCATGTCATCAGCCAATAGTAAAGGCTATGGACTGAATTCCATTAAGTTAAACTGCGCAAACTGAATGAAATTAATGTATCTATGATAGAAATGCCTGTTAATATCAATCTTTGATAATGACAAGTTTTGGAAACAACTCACAGTAGAGGTTCTTGCACTGGCTACGAGCTGTAACTGAAGACATCTCTGAACACTGGCCCTGAATCAAGAGGCCTCATGGAGCAACCCTCAGATTCAGCGTTTGCATTTACCTGCCACGTTCCAAGGCAAAATGTCGCTATGGGGATTAGGAGGAGGCCCCACCTGAGCACAGCATCCTCTCCAGATTTGGCAGAAGCAGCTGTGGAAATCCTGGACAAGGCAGGCCTCTGGGGAATCTCTGAGGAAAACGACAGGGGGCGGGGAATGTTTGTGTCATCTGTTGAAGATTCTGCAGAAGCTCTGTGCAGTACCGGGCTCATCACTACAATCAGATTCGTTAATATCCAGCAATAACCTACATTTGTATTAGTGATTCTGGAACATAGGTGTCTGCCTTATACTGAGTCAGGCTTTGGTCCATCTAGCTCAGTACTGTCTACCCTGGCAGGCAGCAGCTCACCAGGGTTTCAGGCAATGGGTCTCTCTCGGCCCTACCTGGAGATGCTGGGCAGATGCTATGCAGCTGATCCACAGAACTTGCTATGGTTCTGACATAACAAACATGAGGAAAGTGCAGTTATGCCCTCGCTGCCTCATTTCAGTAATCAGCAGGATATTTTCCTCAATTGCCTAGAGCCTGAGATGGCCCTGGAATATAAAAAACCCACTTTGCTGGTCCAAGGAAGGGAGAATGCACCTAGATGCTCTCTTACCTACCTGAGTTTAAAAAAAGGGCAAATGGCAGTAATCACCAATCTCCAACGCTTCCAACCTTTACAGCCAGTAGCCAGAAGACATTAGGGCAAATGGGTCATTGCCCAACCAGCCTCAGATGCATCCCCATTTGTGGAATGCTCTCCCCAGGGAGGCATGCCTGGCACCTTCATTACATATTGGAGTGGATTATCAGAATAATGTTTATATATAGTGGACAGAATGGAAAGTTCCTTTATTTTCTTTGTCTCTCTCGCTCTCTTTTTCTTTCTCTCTTCCTTTTTCTTTCTCTCCTCTCTTTGAATTGCCTTCTCCCCTCTAGCTCTTCTCTATTCCTCTTTTCTTTTTTCTTCTTTTTGGTCTGCAATTTTATTTAGACTAACATTTTAGTTTTGATAAAAATATAATAGATAATATCCCTTTTTCCAAACTTTAATAAAAAATATTTTTCTAAAAAAAATACTTATCTTTAGGTACCAGGCAAAAACATTTCTCTATAACCAGGCCTTGGGCTGATTAACATTCTATGGCCTTTTAAATGTGAGGGGGGGGGGAGGGGGTTATTGAGGGTTTTTTTGGCCTTGTTATGTTTTTTGTTCTCATTTGTATTTTTATGTGGTCAACTGCCCTGTAATATTTGCCTGAAGGAAGACATACAAAATAAATAAAAAAATAAAAAAATAACCACCTGGTGACTTGATGATAACAACAACTAAAATGAACATGTCAACTCAAAAGTCACAATAATAAATGAATAAACAGATAAAATTAAAATATCTACTGAGAAGTCAGTCCCACTGAATTCCAGAAAACTTACTCCCAGGTAACTACATACAGGAGTGCAACCTGAATATAGAATACAGTTAGCAAATATGACCAGCTAAAGTAGAAGCTGATCTTCTTTGGCCCATCTGTATACCCCCCTCTGTGCAAATAAAATTAAGAAAACAGAAACAAGGCTCCAGTACACAAGTCAACATATTATGAAGTATTAAGGGTTTTATTCACCTTTATGTGGTCGTAGCAGGCCAGAAGTTGCTTTAAAATAGGTGCATCCAAACAACGTCCTTCCACCCACATAGTAAGGAAGCTAAAAGCAAAACAAACGGTGCTGATTGAATTTCCCGCTTACATTATAAAAACTTATAAGAAGCTGAATTTCGGATGTCATTTCTGGAAAAGAGTTAATTGCAAAAGATGGACAATGATACCAGTGTTAAAAACCAGGCAAGAAACAGAGAGAAAAGGGAAGAAAAAGTGGTAACTCTCTCTCTCATCCCATCCATAGAAAAGTGGATGGCCTACCTCACCTGGCTGTTGTGTAGGAAAATAACCCTAGTGCCTCAAAAGCACTTTGCATGTTAAAAGAACTTCACAACATTATTACTTATTAGACTTGTCCCGCGCTACTCAAAGCAATTTATAACACATCTAAAGTGTAAATAACCCTCATAACAGCCACAGGAAGAGTTGATACCAGACCAATGACAACTTAGCAATATCACGCAAACCCCTTAGGAGAGGCTTTTGTCAAGGAATGGACACATTAGTCTACCCAAATTAATAAACGAAGTTGGCCTGTATCATCTTTGTGGTTTTTAAAAGCAACGTTAGCAGGAGATGCTTCAACCCGCATGGCTGGGGACGAAGAACTGTGCCCGACCTGTTGAATTGACACCTGTCAGGCTGCTGTGAGAGGCCCCGAAGGTAAACGGCAGCGCAGCCTTATGCGGGAGCTGTCTTTGGAAAAGATTGTCCCGACAGACATTTTAACTGAATTCTGATTTTTCTGAGTTTTAACTCATTTTCTATTTGCGGTTGCATCGGGTTTTTTTACACAGACAGCCGTGATTTAGCAGCATGAAAACGGCCAAAATAATAGAAACTGAAATCGAAATAATAAAATAAAACGGCTCCCACCTGGCCCGCCTTCGCCCGCAAAGGCCCCCTCAGCGCAAAGTCGCCTAGCAACCGCAAAAACACAGACATTTCCCACCCCCCACTCCTTTCACAGGCCTTTCCTCTTCTGGGTCACGCGACTTCCACTCTCCCAAGGCTCCTTAGAGGCGAGACTTACGAGGCGCTTCCGCCACAGAACACACAGGGAGCTCCTTCGCCGTCTAACACACACAGAGAGGTTGAGAGAGAGAGAGAGAGAGAGAGAGAGAGAGAGACTTACATCATCATTATCGTCATCATTATTAAAAAAAGAGCATCTCCTCACGAACATAGAAGTGCCTCAGGAGGGAAGGTCGCCGCATAAGCAACCCTCTCCTTTCACCCCGCATATGGCGGCAATGAGGACAGGAAACCCGAAGTTTTGGTAGGAGTCAGGCCTGCGTTCTCCCCCTTGGCAGCTGCGTGCGCTGTGTGTCCTGCCTCCTGGGGATAACGTGGAGCGGGCACGTGCACTCTTCTCTGTTATGAGAACACGTGTATGTGGATGCCAGTTGTGCAGGTTATCATTTGAAAACTCAATGAAAGGATTCCAAATGTCAATAAAGTCATCAACTGCTCTTGTGCTGCTCAGTGCTTGTACTCTCTTGTCAATTTTTTCAGTAAGGCAATTGTCCATGCAGTTGTTTCCAGCGAAAAACATGTAAACGTTCCAGTCTCTTCCAATTCTGTGTCACCGATAGGCGTGCTGCCACAATAAGTGATCAGTTATCTGTAGTAAAGGTTAAGCTTTTTTCCTTGAAAGTGGTTAACAGTCCTAAACTTGGTGTGCACTGTACTTCTCCTGTGGTGTGTCTTATTTATATGAACACCTTTTGCCAAAAAAGCTGTACGTATTCTCTTGTCCACCCTATGTGGAAAATTGTACCAATTGTGTTACAACCTTGCCAATCCCAAGGTGAGAGTGATTTATTAATACAGGTACATTTCAGTGGGGTCAGATGCCATCTATGTAATAGCTTAAATGTATTCTCTCATATATGAGTTGAGAGTGATTCACCTTTCTTTTCTTTTCTTTTTTTGCCTTGCCTATTCCACTCCATCTCTTCAATTTCAATGCCTAAATCAGATTACCACAACTGTTTTACAGGATCATATTGCCCAATGTTAATTTGTTGAGTATTTTGTAGGGTATAGATAAAAAAAGGTTCGTCTGTTTTATTGGGTTCAGAATTAATTTTCAAATGGTGTCAAGTATCTGGTGGCATGTGTTGAGAGGTTAAGTCTGACCATTGCATTCTATACCCTTAATTTTGTGGCTACTTGGAGTAGTTTTTGTTAACTGTACCCTGAGCAGGGAGCAATTTCACATGGCAACCTGTTGTTCTTTAGTTGCTGTCTGCACCTGACCCACCCACTGAAAGTCTCATTCCTCCTCCTCTCTCTTGCTTCTTTCCCACATTGACAGAAAGCTGAGGATTACGGCTACAGGCAGTCTCTGATGGAGCGGCTGTGCAGACAGCTGGATGCGCAGCTCCAGAATAAAGTCATTGACAGGCTTCCAGTCCTGCACTTGACCACTCAGTACAGGATGCACCCCAAGATCTGCCTCTTCCCTTCTAACTACGTCTACAACCGTGCCTTGAAAACTGACATGTGCGTAGTCATCTTTTTGTTATTGATTGTCTCACCTCAAGTCAATAGACATTGAAGGAGAGGAAGTAGACGAATGAATGTGGATGAATGAACCTGAATGTGGACAAAGGTTCTACTTTATCCTGGATTTTTCAGAACCCCCAAGTCCAGTGATGGGTTGGCTGTGCTCTCCAGATGTTGCTGGAGTCCAGCAGACATCAGCCAGCCAGAAGGGCTATTGGTCAGGGATGGGGAAACTTGTAGTCTAGAAACATCTGGACATACATACATCATACCCAGTGTGTGTGTGTGTGTGTGTGAGAGAGAGAGAGAGAGAGAGAGAGAGAGAGAATGTACCTGCTCAGGCACTACAGGTGAGTACTGAGGTGAATGAGAATTCTGTACATGATCATAGGCATCCATCCTGACTCCTTCTGGCAACCTGATTTGATACTTAAACAATAATAATCTTTCTTTCTAACCATTTCTGAAATGTTACTCTTGAATTATGTGCTCTTTGATGCTTGTCTGGATTTGTATAGTGGCAAGTAGCTATATTTATGCCAAGCTGCTGCTGCTGAGCTCTTTTTTTTTTAGTGAAATTCTTAGATCAGAGCTGGGAAACCTGTGTCCCTCTCGCTGCTTCTGGACTCCCAACAGCCCCAGTCAGGATGTCCTGTTGGGGGGGGGGGATACTGTCCAGCACCACCTGGAGGGCCAGGGTTTCCCCATCCCTGTGGTGTACAAAAGTGCAGTAGTCTGTCCATAATCTCCCTGCTGGATGAAGCCAAGGGTCCAGTTTATTTATTCATTGTGTTTATATCCCACCTTTTCCTCCAAGGAGCTCAAGGTGCTGTACATGTTGTCCTTCTCCTCTTTTAATTCCCACAACCGCCCTGTGAGGTAGGCTGGGCTGAGAGGCAGTGACTGGCCCACGGCCACCCACTTTCGTGGCTGAGCAGGGATCTGAAGCCTGGTCTCCCAGCTCCTAGTCCAACACTCCAGCCACTACACCTCACTGCCTCCAGATGCTTCTAGGAAACCCACAAGCTGGGCACCTTGTCTTCAGAGGTGGACTGCCTCTGCATGTGGAGATTGCGCACTCCTTGCAGCCGCAGACAAGCCTCTCCTCCACTCACCATCTCCCCTGCTCTCTGGAACACCTGACCAGTGACCTTCACTCCTTCATCTCTACCACCCTCAGTGGCCGGAAGGCCTCCTGTTCCTTTGAACAACTCCCCTGATACTTCCTTGCTGACCCTTTGTGTCTGGAACACCCTCTCCAAGAACACTTGCAGTGCGCCATGACCCTCCCTATCTTCCTTCAAAAGTGATGTCGCTGGTGAGGCCTTTCATTTGAGGCCTTCCCTGCTGCTGAAGAACACTTGGGCAGCCATTCCTTGCTGGACTTGCCTGCACTTACTTATTTCATAAAATAAAAACCTCTCTCCCTCTGTTGTTTCCCTGTTGTTAAAATGTACAGTGTAGGCTCCCTGGGGCAGAGACCTCTCTTCTTGGATGATGATAGTAAAGTGTATGCAGATTGATATCTCAGTACAAAAATACCCCCCCCCATCATTTCTTTATGCAACAGCAGTGTGTGAAATACAGGATATATTCCCATTTTAAAGAAGGGCCAAGTGAGGTTCAACAGCCCACTCAGTGACTCTGGTAACCTCTCCAGTCTACATCTGCTGTTGTCTTGTGATGTGTCAACTGGGGTGCCTCTGCTGGAAATTCTAGGGCTCAGGTGCAATCCTTGGGGTGGTCAAGTGTGTGGGCCATTGTCCACAAGTCACAGTTGTCTGTTAGAGCCCCCGTTGGTCTCTGGCCGCATTCTTGCAGCCACCTGCGATGCCCATAAGGGAATTCAGGAGAGGAGAGGTTTGTGGTCCCACAATAGTCTTTGCAGGGGGTGAGGGCAGGCCTAGGCCATGTGAGCTTCGTCACTGCAGCTCTCTTACTGCAATGAACTTCCCATTCCTGACGCTGGCAAAATGGCTTCTCTGAGGGAGCTTCCGCTGTGTCTCACTGGGGGAGAGGAGAAATGGAGCACCAAACCCCTCCCCTCCCTGGCAGGCAATGGGTTTGGTGCTCTCAGATGTGACCTGGCAGAATTGTTGGCCCCACGGAGGGCTGATGGGGTGAAATCAGGCAAACAGGGCTACACTTCTTTTGGTTTTCTTTACAGGTTTAGGTTTTTCCTGTTTTTTTAAGAAGGAGAAAAAGGTCACAGCTGCGCTAATGGTGCCTTTCTGTTTTGCAAGTCACCTTTGGAATGAATAAAATATTCAGGCACAGTTTTGAAATATTAACGAGAGTTTTCACATGAATCACAACAAATAATATTAATCCGCCAATGGTTTGTGCTGCAGGGGTGTGTGTGTGTGTGGCCAAGGTCTAAAGCTGGTTCCCACCACCAGCCCACTTCCTTTCCACCTGGGGGGTGGTGGTGGAAGGGCACTCTGTGCTTGGAAGCCACATGGGGGGGGGTGTAGCTGAAATTGCAAAAGCAGATCATGGACTGACTTCTAAGATTTATGCCCCAAGCTTCTCACTTTGCTCTCAAATGATGTCCAATAAAGGAGGCACCCAAGGAACAATTAAATGAAATGATAATTAAAGCTATCGATAAACAACCATTTTGAGTGTTTTAAATATACCTTTATGAAAGGTATTTCATAAAGAACCTATGAGGGAGGCAGAGAGAAGCTAAAATATTGCAAAGCAAGGGAAAAAACCATGTATAAATGAACATCACTAATAAATATTCACCACTAACGAAATTGATCAAAATCAGGGCCTCCAATAAAAAATGTAAAGCAGAAACATGGCAGCAGGGGGTTGTCTCTACTCAGAGGAGGCCCACTGAAATTATACATAGACATGGAAACCTTGGTAGGAATGCCTGCAACCTTTTAGTAGTGCACTTACAAATGGATTTCTAATGCCCTTGAAACTTCAACTGGGATTTAGTGAAGCCCACGGGGGTCAGCTAGGAGGACACGGGGGGGCACTGCCCATCCTGAGCCAGCTTCACCTGTGGCTTGTTTTGCCCCCTCCAGGTTCCTGAAGAGTCTGCAGCGTCTGAATGTCACCCTCACCCGAGCCAAGTACAGCCTCTTCATCCTGGGACACCTGAAGACGCTCATGGTACGTGGAAGAAGGCGTAAAGTCTCTCTCTGGATATATACGTCAGCTCTCCTTGTAGAGAAAAGCGGGACTTGGAAGGCCAGTGGTGGTGCCCTGGCAGTGCGGGGGGGCTTGGCCCAAGGCCCCCCCTCCCATCGCCTCCCAAAGCCATAAATCAAGCCTACTTCATAGGGTTGTTTGGAGGAGCAGGGTGCCAACAGGCCCAGTACGCTGTGTCTATAGGTGATGCCCTCCGCCTGCCCTTGAAAAGGGGGCACAGATTTGCTGCTCTGGCTGTGGCAGGTGAGAACTGCAGTTCAAAGCTTCGGGAGGGATCCAGGCTGGCCAGAGGTGTTGTAGACAATTCAATCTTTTGAATCTGCGGGGTTGGGGAAAATGTTGGGCCACATTTATTCATTCATTTATTGAATTTAGGTCCAGCCCTCAAGAGCCCAGGGCGGTAAACGTATTAGACACAAAACAATGGTTTAAAGAGCCTTCTAAGAAGAGCTACAGTTCTAAACCTCTTTGGAAAAGACATTCTCTCATCCCGTATCCAGTGTCCTTCAGCCACCGAAGGCACCTGTGTAAACAAACAGGTTTTCAAACTCCTCCTGAAAGGCAACAATGAGGGAGACAGGTGCAGCTCCCCAGGGAGGGGGCCACCACAAAGAGGGAGCTACCACTGAGAAGGCCCTGTTGGGGGGTCCAGTGCCATCTCAATTTTGTCCCTGCTTGTGGGCGCCCAGAGGAACCTGAAACTCGGGTTTCATAGATTGTAAAACTTACGTTACTTTAGCTCTTTCACCAGTTGATCTTAGACTGGCAGTATGGTATTCCAGAGCTAAGGAAGTTGTGGGCTGAACTCCCATCACTCCTGACCATTGAACACTGTGGTTTTTCATGCAAGGCCAAGCATGGCATTTCTGGGAGGTGTTTGTGAGATGCTGTAAGGGCCGGGGATCCTGCAGCCCTGCAGGTGTGCGATGCACAGCAGGGTGGTGAGAGATGGAGTTCAGCAACTTCTGCAGGGCCACAAAGGTTCCCCACTCCTTCCTCTGTGCTAGTATGCCAGCTGTGTGCAGGGGAGCGTTGGTTCTAAGCATAGAAAGGGATGCCATCCTCTGCCATGCTGGTTGCCTCTGTCCCATCAGACTCCTGTCCTGCCAGTTGTCTCCCAGGGAGGCGCTTGGGCTGGGAGTGAGCCCAGTCGGGGGATAAAGCAGCTGGCATGGGGGACTCCCCTCTTTCCATCCCGGCACTTTCCTGCATGAGGTCACAATTACTCCCATACTGGGCGCAAAGTCTTCATATGGTCCTTTTTCCCAGCCTTGTACCATAACGACTTTGCCACTAGAGGGCCTCCAATCCAGGTTTGTCCATTGGAAGGCCTGGCAATGATGGTTTGCTCCTGTAAAGTTCAGAGTTGTGAACGGATTCCTGTTAAACACTCGTTTCCCTGCTGCTGCTTGTTTTGTAACTACAGTGAGGAGGGAAGGATCCTTATAGCCCGAGTATGGGCATATTGGAGGGATCCTCTGTTGTGTGTTCACAAACCACTGTTTACCAGTGGGTGCAATCCAGAGGAAGTTTGTCCTCCTTTCTCCTGACACCCATTATTAGTGGTCTCTAGTGTTTTAGATTAATTCAGCCAGCCTTAGAGGAAGGGTGAAGAACACTTTTCAGGCCAAGGCCCCCATTTCCCCCAAGCTGAAAGCTGTTGAGAGGTGCACTCCAAAAGCTCAAGACCGACACAGTCAGACTCCCACTTTCCTGCAGCACAGCAGAGAATCAATAAATCGCCACCGACCCTTGCTAGTCTCCTGTCCTAATAATTCATCGGTTGTTGTTGTTTAATCCCTTTGTAGTAAAATTAAAATTGGAATGCCTTGATTCAGGATGCTCAGAAAAGAGGTTCCTTTATCAAGACCTGAAATGCCATGTCAACAGTATTCCTTGCTTTGCATGTAGTGCTAAGAAGATCCTGAAGTCTCTGCCAGTACAGCAGAGACTGGAGAAAGCCATGTGAGGGCCGGTGAGTGTGGCGGCTGAGTCACATGAAGCTCCTGGGCAACATTCTCTCAAGTGATGGAGGACAACACAGCAATAAAAGCACGGTAACATTTTTTTGGGGGGGGATAGAACCCCCAAGCCATGAAATAAACGTTGTTTTCACAGTATGTTTTGCTCTTTCTGAATGTTTTTCTTATAACAGTGTGTTTGCTGGCAGGGTGGTGTTGAGCTCTGAGATGATTCTTAATAGACAGCAGTTTACTTCAGCAGCTGTTTCCCTCATACACTCTTGTGTCCACCTTGTGTAGCAGCCTCTGTGGCCTTATGGCTGATGGATGTGCCATCATTGGCTCCTTCACAGCATTCTTGCATTTGAGGCCACTTTCAAGTAATCTTGCCCCTTTCCTCTTTAACAATGCACACACTTCAGAGTGGGCTTTCAATCCTGGGCTGAGATTTTTATTCATCTGTAGGGTAGTTGAATATGATTATAGCTACTTAAATTCCACCAGCCAACACTCAATTTTAAAAGGGTTGGACGATTTAGAGCTACAGTTCTTGAAATTTGCTCGCAGACCATAATCTTGATTATTTATTTTTAAAGGGTCCCCATTTTCTCCTTTGCCTGTGCGCTTTGAGTTTCTCTCAACTTTCCACCATCTCATTAAAATGTGTTTTGGTCCAAGGTAAGCTGCCCAGACTTTATTTACAAATATGTAGATATGCCTGGTTTCTCTTAGCTCTGAATACTCAATTCTTAACATGCAGCTAAATATGGGGACTGATTCTATTGAAAAAGATCAATTGGTTGTATCCATGTAAGTTATACTTGAGTAAACCTATTGAAAATAATGGATCTAATAATGGTCATTGTTTTCAACGGGTCTACTCTGAGTAGGGCTAGGATTGGAGACATCTCATTATGTCTGTGATGTGGTGAAGGCTTCTCCTGTGGTATTTTGATCTGTGATGACCTATTCACACACATGACTTCTGGATGATATGGAAGTCCAAGAGATGAGTGTTTGTGTGTAAACCAGCACTCAGCTATCTTGTTCCATGGCAGCTGAATGGCTTTCACAAGGACTCCTCTTGGAATAAGTTGTCTGGGGAATTTGACTTAAAACTCATCTCAAGCTAGGAAGGGGATGGAGAGAGAGGAAAAAATGAATCCTGGAATTTTATACAAAATGAGTTGGGCAGCTTTATCCCAGAGTCTGAGGAATTGCTTGGTGTGTGAATGTGTCCCCCCATTCCTGCAACTATTGCAAAGATATTTTGAGAATGGTCCTTGCAGATCTTGAAGCAGATGTTCTGCAGAACCTTCCTCCTCCCATACCCCTTTGTTACTGCTAATGCAAACGTTGGTGTGCGAGAAAGAAAGTGTGTGATACGGACCTTCAGTTTGCTAAGTTCTGGTGTAGCTTCCAGCTGCCCATGGCATGAATTCTCCTTTCCTTTGAGCTGTGGCTCTTGTGCTCTGAAAGCCTTGGGCAAGGAGTCGCCAAAGTGCATTTTCATCCTAATGTTTAAAACGTGATTTGACAAAGCCTCAGCAGCTGCTTAGAAAGGCACCTTTTTCTTACTTGCCTTTTAAGGCTGCTTTCAGGGGGTTGTGTCTCAAACCACAGTTCCTAGCCCTGTCTGAACCAGAGGTTATTGCGCATAGGTCTAGCATAGCATTGACCCACTTTGCACATAATGCTAAGCTTAACCATGGACTCCCGGAGAAGAGATTGCAGCCACTTTGCTTGTCATGTGCTGCTGCTGCTGCAAGCTAAGCCATGGTTCCCCCCACCCCCCTCCAGACAAGCCATGAGGTCTAACAAAGCTTTGTCCTTGAGGTTCACAGGCATAGTCCCTCCTGGTATGTCCCACTGAGGAACTCCAAACAAAAACATCTTGGAGGTCCCAGGTCACAGAGAGGTTAGGCTGGCCTCAACCAGAGCCAGGGCTTTTTCGGCTGTGGCTCCGATCTGGTGGAACACTCTGTCACAAGAGACCAGGGCTCTGTGGGACTTGACATCTTTCCACAGGGCCTGCAAGACAGAGCTGTTCCACCAGGCCTTTGGCCAGGGCACAGCCTGACTCCCTCCTCTGGCAATCTTCACAGAACTCTAGCCCAATGGTTGCCATCAATTTGATTTTAATTAATTTTATATTGAAATGATTTTAGAATGTTGTATTATTTTATTGTTGCTAGCCGCCCTGAGCCCGGCTTCGGCTGGGGAGGGTGGGATAGAAATAAAAATATATTATTATTTATTATTTATTATTATTATTATTATTATAGCCCAGCACCCCCCAAAAAAAACTTCCAAAATTTTAAGGGGTCAAGTCTCCTGACATGAACTGAGATGCAATGCTGAATCAGTTGGAAAGGGAGAATAAAATCCAGAATGGTGGGTTAACTGGTGTGCTTGATCCCATACATAGAATGTAGCCAATATGGTGCCGGACTATAATGGGTATAGCCTACAGCACTGGAGGCCCCTCTAAGCAAGAACACTCTTTCCAGTGTTTTGTTGCTCATCTTCCCCTCCCCTACCATAGGAACACATGTAGGACCAGATTTGCTCTTGATGCTGTGTGTATTAGCAGTCCTTGGGCTACCAGCATAAAAATAATGAGGGGGAAATTGCAGAAATGCATTCTGCTATATGAGTCTTGAAAAGAAACCTGTGTGTTCATTCCCAACAGCCCGCCAGCAGTTGTGCGTAAGTCTTTGGTGTCATGAAAATGCAACGAGACTTTTATCTGCTTCTGCTTCTTTCCTTTTTTTGGTAAGGCTCTTATCAGTAAATTAAGAGAGTGTGTGGGAAGGTGGGAAAAAACTGAGACCGGGCAGCAGTTATTAGGTTGCTTTACTGTAGTAGGATTATTACACCATAACACTTATGGTAAGATGTGTCTCTGGAGGCTGTGGTGGTTCATCTTCTTTTTCTTCTTCTTCTCTCTCTCTTTAGAACATTTATAATCCAAACAAAAATAATTCTCTACCAAAATAAAAAGTATTTGAGAACCGTAAACTATACGGTGAAGCCTGGATAACACACATTACACTTTTTGTCGCGATACAGAGGCCTTGTTCAGTTCTGGTCTTGAGTGCGAGAAAAGGGGGAGGGGGGAATCGAAGACTCACAACCAACGGAATAAAAACTGAAAAAGTACAAAAACTTAATAAATTCAGCAACTTGATTTGTAGGCAACAATATAATTCTAGGCCTGGGCTGGAGCAGGCTGATGATGCAAGGTGGGTATAATCTTGCAGGTTCCCTGCCCCGCAGCCTGGACTTTCTATAGCTGCCAGTCTCTTGTTAGGAGGGCTACTTCCAAAACAATAAGAGTTAAGGAGGAAAGGAAAAGGGACAGAGGAGAAATAGCCAAGCAACTAAGCGCCAGAGGTTTATGGCATGGTTTCGTTTTCGTTTGGCAGATTCCTCCTGTGCAAAGTGGAACGGGGGTCGCAAGTATAACTTGAACAGAAAGAGGAAGCGAGGCAAGTCTTTTGCCAGCGCCACTGCCACCACCCCAAAGTCGTGGCACCTTGTTTCTTCCCAATGATAAGAGTCAGTTCTGCCTCTGAAATGTTGCAGCTGCCTCCAGCCGGGGTCCTCAGCTACTTGGGCAGAAGGGGGAGAATACAGTCCCTTGAATACCTTCTGCTTCTCTCCCCACTTCCCTGTTGGATGGAGGAAAGAGAGGCTGGTGGTGGGGAGAGAGAGAGAGAGAGACAACCCCCTGCTCCCTTAACTTGTGAACACCCTCCCTCCTTCCCCTCTTGTCCTTCCATGAGGCATTCCCCCCCTCCCCCTGGTTTCCTGGGCTTCAAAGGTCCAAAAAGTGTTGCAGCTGCAGGCCCAGCACGCTGATGAGGAAGGCCGAGAGGTTGAGGTACGTGCTTGAGGCAGAGTCACATTCCTTGTTTTCTCCCTCACATTTGGATTGCTCACAGAGGACACCCCTGAAGTTGGGTGGGCAGAGACAGCGCTGGTTGTCATAACAAGTGCCCCCATTCTGGCAAATCAACAGCTCCTCGTCGCACACATTAGCTGTGGAAAGAGAGGCAGGGAGAGCGGCTGAACTCTGTTTGTGTGGGGGAACCCCCTTGGCTCCTCCCCACTTTCTTGAAACCCTACACAAACCACAACTCTGGATGAAGTTGGTTATCTTGGTCAGGGATGGTTAACTTGTTATGCAACTCTTATTGCCTGCTAGCCCCTGATGGCTGCCCATCCTTCCTGGGACTGGGGCAGGAGTCTCACTATCATGATCATCATCACCACTGTTAATACATTCATATTTCCCCCCTTCTCCAAGGCTCTTAAGGTGCTGTACATGGTTCTTCTCCTGCTGTATTCTGTCCTCATCACAACACTGGGAGATAGGTTAGGCAGAGAGACAGTGACTAGCTCAGGGTCATTCTGAGCTTCACAGTTGAGTAGGGATTTGTGCCCTGGCCGCCAAAGTCCTGGTCTGACACTCTCACCCATCATTCCTGGTCTAGGGTCTTTTCCAGTCTGATTTGGAGGCAAGAGAATGGTGGCACCAGGGCAAAACTTTGGGGGCGAAAGGCCAGGGCCTCACCTAACAGAAGGAACAGGAAGGTCCCCAGCAATTTAAAGTGAAATGCAGGACCCCCTGGAAGGCTCTCCCTGTTCCCTGGTTCCACTGCTGGGGCTCTTGAGTTTTCTTCTGCCTGTTCCACATGCAAAGCACGTGCTCTATCTCTGAGCTATGCTTCACCCTCATAGCTGTAATTGGGCTCCAACTTTCATCACCCTCAGCACTGGTTGTGCTAGCAGGGGCAGATAGGAGTTGGAAGTCAAGCAACATTAGCAGGGCTACAGGTTTGCCACCCTTGCTGTAGCTCCTGTCCGTCTTGCCTGTTCTGCTGCCTTGTGTGTCTGTTAACTGGATCATCTCTCCCACTGTGGCAGCAGCTCCCCAATGTCTCACATCCTTCCTACATCTGCTACCCAGAATTGTTAATTGGAGCTGCTAGGAATTGATGCTGGGAACTTCTGCACATCCCACTTGACATGTGGAAGATCCCAGCATCTCCAGGTAGGGCTAGAAGAGAAACTCTGCCTGAAACCCCGGGGAGCTGCTGCCAGGCAATGTAGAGGATACTGGGCTATTTGGAACAGTGGCTTTACACAGTATAAGGCAGCTTCTTATCATTCTACTCCTTAAGGGCCAGAGCTCAGTGCACCTATGTTGCATGCGGATGGGTCAAGTTACAATCCCTGACACGTCCTGGGAATGGGGTGGAAACCTGGAGACTTACTGTCAGTTCGTGTAGACCAGAGGTTTTCAACCTGTGTGCCTCAGCGCTCTTGAGTGACTTGATGTTTGGTCAGGGGTGCCGCAGGAGGGCCCTCCTCTCTCTCTCTCTCTCTTGCTTTCACATCAGCTGTCCTTCCTGCATATCTGCAATCTCTCTCTCTCAATCTATCTCTCTGTCTCTCTCCCCAGCCCGGCCTGACTCCTGCTCCTGCTCCAGCCAGGAGGAATCCAGTTATGCAGCAGCCTTTGCAAAGTGGGAAGTTTGCCTTATTTACTGCTCTGGTGCTTGCCTTCTACTTACAAGTAAATACCAACAGTACATGCAGGCACTTAGATGGCTAAAGTCGTGTGTGTGTATGTATGTGTGTGTGTTGGGGTGGACAAGAGAAGGGTGCCATTTGTGGAAAGGGTTCTTTATTCCCTGCTCTGGAAAAATAGTAGTTTTCATCCCTACCACTTGCAAGTAAGTCCCAACAGTCTGTGTGTGTGTTAGCACAATGATATCTGTCTGTTTTACAGGGAGCTTAAGGTAGTGTACATTGTTCTTTCCCCCCACCTCCCCCTTCTGCAAGGTAGGCCAGGCTGAAAAGCAGTGACTGGCCCCCAAGGTCACACCCAGTGAGATTCATAGGGGAGTGGAGGATTTGAAACCCTGAAGTTGCCCCAGCCCCTCTGGTAGGTTTGATCATTATTCCTTTCCTTCAGTTTTTGTAGCTCTTCAAAATGGGGCAACCAGAGCTCTTTGCTTGATTGCAAAGCCACATATTTAGACAGAGATGGAGGCATCTGTAACACATTTAATTTACTCCAGAGCCTTTACTTGGGTAATATTAGCAGCAACCCAAAAGCCACAAAGTTTGGTCCTCTCCAGGGTCGTCTCAGGACAGAAATAAAAGTCTCCCCAACCCGGCTCCAATTTATTTGCAGCCATTACTTGCATGCTGCCCAACAAAAGATCTTGCAATAAATGAAAAGAAAAAAAAAGATTAAAAATAAGATATAAAACTGTGAAATCAAAGCAGGTGTCAACACTGATGGCATTCTCCTATGACTGCCAGTAATTATGGCCAACTGATGTCTGTTTTGGCCTGATGTTGCCTGCTATTTTATTCTTTCTGCTTCCAGATTTTCTTACACCTAGGTCCCATGCTTAAATTTGCAATACAGCAATATGGAAAGAAGAGAAACCATAATGGACTTCCAGGGCAGCTAGCAGGCGAGCAAGCCAACTCTTCCGGGGGGGACGGGGACTGTGAGGGATTTTAAAATGGCAGTGACCGCACCACATCCTTGTTCCCTCCAGGAGTTACCGGGGGGTGTAGGGTGCCCACAGCATGCAAAGGGGCTCTCCCCATTGTGAGCGATGCTGGAGGACGCTGTCTGAGATGGGAACAAGGGGCCATTCAGCTACTCCATTGATGATGCCTCAGGAATAGCCGCGCAAGGCTGTTCATGAAGTGGCTCTTTTCTCTTCTATCCTAATTGGTAATTTGGACTGTAAAACTACAAAGATGAGCTGAAGGCACCAGCCCATTGAAAATGGTGAACAACAAGCTGCAAAACAAATCTGTGTGCTGGGTCTAAAGAATTTTAAGTAAAGTAACATCTTGTTGCGGTGAGTAACAGGGGGTGGCAAATGATGCAGGGAAATTTTCTCTACGAACATTTGGTAAGACCTTCTTTACCCCTGTTCCTCACAATTATACCGAAAGGAGCTTGATTATTAAAACGGAATGTGTGCTGATTTAAGATGAATTACAGTAACACTGGCTTGCTGAAGAAAGGAGTGGTTAGAAGGACATAAACTAATAATTATATAAAGAACTGTTTCTACTATGATTATTTTCAATTAATAATTGTAGTGAAAGGACTCTGTTGGTTACAATTACTTGAGTTTGGTGCAGTGAGTTCACAGGGATCCTTTGTTGTGTTCCAAAGATTTGGGGATTGGGATCATGGGAAAAGAGCACTGTGGAATGTAAACAGACATATATTCTTAGAAAATATATGTAATACTACCGTCTTGTGGCGAAATAAGGTCATGCTGACAAGAGAAGATCAGTGTGGAAAGCAATAAATATTTTTTGAGGGTATACTACCATCTGGTGGTAAAACAGGGATATGATAGATTCAAGGTCGAAAATGGTGAAGGCCAGTGACAGAAAAAGGCAATTCCAGTGAGATTTTGATGGGAGTTAATTTACCTCTAGAACAAAATACTTTAGCATTGACTGAGTTATCGAAGAACATTAAAGATTGTGCCAGTGACATTAAGAGACTTGGCTAAAAGGACAACATCGTTGGAGGGGTCAGTTAAAAAAACTTTCTGAAGAGAGCCAAGATACAAAAAGATGCAGAGGAGCAGTTCAAAGTCAGGTGTCAGCTCTTCAGGCTGAGAAAGAAACCTTAGAGGACAAGATTGCAGTCTTGGAGAAGTATCAAGAAGAATCTCTTTTTTTTAAGATTTAGAGGTTTCCTGGAGCTTTGGGAAGAA